CGCGCGTGTTTGGCCCGCCGGCGCTGCCGCCGCCGCGCTCGCCGTTCCGCGCGCTGCTGCCGCCGCTGCCGGGGTGCGCGGGGCTGCCGCGGCTGCGGCCGGTGGCGAACCCGGTGCTGTTGAGGCTGCAGGCGCTGCAGAATATATGTGCGGGGCGCGCGCTGGTGTGGGAGGGGCGCGCGTGCGAGGGGCGCATGAGCGCGGGGAGGGAGAAGCTCGTGGGTGTTGCGTGGGAGGGCATTGGGCGGAGCTCGTTGGGGTGGGAGGTGCGCCCCGTGTCGACGTGTTAGCGGTGTGGATGGGAGGTGTGGTTGGTGTGGGCTGCTGCTGCGCGGGGCGGTGTTGCCGCCGCGAGCGCAAGCGGTCTGCTTATCTCTGAGTAGTGGCTCACTACTAGGTAATTCTAATTCATCGTGCTATCGTGTCTCGTTCGCCCCCCTGTTATTCGCGCTATGCACTGTAGATCATAGTGTTTTTCTACCTTCCTGTACCGATATACCCTCCCTTAGGATACGTTGTTAATGCATGCCTGTCTTGACTATATCGGTGTGCGCCATCGCAAAGTGCTGCCCACGAGCTGAGACAAGGACTGAACGTGGATGAACCGTATCCAGAATTGACATCCTTTCTGAAACCCGGGGAGAACGCGTACAAGGAATAACTTAGGACTACACGACAGCAGAACGCGCGCGCGCGCGGGGAAAGTATCGCGGTCAACGGGCCTGCAACATCAGAACGATACATGTCACTGCCAAAGCGCACTAGAACAACCCGGACTGTACCTGCCACTGCGGGTTCGCCGAGAGCGACTGATGGCTGAGGCCCTCCCATAGCTGGGGACTTGCCCCGCGCCCGCGCTGGTTGAACACGGCCGTCCGCCGGCCCTGCGCCCCCATCGCGCCCGGCTGCCGGAACTCCGACATCGACATGCGCTGCGCGGGGTTCCCTGAGAGCGCCATGCCCCCGCTGCCGTTGCCGTTGCCGTTGCCGTTGCCGCTGCCGTTCCCGCCCCCGCCCCCGCCGCCGAGCGCCATCATGTCGAACGTGTCGGGCGACTGCCGCGGCTCGCTGAAGCGCACCGGGAAGTCGCTCTCCGCGTGCTGCAGGGTGATGAAGGGCCGGCTGAGCACCGCGAGCTCGCGCGCCTCGTCCTGGAGCCAGCCCCGCGCCTCCGCGGACGCGCGGTCGATCCCGAGCACCGTGCGCAGCTGCTCGTTCTCCTTCTCGAGCCGCGCGATCTCGCGCTCGCGCTCGAGCGCCCAGTCGTCGCGGTCGAGCAGCCCGTCGAGCAGGTCTTCCGCGCTGGGCGGGGACGCGCTGGTGCTGCTGCCTTCCCCGCCTCCGCCTCCGCCGGACGACTCGGCGTCCTCGCCTTGGAGGCTGCGCACGAGCGCGCGGAGGTTCGCTGAGAGCCGCTGCAGGGAGTCTGCGACGGCGGTGTTGCCGGAGAGGTCGGCTTGCAGGAGCGAGGTCTCGCGCGCGAGGATGAGGGTCTCGTAGTGCTGCGTCAGCGCCAGCTCGTGCCGCTGCGACGCCAGCTACGCGAGAATGTGAGAGCGGGAGCAAAGGGCGGAGGAAAGGCGTACGGCGTGGCTGCGGAACTTGGTCATGATGGTCTCCATCGTCTGCTCGTACTCCTTGAGGAGGAGGCTGAGCTGTCTGTTCTCGTGGAGGAGCGTGTGGTTTTCGATGATGATTTGCGCGTTTGTCCGCTCGAGCTCGGACTCGAACGTCTCTGGAGCAGGATGCGGTGAGGACGCGTCGGTGTGGGATCGCAGACACGCGTACCCTTCGAGATATCAGTGTTCACTCGTCGCAATGAGAAGCCACTTGCTGCATGGCCGGCTTCGTCCTGAGTCCCTTCTCGTGTATGACAATTCAGCCATTGGACAGACCGTCTACCGGCGTACCTTCAAGGCGCCAGCCTGTGAGTGCAATGCCAGTGACATCTTATGATTGTGCGCGTTCTGCTCGCTCAGTTCGTGCAGCAGCTGCCATGCTCGTATGAGCTCGGTTTCCATGTCGTGGTACATCGTGGAGCAGACGTGGTATGTTCAGAATATATGCGGAGTGGTCTGAAAGAGTCTATTAGAGCATCAATGTGCGTCCATCGAATTCCCACAGCGGAAGAACTTCGACAGCACGTGTAATGGACCGGAGGTTGTGCAAAGCTACGCGTCTGTTCGCTGTTGAGATCTCTTTGAGCTTCCTGCGACGTCCTTGCTATAATCCTGAGCGTATACCGTCAAGAAACCCGACGTTGACCGCGGCGCAGCCTCGTGTATCATGTCATGTCTCAGCTGGGGAGTTATCCATTGAATTACCAACACCTAACCCGAGTGAGACTGCAACAGTCTCTGTCTGTTACTCAAGCCCCCTTGCCCACGATTTATGGTAGCATGGAAGACTGAAATTGCCACGGGCAGAAAGCCTCGCGAAGCCTGAAGGTGCTGTGTAGATCCAGAGCAGTTGAATGAGCAGAGAATTTCTGTATTTTCGACTCTAAGCGGTAGGTTTAAACGGTGGCGTGCGAAACCGGGCGATTGCTGTTGGCGAGTGTCGACTCGACAGCGAAGACGTGACACTGCTTTTCCTCATCCTCTCGCGGCTACTCTTCTCTGTACAACACCAGCCCCTCATTCGTTCCCCAGCAAGCCCCCCCTGGACTGTCAGTACTTATACTTCCCTAACCAACTGCATATCCCTTCCTCCCCGGTCGACGCCCAGCCGTTTCCATCACCACACTCTGCATCGCGACCCAGTCCCAAGGACAGTGACATAACATGGCAACTTCTCTCTCTCAACTCTCTGCGTGTGTTACACGCATCCTCTCTTTGACGGGCTTCCCGAAGGAGCTCAAAACGAGAGATATCCAAGCTGCCTTCGCCGATTGGGACAATGTCAACGGAGGTTTCAAGATCAAGTGGATTAACGACACCAGTCTCTTGATTGTATTCAATGACGCTACTGCAGGTAAGTATTCTCACTGGTCCTCTGTCTTCCGTGCAGTGCGCGGGGCCGAAGCGGACCTCTGCTACTAATGGTAGGCTGTGTACTGACGTTACCATTTCACAGCTAAACGCGCTTACCTTCACACTCTCGCATTTCCGCCCGCTATCTTCACTTCCCCCAATTCCACTCAGACGGCCATCGTAAAACCATACGATGGGCCGGACGCGCAAAATGTCATTCAGACCGTCAATGCACGACAGCACACCGGGAACGGACGTGGGCACAACGTACGCAACTCCGTCTCGCATGCACGCGGCATGTCAGTGAGCAACGGCAATCGTGGTGGTGCCCCTGTGAACACAAACGGCACGGATCGCAGCTCCCCTCGCGACCGTGACCGCGAGCCATCTCCCACTCTTCCGAACATACCCTCTCACCCGACACTTAACTCCCTTATTTCGTCATCCCTGGGTGGAGACGTCGCATCCGTCGACCCTGCAATGGTGGATCCAGCTATCGTCGCTGCAATGCCAGACCATGGCGCTCCGCGCATTGGAGACCCCGGCAAGAGGATGTTGGGCGCGGCACTGGGCGTCAGACATCCGGGTCTAGGCCCTCGTGTAGTGAGCGGCAATGGGAACGGCATGGCGGACATGCAGAGGGCCATGGGTGGGTTGATCGTCGCGGAGTAAGCGCATCAATTTTGCAAAGCGGCACCTAGGATGGGCCAAAGCCGTGCGGTCGATGAAGGCACAAGCGGAGCTCTGAAGCAAGCGGGTCGTTTCTCTGGTGGCGCTTTCTTACCCCATGTCTTTGTCTTCCATGCAGTCCAAGATAGTCGATGGGTGTTGTTTTGATGCATTTCGTCTGAGGGGATCTCGTGTGTTGTTACTTTTCTCTCCTTTACGCAAATAAATAACGTCTGCAGTCTTAACACGACGAGGACAGCTATATCGCATTGTTTGGTGGCGTCCATCACAAAATTGCCGAATCGGGCAACGCTTTGTCCCCATTGGGTATATAAGTTGCTTGTTGATTAGCCGCCAGCCACACACTTGACCTTGCTCTTTAACCATCATGACCTCGTCTACAGATAACAGGAAAACCATGGCAGATGCCTTCAAGGCTGAAGGGAATGCGTTATATACGAAGGGTGACTACAAAGCTGCATACGATAAATACACCGAGGCAATCAAATCCGACGAGACAAACGCGGTGCTGTTCTCGAATCAGGCGGCTTGCAGCCTTGCTATGAAAGAGTACGTGATGTACCTCCATTGGACATGCTCTTGACTAAGTAGCAACAAGGTACCTAAACGCAGCTTCCGATGCAATCCAGGTATGTGTTCCTTTAGCCACAGGAAGTGCGTGCGCCACAATTTACTAACCGATCCTTATAGGCCATCCGCAAAGACCCCAATTTTTCCAAGGGATGGGCTCGCCTAGGAATGGGGCGGCATGTCAGTCGAGACGTGTCATTCGAAATATAATGCACTAATGACCTTGCATCCTGCTTGTTTCTAGGAACTGGGCCACTTCGACGGGAGTATTCACGCATGGAAGAAAGCATTGGAATGTCTCCCGCAGGAAAATCTTTCCGAAGTCGAGCGCAGACTAAGACAGCAGTATGAAGCAGGATTGAAGGCAGCCAGCGACGCGAAAGCACGACCGCGACAGCCGAAGGTGAATGTCGGAGATCTCACAGTCGACGACGTGGCGCAAGGAATACTGCCTATTTCACGTGCGCTCGCCTTGTTAAACAAGCTACCTGCCGGTAAGCAGTACAATAGCAGCGTGAGTGTCTCTCTAGTCCCGTCGGTCTCTTCATGTGAGTTAGACTAAGCTGACGGTGAGCAGGCATGGGTCATCGTTCACGCACACCGAGTATGTTTTGCACTTGCTGTGACGACGCGCAATTGCTGAGGCTGAGAACAGAGTTTCCAACGTGGTGTGGCTTTAATGAAGTACACAAAATCCTATGACGATCACATGGGAGGGTTCCCGGGGGTCAGTTTTGTGGCAGTCGTTACTTCATTTCGGGTGTGGCTGAGGCATTTACAGGCAATCACGTTGCTCAGTGATGGAATCCTCCGGGATGTGCGTGCGTCTACCTTGGATGGACCAATATTGCTCGAAATGTTCCATACACAAGGTATGTTATATAACACAAGAACCTGGTACGTCTATTGACAGTGTGCTGTAGTTGCGTTGGAGAACAGCGTTTATAATGCATGGGCACACGACGCACCCGACGTCGTTATTGAAAAAGCATCCAAGCGATTGGAGTTACACGGCTGGGATGCTGTAATGCCGGCATTGTCGTTGACCGTTAGGTGGATCTATAATGTCCTTGAGTTGAAAGCGGCGACATTTACGGTATTCTTAAACAGGTTCTGGATTCTGAAGGGACACCTCGCCCGCAACTCCGAACCTGACCAGTCGGCGGCCATGCAATATTACGACGGTGCAGTAAGTGTGCTGGACTGGGGTTCCAAGACACGGGATGCCCCGAAAGGCCCAGGTTCCATATTCAACAAGGCTTTTATGAGAGGTGTAGTGCGCCTCCGGATAGAAAGCTACCGCATGGTTTGTGACACGTCCTCCGGTTCATCCAAGCTGATTTTGACGTACGTCTAGGCATACAAGTATTTTGACAAAGACAGATATATCATGCTGCTTGATGTCATCATGACTCTAGCTAAAAATTTGATTGAGGAAATTGAAGCCAATCCGCTAACAGAAGCTGAAGAGAGCCAGATTCATACGGGATTCGCCCTTTCTTTCTGGCACTATCCTAGAGCCTCTGCATATGCGTACGTGTCATAAGCCAAATCGCAGCGCCCAGGTACTTATATTGCTTATCCTGCAGGACGCGGGGTCTTTGCTTTTTGGAGCTGGGCTTGGCAGCAAGACGTCATGGTCAAGACAGAGTAGCAACCAAGTCATTCGCAGATGCTGCAGAAATGTATATGACAGCTGCTGACTGTCTGCCAGAAGACGAGGAATTGCATGCTTGTGAGTAGCTTTGTGTTCTATGCCATCATCCTAGGGGCCCGCCTCAGACTGTTTTTTGCAGACTTCCTGAAAATCGCTTTCGAGACTTACTGGTTCCGTGGCCTGCCGCTGAGAGAAACATTGGCGCTGTGTTCCAAGATCAACAGGTCGCTCCCCAAGGTCGCAGAGATATGGGAGTACAGTCAATTCTCAAGTCGGTGGAGCGAACATGTCGATGAGCTGAAGCGTTTCGAGAGTGAAGCGCTCGACGGCCTGTTGGAGGGCAGATACACAATGGAAACGCTAGCTGTAAGTTCCATATGACTAGATCTGGGTCTTTGTGATTGACGCACTGTTTCATGGCCCAGTCATCTATCCCGTTCAGAGCGTTTACGGCTGAGTGATCACAATTGATGGGATCCGACTCCCGTCGCCCGTTATTTACAGTACTTTCATCGTGCGCCAGAAACGCCATCTCAGCTCTCGGAAGATGGGGTACCGTCCGTCTAACAGCGATATCTTAGTTTTGTCAAGCGGATACGGAAATTTGTTAATGCAGGCGGCGTTCGTCTGCTTCATCTATGAATGTTATATTTTGTTTCTGACTCCCCCTACTTTCGACTACGGTATTTATTTGGACTATGTGCTCGTCCATACGCTTGGTATCTACACTTCCTCCACGAAGACGTTGTCTGTGATCTCAGACGTTCAACACTGTTCCTTCTCTTTATACACTGATGATGATGGCATGGAAGCAGATACCCATGAGGTCAAACTTACAAAGGCAATGCGTTCCAGGTCTCACGATATCTCCTCTAGTCGTGGCGGGAGTGTCGCATCTCATCTTGCTCCGCGTGAACGGTGATGCTTGTCACCCATTGGTGAAATTATGGCTCAGCGTTAGCGGTGTTTGTTATGCTGCGATCGCGACATGAAATGCCATCTCCCACGTGGATGGTGGCGTCATCTTCGGGATCACATCCTTGGTGCGTTCATCAACTTCAGTCGAAGGAGGGCGAGTCATCATTTTCATATTGTCCAGTCATCAGGCGCTCCATGAGTACTTGAGTTACAGATATCACCGCTAGGATATTCATCTCGGTGTATGACTGCCATCACAATGCTCCGAGCGATGATGTAGAAATCGCTCTGTGAGTAGCAGACCCAAGCGATAGACGGAGACGTTGCATTGTCCCTCCGGGATGTCAGAGCAGTTGCACCGCGTACGCGGTACCTCGGAGTCTATTGGACAGCTCGCCCACACATCTGCCCAACAGGGCTAAGCCATGATAGTGTACATAAGTTGGGCCCTTTACCAGTTTGGATGAGGGCAAAGAACGACAAGTCATGGATACTGTTCGGACCATCATGATAGCCTGCAGGTGCTTTGATTTGCAATATGCCACTCAAGCCTACATAGTCTCGCGCCCAGACCGCTTTGTACTCGGGCTTCTAGCATATTGGCACGCCACCCGGCGAAACGCTCGGACCTTGCCCGCCGCTCCAATCATGCAGACTGCTAGAGTTGGGATTAGGGGAACATAGCTCCTTCCCGTGCGCATACGTGCATAGGTCGCCGATGTGTTTGAATGCCAAGCACATTCTGATATCCAGCAGAGATTACTCACAGACCTCATCTGTATGTATCAATAGACTCAATAGGTGCTGTGCATGGCTGATAGATCTTACGCCCAATGCGGCGGGATGATCCTAGCTATTCTCATTGGTATCTGCAATACCGTCCGGGCCCGTGTGACCCCTGGAAATGAAAAGAAGGTGTACCCGAGTCAGGAAGAAGTCGATGTCCTCGCGGACGGCACTTGCATTGTCCATCCGCAACGTTAACTGTACGATGTCTAGACAGGTTCAGAGATTCTGGCCTAATCGGATAACGTCCACGAGACGCCACCAGCAAGCTCACGCTCGCGCGTTGCCTCTAAGGTGCCACTCGGCCTCTGAAGCCACGAAGACTGACGTCTCCGCCGCACGAAGGTGGAGAGACTGCGGGTAGAGTCACGTTAGTTCCGCCTTGAAGCTGGGCGCTGTGTATGTCCGCTCGATGACGGCGACCATTGTGCGGTTCTTCCGCTCGTTTCCCAGCGAACGGTCCGAGAATACGACGCTTTGGCCGCGTTCGCGAGCGTGGCGGGACGAAGGTGCGCCCGCCAACGAGGACGAGCCGAACACGAGGATAAGGTATCGATGGAGGACGTACAGAGAAACAAGGGAGCATTCGTATGCGCTTAGCGTTGCGGATCAGAGGTCGTCCGCGGAGGCAATAGAGATCAAGGCTCGGCTCGGTGAGTGCAGCATCACGCTTGACATGAAGGAGCGGTGTGCGGCCTCGTTTCCCATCCTGTGACTGATATGCAAGATGTGCTGGAGCACACAAGAACACAATTGTGGGATCAAATGCATCCGGGGAGTGCATGTTCGGCGTTGTTGGGTGTTTGATGTTCCTGGGGATAGGGGCTAGTGACACCATTCCGGGCTGATCTCGCCTGATACGCTCTGCACAGACGCCCGATCGTGTGTCCAAGCGTTCATTCGGAAGCGTGTTTTGGAATTCCGCGAACCGCTTCGCAACCAACTGCAAGACGCGATCCACCGTTGGTCCAACTTTTGGGTCCACAGGCTCGGCTCGTGCGGTGCCACTTCTCGCCAAACCGCCACCATCCCAGATGTTTATAAGACCCCCAATGTCGCCCGCTCCTGAACGTCTACCCTACTCCCGCAGTCGCGCCTCCGGATATGTTTGACGCCTCCCAGCCTATAAAGACGGAGTCACCGCCTCTCCATCTTATAAAGACAGAGTCACCGCCTCCGTCTACCTCGCTCTGGAATATCGTCAAGCAGTACGGTTCGTACAGCGACTGCTTCCAGTCTTTGGACTGGTCACATAGCGGTACTATAGATGGTAGACAAGACGGTACGTCTGTCGTGTCTTGTTACATGCAGGTACTCAATGACACGCAATCATTCACAGCGTCATGCTTCATTTTTCCGTGTCAGGAGGCAACCGCGTCTCCCATCGACCGGTGTTTCTCCCGTTCCAGCTTCAGCACGAGTTCGTCCGAATCCGACTGTTTCTCAACTCCGGAGCCAGGGACGAGCACCTTCGCAAGTGCCGCAGCTGCGGGCCCATATCAAGCTGCCGTCCCTGATATTGCAATGTTTGACAGTTCATCAGCTGCACCATTCGATGCCTACAGCAACCTTGATTTTGGCGGCGCCATTGACGTTACTGCCGTTTTACCTTCGGACTGCTCAGATCTGTCAGTGCCACAGATACAGATGCCTGGGGTAACGTTCCCGTGGAACCCTTCCCATAACATGTCTGGCGCGCACGACTACTCCCAACTCTCGCATCCAGATCTAGCTCTCCATCAACTCCTGTCACAGTTTGTAGCATCAGGCCCTGACGGCAGCGCCTTCACATCTTCGTATTCTATCCCTCCGCAGCTCCTGCCTGACACGACATCCGAGTCGTCTAGTTTCATCACACTTTCGCACGATCTGCCGCACGCCACGGTCATCGCACAGATACCTATTCACCAGCCTCGGCCACGTAAACACGAGATTCTGGCCCGAAGGGACAAGGAGCGGCTGGAGAAACTGGCCGCGATGACTATCGACTCATTACCTCCGACTTGCGACTTCCTGGTGGCTCAGGAGCCCGAGAACCCCGACGGCATGCAAGGAATTGACCTGCATGATGACAATGTATCCGCGCACCGTCTCGACTCAACGCCATCAAATGTCGTGGGACCTAGTATATGTCTCGGATCGGGTGGCACGCTCAGCCCCTCTGCGCTGCTCCTGCAGTCTGTCTCTGACTCTGTCATGCACGGCCCATTACCTCACGCCGCGGATGCGAGCTCGGCCATCGAGGCCGCGTGCAATTGGCAACTTGAGGAGCTCTTTCCGCCGAGTGGTACGCAGTCGCTTGTCCCGTGTCCACCATCGGAAGAGAGCGTATTTTCCACATTGATGTCCGCATATTCGTCACAATACCAACCACCTGCTGAACAGGACTGGTCGTGGCTTGGTCCGGTAACGCATTCCTCATGAACTTTAAGCATGATCGCACATACTACGTGTCATTCCCTCATACCGTTTCGTCGGCAGCACTATCATTATTGTTCATAGCAATTCGTCCATGGGTTTTATGTACATGCTAGAGAATGAGAAGTCGTAGCGTTCCATCAATCATTGAATGATTGTGTGACTGCCTCGCGTGCAATTGTGTTCCGGCAAGCACGGTTGCGAACTTGAAGCCGTTGTCCATCTGCGCATTACGTAGTATGACTGAAGTTTCATTGGGGGTTCAAGCGCGGAGTCGAGAAGTCTTGGCATTCGAGAGCACATTCTACTACGAATCTAATGACGAGTCTATCTTTCTATTTGTAGCAACGCTCCTACCCGGTTTGGCGGATATTCTGCCAGAAGCTGGCGCAATCGAAGCTTTCTTAGTATATACATGACAATAGCCGTTTTCTCGCGTTATGGCTGAGAACAAAAATGTCAGTCAGCCGGTGCAACGTTCAAACGTTCACGTGTAGGACCGTAGGTATAAGCGTGCCATGCAGTGTACACGTTCATTCACACTGGTGGTGCCGATGTCAATAGCCTAGCGCTGATTGTCTATCCAGTTACTCCCTTTTGTGGTATTCTTGATACGCCGTGTTGTTGTAATTCTCGCGTTCAGCTATCTTACACGTAGCTCTCGTACGCAGCGTCCCGCACTGCTTCAGTCCCTCGCGATTACCGGCTCCGGCGAACTTGCATTCGGCGCTGGATCCTAAGCGCTTAGCAGTGACGCCACGCACGTGAGCCCGTGCAGTAACACCAGGCGGTGTATGAGGCCTGCCTCCCGTTTCTGGCTCTATTCACCACAACCCGCTCAGCAACGCCAGCAGGCCCTTACCGAGAGGTCCACACGTCCAGACTTTCATCTCCTTGCCAGCCCTTGGCTTCCTCGCACAACATACAGCGACTGGACGAGGTATTAGTCGCCGACTTATGTCGATCAAGGCCTTGTTCTATGCATATATCCTCGGCGGCATCACATTCCTCCCTCTGGTCATCATAGGAGCCATCTTCTATACTGTCTACACCTCGGTCCCTATCCCCGATACAGACAATGATGACAAGAAGCTAGAGGTAGCCGAGCCTGTCGATCTGCCTTCGACGACGTCTGCACCGTCCCTTTCTGATGTGAACGACCTGCCGAAGGTGCGCAAAGGCTGGCTTACAGTCCGCCGAACGTTCAAGGAGCAACCCTCGGAGGCGTCCTACGTAGGCATGGTGCGGGGATTCCTTGATGCGCGCTCCAAGGACGCGAAGCGTTCGCGGCCTAAGGACCTGTGGTACGTGGTGCTCAAGGGCAAGGTGTTGTATCTGTATGAGGACGAGAGTATGACGGAGTGCGAGGCAGCCATCGAGCTTGGCGGCCACGACGTCGTCATATTCCCCGAGGGCCTTGCGGACGGCGAGCTGTTCTCCAAGCGCAATGCGATCTGCATGAAGCCGCGGGTTGCGCCCCACTCTAAGGAGCTGCCCAGCGTCACGAGGGAGATGGTCATGGAGTCTGAGAACGTGGACGAGAAGGTCGAGGAGATGGGCGGCGGCCCGAAGGAGAAGCAGCGGGAACGCGAGAGGCTGGTGGAAGTGGAGAAGCAGCGCGAGGAGGCTCGGGACCAGGCCCTCGACATCGCGACTCCGTGGTTCATATTCGTCAAGTCGGTGGTGGAGATGGAGGACTGGCACCACGCCCTCGTTCACGCGTCAGACCATCCCGCAAATGCACCGACACTTGCTCCTCTGGAGCCTGTCTTCTGGCCGGCAGACATGAACCGTTTAGTAGAGACCCTGGACGAGCAACCGGACATCATTCCCATGCGATGGCTCAATGCTCTCATCGGCCGACTCTTCTTCAGCTATTATCGTACACAGACTTTGGAGTCGTACATCATTGGCCGCCTAATGAAGAAGATCTCAAAGGTGAAGAGGCCAGGCTTCCTTTCAGACGTTGTCGTCCGAGAGGTGTCTGTCGGTAACAAAGCACCTACATTCAGCAAGCCCATGCTGAAGGAGCTCACAAAGGAGGGAGACGCGTCTCTCGAGCTCCAACTGCATTACAAGGGCGAGGTGCGGATCACCGTTGAAGCTACTGCAACAATCAACCTCGGGGCGCGGTTCAAAACGTATACTGTCAAGCTGGTACTGGCGCTTGTCATCAGAGAGATTGAGGGCAACTTGCTGGTCAAAGTGAAGCGTCCGCCTAGCAGTCGCATTTGGTATGCATTCACGCAAATGCCGAGGATTGTCATGGACGTCGAGCCGGTGGTGAGTGATCGCCAGATCACCTGGGGTATGATTCTCAGCACTATCGAATCGAGGGTCAAGGAAGTGGTATGTCTGTCTATCTCGTCGCGACATTGCTTTGGCTGACGGCATTCCAGATTCAAGAGTCGGTTGTCATGCCGAACATGGATGATATATCTTTCTTCGAGAGCTCTAGGTACCAACACCGCGGAGGTATTTGGGCTGACGCCTCTCGCCGTGAAACGTCGCCCCCATATTCACCCGAAGATACTTCTCAAGATGACTCTCGTTCCACCGCTTCTGCACCTGCTTCCGAGTTACTCAGGCCTACAGATCCGGAGCATCCTCCCATACAACGCTCGCACTCCGCTGAAGAAGCTGCCCTGGAAAACAAGATATCCTCCGAGCCTCAGATCTTGTTGACTGATCCGCGCCGCACCTCGCCCAGCGTGCCGTCCACACCAGACACAGGCAGCAAGCGCAGGAGCTGGTTCGGGGCCCCTCGTGACGATGAGCCAAGCACACCCAATTCGCTTCACCCCCATCAGGATGAAAACGACGAATCTGAACAGCGAGGTAGATCGCCAGAGACGGATAGCACGCTGACTCGCCGCTCGAGTTCTACACCGATCAATGCTTGCAGTACTTCACAGGATACCACACCACACGCTGACGGTGGACAGAAGGAAGGGGGCGATTACCTGTCACCACAGACAACTCGGCGATCATCCTCGCAGCACTCGCAGGCGTCCTCGTCCCGCGAAACCTCGGCACCACTCTCCTCGGACGACGAATCTTCCGGGACAGGGGCCGAATCAAGCTCTGCGTCTTCCTCATGGCGGCCCAAGAGTCCGCAGGCAAGCGGCTCGGGCCGGGGCACCGCTACGAGCTCTACAGCTGCGTTCCTGCAGAACCTCAAGTCGCGCGCCGGCGACAAGCAGGCGCTGAGTAACACCGCGAAGGAGGCAATGCGCAAATGGGGCGTGAACTGGAGCGGACTGCGCCGGGACAGCAACAACAACCACGGCGAAGAGCTGCCCGACGCTTCGCAGGGCGAGCAGCGCCACCTGGACCCACGAATACACCGGTCGCGGCCTAGCTATGCCGAGGTCAGAGCGGCGGTCGAGCAGAGGAAGGGGCGAGAGCCGGAGACGACGCTGGGGGCTGAGCTTCGCTCCGAGCCCATCAATATCCTGCAGAGCGACAAGGGCAAGGAACGCGCACGGAGTGCTTCTCCGTCCACTGCGAGCGGCAGCACCGCAGCACCGTACTTCGCATCGTCCTCGCCTGTGCACGATGCATTGCCATCGCCGCTGCTGGGCGTGGAGGGGAAGCCCCATTCCCGCTCCGCCTCGCCTGCCAACCTCATACAGCGGACGGAGTCTGCGAGATCAAAGTCGTCTGCTGAGGGGATTCCCAGCATCGCGGCGGACGACATGGAGGCGCCGCCCTTGCCCATACACACGCAGCCCCCGCAGGCGAGGACCATGACGATCCCGGGCATCCATGCGAGCCATCGCGGCGAGGTGATGTCCATGGGGTACGCGCCCCCGCTCCCGCCTGCGTCCGCGGAACAGAAGAAGCCGGCAATCCAGAGTGTGTACCGCTTGTGGAAGAACCCCAGCACTTCTGGGTCTCAGCCCCGCGTCGCAGGTGCACTACCCGAGACGCAGGTCGGCTTCGCGGGACGCGATGAGGACGCGGCAGGCGATGCGCAGTCCGAGATGCTCGCCCCGCGGCCGGTGCCCCCGCCGCTGCCTCCCCGCTCAAATTCCGCGGTCGCGCTGCAGGGAAGGCAGGACGCAGCAGGCGGCGGTGCGTCGTCGGCGTCTGCGGTCCTCCAGTCGATCGTGTCGAAGGACAGGACCAGGCGTGAGTCGCTTGAGCCGGCAGGCGAGGAGGGTGCGAACAGCACGAGTTCCGCGTCGACGTCTGTACCTGCAGGGGCGCCCCCTCCTCTGCCAGCGAGATCGGCGGCGGCGACTGTGAAACCACCTGCGCTGCCGCCGAGGAGACCGTCAGGCCTGACGGCTGCTCCTGCTCCTGCTACTGTGTAGCGGTATTTATCTCTGCATCTACAGCATATAGCTCGTCCTGTGGCATTGTATTACTACACACACCTATCTGGGACCGGACTTATGCATGGATCACGTCTACTTATTATAACCCGGTCATGCAATGTCGTGCATCGTCTTCATTTACGTATGAGTGTGTTACGAGGCCAGCCATTGGACCGTGCATGACCGCTGCTCCGGGCTGATTCTGATGCGGGAGGCCATTTCATTTTGTGAGGGCATCCCCGACGCGCCTCGAGGTGAAACGCTGATGGCGGCTTCCCTGTAAAGCCTCGACTCGCGTGTTCTAGGCGAGGCCGATGGGCAGGATAGCATGGTATGGAATCTACAGCTAATTCCATACCGATAGACATGCCAGAATATGTGTGTGCGCAAGCCTTGGGATTTGGTCGGGACCACGAGACCCGGCAAATTGTCTTCACAGCCACAGGCGGTTAAACTTAGTTAAACTCAGTTTATTTGGGTCTTCTGGCCGTGTACCCAACCAAGCCAGGGCCCGCTCATCCCGGCGGGAAGTCCTATTACGCACCCTTTGAGTTCAGGAGGTCTAAAGATATGGAAACGGGGCTTTTGATGGGAAGACGAGTTGCAATGGCAACGACATGGAGCTTGGACGCCCTGGCTGAATGAATGATCGAAGCTAAGTATTATAGTTGGCACGTGGGCGAGTCAGTGTTGAGCTTGGCCGTAAGTATATCTCGCGATAGCCTTCTTCGCTGCTTTCTTCCTTTTGGCCACCTCTTACGACCATAAATCGGCTCCTTGCCATCCCCGGCGCGACTCCAGTTCGTTCGCCAGCCAGTTCTTACGACCTTTTACGCCACGCAATGACCGGGCTCGATGAACGTGAACGCGCACTCCCGCAGCCCAACATACAGAACCTGCCTTCTTCCAGCTCGCGGTCTCTGGTGATTGTGTCCAACATAAGTGCAGCCCTCGAATACGAGGAACGCACGCGCCAGGGCACCTGGGGCTCCACTGCGTCCCTGCCTGGCGTTGAGGGCGGGCTCCCGCCTCCTCCGCGTCCTAGGAGCAGCAGAGGCAGGCTAGCGCGCGCGATGGCTATGTCGCCCAGTAACAAGTCTTCCATGTCTGTCCCCACCTCTCCCATGTCGTCTTCGATGCAGCTCGCGGAAGGCGAGCGCGCACCTAGCAACCCGTACATCAACCCAGTGCCGCGCCTGTCCTACCTCTTGCGCGAGGAGCCGCCGCTCCTTGTTGTCGGCGGGCGCCCGTCCTCCCCCGACGGTGTCAGCATCGCCGAGGAGTTGTCGAATGACACGCATTCGATAGCGTCTGTGCAGCCTCACAGTGCGGATTCGCACGGCAGCCAGCCTTCGTCTGCGTCCCCGTCGTCGCCCAAGGAGACAAACCGCCACCACCGGGGCCTGTCCTCTCTTCATAAGGTCGAGAAGATGCTTGGCAAGAGCAAGTCCGCGCTTGGCATGCTCGCGGAGAGCAATTTGCGATCGAAACGGCGGTCGAGCGACGCAGACGTGCCGCAGAGCGGGGGGACGGAGAAGCCGAGCATAGATGCGCTGATGCGCCCGTACCGACGGGTGCTGGAGAGGGGCAAGGCGGCCGCAGACGCCCCAAGCGCGCCGAGCTCACCCGTCAGTGCGTAACTTTTGATGCAGTGCGATCACTACGGTGTCTGACAATATGTATCCTAGCTACGACGTCTGCTGAGACGTCCAGAGCCCGGCGCATAGCCGTCGGATCGTCTGCGCATGCGCCGTCGCGCGCGATGAAGCCGCCGGCAGTTGCTGCAGACACCCAGTCCCCGCTTTCCCACGCTCGCCAGGACTCTGATATGTCGGCCGCGTCTACTCACAGCCTGTCCCCCTCTTCAGACACGACGCACGACCCCCCCTCTTCCTGCACCGAGCAGCGCATCAGCATCTCCAGTACATTATACACTTCTAGACAGCACTCCTTCGACATCACGCCATATCCAGTCGGCAGGTCGACCAATATGAGCGACGATCGCGTATCCTTCATTGACATGGCCTCACCCACTCTCACCCCCTCGCATTCTCACGACTTTGCAAGCATGATACCAATTCACTATAGCGTTACCCCCGAATCGCGCGTGTCCCCGCAGTCGTACACTAGTGAAGAATCTAATTATTACCCCAATTCGGCCAAGAAACCGCTATTACCGCGTCTAACAACTACCGGAAAACCCCCGATCCCTACTGCACCCAAGCCAAAATTCAGACGGTCACGATCAGCACAACCGCCTCCGGAGAGGGAAGCTGTCGCCCCGCACGGCGGTAAAGAGGTTAACCCTCTGGACAACTTCACGCCGGACATGGAGCGCGGCCTGCGCAACATTCCTTCCACAACGAACCTGCTGGATCCACAAATACGGGCTGACCGCATCCGCAAGACGAAGAAGCTCACGCAGCTGTTCGGACAGATACCGGGTGTTTCGCCTGAGCCGATCGATGTCGCGCTTGCGAACAGCTGTCTGCCCGTCTCGGGAGGACTGGGTGTTACTGCGCCGAGCTTCATGAAACGCAAGCACAAGCAGGCGGCGTCCATGCTCGATGATCCCATCGTCCCTGTGTATGGCAGCCAGAAGCGTGCGGTGTGGCCGCCGCACGATGACGTGCAACACATCTACCTCGGTGACCGGCGGCGCTCGGTTCCGTTCACGCCCCAGGACTTCTCATCCATAAGTGGGCTCTCGTACACCGACGACGGCCACTCCATTCTCACCATCAGCAAAGACGCCTCACACGTGATAGAGATAGGAAGCCAGGAAGGTGTCCCATCGAGCGACTGGGACAGCCATACCGGCCACGCGCCCCAGGAGACGCCCCCGCCGGACTCGCCTACATCTTTCATCGACCTGTCAGACGAAGAGGGTCCCAGCGAAGCCCTCCCAGGCCCGCGCTCCGCCGAGACACCCAAATTCCAATCCACGTCTCGCGCTTACTTCTCCCCATCCACGCCCTCCCTCCACAGCAGCCTGTCGCCAGAGCAACAGGCCGAGGAGGAGCGCCGCCGCAAGAGAGAAAAGCTTGCCAAGCTCCACCGCTTCCTCGGTTCCCGCGTGCCACCGCACCTTGTCCTTGGTCCCCTCGAAGAAGGCGTGCCCCTCCCGCCCCCTGCGCCCACACCCCCGCTGCTGGAGACCATGTACGAAGAGGAGGCCGACGCACGCAAGGCCCGCATGCGCCGGCGCAGGAGCAGCTCCGCCGCCGAGTTCGCAGGGACGTGGTCGGACGAGATCGATCGCCTCAAGGAGGACTTGAACGACCGCGAGAAGGCTATCAACGTGAGGAGGGCGGTCAAGATGGAGAAGGTGTGTTGCTTGGTTGGCGTCGTACCTTTGCGCGGCTGTGGCTGACGTGTGTTACCCGCAGATGTTCGGGGAGGCGCCGCCCCAGAAGCTGTATCACACCCGTCAGGCCGTGTCATCCCCCGGGAGCAGCGCCTCGCCCGCGACGGGCAAGCCCTGGCAGGCGCCGCGTTCCCCCACCCACACCCCTAAGAGCCCGAGTGGCTCTGGGCCGCGCAACCTGAATCAGACGTCGTACAAGGGCAAGTCGAAGAAGGGGAGGCGCCCTGGTACGGCCGACTCTGACCGGCCGCTGCTGAGCCCCAGCAACGATGACGACCAGAGGCTGTCCGCGCCGCTGTCGGACGTGTATTTGCATTATCGCCAGTCGCTCAACTCGCTCAATCACATTATCGACCAGGTGAGTTGTTGCGTGACTGAGGTTGCTGTTGCTTCTGTGAGTATGACTGACTTTTGGCACAGGACGACAAGCAGTCCCTGGCCGAGCTGCATGACTATCTGAGTGGCGATCGGAACGAGGAGCCGGACAAGTCGCCTTACTACGACGACGGCTTCGTCGCGACGTCCCCGACCTCCACGAAGGCGGAGCGCCGGCGGTCGCTGCCCTCGCGCATGTCCATGGCTTCCGTGACGTCCGAATGGAGTCTCATGCTCTCGCCTCCGCCGGAGGAGTCGACGTTCCAGGCTCGCCGACGGCGGGCTGCGAAGCTGACACAGTTCTTTGGTGTCAACTACCGCGACCTCATGATTGAGATCTTGGACAGCATAGAGAAGGGTCTTGAGGAGGAGCGCGGCAAGGGCACACTCAAGCCAGATGAGATCCAGGTACGTGCATATGCGTGACATTCTCAGGAGCATTGTGCTAAGACCAAAAACACAGGATCTCATGCGCAAGCTGGTCAAACTCAAGACAAAGCGCCACAATTTCTCCTAAAAATATGACATCTGACGTCGCGATCTATCTAGCATGAGGTGTTTTTTGGGTTTCACACAGGTTATACGTCTACCCTAGAGTCACCTTAATCGCTTGCATACCCGCGCTGCGCGCACTCTCATGATCTGTCCCATTTTTGTACATCATAGCTGGGCATACAATCCACTCCTGTGTATATATACAGTTATCCAGTCCTATAGAATGACAAGATCACCCTGACAGCAGTGGCACCAGAATATGTGGGAATCGTCCATGAACTGCAGCTTCTTGGTGAGCCAAGGCGAGTCCAGCGAGGAGGATGGTTCAGCGACAGTGGGGAATGCAGAAGTCTTGGAGGCCGGAGACGAGCCCTTGGGGAATGACCGCGTTGTTGCACTAGATGCTGCCACCTCGCTGTCGATACGAGCCTTCAGCATACTCAAGCTGACACGCCGCTTGTGCAACGCTTCAGAGGATAGACCCTCAAATGTTGACGATATCGGCGTTGCAAGGTGAGAAGGCTTATGTGACGCGAAAGATGCCCGCCGCAACTCGTCGGAGTAGTCGACTGGGCGACTGGAAGGGCGATGAGGCACAGGGGACCGTTGCGACGTCCTGGATGAGGAGCGGACATGCACAAGCTGGTCCTCCAGGGCGGTGATCTGCCTCTGCAACGCGTGGGCATTCGCTTCGGCCTCAAATACGGACGTCTCCAAGGTGCGAATATGAGACTGGGCGGCTGACAGTTCGAGGATATGCTGTTGCTTGAGCGCGCTGAGCATCTCCTCGTCCAGAGAGTGCTGTCCAGGACTGGTAGGCGTAGATGCTGCAACCCGAAGGCGCTCGAGTTCGTCGTTCTTCGCCGCCAGCTCTGCACGGAGCGCTTCCGTTTCGCCTTGAGCTCGCTCCAGGAACTCCCGCACTTCGCTCTCGTCCCGTTCGCGCTCCTCGAGCTCATGGCGAAGAGAAGAGAGCTGGTCCATGTGCGATTCCAAGGTGGACGTCAGGCGGTTGACTTCTGCGAAATGATGGTCTGCCATTTCGTGGTAGTTGGTGCGTTCAGCCTCCAGCTCTTGGATGAGCTTCCGCGTCTCCTCAAGCTCATGTTGCAACTGAGTATATGCCTGCTGCAGTTCTGAGGAGTTCTGATTGGAGAACGCCCGCTCCTTCTCCAGAGTAGCAGCAACCTCATCACATTCTTTGCGAACGTGGTCCTGCTCACTTCGCAGCTCCTCCACAGTGGACTCCAGCTGTGCGATGATTGAGTCACGGTTCTGCAAAGCGCCCTCCAGGCCGTCGACCCGCTCGGCAAGGTTAACCTTTTCATCTGTCAGCTCGATGACTTTGTTCCGCATCTCGTCGAGAGAACGCATCAGCCCAACTCCCTCGCCGCGCAGCTCATTCTGCGTGCGCTCGGCTTCTTCAGCACGCTTGTTCGCGCCTCTGAGCTCAGCTTGTGTTTGCTGAAGCTGACGGGCACTGTTCGCTAACTGAGCAGCGACATCGACGAGCTTGCGCTCCAGTTCTGCGGCAGCGCTTTCTTTGCCTGAGATGTTTGACTGCAGCGCTAGCTTATCTTGCAGCAGAGCATCTCGTTCCGCACTGGTGGTAGAAAGTTGCTCCTCGGCCGTAGCATGCTTTCTCTCAATTTCTGCGTAGCGGTTCTTCCAGACCGCCTCGGCTTCTGCTCCTCGTTGCAGTCGAGTATCTAGTTCCTCACGCTCGGCTTTAAGCGCGTTATGGGCCTAGTACATCATTGTTAGCCAGAGACACGTCATAGAACAAGCAGCATTACCTGCTGCAGCTTAGACAGTTGGAACTCAAGCTCATCGGCCCGATTCTGAGTATTTTGGAGCGTGGCCTCCAGCCTCTCGGCGCGGTCGTCGCTTTGGATTTGTTCATCCAATTCGCGCACTCTTCGCTCCGCTTGTTCTGCTTGAGAGCGAAGATCATTGACCGTGCCGTTGAGAAGTTGCAACTCTCGTTCCTGTCATTTTATTAGACCACCTGAGAATGAGGACGCGAACGGCCATCAGCCAACTTACCTGATCTCGACACTTATCTGTGAGGTCTGCTTCGGATGCCGCCAGAGCACTGATCTTCGCGGAGTACTGCTCATTCGCTTCTTGAAGTCGAGACATGGCCTCCTCCAGCTTCGCGACACGACCTTTTTCAATATCGAGGAGACGCTCCATCTCCTGCGATCCTGTCAGATGCATGTCAGCGTCGCCCGCAGCATGACAAGAGGATGTACGCACTGTTTTGAGCACCCTCAAGCTCCTGTAGTGACGACGTCAAGGAAGACTTCTCAGACACTAGAAGAGATATTGTCTGTTGTTGTTCCCCAAGATGGCTGGAATTATCTTCGATGGTGCTCTCCAGGTCTTGTATGCGCCTGCGCAAAGATGATGTCTCTTGACGCTCAGCCTGGAGGTCATTCTGGGCCGCGCGAAGCTCTGGCAGACACTCAGTGAAATGCCGCCAGTTAAGCGTGCGTACAAGACGTACGAGACACTTTTGTGTTCAATTCTTCCAGTGCACTTGCCAAGTGTGCCTTCTCGGATTCAAGAGAACGAATGGCGGCATCCTGGTGACGAACCTTGTTTCGGAGAGCATCCACATCCTGTTCAGACTTTTGGGCGCGTTTCTCAAGATCCGTGGACTTCTGCTGCTCCTTGCGTAGCCGGTCGTTGGTCTCTTGCACCTCTGTAGTACCCATTCAACACCGGCAGCAACATGACACAGGGACAAACATACTAAACTCTACATGCCCCAGTTTCTCGGCCGCTATAGTGAGGGATGCCTTCTCAGCCTCTAGAGAGGCTATAGCGCGCTGTTGATCCTGAATCTGGGCTTGTAAGTTTGCGACCTGTACAGTCGAGGGAGGACTGGGCACAGGCGAAGCTGTTTTCCCTGTTGAAGGTGTTGAAGGAGCAGCTTGTTGAGGTGGAGAACCTGGGCCTTGTGCAGGGCCGCCTTCGACTCGTGTCAACGAGGACAACCAATCTGAGCTATTTGGAGGCGCTCCTCTGATCTGGGAATTCGCAAATCTAGAAGCAACACAGCATAGTGTTCAATAATACACCGCATATATGTGTGACATGACTATGTACCTACAGGTCGCCTGAATCCCGTCCGTTCTCGTCTTCATGCTGAGCTAAGGTAGCCTCAGATGGTGCGGGTGAGGCTGTCCGCACTGGGTGTTGTCCATGCTTGTCCTCTGGTGCCTCAGACCGTGCTGGTGAAAAGGGCCGAGACGGAGGCAATCCAGGTGACGACGCCGTCGGGCTGGCAGCAGTCGCAGCCCCCAAGTGGTGCTGCTGCCGCCTCTTCAACTATTGTACAGCAAGGTCAAAGTATTTGTATGAGTTCCTTCACACGTTCTTAAGGGATGGCTAGTCGTTACAGACCATTGCACGCGCGCGAGCAGCCTTAGCGGCGCGCTCGTCATCAGCCATAGTTGTTACAAGTCAGTTGCACTGTGAATGAGACTGGCGAGAGTCGCAACACAGATACAGAGCAGATTCCACAGTGAACAAGGCGTACGACAGCGAGTACGTCGTACCGACCGTAGTAGCCGTTGCACAGAACATGTCGGACGCGTTGCAGACACGTCTCCAGATGCACCCACGTGACAGGCGTCGTTTCTCCCGCCTTCAATAGGCCGAACAAGGTTCATAATAATAATAGGCTAGTAGCAAGTTGCTCGAGGATCTTTCGCATGATTGTCGCAAATGTCGGCTGCGCTGCTTTGAAGCTTAAAGAGACGAGGGTACACTTAAACAAATTGCATGCGACTATAGGAGTATATTTCTGTATTCTGCCGTTTTATAGGTCAGGGTGAAGGATAGTGAGAAGCAGAGGACCAGACGAGAAGCAGCAATCACAGGGAAAAGTCAGGGAATCGTACGGATAAGCACATGGTGGTAACAAGAAAAAATAAACATTCCGTATAAGGTGAGACCAGCGCGGGTGATTCAGCACGTAACGACAGACTCTAGGCACCCTCTCGAGCGCAGGTGAGAAGAGGAATCGCCCACATAAGAAAACAGTTGTGAATTTACTCAGAAGGATACCAGAATCCAAAGACGTGCCAGGGAGCGAATGGTATCGAGAATGGTGCGAGTGTTCCGTGTTGAAGAGACGAAATCATGCCCAAACCTGTAAATGGCGATCATGAGTAATATAGTAGATTGATCCTGGCGATGAACACTTACCCTCAGCGTGCTGTCCCAACTACCCGTGCAGAGCGCCATGCCGTCCGCGCTCACACCCAAGCAGCTCACCCGGTTCTCATGGCCGGTAAGAACGCCCACTCGTTCGCCCTTGAGAGTATCCCAGACATTACAGGTCCAATCGTCGTAACCACCGAAAAGGATACGACCAGAGATGGAGAATGCAACGGAGGTGATACCGCAGAGAATGTTGTCATGGGTGAAGGAATTGAGCTCGCGGTCAGCCCGGATATCGAAAAGGCGACACGAGGCGTCATCAGAGCCGGTGGCAAACGCATCACCATTAGGGAAGAAGCTATGTCCAACGTCAATACACATGGCTCAAGCGAGACACGGAATATACGCACTTCACGGCGTTGATATCCGACTCGTGACCAGTGAATGTCTGCGAAGCCTTGCCGCTACGGATATCCCAAAGCTTCGCCGAAGCGTCACATGCACCCGACACGAAAACGTTCTGGCTCGGACCGAGCGACAAGCTGAAGTAGATGTTAGCGGGTTAAAGTATCAAACTAGATCTGATCCTGACCTCATAACATCTCCAGTGTGGTCGCTGAACTCAACCACCCGCACGCCAGCCTCGATGTCCCATAACATGCAGGTCATGTCACCGGAGCTGGTGACGATTTGGCGGTCATTGAGGAAGCGGCAGCAGCTCAGATAACCTGAGTGTGCGCTCAATTCGCGGGCGCCCTTGACATTGTTACCCTCTTTAGAATGGAGATTGTAGATGGAGCAAATGTTGTCGAGACCACCGCAAGCCACGTAGTTGCCGGACGGCGAGTATGCGCAGGTCATGACCCAACTTGACCTAAGCGGAATGGCGTGCACCTTGTTGGTCGTGTATGCGTCCCAAACAATCAGCTTCCCATCCTGCGAGGCTGACACTAGGTGTCTGCGATCCGTAGCCCAGTGCATGGCATATATCTTGGCAAGGTGACCGCGCAGAGCGCGACGTGGGCGCATCACGATCCGAGGCAGTGCGGCAACCTCAGCTGCCATTGCACGAACTGTGTTCGCACGGAGCGTCAGATCAATGTGTATGTCGGCTTACTGCATGAGTACGACACGCACGACTAGTATCAGCAGAGGACTCCCTCCGAGCACGGATTTTCTCCCTCAGACTTTCTGCCTCACGCCGGGCAGCAGCAATGCGCTCCTGGATATCTCCTTGTGGTGATTGTGCCATCTTACTTGGACGTCTGTTACAGGAGTGTCACAAGCGTTTTACGACCACCGACCTGAAATGAGAGGTAAGCCAGTGAGCCTGAGTACAACGTGATTCACTATGGCTAGGACCCACTCACCGTTCGGGGCAGCAGACAGAGGGGAAGGAGGAAGAATCTGAAATTGATGGGGGGCTTACGTGGGAAGGCCGACAGACGCGCTCTGGCGCTGACGAGGCGACGACTGCCACGTACAATGCAAGATGAATGGGGACGAGGGAAATGCGCTCCGCGAGGAGGATCGCCGGTGGTGGTGAGGAATGGGAAGACGAGGGGGAGAAGATGGCGACGGTCACCCTGCCCTGGCACCGCTGATGCCCTCGTCTCATTCCACATCCAGCGGGCACCGCCGATTCCGGCCATATTTCCCACGGCGTCCGGCTGCATGCTTGGGTCCTAGCCCCGGCTGGCCCAGTTCCTGTCGTTCCCGCTGCTACACTGCTTATTTCCCGTTCGCCACAGGATGCAAAAGACGTATATTCATCTTGCGATAGCTACCTAATATCAAGCAATGTGTTATGCATCACATCCGTATCCTGAACCTAGGCTAGCTTAATGTGCACCATTTGAGTTCAGGATTGTCTAGCTTTAAGCAATCGCACAACGCCACCCCCCTGCATGATCTCGACCCATCGACTCTGCCCTAGATTATCTTCTCTGTTATAGCATGAAAATGGGCGTTTTTGAAGCGGCCCAGCCCGTGTTGCGGAGTAAGCTCAAGACGATCCGATAAATCGGAATATTTTCAGTGTACCATGTCTGTCGTTCCCCCACAAACTATGGCGGTGAGTTTTACTTGCACGAGTCAATATGAGCTAGTAAGCTGAATCATTTGCCGATTTACAATCCAGTTGACGGAGATACAAGCACGCTGCCCCCCTCTCCCCACCGAAGTTAGAACTGGTCGAACGCGTTTGAGTCGTTAATGATACAAACGTCACCGCCAGCGAAATGTACCGCTGGCTTTTTCGAGGTCAGTCACACCACAAGGACAGCCATACAGTCTCCTATGCGCCCTTGTTCCCCGCAGCGGTAGCAGACTCCCGCCCATCTGCATCGCCTGTTTCGATCAACTCGAGGCGGCGGAAGGTATGGTGCGCTCACGGAATTTGTAACACCGCTGAGCAGTGTGGTAGCTAATTCCAGACCTGGATACGGAGGTACATTGTATTACCTCCTACCGTGATTCAGCAATCAAGTGGTATGTAGGCCTGCTTTCGCAGATCCCTGTTTCTCAATTACAATTGGCACAATTAATTTCTCGAACGGCGGTAGCTTCCGTCCCAATTACGCGGCGACCATTTGTCATTCCTCGCCTCGAGGCTGCCACTGAACGGTAACGAAGGTTCTGCGGTCAATGTCGCTGAAGGGCGTCCATCATGTATCTTCCTGTCGGCCTTCAGTTCCGCTGATTGCTCCGTGCGGGCCGCAGTTTGCGCGCGGCGCATGCCTGCACAGATCGAGGACTTTGGCCTTTCCCATGCTGCCAAGGAGCATTTGGGGTGAAGAGGCATCTCACCAAGTTTTGAAACGGCTGTGCTGATCGGTCGAACATGGAATGCTATACGATAAAACGTTCTCGATGATGATGCCGTCAGTGCCGCCTTGAGTGTGTGGCATCTTGCCGTCAAGTCACCGCCGCCAATGGCGAACTAGCTCGCAGCCCTGTGCAGGTCGCTGCCAATCGCCATTTGGATCTAGGGCTTCCTCTCGCGGGAGCTCCCCGATTAATCTACGTGACGCTGATTGTGTCCGGACTGGAGTCACAGGACCAGGTCCCTGCGTCAAAGACAAATATGGTAGGGTTCTGCACTTCTGGTTTGCGTTTGACCGCAGATTACCCATGTTAGAAAGAGTCAGGTCTTACGGCTCACCACGAAGGCGAAGCTGTTGTCCTTGTGAAGTCCTTGTTCATACTTCTGCGCTCATGGCGACGATGCGCAGAATTTGAAGACAGAACATTGACTACCGTGTGATTGGGGGCGTCGGTGAGTCTCATAACAAATGGGTGAGTGGGTTTCAACCGCCTTCTTCTGGTTGGCCGCTTACTACTAAGCACCATTTAAGCCACTGTTTTCCATTATCCCCGTCCGGAGCACCGGTTTGCAATAACTAGGCATTGGAATCACCAAATTCCACGTGGGGCTGTTTAGTGTTTCAGCCAGACCCTGTATCTTCGAACACTTCCCTTGCAACACGGGGCCGACCACTATGGAGCGCCCCCAGATATATGAATTTTCGAGCGCCCGAAAGCTGACCACTCTGTGCGATGGATAGACACTCCTTGAAATATATAGAGTAGTCCCACAATGTGCTCTGTTATGCTGGGAGACATTGTCGATTTCATATTTTCCCCATAACTACATTGAATGGATATAACCGACACTTCTTTCAGCTCATACATTTCATACATCAGTGGTGAGTACTACCTGCCGCCACGTTTCCTCTGATGATAGTAACTAGAACGAGCTCGTTTTTCAATGATTTGTGACGTTGCTGACTGATTGTCCCCCGAGATGGGTGTCCGGCGGTGGAATCGGTCGTGTGAGCGAGCGATCTCAATGCAGGGTGAGTTCTGCGTTCACCATGTGTTTTCGATGGATATCATGGCAGTACAATACCAGATCTAATAATCTGTGGCGTTAGGCTATGGTCGATATCATGGACGTGTGCCAGACTTCCCGAGGCTTGTTCAGGTTTCAGATATCCCGATGCGAGATACCTGAATGGTCTTCGTGCTAATTTCGGGCGCACAGCATGATAGCGATAGGGGATCTGTGTGCGTAAGTGTTGAGGCTCCGTCGCTGAGCACAGCTGAGATGATTGCTCAGCGAATTCCTGCGGATATCAGGCAAACGATAGATTCCTATAACGGGCGAGAACCCGGCCAAAATGCGTGCCGCACTCGGAGATGCCGTGTGTCTCGATGGCGAGCCGATCGGCCAGGTCTGCGACCCATGTGGCCCTTATTTTCCGTGCATATCTGGGAGATACCGGGTAGAGGTGAACCAATTCGACGACTTACACGTGAGCAGTTATGCTTCTTCATCTGCTTTTATATTCGCGCGGGAGCGTCCGCAGTGTTGTGCTGCTTTACGTAAAGGGATGCTGAGTGAGGCCGCCCTTAGCTACTTTGATTCTGATCCGCCTGCAGGATAATTCTTGACACGGGGAAGTGTTGGTACCGATTCAGCAAGATCATGCTCAGCATTTGGTCCACGCACTAGCCATGCTTTATCCACACTCTCTGATCATACTCATCGACCAGTGCAGGGGACGAGAGCAATGAAGCCTATTAGTTGACAAGAGCTATTTCCTGATTGCCTGCTCTTCGTGACTATAGTAATGATACCTCTCACCGGGCTAGCTTGCTGGAACCAGCAGATGTCGAGCATGCAGAAGCTTGATACTGCTCACTATCCGTCACTTTGTCAACCACAGCGCCACAGAGGCTTGTGCTCTGGATATAGACATGGGCGCACCAGGTCGTCCGCTAGCACGCCTTCACATGACATCATGATCTCTTGAGGATTTCATGACTCTAACTCCGACTTCGACGTCGAGGCACACCCATGCTCTTACATCTCAAGGCATTCGCTCTCGTCATCGCCTGTACGTCGCATGCAGGGTCTTGTCGCTTTCATCACATAGGAGGGTCGCATTTAGTGCGTCTGTTACTCGTTTTGTCCGTATGGAACGCTCACGACGAGGCTCCAGGCTCCTATTGGCGACCAGCACTGTAACTCATGTTTCCTGGTCCCTCGCGCTGCCGCCACTTCATGCCATCCGATCGTCAAAAATGGCTCTTTGTCGCTCGCAACACAGCCCCTCGACCTGCAGGTCATGAGTGCCGCTCTGTTGTTCGGCGCGCGGTATGTTATATCACCCTTGCCCGACGAAACGTTTCAAGGTCGAGTGGCTACAGACATTGAGTCCATGGGCCACGGGGAATGCCGTGAGTGAGGATATATATCCCGGTCTATTCTCCACTGCTCTGCAAGAATCAGTATGTCTCTCAACGGTGAGTGGCCCGTGCTTCCTCTTTGTAAATGACTCATATTTCTTCTTTGTAGATGGTACCGTCGCACTTAACAACCGTACGTCGGGTTCAAGACTATTGATACGCGCCTGGTGTTAATTCCCCTGGCCACAGTCCTTCAGCAAAAGAACCAGCTGACTCTTCTCAGCTGGGAGGAGTCACGCTCGGGGCCTCACCACGCCCCTCTGTGGACTTCTATCTGTAAGAGTGAGTTGTCTTGCATTTTTGAATGAAAGTGAGCGCCGACTATGGTATCGTGCAGTCAATGGTCAAGAAATAGCTCGCGGAACTGGGGCTGCGAAGTACCTGGCAAGAGACATGGCAGCGAAGGCCGCACATGAGTATCTGACTCAAGCCGCGGCTGGGCAGTGAACGATTATTTCATGATCATTATCGCGCTCTCAAGGACGTCCGCTATCCCACAGTCTTTCGATCACATCTCCTTCGACTGAGTTCCTGAAATATTTCTTGTATTTGCCTTCCGCGTCTTGTACATCAGTATGACTCGGCTCTCATCTTTTATCTATTGGTCGACGCTGGAAACAATCGTGCACGACCTTCAGCATTCATATATCAACCGGCAACTTGATAATATGCGCCCATTGGGCGAGAATATCTCGCGAAGCGTTTCGTGATACTCGGGCCCACTAGGCAAGTTGAATTGAGAATTACTCGCGGGAGGTAGAAAGTCGATGTGGCTTGGGCCGCAACCCTTATGTGCGCTTATGTGCACCTTGAGATTTGTCGCCGATTTGTCGCAAAATGTTACCAAGCATGGTGTACAGCGTCAGTCGAATTGCGCCAAAGTACACGGCAGCGACACGAGTCTCGAGAAAGCCCTTAGTGTGTAATATGGGTATGCTTGTTTCCCTCCAATTACCGCGGCAAGGACGAAACAGATATACGGTCATGCGCTGGAGCTGACGCTCGGGAATAAGATAAATACTCGCGACCAGTATTCGAGCACTAAAACGCACGCCCGGGGCGCGCTCAGCCACGTGGCTCGTACGCGCACACTTGAAGTCTGGTTGTGACTGAGGGTTGCTATTGTCCATTGTGGACATCCGCGAGGTTCTGCAACTACACAACTTGTTTCAGTAGTACGCCCGTCGGTATCTATGTCTTGCGCGCCGAACCTGCAAAGACGCACCTCGGTCCCTTCGTTTACCCGGTCAATTCTATAAGCACATTCAAATTCTTTGCTAGGCAGACTGCGCTGACGGCCTATCTTTATCCATCCGAGCCGTGATTATCGCGGAAAGTATAAGTTACAAATTGATAAGTTGCAAATACTTTGTCCTTTGATCTGAGCAGTCCTCCGGTGTGATAGCCACTGAAAGCGGGACGTCAAAGACGAATTTGTTCCGTGAAACCATTGTTCTTCGCACCCCTTAGTGATCCTTTCGTGGTGCCGATTGCCTGCAAGGTGCGCCTACTTCTTCCTTTCCCCCGAGGAACATTAATCGGCCTTCCAACAGGTTGCCGCGGAGCATCTGGTCCCGAAAGTCCAACGCCAAAGCGGGTTCTCATGCTACCAACTGGCTCATTCTGATCCGCGTCTTCGACTCCGCTTTCATTTTGTCACAAGCAAGGAGCACTTCGCGATCTCAATTGTAATGATAACACAAGTGCCATCTCAGATATGTATGTTCTTTGACTGTCTAAACGCCTTCAGATATTGATTTTCGACGCCCAATCTTCAACCTAGGAAATCAGCACATGTAGGGAATGCGCCTTGACACTTGACCCCGTCATATCGCGCGCTGTATTACATTCACGCCCAAGGCAACACATCAATCAAGTCGTCATTCCCATCGCTGATGATATCTTGCCAGCGGCATATCTCGCAGAGAAATCCTCACAACACTGAGATAGAGAGTTGCTTCGGCTTCCTATTCGGAGAGCTATTCACAATTGACGACTCGAGGTTCGATGCCTCAGGTGCCGATTGTTCACTTTGAATTCCAAAACATATTTAACCGCTCTCCTTGCATTTTAGAACTGCCTCTTCAGATTTGTTTCGTGATCAAGGGCCCCCTGACATCGGCGGTTGCATCGCCGTATGTGTCCTTAGGATCAACTGCGACGCCCAACAGTTTGATCTAAGCGTCGACGTACTATGGGTTTGCGCCGCCCACGAGCGCTTCAAAGCGTCATCGTTGTTTCCCAAGTCATGCAGTTTAACAGCCCTCGGGTCGGTGCGTACCGCGTCTCCATGCCGTCTGTCCCGTATGTCCTCAAAGCCGCCAAAAATAATAGTGTCCGGAGAAGGTGAGCACTACAACTTGTCAACGCACGGTATGATGCGGGAGAGCCTTCTCGGTGTCCTTTCTTTATATTGCAGATGTCCGGCAATTGTAGTCAGCGTGGCACTTTCAAGCGCTTTGCCCTTACAACGCCTCGCTGATGAAAGCTCGGGGAATGGCCATGCTATACAGCCCGACCTAGCAGTGCCGGTTACATCCCTTGTGCCGCGACTTGCACGACGAGGAGCAGTCCGGGCTCCGGTGTAAAACCCGTACAAGACCGCAGGACGGCTGTATATAATGCAGGCCATACCTAACGGTCCTCATCGTCCGAAGCTCCTCCAGATTCATACACATCGACTCACTTCACTCACCGATATCAACGCCTCAGAACCACTATCATGTCTTGTATGTTCTTTAAAACCTTCTCTGAGGATTGTATGTCACTTATAGACATTTTTCGTAGCCTATGTCATCAAAATGAACAACTGTCGGGATAACCTCTTTGTTGCTTGACGCACAGTTGAATACTCACATCCCACTTAGACTTGCAGAAGAATGGAAAGCATGCCTTGCTGAGTTGGGTGGAGTCTTCGTCTGGCCCGGCCAATGCCCTGGAATGGACTGTGACTTGCAAATGTTAGTCGGTTGATTTTTTTTGTATAGCTACCACTGCTGACAGAGATATTGCAGATGACGGACGCATCTACGGCACTGGTGTCGCTCGCTCCAAAGGTGAAGCAAAGGAAATTGCTGCACGTCAAGCTCTCCAGGCCCTCGGAGGGCATTAGCGACTGAATATAAAGGCTACAACAATTACATACAGTATAATTCTCACATAAGCCATACTACAGTAACTTTCTAGGCGGGTACTGCGTGCTCGCTCTACCAATATGTTGTTGTCCGCTGCTGCTCTACCGTATTACTTAGTACTTTTCTCAGACGACAAATCTCATCATTTATCCCATCAACCGATCGATCGGGTTACACCCGTGACGGCGCCTATGACTATTCCGCCAACAAACACTCGCACTGAGTACAACACGTTCGAGAGGCGATGTTGCGCCGGTTTGCGCCTTTCGTTGTTGCGGGAGTCACAGGTGAGACACAGCGACGTTGATCGCAATAGCATAGCATCTTGAGCCCCACTTTCGCAGGAATTGTATCCGGAATCTACATTTTCCAGCCACTGCTGGAGAAGGAAGCGACTGAGTCGAAAACGTCAGTAGCCTCAAGACCATATTATAGACTGATGCTGATATTATGACCAATCAATGCTGTCTATAGCACCACAGATTCAGTACGCCATGCACCCGAACCAAGCGTGACCGAAAAGCACAGTGCGGCGGAGGGCTCATCAACGCCTTCCCAGCCTGTCAACCAACCTGCCGCGAATGTATAGGACTGCAGTACAAACGGATCGCAACTCGCGTCCTATTTTCGCTTCGTGCGAAGTGTCCGTGCACATATGGGTGCTGTCACATCTCAATAGTATTCGCCGTACGAGACCCCTTGTGCCAAAAGCATAGTAATCCTCATGGACAGCAGTTTGTCATCGGAGTTTAGATCTTAGGTACAGCCGAGTATTGAAGACAGGTCTCGGGGGAACGCATCACCGCAACTATCACAACTCGATCGAGATATGACGGGCACCATCATCTATCCACGTTCATTGCCGAACCGTAACGACCATCTCCATTATGGTAGCTTTGAGGCTCTGTCCTTCGCTCCCAGATCTATGCCAAATGAGCGTCAGAGCCAGTAGACAAGATCGGGGAATGCGGAGCCATCTCACTTGCAGCACGGTTTCTCCCAGGAAAATCATCTCCTTTCGGATCTCCTCCACGATGAGATCTTGGATCAAGAACCACTTCTCGTTCTCGCCGCCACCAGCGCCTGCACGGAGATGCGCCTTCCACACTGTACTCTCCTTGTCTCGGGTAGTGCCGGCCGCCGACTCATGGGTCACATTGGCCACAAGGTCATACAAGGTAGAAGGGTGAGATTGTGAGACATCGAGATCTGTCGTGGAGGTACGTCGAAACGCGCTAAGCACATTATATGGGAATAAATATTGTAAAACCTCACAGTCTCGGAAGTCAAGCCCTCGGAGAGGAAAGTTGACAATAGTGGGATTTTTCTCTTCGGAAAACTGGTTTCTGGTGAAACGCTTGAAGTGAAGAATGATGTACGGAGGCAGTTGTTGACACTTGAAGCGCCGCAGCTGACCAGCTGATTCCTGCGCGCGATCATTCATTCATGAAACGGGAGTGATGGGTGGAGCGCTCCACACACCTGAGTTGTGCGACCATCGTACTTAGTCAGTACTGAATGTATACCGACCTGCGGAATGATGTTCTTCTCAACAGCATCCTGGAATAGTGGCGGTGGTGGTAGATCCACAGCAAGGAACAAGAAGGGAGATACAGTCGATTTGATCTCTGACAGGTCCAATCTCGTACAGATAAACTAAGCATCAGGAGAATAAGGCACATACCGCGATCAATATCAAATCTAGGCTTCTCATTTCCTCCAAGATCGGGACGGACAACAACTTGTTGAGTTTCCATCCGGACTTGACCCTGGAACGTTGAGTAGATGACGCCTTCTTGACAATCAGCCCACCGAAGTGCCACTTTCGGAATAGTACGTACTAGAGTTTCTCTTCTTCGTTCCTCCCATGTCCTTGTGGAGACGGTTCAGCAGCCAGCCCAGGAACTCCACCGGGTCGCCTTGTCTTTCTAGACTGAACTTACCCGCACTCGCTCTTCCTACTTCTTGCAGGAACTCGTGCGGACTGACTTGGCTCTTGAATAATCTAGGGTTCCAGATTTTTTTCGCGAGAGTAGCGAAGCGTTTCAATAGTTCCGGTTCTTTGCCGCGGAAACTCGAAAGCAGCAAATGATCTCGGAGTGGTGGAACGTGTAGAAGAGAGTGAATGATGACATTCATGTAGTCATTGCGCTTGATGTCGTTCAACCCAATGTATCCAGGGATATATGGTTTTGAGGAAAGGTCATACGATGGTTTCTGTGTGTGAGACGGTGACGAAAGACCCTCGATCGACGCTCGGTTGAAAGACGGTCCCAAAACGAACGCGATGTCCTCCAAGGATGGGTCTGAAACGAGGTATCCATCTGGTAGGACGTATACCTATCAAAAGTTCAGCTGGTGCCATAACTTTCAGATTGTGAGGGACGCACTTTCGTTGTCTCGAGATTAATGAACACATGGTGGTCATCGTGTATTGAATGAGCATACGCATACGAGTTACGACCTCGGCCTTGGAAGTACTTTCCACATACAAGGCAGCCGTAGATGTTGATATTAGATAGTGATACAGAGCACACTTTCTCAAAGTCGAAGTCAAGTACAGCTCTGTTGATCTAGGCGGGCATCAGGATGCTGGATATCAGGTTGTAGGGCTAACATACCGTATCGAGATACATGTCCGACGCGCGAGGGGCCCCCGACTTATCAGCAGTCACCTTCACGCCCTCATCTTCGTCCTCTTCGTCTGTTAAGTCCAGTTGGAGCGTTTCAGCAACATCCTTTGGCCTGTCCGTCGCAGTCTGCGCCACACCAACTGAGGATGGACCTGCGCCGTCCGTGTCTAGCCGCGCTCTTTTGGTAGGTCTATCTGCGTCTTCCGCACGAGGATTCAGTCTAGTAGGTGGTGCCTCCATCTCTTAAGCAGTGCGCGTGTTAGCGGCAGGATATGAAGGCTTATTAGAGCGCAAAATGCTAAAGCCCAAGGTGAACTCGAAAGTGACGCGCGGAAGCGCTCGGTGCCTGCTGTCACGTGGTCATTGTGCCCATCAGATCTCAGATCCCAAATTGTCCGCATTCACGTCGGTTTACAATTCCACAATTCCTCCTTGGCCCTTCGCTGCTTCCTCTCTGCTCGCTAGTCTTGATATCTCAAATTTTCTGAAGAAAGCTTACCGGACAGAAACTACATATCGCATTCAATGCTACGGTCTGGATACTCTCGTCCCCTAAGGATTCTTTGCCGACAAGTCGAAGCTGTTGCTGCTTTCTCGTCGACTGCTATCCCGTTTTCGCACCAACCTAATGCACCGCTGGATCTAGACCCTTCTTTCAGAGAGCTGCTCAAAGATGTCGAAATGTCTCTCTTGCGGCAGGCATCGCGGCATGCCACAGCGCCTAATCCGCATGCGCGAGCGCATCGCGAGCTGGAGATATACCCTCGGGATCCAGCAGAGCTCGATGTGCACTTTGGAGAAGATGACTTAGAGGCAACGGAAGACGATGTCTCTTCGGGCAAGGAAGGAAGAAAGTCTCCGGCAGCGTTCTTTGGCAGCCAGCGAATCGGTCAAGTTGTGCTACCACTCGAGCTGCAGAACACTGTGTCCCGGCTCATCGCCGGTGAGGGTTGTTGAATTGCTGGATGCATATAGGCACGCTAACACTACATTAGAATCGGACAAAAATGCGCTTCATAATGATGCTAAGCGTCTCTTCACGCATGAATCAGACAAGGATGCTGAGTGGAAGGCTTCGTACGATGTGCAATACAAATCATGGAAACAATCCTCTCGTCATGCGGAACGTGATGGGACTGCCTTTGCTTCTGTAGCGTTACCATCCCACTACGCCGCCATCGTTGCAGTACTCGATCATGTCAAGCGTCGGCTAGAACCTGACTGGACCATTGAGCGGGTCATCGACTGGGGCTCGGGCACAGGTACAGGATTATGGTACGGCAAGAACTCAGCTATTCTGGTTGATTTCCCGTCTCACTTCATACCTGTCAGGGCTTCATCGTATTCGTTCCCGAAACAAGCATACCAAGATAACTACGCCGATGCTGATGATGCGCAGCTTTCTCGATCCACGGTCTCTACGTACCTCGGTATTGACAGGCGTGAGGGCCTCGTGAACATTGGGCGGAGATTGGTTGAAGGTGATGCCTACTCACACCCCAGGACAACTGTTCATCACTGAACTGCGGTCTTAGATGTGGAACTCGGCGACATGAACATCTCATGGCGTAAATCCTTCCAAGACTCGGACAGAATCGACCCATCCCAAGGGGGCGCTACGCTAGCTCTGTCCGCGTTCATGCTCTCGTCGCTATCCCACGACCACGCAAGAAAGAATCTACTGAGAGAGATCTGGGAGAGTGGCGCCGGTGTCATAGTCAGTGCTGACATGTCGTCATGCCCGCATTGCGCTGTTTCTGACAAGTTTCAACCATGCATAGGTTTTGATTGACCACAGCTCGAGGGAAGGATTCGAGAACATAGCCGAGGCGCGGGAGTACCTCCTACATTTGGGCAGGAAGGAATTGCAAGTTCCAGCTCCGGGCAATGGAGACATTAGGGGCTCCCATGTCGTTGCTCCAGTGCGTGCCGGTCGCGTCGCTCGCACATGATACTAATAATATACTGCCAGTGTCCCCATGACGGAGCATGCCCCTTATACCACCCGGGAGCTAGCAAGCTTGTCTGCGGCTTTTCCCAACGGCTCCAGCGCCCAGCCTTCGTGCGAAAGACGAAACACTCCGGTGTCGGACACGAAGATACGGGCTACTCATACATCGTTATCCGCAGGGGTATCAGGCCCACACAGGTCAGCACCAAGGTCGGCCGTATCGGTGATGTTGGTAAGCGTGAGCAAGACAAGATGTTCCTACGCGAAACGCCCATTTCGGAATTACAACCCGTTGAGGGTGGTATGTCCGAGGGCGTATCCCCGTCCTCGGTCTCAGATCAAGACGCAAATACTGCGGCGCAAGATTCTACACAGAGCTCCGTTGAGCCCGCGGGCGCGCCTATAGACACGCACGAGGTCGAAGCCGCCCTGAGGCTGGAGGCTTATTCATGGCCACGGTTGGTCTTCCCGCCCCTGAAACGGAGCGGTCATGTCATCCTGGATGGATGTACTACCGAAGGTATGAAACGCGTCCGTTCATTTCCGCTCACTGCAATTGACTGTTGTCCGTCGCCCCTTCAGGCAAGATCATGCGTATGACCATCCCTAAGTCGCAGGGCAAGCAGCCGTATTATGATGCGCGCAAATCGGGCTGGGGGGATATCTTCCCACACGAGCCTAAGAACAAGCCTCAGGTACGATCTCTACCAACTACCAAGCGCGAAGGGAGTGCGCCCATAAAGGGCGATGATATTGGCAAACGGCGGGGAGCCTCTCCACAAGCGGCAAGTTACCACAAATTGTCCAAGGAAATTGAGGAGCAGAAACGGAGAAAGCGGAGGGTCAAACTCCGTTCTACCGAGAGTTGGGCAGAGTGAACCAATCCGGCGCTCAGTCTGGATCTTTCACATCACACACCTCCACTCATGCATTACCCCATTTAATCGAAGTGTTTGTATCTAGCAGCTGAGACACTAATGATATCACAAGTCCGAGATCTGTATGCCAGGCCCCTGTCGTGAGCTTAGTACAACACGAGTGATTGCGGTCACTGAGACACTTGATGAGCAATGCAGCCAAACAAAGCACAATGTTGCCCACCAGGTTTTTTGTTCGTGTCTTTCTTGTCCGACTGAGCTTCTGGGTCTCGTTGATTGCCTGTTGCACGCTTGACCATAGTCATGAAATATCTGATATTCCTCACGACGTCTTCCACCGGGAAATGCATCTGGGGAAGAGTAGACGCGTTATGTGGAAGTTCAAGAGTAAGTGAAGCCCTACACACTTTTGCGACGGGTGCCCGAATGGTACCGGCCTTGTCGCCCTTCCACTCACTCGTGCCTGTGAGCTTCCGGATATAGCCTGCTACATTGTCCGTTACCGTGCCGCGTCTCTCCGAAGGCATCAGACCACGAGGACCCAGCACTCGTCCGAGTTTGGGGGTGATGGCACGGATGAGTGCCGGCGTACAAAGGAACAAGCTTGCTTGATGACGGCCGTTGATGACCTTTGAGTTAAATCACCGTGAGTATGAAATCCGACCGGTCGAATCAACAGACGTACACCGTCAACCAACTCAGGTCCGCCGACAATGTCCGCCCCTGCCTGCCGGGCCTCTTCAGCTTGCTTTCCCTCAGCGAAAACCAATATGCGATCTCGGGTCTGCGTTTTGGCTTCCCGAGGCAGGCTGTAACGGCCCTTTGGAATTGTTGTGCCTTTTGTCATCGCCGTCTTAATGACAATCTCATACGTGGAATTGGGCGCGGCCACTTCCACCGACTGTCGCGCGACGAGTGTTCAGCGGAGCCTGCAACGAAGCAGAGGCGCTGTCACTCACCCGCAAGACGTTAATGGCATCCTGCAGTGTCATCCTCTCATGCTCGTAGATATTCTTGCGAGTCTTCAAGGCCCTCTTCTTGGCCTTGGCGGCTAGTTGCCTCTTCGTAAGGGCGACAACCTTCCGTTCTCTCCTCGCCAGGACAGTCTGACTGCTATGAAACTGGCGATAAGGGAGGCATCTCTGCAATGACTGAGTTAATGAATAGTACACAGCTATGAGAGTCAAGCACACCAATTGACTGAGAACAACTATGTGTGACCGGCATCGTTGTGCCAAATTAGCAAGCCCGAGAGACATGGTCGACCTGACGAGTACGAAGACAGGAATGTAAGCGCTCGTGCCATTTCGGCGCTTGCCGGAATCGCATGATGGAATTCAGCCAACCACAGTGCCCGACTGGGAACTTAGATGTAAGCTCAGCTTCAATCTACCAAGCCGCCAATGCTCTATGGATTTTTACAAAAATCGTCGAGAAGCGCATGTTTGATTTCAAGCTCGTGCATAGTCCCACTCCACCCTATCGGCATACCGATTACTTCATAAGCCTAACTGCGACCCTGGAATAGACCTCACGGTAAAGTGTATGTCGTCCATGGACGACCGCTGGCTTTTGAATAAGCCGATCATAATTGACCATACATTTTCAATTTTGGAAAGATTCAAGATGAGTGCTTCCTCACTAAAATACGAATTACTGACGCGCATGTACATCGTCTAGCTCGAGGGAGGAGCTATGAAGCTACCGCTGACTTCTGCGCCGACACCGTCGGACACGGATTTTACCTTGACAAGCCAAAATGCTTCTGTTTGCCTAGGGCATGTATGGTATCCCCAACTACACTATCGTCTCCTGTGGCCACCGCAGATTGACGTGTTTCAACGTATACGTACACTGGCAGGCTAACACAGGCACAATGTAAACAGGGCTACACGCTTATGCCCTAGAAGAGCAATGTCTACCGATCCACGTACAAGAACAGCATGAGACAGCTTCCCCATCGAATTATTATTGGCCGTGTTGCGACGACGAATCGAATGAACCAAATGATTCATTGAATATGGTAGCTACAAGTTGTCTATTGCGGATCACAAAAGCGTATGTCCGGCCTATTTATTGATAATTTACGGAGAATAAAATGAGATGCCAAAACATCCTACGCTGACTCCTTGATACTATAATAAAGTCACACATAGCCAAGTGACTAGGTGTGTTTTCTCTGCCCTATGCCACCGTCCAGTTTGTAACGCACATCAATAATCACTGCTCCAGAAGGCATGCGCTCAAACAACATCTCGCGCTCGTGGAAATATGCGCATAGCGACTCTACAAAGAACTACGCTGTAAGATGAACTGATGTTACGTCTATTGCTGTCCATTCAGGCGGATCACGGGTGAGCATATACCTGAACCGCTTCAATTAATACTGCATTCTACATAAGAATAGTGATTGGTAATGTCTATTTTCTCCAATTCTACGGTGAGCAAAGAATTTCGCGGAGCTAGTCCAGACCGCAAACAGGCAGACATGCTCCCTGAAGATGTCCCTGACATGGAAATGTGATGGTCAATGAGGAGCTGGAGCTACTCCAAGCGGCTGTTTACATTCTAGTCAACGAATTGTTGGCGATGATTGACGTTGGTTGACACTTGTGGATGATAGTCAAGCACCATCCGGCCGGCCTATCTCTTGTCGACCGGCCGTTACAAGACCAATTGATTGCCTTGACTCACTAAACTCAAGATTCATAGATGTACTCGGCCCCGTGACAAGATCGGTGTTTTTTGCTCAACCTGTAAGCGCTGGGATTCAAGCGTTCGGGCAAGTTGTGAGAAAGCCGAGTTTTGTGCTCATTCGTAACATCCGTGGATCCCGGGCCACCTTATAGAGCGAGGTACATATTGAAAATTGTCTAAAATAGACTCAGGTGGATTCAATGTGCCGGACACCTGGGGCGTCTGTTAAGCAAAAGGCTGGTCCCGGACCAGACGAGGAGCGAGCTAGAATACTACGATTGCCTTATTTGGACGCGCACCGATCACCTCGAAAAGGGTTCGACTGCTGGCTTGAGGCGGACTCTGCAGGCCCTCAATTCTCAATCGCCATGGCTGCTCTCCTCACTCTGCGCGAGGCCATTCTCCCCTTGCGCGTCGCCCAGTCATCCGTGCGCTATGCCGGTCGAAAGGAGTCCGGCGGCGATCCCAAGGTCGAGCTGATCCGCCGCGCGCTCTACCCCTCCAACATGCGCAATGGGCCCTCGCCAACGGGCACCTGGCGCCCCGACGTTGGTCGCCGCCTGCAGCGTGCGGTCCCATCTGCGCAGGCACACAACACCATTGAGCGAGCGTGGCTGCTGCACCGGCGGCACCTCCGGCGGACGCGACAGGCGGAGCTCGAGCGCAAGTTCCAGTGCATGCAGACCGCGATGGAGACCCTGCGCCAGGTAGATCCGAAGCTGTACCTTGAGGCAAACAAGGAGGAGGATCCCCGTGCGCGGAGCAAGGCCCAGGCGGAGCTCGCAAAAACTCTGAGGGTGCCCGAGAGGAAGGCTTTGGAGTCGAGAGTGCGCGGATTGTTCCCGCGAGAGCTGCGTATTCCAACCGATACGCCATCCAGGGATGGCTGGAACTACGACTGGACACCGGTCGTTCCCCGTGTATAGATGCTGTGAGTAGTATATCAGCTTCATTCTCTCCTACCAGGTATTAACGTAGAACCAGTGCTTTTGGTGACACGATACCGTGCCTGCAATATTTGAATCCCATTGCTGCTATGCTACCTTAGCAGCCAGTCTCTACATATTGCAGACCCCCCTAATACAGTGTTGCTACACGAGGACAATGCCAGATCCGCCATCAACATTCGTACAAAAACAGGAAAGATACACGACTGGACAACAAAGACGACCAACGAACTACCGGGGAGCCCATTGCCCGTTAATCTCGCGCAGCGGGGACGAGAAAGGATCAGGCGCGTGGCTATATGTGGTGTCTGTACCCCTGTTGCCGGTCTGGTTCTTGGCGACGACAGAGTTGTGCACCGACTCAAGTGCATTGGTCCACTTGTCCAACGCTGCGTACCGCTTCCGCTCCAAACTCGCCCTAGAGCATTGTGTGAGAACAAGTTTGACCCATGTAAGAAAAACACATACTTGCTGTCGAGCTCCAGTCTTTGGGCGACTTGGTCAATCCTACCCTCAACTTTGCCTTCAAGGATCAACGCAATGAGCAGATCTTCCACCTCATCTTTCTGCACGTTGAGTTGCTGTTCATAGCATGCCCCATCAACGAGGTAGAGCATATATTAGATAATGCAACCAACCTTGGCCAGGAACGCGAGCTCGAGACGGGTGTAAGGTTTGATGAGATCAATGAGATATTGCGTACGGAGACTCCGCAACAGCTCGCCGATGTATGCACGGATGAATGAGTCTGCCATGATAGTCTGCTGGTTGTCTGTACAGCATTGAGGTTCACTACTGAACAAAGACACAATGTGTCAGGACAAACCTCGCAAGATCTTCTCTGCGGCGTGAACCTCGCGCCGTTGGTATGCATCGACGAGATCCGTCATGGCTATGATTTGTGGATCGTTCTTATACCTGCGATATAGTGCTCAGATACACAACGGGACACTCATCGGGCAGTACTCACGGCTTTGTCTCTTGACTGTCGAACGGATTGACCTCGCTTCCCGTCAACATGTTCGCGAGCACGAGGTACTTAAGCACCTGGATCCGCTGAGGGGATCCTGCCTCGTCGTAGTTCCTGAAAGACTCAAAGAAGTCTTCGCTTGCGCGTTGCCATTGACCTTTGGATGTTGCGGATTAATGTGGTAATAGCCATGTCACATACACGTATGGGCACTCACGTTCACCCATCCACATCTTGCCACCGCATTCCTTGATGACGCCCATGATGCGTGGGTGTGGGATGGCAGAGCGTATTGAGTTCGAGAGGTTGTAGATTTCCTGCACAGGTAGGCGTGAGAGGACGTCATACGGGCCGGCGTGTTCCCGACCTTCAGTTTCTTGAAGTTCTTCATCTCGTTATGCATCTGAATTTCTAGCGCGTATATCTCGAGGAGCTGCGTGCCTTTTTGCGCCATGTCCTCGCCGTCTACACCGCCTGTGGATCGGTGTAGATCTCGCAGGAGCTGTCAGCCCAATGTAAGTAATGTTGACGAGTACTTATTGAGATCAGCGTGCCTTCGATAGCCGACCATATTCATTGCGGTCGAGCCAGAGCTTAGCCAGCTTGAGGTTCGTCTTCGCTGACAGCCTCTACGGATGCTAATGAGTGGCATCCCACACGCCACAATAACAGTGCAGACCTCGTTCCTCGCATCTTCAAGGGCCTTCTTGGTCGCTTCATAGAATTCCTCCAAAACGTCTACCTCCACAGGTCCACCTTTTCCACCACCAACGTAGTCCAGGATACCATTGATCGTCTTCTCGGAATAGTTTCGCGTGACCGCCGACTTTGTGTATGTTAGTAGCTCCTGGTAGGTTTTGAGCGCGTCGTTTGGTCTTCGAAGCGTAAGGTACAGCAGCTTTGTAGACTGCTTGAGCGCCTTAAATCCCCTGAAGGCAATGACGTAAACGGTGAGTATTCGCGGAAGAAACCTGACAGGCGAGGTGCCCACCAGTCGCCTTTCTCCTCCTCTTGCTCAACGATAGCCCGGAATTCCTTCAAAGATTGTTCAGGGTTGTCCTCCTTCTTCGCTGCACGGACAATAAGCCGGCGTCAGCTGGACAGATATGATGATACACGTACACTTTGCCGTATAGTACATGTTCTCGACGTCGGCGCTTGCTGCCTCATCGCCATCCTCATCGTCTGAGTAGTCGAAGCCGTAGTCCTAAGCAAGCATCACAGAGATGTTAATTATTGCGAAACAGTCAACGCGGGGATTCCGACCTCATCGTCGCTTCCTTGCATGTACTCGGCATCATCATCATCCATTTTGGTCCTTCAGTTACGTCGCTGAGTACTCTGAGATTGTCAGCGTTCTAATGGTCGCAAGATAGTTGCTTGTTAATATTTCTACACTCACGAGTACAAGAGAAAGTCGCAGGGGCAATGTAAGGAGAAGGAAAGAGATAGTAGGAAGGCGAACGACTGTATTGCGCGTCGGACGCGTGTGGCAATAATGCAATTATAGGTCACGTGTATATAACGGTACGATCAGATCTGGGCGTCCGATACCCGATTGGTCTCGATCGAGTTCAGCAGCTTGACTCTCAGACATCTCTTTGCTTGTCTCGAGCGCGCTGTCTGCCGCTATTAGGGCTGTACAAATGTATATTATGTATAGGTATCCAAAACTTACGCGCAGAGTAAAGCTCGTAATTAATAGTAACATACTTGGTCACTGCAGTAAGAAGATTATAGATCTCAGTCACTCAATGACAATCTAATCCAGATTGTCGAATCGTCTGAGCACGCTCAAGGTTACTCGTTGCTGAGTCTTCACAGTGTTACGACATGGCTTGAACGTGCTATCACCGACGTCATGAAATAACCCGTCGCAACGCTTGACTTAAACGTCATGATGGCCTTGTGATCCGGGAGAAAGCGACACAGTGACTTTTCGCAAAAGGAGCATTAGTATGGCATAGCATTTACTGTAACATACCACACTAGAATATGTGTCTTGACTCTTCGGAACCACAGTGTCACGTGCGCGTGATTTACGCGTCTCGCCAGGACCCCGGCGAATCCCCCAAGAGCTCTGATCCCGCGCGGACCCCCCTCCGGGGGTCAGCCCATGGTCGATTTCGGGGGAACTTCACATAACCTCGCCTGATTCCGGTCAGTTTCGGGGGTAAATGGGATCTAACGTCTAAAAATTGCAAAAAAGGCGAGAAATTGCAAAAAATCGCGCGCGCGATTGTACCATTGTCACAAGGCCGTACATAGATTTAGAAGTACCGACTACTACACTGAGGCCACTGATTGACGTGGTACTAATCTCTCTACTTCGGATCTTTGTATTTGCACAAGATCATTAGACCTATAAATTCCTACTTACATGAAGTTTGGTATCGAGAACCGATAAGTAAAGTAACATAGCGACGAAGCGGTATCAAGAAGCAATCGAGTGAGACGTCACCGGTATCATCGTACCTTTCCGGCACATTTCGGCACCCGTTCCGAGGCCGGATGGACCTTATGTTCGGGGGTCGAGGATCATACCTCGCCCCGGACGCCTGGTTTCGGGGGCACCTGGCACATAACCTGACCGCCGTCCGGGCCCCGTTTCGGGGGTTTGAGATGTAAGATTTTGGCTCCAGAGGCCCCCTTTTCGGGGTTTTCGGGATCAGAGCTCTTGGGGGATTCGCCGGGGTCCTGTCTCGCCTCAGCGCTCGATCATAAGATTGGCCGTTATTATTGCTTTCTCTCCTCCTAGATCCTTGCAACCTGGTACATACCTGCCGCTCCGTAGCTAGAGCTAGAGAATCAACGACATGGAATCGCTTACACCCCAGGAACAAGGCGACGTAGAAATGATGATATCCATGATGGGCGGGGACCTCTCGCCCCAAGTCGCGCTCAACCTTCTCCGCAAGCACAATGGCAGTATTGAGAAAGCCGCGTCTGCGTTGCTAGAAGGGGACAGAGGATCGTCCAGCGACGCTATGGCCGTGTCGCCATCGCCCGCTTCTCGCCCGCCTCTCAGACAAGGCACGCCACTTCGTGAGTTTACCTTTGTGTTGCACGCCGTGCTCGGGGTTGATGAAGGCCGCCTCACATTCCAGAACCGGACAAGAATGTCATTGACCTCACCAGGGAAGACGAAGAGAACGAACTCACGCGCGCACTGCGAGCCTCTCTCCAGGACCAAGCGCCCGTCTTTGGTCCCAGCAACAGAGCTCCTGATCCAAACTGGGCAATGGTCCCTTCCAATGTAACTACTGTCCATGTACACTTTGGTGATACCTTAAATAAAACGCATCATACCCCAGGTTGAGACCGCCGTTGGCATGTCCCAGGACGACCAGTCTTTGAGCAAGGCAATCGAAGCCAGCCTGAAGTATGACCATGGGAATGATGTCTTTGAGGAAGTGCCTATGGAAGAGAGAATACGCAAGGGCGACCGGTTAGTGCGCGTGTTCATTGTCATCTCCAAAGGTTCTCAAAAAGACTTTGAAGGCCCGTTGCTCTACGTCCCACGCAAGGTTCCTTAGCCTACGCCGCACTTATTCTTCACGGTCTATTCTTCATCCCGCAAGTCAAGCATGCCCTTGCTCCCTGGCGCCCCTACAGCGACGCATCCCAAGACGCAGAAACGTCTGAAAAAATTGGCCTACCATCCAGTGGCCCAGGTGCGTCATCATACGCATTTGCATAGGTGCGACGGTCCTATTTTTGGTACAGAGCTTACAATCTGGTCCCTCATGGAAATATTTGTAAACATGGACCTCGCGCAAATGAACGAGCTCAATGCGGACAATGCAATAACAGCATTCGCAGCCGAGCACTGGAGCACACCCGTCGAGCGTCCAGGAGATGTCTCGTTCCGTGCGTTGCGATATCCTCTCTCCCAGTTTCGATTCAATGCACTCACACTATATTGCAGACTTCTATAAGGAACTGGCGTACGTCGTGGAGCCTGCGCTCGACCCCGACGACATATCCCCGTCTCATTTGGCCAGGTCTGCATACGTCCATATCTCACACCGCCCACTCACTTACACCTCGTCTAGACTTTTTCACTTCCGTTATGGAAACAGCCAGGACGACCTCAGCGCCATGCCCTTTGACCGAAGGGTAGACCTCGCCGTCGTCAGGGTCGACATCCGCGGGACTGAGGACACGAACGACCTCGTCTCGTGCCTCGCGACCGAGCTCGGGCTAGCGGACCCCGCGGGGGACCCTGCGCGCCAGCAAGCGATCCATGCGATGTCCGAGGTCGTCGCATTCCAGCTCGTGCGCGACAACGCGGCACCGCCCACGTACAGCGCTGCAAGCGGGGCCGGGCGCGTCGAGCGCACGCCATTCAGGTACCCGAAGCACGTGTATTTGGACCAGTTCATGAAAGAGAACCTTTCGCTGGCGAACCAGAAGCGCGAGAGGCAGCGCTCCCTGTATGCGGAGGTGGACGCGCTCGTCGCGAAGAAGCAATCGTTGACGCGGTTTAAGGTCGGTGTCTGAGGCCCAATGCCTGACGTACGCTCATGCGCCCTGCGTATAGGACAGGGATATCCTCGCTGACCTCCAATCCTCGCTGCATTACTATGAGGAAATCGCCGAGCATGGTGACGATCCGGAGCGCAAGTCGGCCCTGCATGAGACTTCGCTCAGGCTGCGCAAGATTCTGACGCGCATACAGAACGAGTTGCAAAGTAGGCTCCGATTCGGATTTTCTTTTGAGATCGATCTTACGACCCCATAGCTATTGAGGCCTCGATCACAGACCTCAGAAAGCAGGCCGCGAAGGCCCTCGAGTGTCCTGAATTGCAGCAACAACGAGTAAGTGGTTACGCTCCGACGTTCTTCGTCCATTTTTCGTGATGCATTTCCCTTAGTATGACCTACGTGTCGTCCTCGTTCATGACGGACTATACGGCCGTAACCATATCTACTCATACGTGAGACAGGGGGACGTCTGGTGGAAGACCGTCGATCATGTCGTGAACGAAGTAGGTCGCTCCGGCGTGGATCATGGACCTATATTGATGTGTATATTCTGCTGCACGAAGGTCCCAGAAGAAACCGTTCTTAACGACACAGCCGGCCTGCATCTTGGCGCAGGACCGTATTTCCTTATTTACAGCCGCGCGCTGCCAGAAGAGCAGGAGAATGTGCGCGTGCAGTGGGTCGAGCAACTCAAAGCGAGTGACCTTTTCACCTTGCTAGGCGTGTGCCCCTGACATTCGGTCTCCAACACTTAGAACTCGGTAAAGCACAACAACGCATTGTTCTTGTCGACGTTGCCTCCCGAAGTCGTGGCGGATCTACGCAACTCGACTTCGCCTCCATCTTCACCCTGCCCTTCGGAGTTCACCATGTCCTCCAATACTGCCGAGCCTCCGACTTCAAGAGAAGAGCCCATGGATTTAGTGGATTGAGAGGCAATCTCATTTCTTGGTACTTTGACCCTTGCGCAAGTGATTCGGCCAGGTGTTCATTCGGAAACGCCAGCTTGTCGACACAATCTTTGATTGCAAAACAAATATGGAGATATCGTGAACACGAGCAGGACGACAAAGACATATACCCAACTTATATAAGCACAAAGCCATGTACGTCCGACCGACTACTTGCTTTATTCAGCATTTCCATCCCGCCTTTGCGTTGCGTTGCGCCCTTCGTCTCTCGCTCACTTGTATCTCGGGAACAGTCTGATAGGTGGCCCAACAATAGAATCCACAAGTACTTGAGGATGGCACTTGTATGTACAGATGTTCCGGGTATGGGGGTGGGTTGTCACAAACACTCAACGGCAGACGTGTGCATAGCATACTCCGCACGGAGACACCGACCGCGGCGCGTCAGATCTCCAGACTCCAAAGGTGTCGTTCGTAGAGAACATGATTAGCGGCATATGGGCTGACATGGAGGCACATATGTCGCGAGCAAGTAGTGGACGGCGACCATCATGATGACGAACGTGCACGCCACCCGTCGCCGTCGTGCGCCGAAAGAGCTGGGAGGTAACGCACCACTGGGCATCGCCGCAGCGACCACGAACCCCCTAGATGTCCGAGATGCTTTGTGTGGCCACGTCAACGAAATTCCTGGACATCCCGAGAGCATTTGTGTGTGCACATGTGATAATGTATAAAACGGCGAGCTGCTGACTGCGCCGGACTGCAAGCCCTGTTGCAAGTATATTATACTACCAATGACATAAGGATCTCAGAACCTACGGTAGTGACAGTAAGGAACAGGCTGTGTGCATGACACACTCGTAGAACTCAGCGAGAAAACTCGAGCCCCCAGGATCATATATATCGGTCTCGTCTCATGGTGGTACGGTCATGCCACGAATATAGACCCGCAGATGGTCGATCTATCGACGAGCTACATGGGCATCGGCGGTAAGATGCTGAGATGAGCGTCGGGGTCGGCTAAGTTATCCAAATTTCACTACCTGTTCGCTGCAGCCAACGATCAACTTTTGACAAGTTAGCGCACTAAGTTCTGGGAATCCGAGACAATCAGTAGAAGTAGGTACTATCGCTAGATATCAGGCCGTCTGAAATCGGAAAGGGACAACGGACCATAAAATGTTCAGAGGGCGTCCAGACTAATATCGCAAGCATATTGTAAGGTGGAATACAGGGACAGCAATACAACGAGCAACAACCAAATATACACAGCAACGTATGACCCTTAACCTAACTTCGCCTTCTTGGCAGGTTGTGGGGTAGCTTTCTCGCTCCCCTTCCGTTTAGTCGTTGATGACCTGATGCCCGATAGCATCTCCCTGTACTTGCTCCTCACGACGACGGCTACCTGGCCGACTTCGGAATCTGCACCGTTGAAGAGTTTGGCGTTATGGATCATGAGTTCCATATCGGCCTCCCATGCCTCGATCGTGTCGTACTTGTCGGCGTCGAGTTTCTGTCGTATGGTGCGCAGGTCCCGAGCATCCCTGCGAGGGATCACATCGAAATAAGTCGGCACTCCGAGCACAATCGGGTCGACAGGTTCTCGGAAGACGAATGATCTGTAGAATGGTGATCAATCTCTTCGTCATCCGAAGGAAGCAGGCACAACTTACACGGGATCAGCAACCAACCTGTTCATGATACTTTGCAAGCTGCGTTTCTCATTCCAAGCCAGTCGCTTCTCCATCGCCTTCGCCCATTCCTTCTTCCATGCGCGCTCGAGCGCGTTACAACACTGATCAGGATACGTTGTGGGAGGATTGAAAATACGGCAGTTTTTGAAGATCAATTCGACGTCTTTGGCGAATTCCTCCATCGTCGCATACTGCCCCTCACTTAGTTTCGTTGATAGCGTCTGGAAGTCCATCGGCTCTTTTATCTCGTCGTAATATCTGGAGCGTAGACATTCAGAGGCCAAATCAGACGCATCCGACATGAGTGAGAACTTACGTCGGGCAACCGTCCAAAATAGGATCCACAGGCTTCAAGAAAATGCGGGCATCGGAAAGTTTTGTCAGAGTCTTGAGAATTTCCCTACATTTCTTTTCATTGATAGGTGTAACCTCTGCAGGCGCCTTTTTCGCCTTGGACGGTGTAGCAGTAGGAGGGGATACCTCTTTCTCCTTTCCCTTGGCTGACGGACGAGATGGTTCGGATGGGGGCTCCGGAACCGGGGTAGGCTTAGGAGCCTTCTGCTTGCTCTTGGAGGACACAGTTCCATTCCGAAGTGTTGACGGTCCACCGACACCATTCTGAGGGGCAGTAGGAGCCGCAGCAGAAGGTCCTGCTGCAGGAGGGGACGGCGTAGGCTTTTCTCTCTTCGGAGGTTTTGCTAGAGCCAGAATCTCGTCCTCCTCAGGCTCATCTGCAATCTTCTTCCGCTTGCCGATGACCAATTTCGGTACGTGTTTCTCCTTGTCCTTGCCTTTCTCGGAGTTCGTCGGGGTAATCTTCTGCTTACGTTCCTCGTCTTTCTCTCGCTCGATAGCAATCACCTCTTCCAGTAAGTCGGCTGAGCCATCATCAATGTACTCGGGAGCAGTTACAGGAGACAGAACTCTGGAGGGAGCTCGTTCCTGGACCTTCTTCCCCTTAGGTTTGGGGGCCTGTTTAGCAGGAGCAGCAGAGATATCCTGTGACGCTCCGCCGACCTTCAACTTGATAGAAGGCCGAGCAGCCACAGCTGAAGGCATGGGAGTGCTCGGGATAGGGGCCGGCGCAGGAGGAAGCGGCGTTGGCCGGACTGGCGCCGCTCTCGCAGGCGGTGCGGACGGTGGCGGAGGGGCTCGAGACTGTACAGTTCTGTCGGCGGCTTCGAGTGTCTTGTTGATGCGTACCCATTCTAAAGCCCATGGTGAGCGCCATAGCAAGGAGACCTTGTCAGAACGGTACTCACGTTTCTCGAAGAACGTTTCTAGCGCTAGCGTCTCATTGTGTGCGAAGCTACCGGGTGGATTGTACGACTTCGCGTTGCTCACCATGAGGCGGAAGTCGCCCTCGAAGTCGAAGCGATCCTTGTACTTGCCCTGTTCTAACTTGGCACTCATGGTACTGAGATCCATCGGGTGCTTGATGACGTCGAAGTAGCTGGGTGCTCATGAGATAAAAGATCACGCAAACGTTGAAAAACGTACTTGGGTGCTCGATCCCGTACTGGATCAACAGGTTGCAAGAAGATTGCCGCATGCTTGTGGGTCTGAAGCTTCTTCAGCGCATTTCGACTTGCTCGAAGATCGTTTAAGCTCATCCCACTGGATTGTGCCTTTGGAACATTCTTTTGCTGCTTCTTCTCCTTTTCCTTTTCCTTCTCCCTCTCTTTCTCCGGGATCGGACGCTTAGGTACCGGCGGTTTAGGAACCACGAACACATCGAGCTTGTCAGCTGCGGGTGTCAAAGCGCTTGGTGTCCTGACGGAGACATCCGTCTGAGAGCTACTGGGAGGCAACTTGAGCTTAGGTGGAAAGGGGGTAGAAGGTGTCCGAGTAGGGGGGACGCCACTCTTGAATGAGGGTCTGCTCTTAAGTGGAACCTTAACAGATGGAAGAGGGGGAGGAGCCTCAACCACGGGTGTCGGAGGAAGATGTATTGTGACTTTGGGAGGAGCTTCTTCCGTTCCACGAATCAAAAGGTCGGCCAATTTCAAGAGGGACCAGCGCACTTCATAGTCCGTCTCTGGTGCACTGAAAGATTTGGTAAGATTTGAACTGCGAGAAATCGGTGACAAATACTCACAGAGCGATGGGCATCAGGAACTCGCGTATAATCTCGTTCTTACCGAGCTCTCTGTCCTTCCTGAGTGCCTTGATCATCATGTCCATATCGCTCTTCTTGTTCTCCTTCGTCTTATCGGCTATCGTGCCATCCTCCTCAATGAGTACGGAGTCGTTCTCTTTGAGTGTCCTCATCTCTCCCATCGTTACCAGGAGAGCGAGACTGAGACATGCGTTCCGTGCCACATGTCTGCGGATCGTACGTGACGGATCACCTGACATGACAGCGAGGACGTAACGCATGATCTTCGGTGTGTACCACTTGGTGAAGAAGAGGTAGTCAAAGGCGGCCATACGAACTTGAGTGTAGTTGCCCTCTCTGTTGTGCAGAAGTTAATAATGACGCACAGCTATTTTCATAGGAGGCACATACCGAGTGAGCGGGAAGAACAGCCGAGGGTCGTGAGGAACGAGGTTAGCAACGCTAAGCATAAGGTGAAACTGAAGGCATGCATAAGCCCCACTGAACCACGCGAGTCTATGAATTACTAACCTCGATAACCGCCACGGTCACGACATTGTGATACGTTGGGATCAGCCTGTCCATACTGCGGTATCTGTCGACTTCGGCCAATGCTTGTTTGAGAAGATCGGCATCTTGGACATCTTGAACAGGCTGTGAATCTGTCGCGGTGAATTCGCCGCGCTCAGGCGGAACAGTGGAGATGGTCGCGCATGCGAGCGCAGAGATTATAGAGCAAATATAGAATGCGTCCGAATACTGCAACGAGCGATTGAGTGAGAGATGCCCTTAAATGAAGATAGGACTCACAGGATTAGTGGTGTTGTCGTTATAGCGGAGCTGATCCACTAGGAACTGTCGGATGACAGACGGGGTCTTGCCATTGTCGAAGCGAACGCGAGCGATCGCACGGAGTAGACTCTGCAGTGGCGGACGTTTATTACTTGTCAGCGGTGCAGTACTAGCACATCATACCTTGCGAACGAAGTACTCCGCAAGGTCGCTGAACTCGTTTGGTCTTGGTACATATGTGTGGCTGAACAAGTCTTGACGCGGATCTTCGGGTTCATAACAGTAACGGAGGAACAGCTTGAATAGGTGAAATAGCCCTAGCCATTCCAGCCGTTGGATTGCACACTGGAGGAAGGGAACAACAAAGTCAATAGCGATTGAGACGCAACACAACGAGATTGGCCTACAGTCACCAGGGCTTGTGCTGCCTCACAGCGGATCCGGAAATAGTAGTTCGATACCAGCACCGTCTTCGTCAACGTACTCGAAATGATGGGGTTCGGTACCTTTGATAGTACAAGGATTGCCTGAGGAATCGTGAGACGACGATGTACGCCAAGAATTGACGACAACACGTACCTCATATTGCGCTACAACATCCCGATCTCGCTGTAGTTGCGATACCCACATGTAGTCCTTCTGGTCGAACGCGATTGCCGCGATCCACTCGAAATCAGCGTCTATGCGTATCCACTCGTACGTCTGCCCCGCCATGTTCTGCTCATCCTCCTCCGTCCAGTCCGCGACCTTCCAGTTCTCGCGTTCTTTTTCGTTCTCCCATATCTCCAGGCCAAACCCCATATCTACCATGTCCATAGCAGCAGCGGCCTCTGCGTCACCTTCCGCAGCTGCTTGCGCCGCCGCCTGACGAGCAAGGTATCGTTTCGTGTTCCGCCGTACGCGCTTGTACTTTGTGTTGAATGGTACTTCATAACGCTTGAATGGACTTCTGATATCGAGGACATGCTCATATGGTGTTCCGTCTGCCTCATGGATCCGGATCGTCATTTGACCCTGTGAGACCAAGTAACGAAGTCAGCCGTTAGCTTTCTAGAACCTGCAGATATGTTTACATACCTCGAAGAACGGGACCGGCTTCATGAGTGCCTTGGAGATCTCGTTATTCTCATGCGCCTTGAACGCCGGGGCCTCCTGCCGCATCGAAATCTCCACCGCCATCTTCTTCCGGTTGAATGACGCCGAGAAGCCAAATGTCGGGCACCCGCTGCCGTAGATCCACTGCTCTGCGAACGAGCGCGGGTCGATCCCACTCACCTTCCTGCATGTCCGCAGGAACGAGTGCGTCGAGATGGCATTGTTCAGCATCTCACCGCTGATCGCGGACAAGAAGACTTTAGGGAGCACACGTGAGAGGCCAAGAGATGTGCCCGACTTGCCCAGCCGGCGATCCAGGATGTGCAAGACAAGTGGCGCCTTCAAGTTGATGAACGGCAAAGTCGCAGAGTCCGGAGGGTCCAGCACCTGAGGCTGGCATATAGGCGGCATCGACCCATTGTCCGATTCTAGCACGCGTTCCATATCCTTCTTCAGCCGGAAGCGGTACTCGTTGTTTCCCAGCAATTTCCGGATGAACAGCCCTGTGATGTATAGTCCAAGGCCGTTAACGAGCCATGTATCCGACCATGTCTTCTGCTGAATATCAATGCCCATCCATTGACACGCGAGCGCATGGCTGAGACAGTGGCGAGTCTCAAATACCTGGTCAATGGCGTCCTCTCCGTGGAGAAGATCCACTGTGACCAGGGAGAGTGTTGCACTGTCGAACCGCTGGGTTGGCATCTCGTCCACGAATACGAGCTTGTGGGACATGAACGGATAAGAGCCAAACTCTGTAGAGTAGAAGCTCATAGCGGAGCGCATGAATGAGACGGACGAGGCTAGTAGAGCTTCGTGTCCAGGAAGACAGAACGCATGCATGACCGGCTGTGACGTGCCCGACGCGTCTTCCGCTGAGCTCAAGTCAGCAGGAATGGGGTGGACATGGAAAGGTCCAGCGGCGAAAGCGATATGCTGCACGGACGTAAGCTGCCTTTGGGAGTAAAGGAAGATCGTCTTGCCCGAATTGTACGGATGTGCGACCTGTTCCATGAACTCGCCGCTGCATACAACTACCGTGGGGTTTTCTCCCTCCGGAAGTTCGTCATCCTCGTCGAGCGGCGCATCCCGCTGTTCGAGATGCCGGGGGACAATGAACTCGAAATCCCACATACACTTCTCCCATAGGTTATCAAGGCACGGTACCCAGCATCGGGCTGCATCCGGGGATGAAGGAGTGGTATACACGTGTGGCACGCGCTGATGAACGTTAAGCGCTACAGTACTCGGTATCCGTATGATGACGCTCACATATGGATACGCATCCGAGGGCAGAATGAACTGAATTCCATCTGCAGGGTTCCGGATGCTGTACTCGATGGTGACAGTAATCGGCGCAAATTCTGGCACAGGAAGGGCAGGTGCCGCCATGGGACCAGGAGTCTGGGGCTCCGGGGTTGCAGCTAAAGCGTCGGTGAGATGAGAAAATAAGGAAGAAGTCAGTGAAAATGGATTCACCTTCACTGACGATGCCAGTAACAGCATGGCCCGCTTGCCTCAGCGAGACCTCTTTGGGTATGGCAATCGACAACTCTCCCTCATCGCTTTCAGCCAGAGCGGAGTATACTCTGCGTTTGAGTTCAGGATGAGTGTGACAGTCTTGAGGACTGGAAATACTGAGGTTCGCCAGAGGATCGTGGAAGACAAAGTCGGCGGCGTGTGATCCCACTCTAACAGAATGAATGGCTAGGAAAGCTTGCTAAGTCATGCAGTTCAATCGAGCGAGAGCGACACTGATACGTACTGCATTGTCTTGAATGCAGATGAAGAGTCTTGAGGTCTTTGCTACTCGGGACTATCGTGATCTCCGTGTAACCCTGGCACGGGCGTGAGCCACTCAGACATATCAAAGCATAAATGAGAGCCTACCCATAGGCTTCCAGAGAAATCAATCTCTAGAACAACCTTTTGGTGACTAGTAGATACGCCAAGAAGTGTCAGTACTCGAGTGGCGCGAAAATGAAGAGAAGAACACGTATATAGAGAAACCACGACGGGCGTGTTCCCGCTGCATAGTGAACGTTGTGTCTTATAACCAGAGCTGAGACTCAGGATAGATGTCAGAGAGGGTCACAGAGCAAAGATTTCGAGTGTCCGGGCGAGAGTGAACAGGTAGAGGGAGGTCCGGAGTGAGGATGGGAAGAACGGCGGAGTCGAGCAGCTCATGCTCGACGACAGGGAGAAGTCGCTTACGTAACAGACAGGGTAAGGCAATCATAAGCGCCCGAGCGGTCATGGGCGCTTAGCGATGGCACGGATCGAAATCTCATCTTGAATCTGCCAAATCTCAAAATCTCTGACTAACAGTCTCCTGTTGCCTCTGTACTACGTTCATAACAACACACGATGCCTCCAAAGTCTGTTTTTCGCCAGCCAGGCACACAGCATTTTCAGCTTGTCCACCGCTCACAGCGCGACCCCCTCATTCATGACCCAGAGGCCAGTCAGCATGTCCTAAAGGCATTCGAGCGGGGGAATGTCGTGAAGGTGTGTCAAAGTACAACATGTGCTGCATCTGCATTCACATACATTTTTATCTGGTAGGGAAAGTCAAGGGCCGACCTAGAGCGCATACTACCTTCCGCCGACCTCGCACACGACACTGAGCGTGCAAACATCGGTGAAGCGGCCGTATACGGCGTATACTACGATGACACAGATTATGACTACATGAAGCATCTGCGCCCGGTTGGACTACAGGAGGACGGCGTGGATAGTATTCTCATTGAAGCTCCCTCGAAGCCTAAGCCGAAGGGCAAGGGGAAGGAGCCGATCACCCTCCTCGACTTGCCCCCAGAAGCACTCCCCTCTACCGCCGAGGCTCCTCGGAATTTTGAGTCGCAGGAGAACATCCCGTCATCAATAGCAGGCTTCCAGCCAGATCTCGATCCGCATTTGCGCCAGGTCCTGGAGGCACTGGAAGACGATGCATTCGTGGATGAAGGGCTGGACGAAGACTTCTTTGGAGAGCTTGTCGCGGAGGGTGAGCTTGCTGCCGGAGAAAACCTCGAGTTCGAATTTCAAGAGGAGGGTATAGAGGGGGATGAGCGCGCAGAGGTGTCCGCTGCATCAGCAGAAGAGGTTGTTGAGGACGGCGAGGAGGAGAGCTGGGAAGCCCGTTTTTCCAAATTCAAGAAGGCGCAAAAGGCGCAGCCCCGTAGCGAAGGCTCAGACATCGATGATTTCTCGGAAGGTGGGGACACTGTCGGCTCGCTACCTCAGATGTCTGTGATTGGCGGCAAGCGACGACGGAGAGGGGCGTCTGATGCATCCGGCTACAGCATGAGCAGCTCCTCGATGTTCCGCAATGAGGGGCTGACCATGTTGGATGAGCGATTCGATGAAGTGAGGATGATTTTCTCATATTGAAGCGCAACTCATCGTGATCATGTCTGCAGATCCAAAAGGAGTACGACTCAGATGAGGACGAAGAGGCGGATGATATGTCAGATGCCTCAGGCGAAGCCCCAGAACTGATTACCTCACGAGAGGACTTCGATGCTATTATGAACGAATTCTTGGACAACTACGAAATTCTCGGCGGGAAGATGCGCCCTGTCCTTGCAGGTGAGACCGCGGCGGACAAGCTCGACACCTTCCGGAAAGCCCTCGGGCAGGTGCACTTGCGTGAACATGATGAGGACAGCGAAGAGGACGATATCCTTATGCCTCTTGATATTGATGAGAAGAAGGACACATGGGACTGCGAGACCATTCTCAGTCAGTTGGACCTACTTGAAAAGCTCTCGTTACAGTCCTGATTAACGTTCGTCAATATAGCGACGTACAGTAACCTGGAGAACCACCCGCGACTGATCAAGTCTCGTCAAGACAAACCAGTGCCCAAAATCAGGCTGGATCCCAAGACTGGTCTGCCCGTTGTGCTGGGGAAGCAACCTGCCTCGCGAAGGGAAGATGATGCTACGTCTTCATCGGGCTCCGATACTGAAGATGGCTCACGAGGTAAGTCTCTTGTAAACTCTGCGCCACAATGGTGCTTATGTCAACGCAGTCCAACGCGTGACCGTTACCCGGCCTAAAAACGAGTCCAAGGAGGATAAAAAGGCACGCAAGCAGGCCATCAAAGTTGAGCGGCAGGTGAGGCGTGCAGACAAGAAAGCGACGAAGGAACAGTTCTCCGTAGAGGCGAAACGGCAGAACAGAACGCTTGCCAACAAGGAGAAGAGTAAGGCGAAGCAGCTTTGAATATCATTTCAGGATATATGTAGAGTACTTGCTGTCGTGCTGTGGATGCTATGTATTGAGAAGTCGCTCATGTAAACAACAAAAGTATAGTACAACTTTAGTCTCGCAAGTATATGGGTATGCTCGATGTTCGTAACAAACTCGTAGAAGGTCCTTCCAAATGATGCGTTGCGATTGCATAATGTACAGTGACGAACATGTGAGTAGCGGATGACAAACGGAGGATATCAAGTGAAGAGCAGCAACGATGCAAGAATAAATAATACGATAACGAGGTGGTCGAAGCGTTACCAATCAGGCCACAAATCCAATAGAGCATTCCCTTCTTCCTCAGGAGCGTCATGTTGCTTCATCCATCTATCAGGCACCTGTACAAGGAATTTAGAATCTCGAAAGGATTCGCGCAGAGAAATCTCACCAATGGGAAGTACCGTTCCATGGCACTCAGGAAACGTTGTCTATATTGCCGAGGGCCAATGATCGTTGGTTCGCCTTTATGTGCACCGCCCAGGAAGGTCGAATCCTTAACCCAACTCTCTAGCTTCTTATCCCAAGTATATGTCCGAATGTAGTCTGCGCGGTGATAAGCTCGACATCTTTGATTGTACACAACTGGTCGACGACTGACCCACTATACCAACGACAAGCTCATTTTTGACGCTGTCAACGCCGACGACCAGCGAGTAGTCCATTACGTTGATGTCGGCAAGGAATTTGCTGTCATTGAACAGTGCGCCCCTGAGGATCCGCTTGGAATGTTCACGGAGGTAAAACGGGGTCAAATGGGCAGCTATGAGAGACATTGTTAGAGGATACACGCTAACAAAAACTGCAGCAATCACTGACTCTCGACCAAGTTCTCATCTAGCAGCACCTCATTCTCCCTGCCAGTAGACTGGACATGACGATTACGGGTGGAGCCTTTGAGGTCGTATATCTGCTTACATCGCATGAGTAAGGTGGTTTAATGTTGAATCACAGCAACAAACCTTTGAGAAGCGTCGGTCGTAAAACAGATTTTCCATGACAAGAAGATTCATCTGGGTAGGCTTAGACCTTCCGGACCCTTGCTGCTTCTGTGTTTTCCTGAATGTTATCTTGAAACAGCCAAAGATCTTGGCGAGCAGAGTGGGACGCTGTGTATGGGTCAGTCGGCGTCTACACTCGTGAAGGAGGAACCAACATTAGCGATAACGGCAGAGGACATGTAGTCAAAGTAGGCAGGTGCGAAGGTTTCCATTGCTTGTAATTCAGCTCTCGATAATTCTTTCGCTATGAAGCGATCATCTGTGCCGACATTTAGACAGGATCCAGCATAACGAGGAGCCATACCTACCAAGTGTTTTCAGGAAGGCCGAACCAGATTTTCCTCCGCTTGCATCCCATTTGACACATCTAGCCAGTGACTCGATCATACTTCTCTCGCAGTCGTAGGTTCGACGCAGAGCATCAAATTGCTCTGGATACAAAACGGTACAACTGATGGTCAACCCACCACTCTCGAAGGCTGGCAAGGACGTCAATAAATTGGGAGGTTCTTGTGAGCACAGTGTACTTACAAATCGCCCAGGGTTGCTTGGAGGACGGAACACGTAGTTCTTCCGTCGGGTCCACCCCTCCAGAGCTCTCCACGTTGACTACACCCCAAGTCGATGTAGACTCCGCGATAGAACGATCGTCCGGCATAAAGACCTCCCCGCCGTCTGACAGCTTTGGCTCCTTGCTCTGACGCTTTTCAGCGCGTGAAGCTAATAGGAGTTCCCGATACTGGGGAGAGCTGTCACCAATAATGAGTAACTGAATAGAAACACTAGATTATGGTTGTTGAGCTCACTTCAAGGCTAGCGCAATAATGGATGTCGGTTCATCTGTGCGAACAACCATAGACGAATTGCGGAAGATATGTTCCGGGTCCGCCATGGGATCGTCACCATCTAGATCTGCACGCTGACGAGGCTGGGACGTCTGCGGCCAGAAACCGGAGAGGGCCTTCAAGATAGAATGTCGCTCGGTTCCGGTCGCACTTCCCTCAAATTCAGGAGCGGGAGAGGCTAACGGCGCAGGCTCATGTGTCATAGCAGTCAGGATAGGTGAGTTGCTCACGGACAGGGAAGCCTCTTGAACCGTAATTTCAGGTTCTAGAGTCGTTTCTGCTACAGGAAGTTCTGCACCTTGAGATTCTGTGGGCGGTTCAAGGGGTGCTTCGGCGGATGCAGCGCTCTCTTCAGGCTCGCTGGGAGCCTGAGCGGGAGCCGAAGCCTCCAAACGTTTCTTCTCGACTTGTGGCTCAGTCTCTTCATCACCATCGCCCTCGTCGTCAGCCTCGCTGGAATCAGAGCTCTCAGTTTCGTCCCTGATAGCATCTTTTATGCTGTCAAGAACTTCAACCTTTGCGCGAGCGGAAGCTACTGGTCGGGGACGTCTGCCACGGATGACAGCGTAGCGTCGGTTTGCACGCTCATTGTCTTTAGTAATTCGCTCGAAATGCTTGGCAATATTCGAGACCTTTCCGCCACCACCTGGTTGTCGCCTGAGCGTCGATTTCGGCCCAGAACTGCTGGTGGGACGAGGGCCTGTAATTTTCTCAGCAGGCAGATTGCGCGCAGTTGCCTTCCCTTTCTTCTTGGCACCTACAGCAACAGAATTCGACCTCGTGAGCGGAGGTGAAGGTCTTCCTGCCTTGAGAGTAACATCAGAATTGGCAACCGTTGTTGTCGGTCGCTTGTCCGGAGAAGCACGCCGCGAGATATCGCGTGAGTCGAAGGAAGACACGGTAGGCCCTGGAATTCGGCTGTTGTAGGGCGTTACACCGAGAGGTCTTCTGTGTGTCAGATATCGTGGGGCAACATTGGCTGCGTAACCTGACTCAAAATCGGATATAGAGGACTTGCGGTTGACTACACGGCGGCGCGACTTGCTCCTGACCCGAGGTGGCATCTCGCTAGGCATTTCCTGCTCACTCTCATCAACAGGAGCAGTAGGAGCAAATGCAGTTTTTGTCAATTCTTCCACACCCTGCGCTGGTAGAAAGTCCTGGTACTTCTTGACAAGCTCTGCGACGGTAGGGTGATTGGACGCCCGTCTAGGAAGTCTGGACACATGATGGCTCGTACGCTCGGTTCCCGGCTCGCCCTGTATAAAGCATGAAGGACAGGCGAAAACGAATATAGTATGATGAACATTACCTCGCTTGACAGGATGGGATTAGTGACAGACTCCCTGCGAATCGCACCGATTGTAGAGTCACTCTCTTCGTCTGACTTCGCCGCGGCGATGTCAACGATGCTGGGCGGTAGGAGTGTGACCTCAGTTGGTGACGAAACCACATCAGGAGCTGATATCTTCTCTTCACTATTGTCAGTCACGGATTCGGTCTCGGACACATCGGAAGCCGTGGATGTGAACGAGTCACCGGTTACACGCCTCATAAGGAGGGGGCCATTGTCTTCGGGCTCGGACATCCCTTGCTGCGCATCCAATGAACCATAGTAATCCGATCGCCTAGGGAAAATTGCTCGGACTGAGTCAAATGCCGAGGTCCTACGGCTGGAACGGTCAAAGAGTTGAGTGACTCGGGGTTTCGGCAATTTGTCGAAATCCTGCTGCCACGCAACAATCCTGTCCTGGCGATACGCTCGAACTTGGTTTAAAGCAAGAGTGTCCGTAGATGGTGTTTCCTTGTAGATGGTGTTGATGAGTTTCGCAATGTCCTGCTTCTCCCATTCGGCCTTCACGATGAGCTGGTTGATTTCCGCAGTTAGTCGGGCGTCAGACTCCTCGTCGCCCGTTGCTGCGTCTATGTTGATCAACTTGAGATCATCTATGAGCGCGGTGTACCAAGTTTCGTTCCTACGATGCAGTCGGTCGAAATCGGTGTTCCTGATTTCTAGTTGCATCTCCGGACGAACCCTGATGCGCATCGAGGGATACACGATCTCGTGCAAGATTACGGGATCCGCCTGGAATCGAACGGTCATGCCCCTGATAGCGAAGTATCGGACGTGGTGCTGGTATATGTTGTGGAGACATCCTGCACCCTGAACGAGCTGGACATCGGCGGGATAGAAATGAAGCTCGAGGAATTTGGCGAAGGAGTACCTTTGCATCTCAGGCGAAATCGGGATGAACGGGGTAGCCGAGCCACAGACTCGACACGCACTCCAGGTGATAATTGTATCCGGCGCGTTCGAAAGGTAATTCGCGCGATTGATATGCCCATCCCACTGCTCCACGGCAATGACCAGGCGGGTCTCGTTGTGAACATACACTTTGCAGTGACGCGCGAGAGGCTGGTTGCAGCTCTTGTTCTCACAGATCGCCTTGGGATCCAGGAACCTCACGAGTGTATCCATGACAGCCTTGTCGATGAACTGACCCAGCGTGCAGTCATTCTCGCCGTAGAATGTGATGTACTTCAGCTGAGGAGGGGAACATGCACGATGGAGACCCGGCTCGGTCATCGGGAGAGTGGCCTCCCATAAGCTGATGCATTGATACTTTTCGACGTCGAAGTCGTCCCGGTTCTTGCGCAAGTACCACTCCCAGATGCGGCGTTGTTCCGCGTGCTGCCACTTCATGTAGCTCAATCGGCTCTCAAGAACGATGTCCTCCACGGTCGTCTTCTCCACCGGAGGTTCGTCGGAGGGCGTACATGGCATCGGAGATGCGGCTATTGTACCCGAGGATGTCGATATATAATCGAAGAACCCGGGTCCCTCTGCAGGGGTAGCATCGTTGTTCCCAATCACAGGCGTACTTGGTATATCGGGAAGAGGCAAGGATTCAATTTGCGCTGCAATATCGTCCGGGTCGGGCGAAGGAGCACTGATGCTAGCCTGCGTCACAGTTACCTCTTGCTGATGATGGGCATGGCTCTTCTCTTCCCTGCGGATGACCTCGTCCTCCCATTCTCGCTTAACACGCGTTAGTTCATCGTCCAGCTCTTTCATCCGACGGATAGGATGTGGAGGCGGGAAACGCAAGGTCGCAGAGACAGAAATGAACGTCTTCCGATAGGGCTCAAGCGATTCCTGGATCCGGCGAGAAAGACGTATCTGCTCTGCATCTTCATCCGGAAGGTCCTCTACGTTCGTGTTTGGCACTGAGCTCTCGGATGCAATGCCACTCACATCGCTCATCCGGTGGATAGGAGCATCGGGCACCGGGGTGGCATCCATGGACCGCAAGGGAGCCGATGTGCTCAAGCCTAACAACGGAACAGCGGATGCTGAAGAGTAGTTTGAAGGAGTTGCTTCCTCCGTCAGGGCTGGCAAGGTAATGATGGAGTCCTTCCACAGATGCGTCTCGAGCCTCAAGTTGCGCACGATGAACGCAAGGAAACGCGTGACCTTCTTGATCCGCCTCAGCGTGTCAATGTCTCCCCCGCGCAGCACAATCGTACAGCCCATCTCGCTGTTACAGCCCTCGAAGCGCATGTACGTCTTGCGCCGCCCAGGAATCAACGGGTGGTCGAACGTCTGGATCCGGAAACGCGCACAATGTCCGAGCCGTGGCTCCAGTGCGAGCTTGTCCATGGACGAGAACACATCCCCTTGTGTCATGCGCGATACGAACTGGATAGCTGATGGCTTCACCGTCCGCGCGACTGTAATTTTGTGTTTCGCAAGAGCGTCCAGCGCCAATCGCGAAACAGACTTCTCCGCGAGGACAACATGGGGGCGCAGGGCCGCTATCCGACTGGCAAGGTTGCCCAGATAATCCTTTTCCTGCCGCAAAATCTGGCCGAAATGCATGTATTGCCCCTCGACCCGGTGAAACTCGAGTGGAAATGTCACAAGCATGACTCGTGGGTTACGCTGGATACGCAGCATCTGCTTGTGTGCGACATTCTTCGTGATGACAGCCCCGTCCACATACTCCGAGTCCTTGGGTGCGCCACCGGGAATCTTCTTGATCTTGACGTACCGCCGCACATCCATGTCCGCGCCCTGCCTCTGAGGATGAGCGGTAAAGGTTAACTCGCGTGCTATTCGGAGGCTAATTTTGAGCAGTGTCTCTTCCCACTCTCCAACATTTGGAATCTGCTCTGCCTCTAGCATCTGTCTGAGCATGATCCGCAAATGAAACATGGAGATCAGGTTCAACTCCTGGGCATAGCTACCACGGGAACGTCAATATATGCTTTCCAATTGCATAGCAGTGTGACTCACGCAGTGCTTTCTCGTCTTGTGCGCCAGCCAGGCTCGCCAGTACCGAAACCGTCCAGGCGGCTTTGCACACGACTTCGAATAAATGGCGTCGCCATATCGAAATCGGCGTAGGAATTAAACCGCGACCTCAACATGCCCGGACTTTCGAATGGGTACGCCTGGTCCGGCGAGCTCATCGGGAACTGCACCGAGCTCGTCGAGCCATCCACCGAGACGGGTACCGTGACTGGAAAGTCGATCGGCGTCTTGCGTCCCGGCACTGCAGGTGACTCGTCGTTGCTGAACTTGTCTTCGAGAGAGACCGGATCTTTCTCCTCCTCCTCGGTGAGTGCCCTGCGGAATGGAACTGGGTTGTCGCGCACGAATCGGTCTCCGCGCATGTCCTCGAGCGGGGTGACAGGCCTGGACGCGAGGGCGCTGTCGTCCGAGCCGGCATACCGCTTGGTTTCAGCTATAGAGAACAGGTTGAACGGCTCGTCTGTACGCCCAAACAGCTGGGATGCGGCGAATGGGGACTGTGGGTGCTGGGATAGGGCGAGCAGTGACTCCATCCCGAGTTGGTGCGCGGCAAAGGGCGAGGTCATATTCGAAGAAATGGAATGCCTGTCATCGTCGTCGCCGTCATCCACATTGGCCAGCTTCTCGAGACACAAGTTGCAGACTCGCACCATGCCGTCATGGCCGAACCGCGCACCCTTGATGATGTTGGATGCACAGCGGGAGCAGAAGACCTGCCCGCATATACGACAGTGGTGTTTCCGGCGCCAGGCGGTGAAGACACTCTTGCAGTCATAGCACTCTTTGCAGAGCTCGTCGTCCATCCAATAGTCGCGCGACAAACCTACATACGCTCAAAATCGATAGCATATATGTTAGCTGTACTGAACACACCTTCGCCTCTGATCCGCCTGATCACTTTCGAGACAGATGCAGACCTTCGGATGCTACCGGTGGTTGTCCTGATGCTCCGCGCATCACTGTCCTGGATAGGGAAGCCTGGGATAGCGGTCCCGTACACGCCTCCGTCTGGGGTATCTGGCGCATAAAATGAGCCTCCGCGAGAGGGCGGTCTGTCGTAGTCCGCAACGTAAGACGGTGTCTCCGACACCACCGGCGTGAGCGAGACCAACGGCGGCGCCGGATTCGACGCCGCGATTTTCATGAGGGCATGACGCTCGACCGAGGACTTGCTCGAGTGGTTCGAGTGGCCATTCAGGATGGACGGGCGCCGCTGCTCGGTGGACTGTCCACCCTGCGTGTTGCTCTGGTTCCCTGTGCCGCTAGAGGCGACGGCGGAAGATAATGGGGCGACGAGCGTGCTTCTCACCTTTGAGAAGAGAGACGTGACGATAGCATAAGACGATTGGTCGTGTTCATCCTCCTCGGCGAAGGGGTTCGTGGACGTGAGGCTCGTGACATCGTCGAATATCTTGGTGCTGCTGCGTGATCGAGAAGAGGTATGCTCGCTGCTGAGATGGCTGCTCGACGAACTTAGCTGGGGTGACTCCATTCTGACAGGAGATCGCGCTGAGAGTGAGCTCAACACATTAAGACGGAGGAGAGGGGGGGCGCTGGAGGACAGCCCTCTGAAGTGTTCATCGCACACAAGCTCGAAACCCACCGATCGAGTCTCCGCGATTATGGGCGCGTCCCTTTACGTAATGCGTATTAGGTCTAATAAGTAAGGAACGCTTGCCCATTGGCGCCTTCTTATTCCACCCTCTAACAGGATGGTAGTGGGTATTCTCCTTTCAAGGCTCGTATTCAGATTTGTCGTCCACTTACGGTGGATGATCAGTCTGAGATATCTAATGAATCAGCCTGATAGATCTATCTGTCATTAGTCCAGAAAGAAGGGAAGTATCAAAGAATATCTTTGAGTAAAACAGCCGCATTGTGCGCGCCGGTATGTGGGCGAAGGAGGTTACAAGAAAATAAGAGGATACGACAAGACACCAGCCCGTATGACATCATCGGAGTTGTGCGGTAACGAATTACCATATATAGGGTTACCTCACTATCTAGGGAGAAGACGCAGCACAGTAACCCCCAAGTAGGCACTCAGGGAAATCCGAGGCCCTCCAAGTAAATCCTTCCCGCATTGATAAGACCCTGAACAAGGGGAATTCTGGGCGTGGATACCGCTACTCTCTGTTCCGGCGAGCAGCCACACAAGATTAGATAAGATGTATTTCGAGCGCTTTCGGCGGCACTGGAGGCGTTTAGCGGCGACCTCGTTGCTTGTCTGCCTTGTTTGCTTTCCACAACATCTTAATGGACGCCGACAGCTCTGACACCGTAATGGGAGAGGCCCAAAATGAGTCCCCAGTGAATATTGATCCAATATGGATGTCAAGTCGTACGTCACGACAAATATACGCTCTGGGGGAAGTCGAGAAGGTGTGTCCGCGAATCGAACGTCAGGCCACCGCTAAGCAAGCAATGCAGGACATAAGCCGCCTGCTCTCGCTTGCAGCGTCTTCCATCTCTCTGCTCACATTGCCGCAGACGGATGCACCAGAGGACGAGCTGCCACAAGGCGGGGAGAGGTCCGAGCAGTTCGTGCTGGAAGTGAGCGAGTACTTTGAGCGACTGGACGTGCGTCCCTGCTTGCTGCTTCTCGCATCGACGTCTCACTCTCCCTCCGCAGAACATTCACATCGCGATTCGCTCGTCTCTCGCCCACATCCGTCAGTCACGAATAGCGCCCTCCGCGATCAACGCGCCACCACCAGGATTTGTGCCTCCGTCTCTCGGAGTAGGGATGCCATCCGCGAACGGCGAGTATAGCAAAGACGGAAGGGGGCTGCAAGAGGAACGGGTGGAACGAGATGCTTGGAGGGCGATTCTGGACGCCTTGACGCGGTTGAAGGAGGCGAGGGAGCGAGACGAGACACAGGGCGATTCTGAGATGACACCAACACAATCATGAATGCAAAGCATATTGTACGCATAGGTATGTTACAGTACAGTAGTAATCTTCTCAACAATACTTCCACTGGTATATTTCTAGACACTAACTTCCTCGAAGGTCTCTTGCGCCTGCATAAGCACCTCGTCATTCTTGAGGGCCGGGTCTTTTTCTCCAGCGACCTATATAGCGTGTCAGAACATAGAGATGAGTCGGTAAAGTGTGAGCGCACGAGAAGTTCACGCAGATCTTGTACGGCGCCTCCAAGACGATTCGCCGTGTCTGTGATCATCTTCTGCGACTCTTCAAGCATGCGTCTCTGTGGTGCCCTGTGAGTGCACAGCGCGCGACACCCCTCAGCAGATGAAAGGCGTACCGCGTTCTTGATATCCCAGTCCTCCGCCGCGTCAGCGATGAACTTATCGAGCTTGCGCTTCTGGTCTTCTTCCTCCTTCTGGTACAACTTGTGCTCCTTGTACAGGCTGGAGTCGGAGTTATATTGGGTGCGGGCTCTCGGCTGGGACGACGTACCGTTTGCATACACCAGCCTTTATTTTGAGCTGGCGGCGGACTGTTGCTGTGTCACTCATTGTTGTTCGAGAGTGCGCGTGGGGAGACCGATGGATGTACTGAGGCGGCTGTTCTCTGACTTGCGGAGCGAGTTTGATCGATCGCTGAACAACGTCAATTGCTGCCGAGTGCGCGATCGCCTCCAGAATCTCAAACAGCTATCACAAGTTCTACAACTCCCACATTTGTATACACCCGCTTTCTCTATTCAACCTCTCTCTTGAAAGCGTACTCAGCAGCGTATACCACAGTCAAATCCTGGACGCAAAGGCAGAACCAGCGTGCTACAGTTCGAACTGAACTAGGGCTTATTACAGCATTTTCGGCAGTTTGTGCAACGACATTCTCTCCTCGACTCTATCATGTCTAAACTCGTGCTCAAATCTCTTTTGCGCGCAGGCCCTTTACCGAGACCACAGTGCGTCCAGCGCAGGGTCTCAGTTTTTTCCTGCTAGAGAACGCTTTCTTCAACTCCTCGAGAGCCTTCTGGGCTGCAGCGTCTTTCGCTGCCAGCGCATCGGACCCTGTGCCTCGACCGTATTCCATGTCGTGAACTGTGTATGCACAATTAGTGTTCTTGTCTCACTGCTTCGTATAAAGATACGACATACTGTATGCGATCGTCTCCCATTCAGTGACCGATGCGTCTTCTGCGCTTACTTGATTGCGGCATACCTCCCATCTCAATGCTCCATGACCTAAGCTTATGCGGAGGCAAGCGTATAACTCTGATCTGATAGATCTGTGTCCGACTGTATTATTTCTTCCAGCCGCATCTTACGCTACCGAATACGTACGGAGACTCTCGTGCTGCAGCAGGCTCACGGCTACGTCCTCTGTTCCTGCTCCGCGACGTAGTCCCGATGGTACTATGAATTTCTGTTGCACATGATGCATCCGGGGGTTCGTGTGTTATCACATCACACTGGTTCCAGAGTGCACTCTGCTGTGCGTTGCATTTGCACAATGCGGAGCTTATTCTGCCTGTGCAAGCTGATCAGAATGGACGGCAAATCATATTGCAGCATACGTACCGGCCCTCACTGGAGGCATGTCTGGATTGATTCGGAGGAAACCTCCACTTCCCACTTGGCTGCATCCCCTTTTTATATCCGACATGAGGTTAGGAAGGCAAGTACGGATGTCTACAGAGATACTACAGGCACCACTGTTCACCGCCGGCGACAAGGTCATATCGTACTCGCCACATTGACTAAGGTTTGCTCTGGCAGCACGCGCCGAGACACAATTTATTTCACAACATCCGACCAATACTGGAAATATCGGAAGAACTCGGCAAGGAATCTGTCTACAGAGCACACATTGCAATGTTTATGCTTTGACTGATTCTAACCAAGGTTTTGCGCCGTCACAGGCAATCTTTGTCCCAGTGACAAATTGCCCAGGTACTGTACCGTTTCAATCGGTACGTCGGGATTCTCGGTGTATGTCATGGTACAGCGCATTTCTACCGGCGCGCTTTTGTGCCATATCGATCTTTTTGTACGCTTGTAACGGCGCTAAGAGCGAATTAATGTGTTGATAGAAATAGTAAGCACCTCCATCTCGTTGATTGTCGCGCATCCGACACGTCACTGTTGAAGGCTAAGGATAGCGAGCCTCAGTCCGTTGCCTACGATGTAGGGGACTAATATTCCGTACCTAAGGATAGCGAGCTGTCATAGATACATGAGTAAGTATTAGATAGTGAAGTATAGTAGATTGACTTACCCTCAGTCCGTTGCCTACGATGTAGGGGACTGAGGGAAAGCGCGATACGTAGCGAGCGCTATGTACGTAGCGGGTCATTACCGTATTAGGAAATAGCTATAGTAAGTGAGCGTCGTACGTTCGATTGTATGTATCGTAAGTATCTACGTTAGTCGTTAATTACAACAGTCACTGCTGCAGATGTGGATATACGTTAAGAGGAGATATCCATCGGATTTCATGACGGGCTGACCGGTCGATATCCCGTGCAGACCGCACGATTCCAGTTATCTGGGTGGATGTGAATTGGATCCATGCGCGGTCTATGACCGCTGATCATACTATCTTGGTGCCCATATCCGGATATATGGATATCACAGCTATGCATGACTATCATCTATTCTCCAAGGCCCTCTCACATTCTAACATATATAACGGATGGGATAGGCCCTTGCTCTTCGCCCCCAATGCAACATCATTATACTATGTGTGAGTAGTCGGCAGAATGTACATCCGGGAGCATAAACTAAGCCCATCTCATATCACATATGCATTCCAGGCATTCTGCAACGGCGAAGCATTGTACCTCTCGAAATCGCCGAACATATCATCACCGATGTCGGACCCGGCCATCAGAACTACAAGACACTCCTGGCCTGCTCCTTGACATGTAAAGCCTGGGTTCCCAGGAGTCGGTTCGTCCTGTACACCATTGTGACGATCACAACGGAGTCCCAACTGTACTCCTTCTCGGAATCCATCAAACGCGAGCGACACCTGTCCTGTTTTGTCAAGGAGCTGGTCATTGTCTGGAATCAGGAATGGAACGAGACCACTTTGTCCAGTCTATTAGTTTTCCCGGCCATGTTTGCACGCAGACTCCCGAATCTCGAGAAGATCAAGATACTTTCTGACCTGGCTTTGACTCCGCCGTCGATACGCCATCCCTGCTTTTACCTATCCATTGGCGAATTTAGGTCTGTTGTCTCGCTCGTCCTGAGCACGATCACATTCTGCTCCTTCCGCGAGTTCGCTCGCCCCTTGTTGGCATTACCAACGTTGTCCTCCCTTGAATGTCTGCGTGTGCATTGGAAGAACCAAGACATTGACACGTTTTCGTCTTTTGAGTCCACCTCTTTGAACTTGGTGTCATTAGCTGTAAGTATCTTGCCGCTGGTGTCATGGGTACTCACACTTCGACATATACTTCTATAGGTCGAAGGAATGGAGCCGATTGGTTTGGCGAGCTTGCTGTCCGGAACAAACAACGCGCTTCAACATCTCTCCTTGGATTATGCCCCTGAGTACGGGGAGGGCGTGTGGTGCGATTCACCACGCTCTTCTCCTACCCTCCCGGAGCTGCCACACCTAAAGGATCTGACGCTCAGCCTAAGGCTGCGATTCGCAAATACGCCATGGCTCGATACACTACTTTGCGAGACCAAACCCTATCAGTTGCAGTCACTCACCATCGAATTCTGCGATCCCCACATCAAGTACGTCGACTTCAAGAGTCCGCCTACCACCCGAGTCGACGAGCTGCTGGGGAGTTCTTATTATGAGTCTCTCACTCTTGTGCGCGTCATCTTCAGGACAGGTCGTCTGGGGGTGTCCCATGGTACCTTGTGCGATGAGGTCAAGAAGCGGCTGCCAAAGCTATGAGAGGAGCGCAAAGTCGTGCAAGTTGAGCCGATAGAGGGTACGTGCCCAACTTATGTAAACTTATGCGAGTTGATAAGTGAGAGAGGATGTGTTGCAGATGATGAGATCGTTCCATATCACACATTGGAATCCACTGGCCAGGCTCCAATGGATGTTTAGTAGACGATGGGATATCTCCACGTACAGGTAGACTATTGAACAGACTCTGTTTGCTTGTATCTGTCGAGCTAGTGTATGTACCAGTAGCTGCCGCGGCGTGTGGCCAGCCCGATAAGCCACTTGGGTACAAGTAACAAGACCCTCTCCGCATGGGACATCCCGCGGACTCGGATGTCGTGTTCACGAGTAAGAACAATTCCACTTCAGAAGCTACCGAAGTTGATGAAATTTCAATGTTGGAAATCCACGACGCTTCTAGTACCAGGACCTACGGACTTGCGAGACGAGTCCAGCGCAGCAAAAAGCAGAACGATACGCTCAGTGGTTGCCGAGCCATTTGCGTTCTCAGTTGGAGGTCGTTTAACGAGAACTTGCCTGATTGATCCTGTAACTGAAATTATTGATCGGATTGCGAACATCCCGGGAGACTCCGGGGAACCCTGCTCTCTGATTGGCAGCAAGGAAAGTAACCTTTAGATCGCCCTGGGACATGGAAAGCAAGCCTGCCCGCTGCCAAAGGTTGCATAGTCCTATCCTTTCAGTTTGGACGAACACTTTCGTGCGTCGTGTGGTTCCGTCGGCACATTGTTTTTGAACACAATATGTACTCCCCACCGTGGGCAGTCGGCTATCCGGACTTCAGCCATACAAGTCCCGACGGACGGACGATATGGACAATTCTTATAAATACTTTGCCGGACTTCCAGCATGGAAGTTGCCAGCTTACAACGTCCAGAGTATTTGTGGGTCACCGGCCGTGACGGCAGTACTGGTGTCCGTGCTCAGTCACGCCGTGCAATATCTGTGCGTAGGGGTCGTCGATTCCTAAATACGGAAAATCAACACACCACGACAGATATCAAATATCATACAACAACGTGCTGGTGCGCCCGCCTGCCTAACATATGTTTGTGATAACAAGATCTAACGGCCGAGTGTAACGTCTCGACATCGCGGTTTGGTCCTGCAAGAGGCGTCAATTGTTCGTCTACTAACACCCATCTGGCAGCACAGCACCTGTTTATGCAGACTATACTTGTTCTTCCAGTGAAAACGCGTGTTTTAATTCTTTAAGAGCCCTTTCTGCAGCGATGTCTTTCGCAGCGGGCAAACTTATTCCTGTACCTCGTCCAAAGTCGGTATCGTGAACTGGATAAATAGGGAAACCGTCATGCTCAGTAGTCAAGTCGAGCTAGAATGCGACCTACTATATGCTATTGCCTCCCAATTAGGTGGGTCCTCGGACATCACTTGTCGCGTCTCCCATCTCAATGCTCTACGGCCCAAGGTCTTTCGCAGGAAATCATTCAGTTGTGATCTTAACAACCTTTGCGGCAAGTATCCTCAGTATCTCGTGGGGTATCCCAAGCAGAACAGTACTTACGTTGGCGCTTGCGGAGTCGCGCCGTTGTTAGACGTTGTATTATAAGAGTTCATGCCCGAGCGCTTGGCCTTCCGCACCTCTGGATTCAGTATCGTCATTCGACGACATGAACCCCTGCGCCGATGCCCAGATGTTGCTGTCATACATTAAAGGCCAAGACACGTACGTTTCCTCATCATCCGGGCCATGGCTCCTTGGGCCAAGGAGGAGGTCTGCGACGTGCTTGGCTTGTGTTCGTCTTAAGCATGCTGTGAGTGTCCCAGTATCTAGTCTGACAAGTGTACTGATGTGGTCTACACCCGCAGGATGTGCTCGTCAGCCTATCTAACTAGCATTACCGTGCTATGTCTTCTTATCGGTGACGCGACATGAGTACATCTCAATGGTCTATAGTCTCAAGTCCATGGGCCGACGGTGTCTGATCTTTCAATAGTTCCAGTCAGTCTCGCCGCATTGTCCAGAAAACGATGATGCCTCCAAATACTGAAGCGCTGAGAGGCATTCCGTACAGGCAGAATGCAGGCATATTTCCAAAGACACCACATCATATATCAGACTGCTCATCCACATTGGAACGAGAACGCGAAAACTAAATCGGGTAAGCAGTGCAAGACGTTGCTGGTTCTGAATGAGGGCGCTGACACAGCATTTCAGCAAAAAGACCTGTTTCTCATGCACCACTTACTTTCCGCTTGTATAATCAGGGCAAGTCTCGCGCAGATGACAATCGTACCTGTGGTACATTATGCAAGTTTAGACCATCCTGATATCCAAATAGACGAACGGCTTCGTGTCGTTGGTCTCGGATATCTATTTATATGCATAGTCAGGTATCAAGTGGGTAGTAGTATCCGGTCGATATCCTTCGAGCCATCTCATGCATCATGGAGCACAATATCCACCGAGGACTGTGTCTAGGTAAATATACGCATACATCACCTTTTAGTCCGAGCATAAATATTAGCATCTGCAGACATGCTCAACACTGTCGACCGTCAACTCACTACCTCCTGCAATCCATTAACGGCGCGTGGTACATCCTACAGTCTGTGAGTAGTTTCACCTTTCGGCGCACAGGCGAATGAATTCCTCCTCTAGATACTTTCAAACAAACATCAGTTAACTCGACGTGCCGAGACAATGTCCGACACTCCCCCGATTTTCCCGCCCTCGACCTTTCCCCTTGAAATAGTGGACCACGTCATTGATTACGTCGGCTCGGGTCACCAAGCTTACCGCACATTGATGGCATGTGCACTGACATGCAAGGCATGGCTACCTCGAAGCCGAGCACGTCTCTACTCCGCTGTGGTGATTAGACAGCAGTTCCAGTTGATCCAGTTCTCCCGAACTCTTGTGTACCGCCCTCTCCTCTCCCCTCTAGTCAAGGAGTTCATCGTACTCTGGAAGAGAGGCTGGCAGAAGAGTACTTTTCAGTGTTTGATAAGCTTTCCGGACCAGCTCGCATGCAGACTACCGAACCTCAGACAGTTGGAAATCTTCTCCACATTATCGGCATCCCCCCTCTCCTTCTATGGGCCACACTTTTTTCTGTATATCGGAGAGTTCAGGAGCATGACCACGCTTGTGCTCAGCACGATTGTATTCCAATCCTTCAGCAACTTTGGAAGACTTCTGTTGGCGCTTCCTACGATCACGTCTCTTGAATGTTACCGCTTGCAATGGAAACACTTGGGTGCTGATCCTTTCCGGTTCCGGAGACGAGATGAGCCTATGTCATTGAGGTCTTTAGTCGTATGTCTTCGCCTTCTTGCCATGCGTTCTCTCGCTGATCATCCGCCCTCCGTCCTCTATTATTGCGTCTTATCGATAGGTGGAAGGCATGGAAATAACGGAATTGGATCGATTACTATCCGGCAAAGGTCGAAATCTCCAGACGTTGCATCTCGATTACGCTCCAGAACACGTCTATACGTCGATCGGTGCGTTGCAATTTCAACTGTCCCTACTTCTCAGTCATGAAAGGCTTCAACGCAGATATGGACAATGCACTCGCAAAATTCCCATCTTTGCCTTCCATGGAAGAGCTGACCATTAGCCTGACCTTGCAGTCGGCGAACGAGATATGGCCGGTGACCCTGCTATACAAGCTCATGTCGAGCCGGATACGTGTGCTCACCATCGAGTACTGCGATCCCTGGGTGACCAGTGTTGCGTTTAGTGACGTTCATTGCTCCTACCTGGACAGCATGTTGGAAGAATCGCGTTACCCCTCGCTTGAGAAGGTTCGCTTGGTGGTTCGGGCTGGCGGTAGGGAATTGTCGGGTAGCGAAATACGCTCTGAGATCGCACAGCGGCTCCCGAATCTAGTCAACCGTCGCGTAGTTCAAATGGAACTGATAGATGGTATGTTTGGCTGCGCTAGCTCAAGATAGGATTTAGCTTACTCATGAAATTATTATATAGACGACGAGATTGTCCCTTACCATACAGAAATCGTTCGACTGGGCGCCAGTGAAGGAGGGACTCCAGAGGCAGAGGTGCAGGTCGTGCCACAAGACGACTCATAGCAGCCGGCTCTCAGCGTCTAGACGGGTGGAGGCAGACTCGTGGTGCACTAGTGTATGTGTTGTAGTACACGCTTCGAGCGCGTACACAAACTACGCCACCGCTTTGGCACGATCGCTTTGACCACACTCGCGCGCCACATACGTATGTTTGTCTTACGAATGCTTTTACCTACGGACGCTTTGATACATGTATATAACGCCCCCTCCGAGGCCCTGTAACATCCACCCAACCTTCCCGTTCACCCACTGCGCGAGTAATCTACCACAACATTATGTACTACACACAGTGCCGATGTATAACAACTGTAGTCTGCCATATCTATTGCATCATCTTTGGACTGAGGGAAGTATCTACTCAGTGGTCAGTCCCAAGGTAGCTTGCGGGTTCCGCAGCTCAGCGAGCGAACACTGCAGATGATGAAACCCGCGTCCTGGCTCACAAAGGTAGCACGATGGTGCAGGAACGTCCATCTAAATCACTGGATGAATGTTTTGGTGGGTGCGTCGAGCTACGCAGCTCCTTCGTCAGTCACACTTTGCCGCATGCAAGGAGGTTTCGTAGACAACATGAGCTCGTATCATTGTCGTCAGTGCTAATAGATACCCGTGCCGCGTCGTCTGTGTGCAAGAACCTGACAAGTAGCGATGTACACTGCGCAGACCCTCCAACGAGCGAGCGAGCTATAGCGATGCGCGAGAGAGGGAGAGAGAGAAAGAGAAAGGAGAAGGACCGACAAGGACGACTCGAGCTGCGGGCCAGATGCGTACATGCGACGACGGCGCGGCGTAGTACTACGACTATCTACAGCACTGGTAAAGCACGGGCGTGGAGCGGACAGTTCCGGGGCATAGGGCAGGGCATGGAGACGATGACGGTGGCTTCCGAGCAAGTCGCGTCCGTCGGCGGTCAGAGCGCGCGGGCCTGCAAGCAGGCGACCGGCGGGCGACGTCAACGAACGAACACGCGAGACGGCTTCGACTTCGGCAAGCAGCGCGGTGCCGGAGCTCAACAGCGGACCTCGCCGCGCTCGACCTCACCGGTGGGCGTGACTAGCACGCGCGGTTGGGAGGCGCGAGGCGCGAGGATCGGCATGAGCAGGCGGCGGCGCAGAGCGAAGGAGTCGAATGCGTGGACAGGCGGGAGCCGGTGTCGTCGTCAGGATGGCCCCTGTCCTCACCATGTCTTCCCTGGCTGGCAGGCTTGGCTGGGTGCGGGTCGGATGTGCGGCGTTGCAGCGAATCTCACCGGACGCGCGAGAGCAGACGCGCCGGATGTCTTGTCGAGGTTGCCAATAGCCAGGGGAAACAGGCGGGGAAAGGGGAAAGCTGGGGTGCTCAGCGCGAGAGGTGGCGGCGATCAAGCGCCGCGGCTCGGTGAGCAGCGGATGAGAGTTGGCATAGTTGGCATAGGGTGAGCGGCTCGTGAGGAGGGACGGTGGTGGAGGCCAGCGCGACTGATATCCAGATGCTATATGTGAATGCCGAGGGAAACGAGGGGATCCACGAGCCAGTGTGTCGGCGCGCAGCTGGCGAGGTACGGAACCACAACAAAGTGGTCGTCGCCATCAGCCAGACGTACGCAGGGCGGGACTCGGGAAGGCGAGCAAGAGGGGACAAGCGACGGTGCGAGAAACAAGAAAGCGCACACAGGGAGGCGAGGCACTGCACATCACCGCAAGGGGACGCGACCAATGCGCCTCAAGCTCTCCACTGTGGTCTTGCGTCGGTGTCGTGTCGCGCCTCCGCATCAGCCAACCGTGGGCGCGGTCTTCGTGGGCAGTCGGTGTCTTCCTCTAATGGCACGGCCAAAAGGCATTCGATAGCAGATCGAGGAGGGTGCAGCCTGCGTCGCGGACGCAGAGCTGTGTCAAGCTGGTTTGTCCCGTCGTGAGCGCCACCTGGGGAAGAGGAGCAGAGCGGGGAGTCATAAAAATGCGATGATTGCAAGGGGGTGGCGGGGAATGCAGATGATGGGGTGCGCGGTTATGAAGAATGCCGGTAATAAAAAGAATAAAAAATGCGTAAATGGGGATCAATGTATGCGTAAATTGTCCATCGTTAACCGGAGCATCCTGCGATCCTGGCAAGAATGCTTCGGGTCTCATGCAGGTCGTATCCACGTAAGAGTCCATTGCGAGCTTACTCACGCGTCCGGACGCGCACGACTAGCTTTTGCAGGAAACCGCCGCCGCTCAGAAGTTTTGCGCTTGGGGAGCGGCCTGCTGTGCGGCAGCAGTCGCGGCGGCGGCGGCAGCGTGACGCTGCTCGGCGGTGCCGAGCATGAGAGCCTCGTTGACGTGCCGGAGACGTGCGGTCTCGGCCTCTGCCTGCTGGAGTCTCGTCTGGAGCTGCTGCTGGGTCATCTCGAGATAGCGGATGTGCGTGGTGGCTGTTGATCGCGATCAATGCATGATCGGCCATCAAAAGTAGGAACACTCGCCTCGGTCCAAGAGCGACACTTTGCTGGACTTCTGGTTGGACACCGGCAGGGCATCCTTGAGCCGGCGGTACCCGTCGCGGAGCTCGTCCCGTCTCCGCTGCTCCGACTCGATGCGCTGGCGGCGGATCTCCTCCCGACGCATCTCGTTGTTCGCGACATTGCCGGGGTTAAAGTCGACGTCCTCGTCATCGCTCGCAAACTCGTCGGAGGCCTTCGACCGCTTCTTCTGCTGGCGCGCGGAGGAACGCGTGACGGCGGCGGCAGCGAGCGGGTTGAAGCGATGTGAGCGGGGGACCGCAGCGAGGGAGCCTGGGGGCACAGAGGGACCGGGCGACTGGGTGCCGCTACCGCGGCGACTCCGGCCAGACGCGAGGCTGTCGGACGACAGCTCACCGGCACTGAGGTTGGAGAGCGCGCCGGGGTAGATGGCGGCGGGGGAGCCTGTGCTGTACGACTGGCTGGAGCCGTAGGTGTACTCGTTCAAGCTGTTGGAGAGGTTGAGCGAGTTGAACCCAATGCGCGGGGATCCCGTCACTGGCACTGCGGACGGTCTGTTAGATGATGCATGATGAGCATCAAAGAATGACGTACGACCCATGGAGGAGACGCCAAAGGGAGAGTGCGGGTACTGCAGGTAGTCGAGGCTGTTGAGCGGGTCGTAGTTGCCGAAGGCGGCGGCGTCCATGAAGTCAGAGTTCTTGGTGTGGTCGAGGACGTGTTCGAGGTGCGCGGTCTCCATTGTGCGATGCCGATGAGATGAAAGTACAGAAGGATGTGGGGAGTGTACAGATGCAGATGCTAATAAGTGAGACCCAGAAAAGCCAGATGCCTGAAGGGGACAAAACGCGCGAGCATTGGTTAGATGGTGTCGAGAGGGAAGTTGCGAAGGGCAAGGACTCACGATAAAAGCACAACAAAATTTCGCGGTTGCGACTTGGACGCGAGAAAACAATGGGACAATAAGAGAAGAAGAAACCGGCGGAGGGGGGCGGGAGAGATGAGCGGGGAGGAGGGGATAAGGAGGAGGGACGAGGGCGAGTCCTATATAACCCGAGACGGACGGGCTAAGGTCAATCAGACGCTGCCTCGTGTGGCGTGACGTGACGGCGTTACTGGTGTTATGCCTTCACAGAACGCAAAGGCAAAGAAATGGGTCCGCGCGTGACTGGAAGAGTGTGATGAAATGCATCCGCGGCAGGATGGTTCGGGCTGCTTCTCATCTGCTGGCCCTCCGTCCGGTGCCAGGGCTCATCGGACTCCTCCCCATCGTCCGAGGCCCTCCTCCGCAGCTGCTGACCACTCTCCATTCCCACTTCCCTCTGTCCGCTTTCGCTTCCATCGTCTCTGCCCTCGCGCGCTAGCCCCCGTTCTATGAACCACCCATCCCCGACCGCGCAAACCGTATCATCCCTGCCCGGCTGCCCTGCTTCCTAGTCCATTCGGCGAGAAATTTTGTCCTGTGGGGCTCTGTTCACCCATTCACTTCACGCGGCTCCTCCCCGGCACACGCCCATGCACCACCATCTTGGCTTGATCCCCCCCCTCCTGGAGCTAGGATCCGGGAAATGACGGGGCGGGTCGACCCAGCTCCTCGCTCGCCTGGGTGTGCGCCCTCCCCTAGCGAGCATATGCACAGGCGGACGATTCATTTTACGTGTCCAGTCCCGCGTACTGTCTCCATCGATCGCTCCTAGCTAGCTTATCTGCGTATCACCCCCTCCCAAGGCCCCCAAACGCATATCCTCGCTTTCCCCACCATCAGCTCGCCCAGTCAGCGCCACCCCCCGAGCACCTTCCCGTCTCACTCTCGCCCTCCGGCCCGTCACCCACCCCGACCCACCCCTTCACGCCTTTAGCGACGCCTCATGGCCCCGCATCAACTCAGCGCCTGCAGCGTTGTTTTCATCTCCCCCTGCCGGACCTCGCCGCGCCGCCGTCTGTCCTCTATGTCCCTCGGTTTGCCCTTTCGCGCAGGTGGACCGCTCCGTCCGGATGCTCTCGCCCTACTTTGTCCTGTTCCGATCAATCCGTCATATCCCTCACAGCGGCTCGCGACAGCTCTCGTCCGCCCACGACAGAAGTCGCGACATCTTTGCCATGGGCGGCCCTGCAAATTCGGCCTGCGCCGGACGGAACTCTATCCATGTGCATCTCTCATTACCTGTCGTAACTTTGCGTTATTTGGCGCTTCAATGCATTCAAAGTAGCAATGTAATTGTTCCCGCGAGCGCCCTGCAAGCGCTCGCAGTTACGACACGGAAAGACACAGTGTAGCGCGCGGTAAAAACAATAGCAGGTATCAGGAAGGCGAGGTAAGAACAGTCGTGAGATGTCGTCGAGTTAGCGCAATAAGTCAGTCATTAAGGGGTCGTAAGTCGTAGCGTGGTCGTGACGTGCCCAAAACAGGGCGGGAAAATGAGGGCAGCGCAAAGACAGGCCAAAAGCGAAACAATGTTCAATGGGCAGATGAAATGTCCCCGAGCCGGACGTAGGTGTTCTGTTGTTCAAGCGTTGTAATAACCTGTGCAAGTTGTGTGTGCTCAATCACCGCGCATGGAACGTGCTTATGGGGAGGGCACTCACCGCCGATCGAGGGCTTCATGCTCGTGTAATGCTCCAAAAGTTTCTGGTACCGCCATGTCATGAAGAACATGTACATCTGTCACCCGGAGTTCAGAAAACAGTGCCGTCCCATATCACGCGGCCCGCGCCCGGGGGACGGGGACCTGGGTGATTCGAATTCAAGCGCCGCTTACCTGGAATACAAGGTCCACCAGTAGCGCGACGATGAAGATGATGTAGAGGCTCGGGAACCCTGCGGTGCAGAGCACGGATGGCATACTCGTCGTTCCGCCGTAGCCCAAGGCCGCCGACGCAGGCCATAGCTGCTTCCCGTTCTCGCATTCCCAAATGAACTTTGCCTTTCTGTAAAATGAAATCGATAACGCGATATGCGCGCGTCAGATGGGCCGTAGATGCGGGTCACGGTGTGGGAATGAAAACCACAAATGTTCGAAGAGAAGCGGAGTAAGTATGGCCAGGCACAGTGAATATCCATAACGCGTCGAAGTGTGGACATGAAAATGATACAAAACTTCCTGAGCGGTCGGGGGGCGCCGGGGAAGGGCCGAGCACTCATCAAACGTCATCGGGGATAACATCGATAAATACACACTGGGGGTACGGATGTGCCCATTCAGGAATGCCGGCAAGTGCGTCGACATCCCGGTGTGATGGGACACCGACTGAAGGGTACCAATTCTTACACGCACCGCAGACAAAAATGAATACGCAGCTGGCGGTGATCAGCACGCATCAAACGAGCAGCTCGCGGAATCAGAATAGCGAACGCATCGGTAAATGAGAGGAGCAAGCCAAAGGCGTGAAATTCAGGAGATCTACGCACCCGCGTTGAAGCTCGACGATCATGATGATGGCTCGAACTGCAGAAATTACGATGACGAATGGCCATAGGAATTTGCATGCGCGGGTCCATATGTAGCTTCGCTGGTGAAGTCAAGATGCATCGACATTAGCCACCGTTCAAGGAGGTGAAAAATGAAGGGACTCGCGTTGGCAAGAGCGAGCATATTGATGACTGCTACGGCGCCAACGCCGAGGCCAATTCCACCGTAGATCGACCTGTCGGCGCGATGTGCCGTGAGCAGCGCAAGCACGGCAAATCTCACGATGTACGGACCATTCAGGAGAGGTGAAGAAGATGTATTCGCCATATATGAGCAGGAAAACGCCTCCGGCTATACTGTACAGCTACAAAGCAAACAGTTTCAGAAACAACTCGCCATGGATTTGATGGATGCATACAGCCATGACGATTGCCCAAGCCATAGCTCCATGGCGCTGCGCGAACGATACGGTTAGGATTCTGCGGCTCGCGACGATCATGAAAGCGCGGTGCATACCAGAGGCAGAACCAGAAGACAGTTGTCGCACCTAGAGCGATGGACTGATATGAAACCGGAAGGGGTCTTGGCGGGAGGTGCGCGCAGAGATGCTTACCACATCGTGAAGGATCAGTGTATCGGCTATGTGCTAGAACGAGCGAATTTGACGACCAATTTGTCCAGAGCGTTGCCCAGCAGTTGTCTTGACGTCCAGAGACTTGGTTGCGAGCGACTGGGTCGTGAAGGGATCCTGGGACTGCTGGGAGCAGGGAACGAAGGAGCAAGGGTAGCCTGGGAGCCCGCCGTCGCTGGATGAGACGATCCAGGGCACGTTCGCTCCTTCGAACGTGACCTGCGTGACACCCGACCCCGACGTCACATTCGCATTTCCAACGAAATTCAGAGAAGTGATCCTGAGTGACCGCCGTCACGCTTGGGCGTTAACCAACCTTGTGAAGCGCGGCTTCTTGGATTCGGAAAGATATCATCTTGGTGTTGGCATCCGCGAAAGACACACCGTGCCGACGTACAGGCGACAATTCGCCTCGCGCGGATGGGCTGCTGCTGTAGCCTCTGTCATGAGCTCATTGCCGCGCTCGACATGGACTGGGGTGAGTAATCCAATGATATCCAGCCTATTTCTAGGGGAGGCGCCTGCCGTAAGTGCTGGGCAGAACTGAATGTGGGCATGTTCGAGACTTACAATACTAGCAGATGACTTCATAGCAGGGCGCCACAACCGCTTCACATGTCGGAGAGATTGAGACGACGACTGCAAGATCCGCTCGCTCACGCTGTGCATCCGCATCCCGCAATTCTAGGCGCAATGTACGCGAAGGCATTCATGTCCATGCCAAACAGTGTGCCCGTGCAAACACCGTGGTGGCCCACTCTTTGCTTGGCGCTGCTTGTTCAAGTTGATGCAATTGAACGGGGCACCCTTATTGAACATGATCCGTCCACAGGACCCGCTGACCGGTCCCTCTCATATCCAGTGGGTCCGAGGTAGTTTCGTATGCACGTTGAACGCTCTGGAAGACCGCCACAACGCTGAATCTGCTTCCTTCGATTCAGCCCTCGTGGTTTCGGATCGGTGTTCTAGCGTTCCATGGCGTCGCCGCTCGCGCGTTCGTTTTGGCGTTCATCTCCGGTATCAGTTCCTACCCCGCGGCTGCGATTGGTGTTCCACTGACAGACGTCCCGACCTTCCTGTATTGTGTCCCCATCGCAGCGGAGATCCTCTACCGTCTATATTGCCTTCTCGCAGATAACGGCCTTCGCATCGCAATCTAGGCCGGACCGCTAGCCTGCTATTTCCCCCCGGTACTAGTTGCTTTGTCTTTTGGCCACCAACTGAATTCATTGATCTGCGCTCTGCCTGGGCTATTTCTGACAAGATACTTCATGTCGATACATATGCGCCTCCCTGTTTCAGGCGTCCATACGAGATGTGCACGACTCCGAGAGTACACGAGGTCCCATGGGAAGCGTTTCCATTCCCGTCCCGTCACCTGATGAAGGGCTTCACAGTCTGGTGCGCCTTCCCTTACGAAACGAAGCTTTTTTCTAGTCAAGTGCCCACGCAGCTACTTCTGACGGGCGCTCATACGGGGACCCAGGGGACGCCACTCACGCCCATGATCGGAAACGCCAGTAGTGCTCCGCCATTGGGCTCAGAGCTTACGCCACAGCGCACGTCGTCGGCTACGGACTCAATGGGAGCCCGCCGGTTGGTATCCGCGTGGTGATCCCGCTGCCGTAAGCTACAGCCTAGAGAGGTTGATTGGCCCCAGAAAGCATGCACATCTACCTCTTGCGCGAGCGCTCAAGCGCGGAGACTGGCATTGCAGCCCTGTCCAGGCTGCGATCGCCGAAGTTATGACACGCCCTTGCACCCAGGCCGGAACCTGCTATCCTTTCGAGGCTGCCCCGGGGGCGTCCGTATCTCCGGGAAGGTTTGTCCAGATAGCTGTGGGTTCGTCATCTGGGCACGCTGCACTGGGCTACATGTGCTTTCTCCAGATGCGCAACGGGGAGAAGCTCGCTTCCTGGCCTTCTTCCGTCCCCTGACTTCTTTCCGCCCCTACTGTGGAGTTTTGACTCGATGAGCTGGGATGTTGGCGACATGAATCCCGGGGAACTTCATTTCATGTTGCAAATGGCGCTGCATTCTCCTTCGGGCTCTGTCTTCTGCCCCTCCGTGCACATGAAAAGTGTGCGGCTCCGCTGGTGCTGAAGGACATGATCCACAAGTGATTGACTTGAGTGAGTTCATTTCTATCCCTATCTCATGCGACTAGCCGCCGCACCAGAACGTCGGCAACACATGTACCGTCGAGCTGTGAGAGTCCAAATGGTCTCCCTTTCATTCCGACCCTGTGGTCACCACTTCCTAGCCACCTTGAGACCGAAGATGGTGCGGGCCGCCGCCGTCCGAGCGGGATAGAGTTTAGTATACCCACAATGAAAGGGGCAGGTCTCATCTGCAGATCTGGCGTCGAAGGGTCTAACGCAGAGTGGCACCGATTTCTCCCATGGACCTGGTGAGTCAATCAATGTTCCCTCGGAGGCAGTCGTGATCTCGACCGTCGAGCAACCCACCCCGGAAACGTCGACGCATGCTAGGAGCAGGGCGCCAGGCTTAATGCGCAGGACGCCCACGGCTGACTCTTGTTCCTGGAGATCAGCCTGGAGAGCGAGCGCGTCGCGTACGTATACATGTCCTGAGTGTCTTCAGCGGCTGGCTCGGCTACCTTGCGAATCCGCGCTGCTATTTTTTTCCTACCGCTCCTCCTACTAAGGTAAACGCTGTAGCTGATCGCCGGGTCACACGCTAGCGCTTACCACATACGACCTTACTCACTTCCGTCAGCGGGGCGTAACTGGTGCACACCCAAATACACAGCCCACACTGTGCCTCGAGTACAGGTGGTATGAGTCAAGGGTCGGGGGCTACGCCCTCTGGTGCTGATCCACGTTCAGCGTATACCGGGGACCTCCACAGCCACTGATACTTATCGGCGCGGCGACGCAGGAGAGGTCGCCCAAAGCGGCATAACGGCCTCGCCGTCTGCGATGATCTCCCGTCTATCAGCCTGGTGGGCGCGGTGATGCGCTCGCAGGCTGCGGACTTCCGCGATCAGACATGTCTACGTCTACACCTCAGGTCAGCAAATGCGGCCCTGCCAGCAGCACTGCGCTAGACGTTAATATCCGCCTTTGGCCGTAGCTCGGTGATGCCCTGCCATGTCACTAGAAGGCGTCTACAATAGCATAGCGGCACGTCTACGTAAAACCTCACTTACGGCATAGGCTGCAGGCAGGGCGAGGGTCGGAGGCTTGGCCTCCGAAGGTCACTTCCTGACTAGAAACGGCTGCCAAGGGGATTATGCTACGTCGTCGATTTCGCTTCGGATGTCCTATTGTGCAGTATGGTCGTCGCGATCCATTACTCAGTGCTGTTACAAATGTGTTGTTGTGGGAGAAAAAAGATGACAGAAAGTGAGAACGTGAATGCGCAGGCAGGACATGGTGTGAGCGAAACCAAGATAACGTAGACGGTTTCTTTCGTGTTCTACAAAAATGTTCGTTACGGGTAACAAGAGATCAAGCGTGGTGGAAAGGGTGACGCAGCGGAAAACAAGGGTCTGACGGACGCACAGCAGCAGCGAGGTTCGCGGAACCCTTTTACCTCCCTCAAGTCGCTCGGGCCGTGGCAAGAGTATACGCAGGAGCTCGACGTCCTTTGAGGTCGTCAATCAACGAGCGTCAGTGGGTCTGAGACCGACTGCCTCGGATCGAAGCCGCGAAGGTGTCCAGCAACGGGCTCCTTGTAATGCTCCAGCCTGCAGCGTCCAGCTGCAGGATCTTGCCGAGGCCAGGGCGCGAGTCGAAGGTGGCGTGTGGGTGGGTGAGCGCGTGTGACGGTGAGCGCACCAGGCGCTCTACGCGATTGCCAGCGCCTCGAGCTCGGCCAGTGGACTCGGGCCTCATTACGGAAGAGGACCCGCCTTCCTGCACCTTCTGTGCCAATAGTACAACGCGCGTCCCGGAGTGGTGTCGGAGACCCTGTGGTGAAGAAAGGGGAGACGAGAAGCAGTGGCATTGTAGTGAGAGGATGGATAGACATTGGAATTGAGACAACTTGTAATTGCAGCAAGATAGAAGAGATAGGAATAAATGTCCGGGACTCGGTGGAAGTGCGGGTTGACGGCCCATCGTGCATCAGAAGTCTGCCTCCGAGGCGGCCGGACTGTCTGAATCTTCCCGTAGCGGCTCTTGTCCGGCAACAGAGGTGAGCTGATGTTGCTGCTGCGGCGCCGGAACCTTGGTTTCCTCAGGCGGGGGCGACAGCGGTCGAGAGTCCATATTGACCTGCCCGGGGGACGGCGTGTTACCGACGCCGAGAGAGATCTTCTCGTTGAGCGAGCGAAGTCGTCCAACTTCCGACTCTACCTGGGCAAGGCGCGCTTGCATTTGTCTGTTAGACTTTTCGAGGGCAGTGATATGATTGCACGCTTGGGGAAGATGAACGACGATCAGCGAGGAATCCCCAAAGGATAGTGACTGCGACTCACCTCGCTCTAGGAGAGAGACCTTGCTGCTCTTCTGATTGGAGACCGGAAGAACATCCTTTAGTCTAGCGTACCCGTCCCGGAGCTCGTCCCGACGCCGCTGCTCTGCCTCAATTCGCTGTCTGCGCGTGGCCTCTTTCCTTGTATTAGCGAGGTTCTCTGCGGAGTGTATGCCACCCATGTCTTCGTCGTCTGAAAGGGAGCGGCCGCGACTTCGGCGACCGGCGGAGGAGCTGGTGGGGGAAGGGGTCGGGTTGTACCGCAACGGGTGCCGGTGGACAAGCGAATTAGCACGGGACGAGGAGGGGGAGCCCGTGGCAGAGCTGTTCCTTGAAGGATGGTAGGGGCCGGACGCGGATGTCTCCGATCCGGAGACGGGGGGCGAGAGCGGGTCATACATATTGGGTGATTGAGGGGGAGGGGACGCGGAGAGAGGCATCACGCCATGAGGCGGCGACGCGGTGTACACGGGTGCGGGATACTGCTGGGGCATCATGTTGAGCGACCTTTGGTACTGCATGGCCTGGTGTAGGTCCGACTCGCTCATTTGGCCTGTAGGCGTGCCGGCCAGAGGAAGGCAACGCGAGGGGCGGGTGCATCAGATCTACATTGTCCGCTGAGATGAAGAATGACAGAAAGCACCCACGCGGAGGAGGGCCGGGATGCACGACCTGATAGGGAGGCATCTGCTGAGGGTACATGAGGTATGCGCCGTCATCTTCATTCGCGTACATCGGATAGGTCTGGGGAAGGAAATTTGGATTGGGATCGTCCATGGACTGGTGATGGTGGTGGTGGTGGTGGTCCATGGTGGGTCGTGTCGTGCAATGTGTCGTGAGGGAAGAGGAGGAATAAAAGACGGAGGAAAAGAAAAGAAAAAAAAGACGGGCAGGGAGGCGAGGAGAACAGAAAGACAATGCCCAAGTCCCCCCGGTGGCGGATCCTCAATTACGTCCAGGACAGACCCGTCCTCGCCGCCCTCAGCGCCCGTTTCGACTTTCCCACGCACACAGGCGCCCGCGATTGCCTCCGCCCCGACGTCGCTGCAGCCATGGCAGCCTATTGTCCCCTCGACCCTGCCAACTGCCCCGGCTGCCTCCAAACAATCCGCCTCCAAAGAGAGCGTACAAATAATTGTGTCTTCGTCGCCCTCTGTGCCCAGGACACAACACAGTCATCGCACCGTCCTTATCGTGCTCCATCACAGGCGCGAAGATGACCCCACCCCCGCAGCGCGAGCCTCGAGGACCCCCCCAACACGCCCTTGCCCAGGGCACACACAGAGTCCGCATCGATACCCAGGCGTCCCGGTGTTCCGATACCCGACGATCTCTCAGCCTCTCCGGCTCATCGCAGTGTATCTCACCCGGGTCACCAGATGCCATCGTGAAGTGGCAGAGTGCTAGTTACTCTCAGTTTCTATCTCGATAGGCGAATCCGTCGCATAGCTGTTAGCATTCCGTGGACACACAGCGGAGCTACCGTTACGATTGAATCACATCGTTCTCGCCCGTACCCGCAGGTCGTGCGCCCTCACTGCCCGTCTGCGCCTCCAGATCATGCGCTTCATCTTCGTCCTGCTCGTCCAGGTACCCTGGCGGGCCATGCATCATCGGCTCATCTTCCCCACCTAATCCCCTATAGCCGCTTCCGCCGCTACGTCCCCCGCCGCTTGACCGATCCCTGATGTGGTCGATGCGATCGCGCACCCATGTCATGGTCCCGCTAAACGAGATGATCGAGAGCCGCGGAATTTGGTCGAACCCTCGCAACTCCAGTACGTAACGTTTGTAGAAGGTTCCCACAATGATGTAAAGCATGAACGCAGTCGTCAATCTATTTTTGATCAGACTCGAGTTTCGCTGATGATACCGAATAAATGCAACTCACATAGCTGCGAGGACGGTCAGAAATCCTATGCGGCCTGTTTTCTCATGCGTAGGACAGGCGACCTGTGAAATCGCGTCATATCAGTACAACAGATTCAAATCCTAGTAGACGATCGCCCTACATGGGTCCGCCACTCCATGAAGAATGCGCATGCAGAGTCGTCGTCCGGTGGCAATTGCGCCACAATATCAGGCTTGCCTATCCAGCACTAAGCCACTCCTTTTTCGACCCGACCTCCCGATGAGCATGGACTGACCTGCTTCAAACACCGAAGTATCGCATATGAATCGGATAGCCGTAGAGCCTCGCGTCGACTCTGCGCCGGGGCAAGGAGACCCATTGGTCATGACTAGCATGGGGTGCCCATTCTGGACTGTCAGCGTCGTGTTTGTTTCTCTATGACACTATTAAGTCATTCCTGCGCGTGGCGCGGCACGTACTGCCTATGCTCACCCAATAGAGAAGTCGCCACGATCATGACGGGTGAATCCAGCGACATTCTCGGGATTGTCGACCTTCGGGGCCCATACATCATGGTTCACAGGCTTGCAGACATTCAGGACGAAATCCTTGCCGTCGGGCGACTTGAACTCGTAGTCTTTACTGGAGAGCTGGCGTGTGTCAATTTCCTCCATGAATGTCATACGAGCTGCATCTACGCACTTCGACTTGAGGGGACTCAGGTCGTAGTAGTCATCGCCGTCATGGGCGGTACATGGCGCCTCCTCCGCGCGCACGACGGCGAGCAGGGCGACTGCCGATAAGAGAATTGCGCGCATGCTTGGGCTATACTTCATGTTCCCGTTGTGGCCTCAGTACCCTCGTAACAATGTTGGATGCAGGTTGTCTGCGTATAAGTTGTGCAAGGCGTGCTGCGCCAACCAGTGACCTTGACTTCGCCAACGTTCACGAGCGCTCGCGTCGCGATTGAAGCAATGACGCTTACCCACGTGACCGTGAGCGCACATCACCATATTGAGACGCAACGGCAGCGCCGAATGACAACTGTTCCGTTTGGCACCGACAACGTCGACGACGATATCTTGAGCATACACCTAGAGTCCGGCGACGATGGCCTCGACGCTCCTCCGTCGCCAGCTCGCGCGGGCGCCGCGTCTGTCCACGGCGTCCTCGCCGTCTTCTTCGCTTCTCGCCAACCGCCGTCACCTTTCGAGTACCCCGGCTGCACTGCAGGCCGAGCCCGTGGTGGATCCCAAAGCTACCGCGCAGACGGCGGGTGTGAAAAATCTATTGAACACGCATACGGTAGAAGATCTGCAGGGGATTCACGCGTCGGATATTCTTGCGGAGACAGGTACGAGGAAGGATGCGCAGATGAGGCATTTCACTGGTGAGTTGTTGGCGGCATACTCCTATTCACATTGCTGAATTTTGTCGCGAAATAGTGAACTTTGGGTATGCGTGTATCATGAGTTAACTTGTATGCCTCTTATACATGTGATTTTACAGTCCACAGCACCCTGCTGCCCACGGTGTGCTTCGTTTGATCTTGGAGCTGAATGGCGAGGAAGTGTTGCGCGCGGATCCCGTCAGTACTATCTGTGCGGGCTGGTCCTTGTTCTTTGACTTACGCTCAACGAATAGCACGTCGGTCTTCTCCACAGAGGAACCGAGAAACTCATAGAGTACAAGACCTACACTCAGGCATTGCCATATTTTGATCGACTCGACTATGTCTCCATGAGTATGCTCTACATATTCTGTTGTTGCATCCAGACCTCATGCGCGGTATAGTGACGAACGAGCTGTGCTACTCACTGGCTGTCGAGAAGTTACTTAACATTGAGGTTCCTGAACGCGCGAAGTGGATCAGAACCCTTTTCGGAGAGATCACCAGAGTCCTGAACCGTAAGTTTCTCGACGATAAATCTCTTTTGAAGCTCATTTCATGATAACAGACCTTATGGCTGTCCTTACGCACGCCATGGATGTCGGTGCCCTCACGCCGTTCCTGTGGGGTTTCGAGGAACGCGAGAAGCTCATGGAGTTCTATGAGCGCGTCTCAGGTGCTCGTCTTCACTCTGCGTATGTGCGTCCAGGCGGCGTTGCGTTCGACTTGCCGCATGGACTGCTGGAGGACATCTACCAGTGGGCGTCGCAGTTCGGTTCTCGTGTAGATGAGATCGAGGAGGTCGTCACTGGTAACCGTATCTGGAAGGAACGTACAATAGGCATTGGGCGCGTCTCGGCGAAGGAAGCATTGGACTACAGCTTCAGTGGTGTCATGCTGCGAGGCAGCGGTGTGCCATGGGACATTCGGAAGATTGCGCCGTACGACAAGTACGACGAGGTGCGTCTCAACTTGGACGATGATGTGCCATTCTGGGTTTAGACTGGAGGGCTTACGATGGTATTTATTCTAGGTTGAGTTCGATGTCCCGGTCGGTAAGAACGGTGATTGCTATGACCGATACCTCTGTCGTGTGCAGGAATTCCGAGAGTCATTGCGTATCATTGACCAAGTGAGCTATCTACGCACCTCACGGTGGTATAATCTCCTTACTTTCCCCTCCCCAGTGTTTGAACAAGATGCCCACCGGTGCCTACAAGGTGGATGACTACAAACTTGTCCCCCCACCACGCGCTTCTATGAAGGAGAGCATGGAATCCCTCATCCACCACTTCAAGGTTTGCCACGATATATGACATGGGGAGGGCGTCTACTTAGTTTCTATTTGCCCCTAGCTTTTCAGTGAGGGTTACTCTGTTCCTCCAGGCGAGACATATAGCGCCATTGAGGCGCCTAAGGGCGAGATGGGCGTGTACCTCGTGTCGGATGGCTCGAATCGTCCATACCGATGCAAGATCCGCGCGCCTGGTTTCGCGCATTTGGCAGGTGCAGACATGATGATGAGACGTACGTGCCCCGTGTTCTCCCAGCGTCATTCTTTTTTTTTGCTAATGGTTACTCATTTACAGATGTAAGTGCTTCGGCGCCGATGGTAATCGATGTATGGGGCTTTACACTTTCCAACAGCACTTCATCGCCGACGTTGTGGCCATTATTGGAACCATGGTAAGTGCTTTTAGCCGCGTGCATTCTCAGGCATGCTGACCGACACTCCTTCCAGGATCTCGTATTTGGGTACGTTTCCCCGCCCCTCCAAGCTGTCGGTAAGGCTTTCTATACTAACTCTTCCTGTGTACCGTAGGGAGGTTGATCGGTAACCTAATATATCGCTGCGCGTTTCCATTTCACGATGTGTGCATTCCTCCGAAATATGGCAATAGATCAATTGTATATGATGCACTGACTGGCGCGGAGAGATATCTTGTGCAGACGAACAAGGTGGGCAGGGCAGTCGGGTGCAGATACGCTGCAACATGGACCAACTCCTATAAATGCACCGGTGCTTCTTTGTACAGCTCGGTATGGCAAGGATCTTATACAATGACAAGAGGGTGGCAATCCTCCTTGCTTACTTGTACATCAAGTGTTGGTGGCTCGGATGTTCCAGAACGCGCGTCGAAGGATAGCTCGCGCACTAATTTTTCAGCAAGTACAGGTAGATACCCGCGCTCTGTATTCGTGTGGCCGCCTGCGACGCTAGGTGAGATCCGGTAGAAAGCATCCCATGGAAAGAGACATACATAGGATAACATTGTGGCCGCTAGCCACGGCCGCAAGCACCTCGTGGTGGGCCATCTCGCCTGTGAAGTAGACATCGGCGTCTACTCCGAGGAGCACTGAACCTCCAGATCCTGCGCACACTGCGACAGATTGGACGTTCGTCAAATCGCGGGCGGAGGTATATGCGACTTGGACTATAGGTCGTGTTAGGTGAAATCGTTAATAGCAGACAATGGGAGCCGCATACTGTGATCCAATTTTAAATGACTCTTGATCCTGCGCTGCAATTCCTGCATACTGACGGGCTCGCTGAGCTTGATCATGCGGCCTGAGCCGCCCAAGCCTTCGCTGTTGGGTTCGCCGATGTATCGCCATGCATCCCGTGTTGGGACGAGCTGGTTGTTGACACCGAGACAGAGCCAGTCGTTGATCCCGCCTATGACGGAATCAAGAGCAGTGTGTGGAGTATATATGGAGATTCCCGCGGCAGCACAGCGCAACAGCGATCCCTGCAGTGGGTTGGATAACGTCAACGCGGAGAGAGGCTTGAAGATTGGCGGGTGGTATGACACAATCATGGCGGTGGGTGAATTGAGGGCTTCAGCGCATACGGCTGGTGTCAAACTTGAACAGTATTAGGCCCGGTGCAGGGAGGGATATGATTCAAAGTCGTACTCAATGGTAAGTAGTACGCGGTTGGCATTTGCGCGCTGTTGGGGAGCCTCTGAAGTGGACGAGAAGGTCGCTCAGGCATGTTTCCTGGAATGACTGAGACCCAAAATACCGATGATGAGGCCAACCTGGATGAAACTCAACTTCAGCAACACTTTTTATGCCGCCGTTACTCACGTTGTCCCATTTCTCCGCGAGGCGGAGGGGTGCGATGCGCTCGAGCACGCTGCAGACAGTCTTCACGATGGACATGGTTATGTTTGGCACGCGCTCAAAAAGGCAAGGCACCATGCAATGACGCACACGTGACGCGGATAACGCGAGAGTGTGTCATCGCTGCAGGCTTCAAGCCCGCGCCAGGCCCGGGCTGACAGACGACTCGGATGCTCCCCCGACTATATAGAGGCTTCAGTTCCGGTTTCACAACTCTCTTCTTCTCACAGACCCCCGATCCTGTAAGCACCAACCGCATCGTCAGTCGCAACGGCTGCCCCATCTTCTTCCAACCCTTCTCCTTACCAGCGTAAAGTCATGGCTGCTAAAGACCTTGTCGAGGTGAGTCCCTAGACGCGTGCGGGCGATCCATCGTTGATTGCTATCGTGTCCCCCGTCAGTCCACTATCTCCAGCAACAAGATTGCTATTTTCTCCAAGAGCTGGTGCCCGTACTGCAAGCGCGCCAAGCAGCTTCTCACCACCAAGTTCCCTGACGTCCCCACCAAGATCTACGAGTATGTCCTAGAATACTCATACTAGCTGTGGGGCTCATGGCGTTCTATCAGGCTTGACGAGCTGGACGAGGGTGACGCGATTCAGGCCTACCTTCAAGAGAAGACCGGCCAGAGGACTGTGCCCAACATCTTCATCAGTACGCAATTTGCGATTGCATCTGCCCTGCAGTCACTCATGTACCGATTCCCCCAGGCCAGCAGCACGTTGGTGGCTGCGACAGCGTTGTGGGCTTGGACTCCCAAGGCAAGCTCGCGGGGCTTGTTGGAGCGTGAGCGTCCTTCGCCGCCGTCCGTACATTATGGAATTGTAAACGCGAATTCCTGACTGGCAGACCTGTTTCGTCGTCGCGGTTGTAAGAATAATACAAAGAATATATCGGAAGATCGTCTTGTAGTCAGATGGGGACAATCGTTGCTCAGCGCTACTGCATTCCGCTGCCGAGATTCTGAATTCTCATGGGCAGGTATTTCCGCTTGTGCACGCACGGCCTGAATAGAATGGCTGCATCGCAACTATACTAGGTCGTTGGTTAGCAGACGATGAGACATCTGTCAGCTAACCGAATAAATTAGTGTTCAGCGAGACCTTTTGGCTGTCGTGAGAACACAAAATACATGTAGAACGGAGTTCCTGCCCGTCGAGCTGAAAGCTGCAGCGCAGAGTGCGGAGAACCAACGCGTACACGATCACTTGCGCCGATCACGATCGAGATGAGGGTGCTTGTCAGCGCCTAAGACTGGCTAAGAACGTTCATTGTGCAGTGACTGGGCTCGGCTCGGAAAACACGCTCGCTGCGATAACGGGAAACGAGCCACATATACAACCAACGAGGAGTTTTGCGAACATGTCATCTCAAGCAGCACTACAAGAAGACCAGCTTCTCGAGCTCCTTCTGCAGCTCAAGGTTGGTTTTCAGCTTGCACCCCACTCTAGGAACCTAATGTCCGGTCGCCATGCAGAAGACAACACCAGAGCAAGCTCGCGTCATATTGAACAGCCAGCCACAAATTGCCTATGCGTTAATGGCCGTAATGGTCAACGTCAACGCCGTCAATATGGACGTCATCCAGGTATGCTCACAAACCCGGTCCTTGGAGACGTTCTTATCGGGTCCCTTTGTGCTCATCTGCTCGCACTGGCATGTAGAAAACACTAGCATCATACGGTGCACTTCCAGCAGCCTCTTCTACTGCTCAAGCACCACCGCCGGCAGCCCCAGTCAGTGCACCTCCTGCCTCTGCCATTCCTCCCCACCTTGTGTCCCAGCCACCACACCGCGGGGCCACACCAACATACCCCTCTCAACCACCCTCTTATCCTTCTGGTGGCTACCCTGCACCTGCACCTGCACCTTCTGCCCCTCAGTTCAATGCTCCGACAGGCCCGTCAGGACCTGCCTCATATTCACAACCGCCTCAAGCACCTGCTGGCATGATACCATCTGCGCTTGCGCCGGCGCTGGCCAACATTCCAGACGACCAGAAGGTTTGCTATCCGTTCGTCATGTGCTGCGTTAGTTCATCATGGTGTGCGTTGTCAGGCGCTGATATTGCGGGTGATATCCATGACTCGCGAGGAGATATACCAGCTACCGTATGCCGAGAGAGAGAATATCATAAAGCTGGTGCGTAGGTTCATTTAGCATCAATGACGCATTTGTATTGATACATCAATAGAGGGCTACACTAGGGTTGCAAACATAAGGGGAATTTGGTGGGAGGAGTCCGTGTCTATTTTAAGACCAGCGGACACTTACACAAAAATACTGAGACGAGACAGCATTTCCTTCCAGTAGCTCGCTGTCGAAGGTTTGCTGTTGAAGGAGAATTGGCATACAGGTCCCAAGTCAGGCTTGACTGTGATTTAGTAAAAGATATATTTGTGAATGCAGCCACGGAGGCAGACTATTTATGACTACGAGATGAGCACCTGGCACCACGTACGCTAGATGAAGAGGCCGGAAGTCTACGGCCCTACACAACTGCTTTCGGCAGCGCCTTCGACCATCAAACCCCCACATAGATGACGGGGTTCAATGGCTAGAAACGTTCGCCCTATCTCCGACAAACTAAGATAGGTAAAAGGGTCACGGTCATCGACCAAGGTTTGACCAGAAGCACACGATGCAGGCGCCATGAAGCGGAACGAGTCTTAAATAGTCATTTCGATACCTGGCATGCCCCCATCCTGTGACGATGGCGCAAGTCGGGCCAGTTATCTCCACGTATGCAGTACGGTGCGTTCATATTTCACAAGAACTCCGTACGCCCTCCGCTCAACCGAAGGACGTGCACCGCATGGCTCAGAAGCGATCTCTGCCTATCAGCGGGAGTTGTGACTACATCAACAGCGTCCGCTGATAGCCATGGGACATATTGTACACAAATTGCTGACTATCTGTACTGACGACTGACGACGGCACGACTGCGCATGCCGTGAGCCAGTGGAGTGCAACAATATATTACAGGACGATAGCAAATCACTTGCACGAATAAGACGATTACGATGCACAGGCTAGTCATGTTGTGCAACCAGGCAATGGCGGACTCGACGCCGACACTAAGAGCTGAAAAGTGCAGTATATCAATATAATGCCATGCTACGAACATTGTTCACCTACCATTCCTCACGGAGTAGGGGCAAAGAGAGCCACAGTGGCGCACATCGTAGAGCAGGTCCCGAGTGCAGCGTTGCATGCGAGGATCGTTGCCGGGGCCGCAACAGCCGCCACGACCGTGCCGAACTGGAAACCAGCGGCGGCGTAGCAGGCGACAGCGACTGCGTTACAGCCTGTGGTGTAAAGGTCAGTGTAATTGAACTGCAGCGCAGGGACAGTGCTTACCGGTCTGGCAGACACCGTAAGCGATGGGCCCGGCACCCACAGGGGAGGCTGTCATGAGCGCGAGGGCAGCGAAGGCGGCGGCAGCTGTGAACTTCATGTTGGATATTCAACGAAGTGGTAGGGTGGTGGGCGGGTTTGCGAACGTAGTGGTTTGAGGACAAAAGACAGGGGACCTCGCACGAGGCTTTATACACGCACGCTCGGTGCGGCGGCTCGATGCGAGCAAGGGATCAGATCGGGTGTATTTAGTCGAACCCGTGTGACAGCTGGTTCCATATCGCTAGACCTACCTGAGAATATTTGTGCGCAAGTGGCTGATGCGGGATTCGGACGCAACGGTCGACCTGGCTGGACATCATCACAGCCACAAATTACCTCAGTAGCCCTTTGTTTCTAGGGCTCGCCCATTCGCGTCAGGGGTCCGCTTAGCACACACGGAGTTAAACAGGTCTAATGATATGGAATTAGCTGGAAGCACATCAAACCCAATCATAGGTTGAGTAAGACCGTCACCTTTTGGAGGAAAGTATCATTTCTAGAAGAGCTACGGTGACCAATGGTGCGATTTCTCGGACAGAACTTTCGTATCATATGGACAGTAGGACAGCGTAGGTCCTTCGAAAGAGCCAACCAGCTACCACACGTGGGAGGTGGCTTGCAGGAGTAGTGTGCAACCGAAATTCAATTCGGCATACCGGCCGCATGTTCACAGAAATGCCACACCAGCGTCTGGCCGTCCAAGGAGGGACTCAACGGTGGACGGTCACGTATGAGCGTGTAGGCGCTCGTGTGCACCGATCTCCACGTGGGCTGCGTAGCATACACCGCCGTACCTGTTCAGTCAACACACTCTAATCCCTTCATAATGGCGTCGGCTGAGGCTTCCTGCTACACTATCATCTATGAGGACAGCTCCGAGACGCCGTCTACTCAGGACCTCAGGACCGCCCTTCAGAAGGGTTCTGACGAGGTCAAGCTAGACACGCTACGCAAGATCATCGTCTCGACAATTAATGGGAACCATCAGGTATATTCAACTGTCTAGGGTAGTGGGTTTTGTGCACTGAACGCGGGAATAAACACAGCCGCAACTGCTCATGCCCATCATCCAATATGTCATGCCGTCGCGGAATAAGCAGCTCAAGAAGTTGCTACACTTCTACTGGGAAGTGTGCCCGAAGTATGACGACAACGGTAAGCTGAAGCAGGAGATGATTCTTGTCGTGTACGTCCTTGCTCTCTCTGCTTTCTACTTCACATTCTTACTATGCGTGAAGTAACGCGATCCGGAATGACCTTGTGAGTTCATGTGAGTATGGCATCCTTTAGGCAGTCGAGTGACTATTCGTGCAGCAACACCCGAACGAGTACATCCGAGGCGCGACACTTCGCTTCCTTCAGAAAATCTCCAAGGAGGCAGAACTCCTCGAGCCGCTGATCCCCACATGCCGCGCATGCCTCGAGCACAGGCACTCTTACGTCCGCAAGAACGCCGTCTTTGCTATCTACTCCATCTACCGCCAATTCGAGCACCTGATACCCGATGCCCCGGAGCTCATACAGACTTTCCTCGCTGCGGAGTCGGACGCGACGTGCAAGCGGAACGCGTTCGTGTTCCTCGCAAACTGTGCAATGCCAAAGGCCGTGGAGTATATCGTCCAGGTGTTCGATCAAATCCCAGCCATGGACGAGCTGTTGCAGATGAGTATCATTGAGGTCATCCGGCTCGACTGCAAGAAAGAGAGCCATTACAGGGTAAGTGAAGGAAATATAACACGCGGCGACCTAGCTCAAATGCGTTCTACAGTCTCGGTACATCTTGCTGATATCTGAGCTGCTGAACGCGTCCTCGCATGCTGTCAAATACGAAGCTGCGACAACCTTGACTAATCTCACTCAGAATCCTGCTGCTATCAAAGGTACGTTGTTATCTTCGCACATACTGTACCTTCGCCTGACGGTGACGCAGCCGCCGCACACTGCTACATTCAACTCGTTCTGAAGGAGTCGGACAACAATGCGAAACTCATTGTCCTCGACCGCCTGGACACGCTGCGCGCGAAACACGGTCATGTCTTGGACCCACTTACTATGGACATCCTGCAAATTCTGTCCAGGTACGCGTTGTGTACAATACACCGCCATTGTCGTGGCTGATCTCAGTTTATAGCGCCGACCTCGATGTTCGCCGGAAGGCGATCAACATTGTGCTCAACATGGTCACGAGCAGGAATGTCGAGGAGGTTGTTCTCTTCTTCAAAAAGCAGCTGCAGAAAACGCAAGAGCAGGACTTTGACAAGGTAAGGGAGCTTGCAACATCTCAAAGATTACGCTGACCTCTCCCTAGGCACCAGAGTACCGACAGCTCCTCATTCAGTCCATCCACGTTTGCGCTGTCAAATTCTCAGAGGTAGCTGCGAGCGTGGTCCATGCCCTCATGGATTTCCTCGGAGACTCTAACAATCCTTCTGCCCTCGATGTTGTCGCCTTTGTCAGGTGCGTATACGCGTACGCACATCCTCGTACAATCGCGTGACGATGGGTCATGCAGAGAGGTGGTCGAGAAATTCCCGCCCTTGCGTACTGCCATCTGCGAGAAGCTCACGCAGACCCTCGGGGACATCAAGTCTGGGAAGGTGTACCGCGGGGTGCTTTGGATCCTCGGCGAGTACACAGAGGGCGCGTCCGGAATCCAGGAAGTCTTCCGCGAGCTGCGCAAGGTGCTTGGCGAGATTCCCATTGTAGCGTCCGAGCAGCGGCTCCTGGAAGAGGCAGGCGGTGAAGAGGAGAAGAAGGAGGAGGAAGAAAGCCAGCCGAAAGCCGAGTCTACGAAGCCGCGCGTGCTCGCCGACGGGACGTATGCGACGGAAACGGCGTTCACAAGTGTGTCGAACGCGCGGTTAGAGGCTGTGAAGGCTGCTGCGAAGCCGCCTCTCCGAAGTAGGTTATATATGCTATTGAGTCCCATCCTTCCCTAACACATAGTTGTATAGCTCTGATTCTTGGCGGCGACTTCTTCACTGGCGCGGTGCTGGCCTCGTCTTTGACCAAGCTTGTGCTGAGGTACATAGAAGTTAGCAATGACCTGAAGAAAGCCAATATGATAAAGGCGGAGGTAACCGTTTGTCTGTCTGGCTCAGGAATGTCGTACTGACGTAGATGTGCTTGGTTGTTGTAGGCTATGCTGATCATGGCTTCCGTCATTCGCGTTGGGCAATCCAAGTTCGTCTCCGTCCCGATTGACGAGGATTCAAACGAGCGGATCATGAACTGCATTCAGACGCTCAGTGAGCTGCAGGAGAAGCCTATTGTACATGACATCTTCTTGAATGATACCCGGTCTGCGTACTCCAAGATGCTGCAAGCACAGGAGGTTTGTCATTCGGTTGTTTTTCCCTTTGTGTCCTGACGTCATGCGATGTTCGTGCTTGCAGAAAAAGGCCGCAGAGAAGAAGGAGCAGGAGTCTGCGAAGGTGAAGATCGTGCAGGTCGACGATCTTCTGACCTTCCGTCAGTTCTCAAAGAAGCCAGCGGACGATATGATCGACGTGGGGTCTGCTCATTTCGTTCACGCAAATCTGTGCCTAATATTAACATGTAGGATGCCGAAGATGTCGGTCGTGCGACAGGCTCAAGCGAAGTGCAGGAGGACTTCATCTCTAACCTCAGCCGCATCACACAGCTCACTGGTAAGGTTTTCATTACTTTCAGAAAGGATTTACCTGAGATCTGATGCATAGGCTTCTCGGACCCCATATATGCGGAGGCATATGTCAAGGTCCATGGATTCGATATCCTTCTCGGTATGACCACCACCACGTTTTAAGCTTCGCAACTAATGTCCTTTTCGCCAGACGTACTATTGGTCAACCAGACCGCTGACACATTGCAAAACCTGTGCCTGGACTTTGCGACATTGGGCGACCTGAAGCTGGTGGAGCGACCTTCTGTCTACACCGTTGCTCCGCATAGCTTCCAGAGCATCAAGGCAACGATAAAGGTATTACCGTCTTCGCCGGGACTGTATTGGAAGCACTGACAGTGGCGTGCAGGTATCCTCAACAGAAACTGGTGTTATCTTTGGCAGCATTCTCTGGGAAGGCCCAGGCATGTCAGAACAATGCGTCATCTTGAACGATATCCACATCGACATCATGGACTACATCAAGCCTGCATACTGCACCGAGGCGCAGGCGAGTGACGCGCCGCCGCTCAGTGGTCTAGTCCCGCTTAACTGAAATCCATCTTTAGTTCCGGAGCATGTGGACAGAGTTCGAATGGGAGAACAGGGTTAATGTGTCAACGTCTATTTCGTATGTGCCAAATGTCACATTTCCGCGCCCCGCGCTGATGTTAGTGGAACACAGCGACCCACGGGAGTACCTGCAACATGTCATGAAGTCGACCAATATGTCATGTTTGACGCCCGAGGGCGCTGTGTCCGGCGACTGCGACTTCCTGTCAGCGAACATGTACGCGCGAAGTCTCTTCGGTGAGTACTTTGTTCCGTGATTGTAGGCGATGCACTCAATCTAGGCACAGGCGAGGACGCTCTGGCGAATCTGAGTGTGGAACGAACGGAGGCAGGGACTATCATTGGACATGTGCGGATCAGAAGCAAGACCCAGGGCATCGCGCTGTCCCTGGGAGACCGGATAACGATGGGTACGTCGCGTGCCATGTGCTGCGGGGTCGCGCGTCTGACCTGGAGCGTTTGGCAGCTCAAAAAGACAACAAGCCGCCAGCGTAGGGGTGCGCCCTCTGTGTGCCTGAGCTCGATGTATTTATGGCTGGTAGATAACCCTGGACACAACGTTTGCAACGGTGCGAATTAGAAGTATGCAAGGCGGGTGAATGACCGGTGAGTTGTGTGTAATATGGTGCTTGCTGTGCAGTAGCACGTGGGCGAGGGCCGCCCGCACCAAACGCAGGCAAAATTTGAGTGATCGAGTGATCCGATCGAGCGTGCCTTGCGGGGGGAGCGCGCTAAGATATTCGCTTCGGTACTGTTATCGACGCCCCGCCATATCTACTCCGCCGTCCCCTGCGTCGGCGGGTTTCCCCTCCACGCCTCTCTCCCTCATGTCCCCCCGCCAGAGCGCCTCCTTCGAAGACGACAAGGAGAATGTCCTTGTCGATTCGGCTGCTGTCGACGCCCTCCCTGAGCGGTCTCCCGAGACTGCCATCGTCAAGCGCTATGGTCGCTTTGGACCAATCCTTGAGCGTATTTTCGCGAGCGGCGTCGAGGCGAGGGGAGTAGAGCGTGTGCCAGAGGATGAGCGATCGACGAAGAACATGTACAACAAGTGCGTATTGTCGGCGAAACCTCTTGGTCGTGTGCTGATCCCCCACAAAGCTTTTTGATGTGGTGGTCAGTAAACCTTTTCTGGCATGCAGCTCGAACGTCATGATGAACGTGGCATCAGTTCGGTCAACTGCGTACTCACGACAATTCCAATTGGAGTATTGGCGCAAGAGTATTATTCGCTGACTCTCCCGTGAGTCCTCATGATGCAATATATTCTTCACTTGCCTGACACCATGCTCGCAGACATGCCATTGCCACCATCTTGTGCTTCGGTGCACTGGGTGCCCTCTCTGTGGCATTCATCAGCACGCTTGGTCCGAAGACTGGCTTGCGCACGATGATCATCACTCGCTATAGCTCTGGCTATGCTGGCGGCATCATTTACTCCATCCTCAATATTCTTACTCAGTGAGTATTCGCATCGCGGCATCACCGTGATTTGTGTTCGAACCGTGCCTTCAACAGGCTTGGCTTCTCCGTCACAGCTGTCATCCTCGGTGGTGAGACGCTTGCCTCCATCAACCCTGGGACGCTTCCGCTCGTCGTAGGCATCATCATTGTCGGTATATGCAGTCTCGTGCCATGCTTCATCGGGTATGAGATGGTGCATATATACGAACGATACGCGTGGATGATCATGAGCATCGTGATGTTGTTCCTATGGGGTCTTGGAGGCCGCGCCGGCTTCGACATCAATACGCAAAAGCCGCTTGAGGCGACCGGCCGGGCACTTTCCGGCGACATCCTGACCTTCGGCGGCATCGTATTCGGGTCCTTCTCTGGTGTATGTATCTTCCTCCCTTAGTAGCGCATATAGCCAGCTCTGACCATGTCTTCTACAGTGGGCGCCGGTAGCCGCGGATTACAACTGCAGATTACCTGCGGACACGCCGCCTCTCAAGGTCTTCTTCCTCACCTTCTTTGGCCTTATGGTCCCGGTTTGCTTCGTCGAGATCCTCGGTGCTACACTCATGACCATCAGTGACCCTGCCTTTACGGATGTCATCGCGGCCGGCGATACGGGAGGTCTGCTCTCACAGGTCCTTTCGCCATGGAAGGGTGGAGGAAAGTTCGTTCTTGTCTTGCTCGCGTTCTCTGTGGTGTACGTGCCATCTTTCCTCCTTTCTTCCTGCTGTCCTTTGACGTTGCCCTTCAGCGCGAATAACATCCCGAATACCTACTCCGCTGGCATCTCCGTACAAGCGCTCGGGCGCCCGTTCGCGATTGTGCCGCGGTTCGTGTGGGTTTTCCTCGCATTCGTCACGTACACTGTCGCGGGTGTTGCTGGGCGCGAGCATTTCTCCGAGATCCTGTCGAACTTCCTGAGCATCCTGAGCTACTGGACTGCGTTCTTCATCGTTATTGTCGCAGAGGAACACTTTATCTTCCGCAGGAAGAATGGTCCGCTCGGCGGGTATAACCTGGATGACTACGATACGCCTAGCAAGTGAGTCGTTCCAGCTGGAAGTTGGTGCCTATCTGACATAGGGCGAAGACTACCGATAGGTTTCGCTGGAATTCTTGCGGGCTGCTTCGGCGTTGCGGGCGCTGTTGTTGGCATGTCTCAAGTATGTAGTACCATATTGATACGCATACAGTCACTCATCTCTTCGTTGCAGGTCTGGTATACAGGGCCACTCGGTATGGACGCAGGTGCGGATGGTTACGGCGCAGATCTTGGCTTCGAGGTACGTATACCGACGATGTTTATACTTCTGCTTGTTTAGTTGACGACGTTTTATTTCTTTGCTGCTAGCTTTCTGCCGCATTTGCCGCATTTATGTTCCCACCATTACGCTGGCTTGAGATCCGACTTACGGGCAGATAGCACTAGCATGACTGGAATGCGTACTATTTATCTCGATATATCTCGATCTCAGTAGAGGGTGGCTGTTGTATTTTGCGTAGACATAATGGAGTATTGTATCCACTGGTATGTTCCATTGTCGTACTGATCGACTCTTTCCAAGGAATATAAGTACAGAACGCGTCCGCCTATTCACTATCTCCGGTACATTGGTGATACGTCCGTTCGACTGAACTCACACCAATGTCCGAAGGAATTTCCTTCTGCTTAGTGGGCACGTACACGGAACATCTCGTCCACTGAGAACCCTATCTTCTATGAGTCTCACTACAACGGCGACGAGTAGAGCCAACACGGAACCAACAAAATCTCTGTTCATGGGTTGTGACACAAGTGCGCGGAAGTAATGACAGTTCAGGACCAGTTCCTAATCAGAGTATTGACCAATTAACCGTGACTCCGATGGAGCCTCCAGCTAGTCTTATTGCGCTGCGGGAACGTAATCCGTCTTCTGCTGAGCCTCGACCGCCGGTCTGCTTCCCCCCTCGTGGCCACGAGCACCTGTGGCGTCGACGAAGATCCCATCCTGAGAGGACTCATGGTGGGCAGAGAAGAGCATCGACCTCTTCGATGCGCTTCCAGATGGGAAGTTGAGAATCTCATCTTCAGACATCTCCAAGTTGCGAATCGGATCTTGCCTGTCGCGCGGGAAATGGACGCTCCGCGGGGTGCGGACTCCGCTTTCAGCGAGTTGCCCCTGATTTGCCCTACCAATACTGGCTGCCTTTTCGTCGATGATTTTGACCTGGTGGGTGATGAGTGAGAGTCATCCGAAATGCGGGTGGAATTACCTACGCGGCTAGCATTTCTTGAAGATACCAGGCTGTCGAGGGCCTCGTGGTGCGGGCAGCCAAAGCTCCCCGAATCTCCCGAAAACGACTTGATAGAAGACGCACCGCCGTTGTGGAGTAGTGTATGCTGTCCCTCTTCATCCTGCCCCTCGGCGATGTTCGTTGCCACATGGTCTGTCATCTTCGCTCGCCCACCCTCGGGTATCGTATGCGCATCCCGGTGCGTGACTCCGTGCGCAGGCGCGCTGCGGACTGATAACAACCATTCGGGAGTAGTGGCTCCACGGGACGTCCAGGTGCGAGTGATGGATAGCGTGCGTGTCTTGACATTCTCCCCGAGGGTGAAGAACGGTATAGAGAGGCCATCTGGAACGGAAACTGAGTCGGAATCATGGAATACAACATAATACTCACGAATGATGATAGACCCCAAGACGACGAAAGATACGATAATTTGCAGAGTTGCAGCAAGATGCTCAGCTTGATCTTTCGGCGGAGACTGTGGCGTCGGGAGCCTGGTCAGAGCGAGAGTGGACACAAAAATGGCTCCGACGCCCATCTAAGAGACTTTCAGTACAGCATATCATAAGCTCTGTCTTCTGCTCACAGGGCCTGCAATAAAGGTCAGTACACTTATCTTGCGACATCCGAGAAATACCTACCAAAATGTCCCGAGAAGAGAGCTTCACGCCAGTTGGCAATCTCTGGTACCCATTTGTACAACAGCAGCAATGGAGGGATGCGACGAAGGAAGACAATGGCAATAAACAGGAGAACGAGACGCCAAGGCGTGATGCCCAATTCCGGCGAGTTGAACTGCTCGAATGGCAGCCAAGCACCAATATAGATGAAACAACCGCAATTGAGCAGAAAGTCGATCACAGACGAGAAGACTTCTTTCTCGGTCTGGTCGTGGAAACGGCCATCCCAGTTGATGGCAGTACCTGCGATAAAATCAACAGCAAGGACACGCCTGTGTGGATGGTCATACCAGCTGCAAATGCACCGAGGAGGTCATCACTGCCAATGGTACTGCAGATCCCGATAGTGAGAAGTGCCAAGGCAAGGTACTGGGCCACGTATGACTCGCGGTCTATGAAGCCTTTGCGATACGAGAACTTCATGAGGTGACGAAACAGGAGACCTGCCGTCACGCTGCAGTTAGCATATGTACAGCGGCAGAGGTCCGCGGCTCGCCTAGTACCGCCCCAAGTACCGTGCCCAAAATGACTTGATCTATGGGTGTGTTAGAATAATAAAAGGACATTCAGTGAAGACATACATAACCAGCCCACCAGGAACCAGTCACCGATTGCCTGCCGACGGGAACTATCGACGGTGAGATAAATTGATATGCTCAAGAAGGGGTAGGCAAAGCCGTCGTTAGCTGCCGACTCAGCGGATATGATATGGTGCAAGTTGACGGGAATATGCTTGACCGCGAACTTGCCACCTGATTGTCCCGAATTGAGATCAGACGCAAGTAGTAGTGACAGCGTACACCCACCAACAATAGCTGCGCTGATGATGGGATCGGTTGGCGTCAAGCAAGCAGCCACTACGAGGGCAGAAATGTAGTCGTAGCCGGGGAATAAACCGTATATGGCCGCTAATAATGCGTGAGTAATAAAGTCAAATTCTCGGTGGGACAAACCGACCTGCAACGATCACCCAGCCGAATGCCATCGTGGGTACGACCATGACTAGCAAGCCTTTCGCATGTTTTGCCATGTACGCGCGCGGCAGTTCTACACCAATAGCGAACAGACCGGTGGCGAGCACGATCCGCATGACTTCGAGTGTAATCCTCTGCGTTTGACTTCCCCAAGACCTGGGGTCGAATCCACCGGCACAATGAGGACCAATAATCACGCCAAAGGCGGTTCCCAGAACAACCTCGTTGATATACAACTGCACGACGCCGCTATTCGTTAAAAGAGCCAGGGCAGAGGAATCGAGAACCACACCTTTTCTTTTACGAGCAATGAAACCATACTGAACTAAGGGAAAAAATGAGCAAAGTAGATGTTCCTGCATCCAAAGCGCGAAATTCGCCGTGGCGTCGACTCGGTAGAGTTCGACTGACGGCCCTTTGCGAGGACATTGACAGTGTCCCTGTCGATATATGCTCCGCTTTCGCAAAATCACGCTTACCACTACAACGAATCCTCCCAGGACGATATACGCCAGACTGGGACCTGAAACCTGCTGGGCGGGTTTGTGAACTGGATGCGCAGCTAGAGGAAGCACGAACGTCCAGAAGAACAGGCGCCATACTGCAGGGAAATATCTGTGCAGGTATAAAGATAGAGCAGAGAAATCGACGTGAATTGGCAGAATGCAAAGACGTTGCGGACAACACGATGGATACTTCTGGCTCACGAGTCCTTTTATTGCAAGTTAGTCCAGACCTCCGCCACCGCTCTACTTGTCGATAGTTCACATCACGATTGTGCGTATAGCCGCGGCGATGCTTCAGGGCAAGGGTGCCCATTGCGACTGTGGCAGGTTAGTCTGTTTGACATATGTCATGAGATGCTCGGTTGAGGCCTCCTTACCTCCCACAACATCGCGTGAAGGGAGTGGGCAGGGTGGTACATCGATGCAGATGAGTACGAGACGAGGTTGCCAGTGTCCCAAAGATATCACTGCGCTCTACCACGCAGACACCCCGAGTCGACAAACCCTTCGTTATTGGTTCGAAAGGCCAGCATGCCGAGAACTCCGGCTCGCGACTGCCTGGTAAAGCACAGTGTACGCACCGGTTTGACCCACATTAAAACCATTTCCGTAACCTCGTGTCGTTGTGCTGTGATACACGAGCTCGCTACAGCAAGGCCCCCCGGAAAGCGTTGCTGGGAGGCGAACACTGTGCACTCCAGGGCAGCGAAAGACACTTTTCACGGTGGTGGCATTGCTGCGGCGGTTGGACTCCACGGACAGCCGCGGCTGCTTGTACATCATACCATGATATGAGATGCACCTATTTGAAAGGTAGGTGAGCAAGTTACGTGTTTTCAAAATCTATCCTGACGGGACCATGACCTATGAAGCTGAAGCACGACTTGAGGTTGCTATTTGATTTCCAGTACTGTGCCGTCCCGGGTAGTCGGCAGACCCCCACAAGTCGGCAGTCACGTAAAAGTAACACATCCATCACGATCCATCACGCATGACAATTTCGAAGTCCTCTAGGCTAACGTTCGAGGACTCTACGGGAAGATAACTCGAAGATTACAATGACGTCGCCAGCGTGGCGTCTTACTGGTCGAAACATCAAACTCCGACACAAGCCATTGCAGTCGAGGCGCACACCAGCGTGACAACAGCTTGAGCTGGTCTTGAGGAAGGGGCTCCAGAAGCACTGCACCGTTCGGTTTCGTTCAAGCTGGGGAATGAAAGCAGGCATACGAAACCCATGAAGGTAATCGAGTACTATGGAGGGAGATACCATGCAATTGCCGACTTGGGGGGTCTGCCGACGAGGGCACAGTATCATATATATACCTCAAACAACGTACACACGTGTTGACGAAGGCCAGATCAAGCGTCTACAGCGTGTGATGACCTATACGGTGAGTTCATACGCGCAACGTGATTGCCTCGGTAGCGACCTGTCAAGGCCATTTGTGACTCGCGGGAGCTGACTTAGGTCCAGTGCGGAAGAGCAACAACTTAGCTATTGACAACCCTGATCAGAATAGCACACGGTAGCCAAGACTTTACCTCTGTCCAGGACATCGTTTGCCTCTACCTCAAGAAACTCCGACAGGCAGTCATGCAAGACCCAAACACGCCTACGCCTACACTCAATTACGACATTCTTCTGGACGTATTTCGCTTCCTCGATCCGTGGACCGACACGTCTTGGCCTGGGCGGCCCGATGTGGTCAAACTCAGAGCATTGGCGCGCACGGCTCGTTCTTGCAGAGCATTGTCTGATATTGCACTGGATATCTTGTGGCGCAAGTTGGACGACATTGGGAGTCTCCTCGTGTTGCTATCCGCGTTCAAGTTCTTCGACTGCATAGAAGCTGAAGAAAGGGTCACCATCGATACTGATACTGAGATTGCGTACGAGCCGCTTTGGGTGAGTCTTAGTTCTTCTTTCGCCATATTGTACGGTCGCTGAACACCCGCACAAGCTGTTGCGGGAGGAGATCCTACCAGGAGAGTGGACGCGTTTCGAACAATATGCGCGTCGCGTCCGCATTCTGACCAGGCTCGGACCTTCCAAACTGGAGCCTGCAGCGCTCGTACAACTCTTCCGACTTACTAACGGTAAACCGCTGCTTCCGAATATCGAAGAGATCGAATACGAGGAGTGGCATGCCTTCGATCCATCGATCCTCTTTCTCGTGACCCCATCACTTCGTATCCTGCGCGTGAACGTCTCGCGCAACACCGTCGCTCGCGACCCACAACACAAAAGGACAAATGTAGCCCTCGATTTGGTCTTGCGCCGCTCCAGTGGTGCTTTGGAGGATCGCGATGTCTCACTCACAGACGTACCCCTTCTATTTGGTTTGGCCGCAGACCTACTTCCGCGTAATCAGTGCAGCAACCTGACGCACGCCGCGTTCGTCGGCTGGGAGCCCCTGATGGACTTCAATCTACTTCGCGGTTTAGCGTCTTTGCCAAATCTCACTGACCTATCCATCTCCCTTCATCGTGAAGACCAGCTATCGGATTACTTCCGTGCTCACCAGTCGTTCCAGTCGTTGCGCAACCTACGCTTGAATGGCGCAGCAACGCAGTTAGCTCCGTTCCTCGAGGCAGAGGCGGTCTCTGCTCCGCATCTTCATTCACTCGAGGTCGAAATCGAATGGTACATAGATCGTGCCCCGGAGCTGTGCCACCGCTCCGCGGCTGCAATTTGTGCCAATTACAGCGCGTCTTTGCGTGAGATCAAGATGGGCACACCCAGGGGGTCGCATTCAAATGGTAATACCCTACCGGAAAGTCCTTTTCTCGCCGCATTCGAACCTCTACTGGGCATGCACGATCTCGAGAGAATACATCTAAGGGCACATCGTAAATGGTCACTCGTCTTGTCAGACGAAGAGCTCCACAGGATGGCCGACGCGTGGCCGATGCTGACAGATCTTCGGCTGGAGGTGCCTTCGGCCAACTCGTCCTTATCCCCCGCCAGCGTCCTCTACCTCGCCAGCCAGTGCCCGAATCTGCGCACACTCGCTCTTCCTACCGTCGACATCGAGTGTCTCGAAGACCCCGAGACATATCCTTTCCTATCGCACGGCTTGCGTCAGCTCGAGGTCGGCGACGACTTCTATGGGCTTAAGTCGCAACGTATGGCAGAATTTGTGCCGCTGTTGGCTGGATTTGTCGATCGCCTATTTCCTTGCCTTGACCTTGATCGTTGTGTCTTCCGAGCATCAGCTCGAGTAGGACTGTTCAAGGATTGCCATGCGGTGATCGATGCGCTCAAGAAATTGCGGTTTACGAGGCGTGTTGCGTAGGGTGTTCGAACACGAGCTGAGTGCGACGACCATATATTGATATCTTTGAGCTTCAAGCTTATTTGACATGTCACGCTGGATGCAAATGCGCAGAACATTGTTTTTGAACTCGAACCTGACACGATATCAAAGGATTCTGGTCGACAAAAGATATTGTGAAACGTCTTGCGCGTAGGTATATTATTGCTTAAGTCATTCCAGAAGGTCATGTGGATACAGTAGACTCTTCTACAAGGCGAGGGCCAGGCGACAACTGGGTGGACTACCTTGTATCCGGGAAAGACTGTAAATGTTTGCTCCGCCACGATTCGTAGGAAGCCGTGATAGAGACCACACCGGCGATTGTTTCCCAAAAGGGAAGGTCTTTAACTGAGGCGTCTCTGCTGACGAGTGCCCGGGGACATGGGGACAAGCCGACGAATGGACGACACGATAGGGTCTCGGGAACGGGGGATGTCGCTTAACGTCTGGGATGTACAATACAACGTGTGACGGCCTATATGGATGCATGTGAGTTCATAAGCGCAACGTGGTTGCCTGGGTAGCGACCTGTCATTTGTGCCTCGTAGGAGCTGAATTCGGTCCAGTGTGGTAGAGCAACAACTTATTTATTGACAGCACTGATCCGAACAGCAAGGGACACGGTAGCCAAGACATACCTCTGTCCAGGACATCCTTTGCCTCTGACTCCGATAGGCAGTCATGCAAGACCCAAACACGCCTACACTCAATTACGACGTTCTCCTGGACGTAGTCCGCTCCCTCGATCCGTGGAATGACACTTCCAGGTCTGGGCGACCCGATGCGGTCAAACTCAGAGCGTTAGCGCGCACGGCTCGCTCTTGCAGAGCATTGTCTGGTATTGCACTGGACGTCTTGTGGCGGAAGCTGGATGACATTGGGAACCTCCTCGCGTTGCTATCCGCGTTCATGTTCTTCGACTTCGTAAAAGCCGAAGACAGAGTGGCCATCGATACAGATACTGAGATTACGTTCAAGCCGCTTTGGGTGAGCCTTATTTCTTCTTTCGCCATATAGTACGGTCGTTGACAACCCATACAAGCTGTTGGGGGAGGAGATTTTACCAGAAGAGTGGACGCGTTTCAAACAATATGCACGTCGCGTCCGCATTCTGACCAGGCTCGGACCTTCCAAACTGGAGCCTGCAGCTCTCGTACAACTCTTCCGACTCACTGAGGGTAAACCGCTGCTTCCGAATATCGAAGAGATCGAATACCAGGAGTGGCATGCCTTCGATCCGTCCATCCTCTTTCTCGTAGCACCATCGCTTCGTGTCCTGCGCGTAAATATCTGGCGCAACACCGTCGCTCGCAATCCACAACATAAAAGGACAAATTTAGCCCTCAATTTAGTCTTGCGCCGCTCCAGTGGTGCTTTGGAGGATCGCGATGTCTCACTCACAGATGTACCCCTTCTGTTTGGTCTGCCCTCAGACCTTCTTCCGCGTAATCAGTGCAACAACCTGACGCGCGCCGTATTCGACAGCTGGGAGCCTCTTGTGGACTTCAATCTGCTTCGCGGTTTAGCGTCTTTGCCAAATCTCATTGACCTATCCCTCTCCCTTCATCGTAAAGACGAGATGTCGGATTACCTCCGTGCTCACCAACCGTTCCAGTCATTGCGCAAATTACGGTTGTATGGCTCAGCAACGCAGTTGGCACAATTCCTCGAGGCCAAGGCGGTCTCTGCTCCACATCTTCATTTTCTCGAGTTCAAAATTGAATGGTACATAGGTCGCACCCCGGAGCTGTGCCACCGCTGCGCGACCGCAATTTGTGCCAATTACAGCGCATCTTTGCGTGAGATCAAGATGGGCACACCCAGGGGTTCGCATTCAAACGGGGATTCCCTACCGGAAGGTCCTTTTCTCACCGCATTCGAACCTCTACTGGACATGCACGATCTCGAGAGAGTACATCTAAGGGCACATCGTAAGTGGACACTCGTCTTGTCAGACGAAGAGCTCCACAGGATGGCGGAAGCGTGGCCTATGCTGACAGATCTTCGACTGGAGGTGCCCCATCCCAGCTCGTTCGTATCCCCCGCCAGCGTCCTCTACCTCGCCAACCAGTGCCTGAATTTGCGCACACTTTCTCTTCCTTCAGTCGACATCGAGTGTCTCAAAGACCCCGAGACAATCTTTCTTATCGCACGGCTTGCGTCAGCTCCAGTTCAGCGACAACTTCTATGGTCTGAAGTCGGAGGGTACAGAATACGTGCCGCTGTTTCCCGGCTTCGTCGACCGCCCATTTCCTTGCCTCGACCTTGATCGCTGTGTCTTCCAAGCATCAGCTCGAGTAGGACTGTTCAAGGATTGCCATGCGATGATCGATGCGCTCAAGAAATTGTGGTTGACGAGGCTGTTGCGTAGGGTGTTCGAATACGAGGCGAGTGCGACACCCATAGATTTGTAGGTTTGAGTTTCAAGCTCGTTTGGTATGTTGCGCCGAATGGGAATGCACAGAACATTAGTTTAGGAAAGACTGTAAATGGTTGCTCCGCCTCGAACAAACCAAAAGATATTAACCACCACATGAGATGGGATGTAATGTTCGCAACATGGTCGTACCCGCACAACAAGGCCGAGCCGTTATAAAAATGTGGATTAGGAGGGGGGCTCGCCTGGAGTGCCTACACATGTCACACGCTAATTACATCACATCGTCATAAGAATTGGCCGTTAGACTTTTACTACCCGAGTTCGCAATAATCCTCTGAAGGGTTTCATCCATCCTCTCAGGATCGTCCATAAGCACACCTCTGATGCTCATGTCTCCTCCGGAAACAAATTTGGCGATGTTTCGAATATTGTCCGCAAACCCTCTAGCGGAATACTTAGCTCCCAATGTCTCGCTCTTGGCCGCGAAGGTGGACAAGATCAAAGACAGATCGAGAGCCGCGTTTCTAACCGAAGAGACCTCGCTCTTTAGGCGAATGCTGAGCTTTCTCGAGTTGCTAAGATGGGATATTTGTTTTTGTACCCGTCCTCGCAAGCCGTCGATGTTGGAGAGCTGCTCATGAATAAGATCAAGCTGATACTGGGCTGCGCCTAACATGTCACAGTTTTCATCCCGATCGCTTTGAGCTGATCGAAGCTGGTCATTGGCCTTGGCGAGATCTCTTTTTGCGTTGGCAAAAACGATCTCGCTGACGATTAGAGGACCAGGACCTAAGAAGAAGGGAGTCCAGCGTATGGCACCACGAACGTCCTGAAAACTAGGTCAAATCTGTGTGAAGTTTGTTGTGAAGTTATATAGTCACCTTCCTCAACTCTGCATCGCTTTGTACCTCCTTCAGTTTGGCAACGGCATCGTTCGCGTCCTCCACAGCTTTGTGCGCGACGGAGAGTTTCTGCCTGTACAATCAAAGACTGAATATTAGCGATCATTCAGCGCATATTCACCGAGATGGCTAACGTACTCCTGAATTTGTTTAAGGTCGGTTACATTACGGCGTATAACATGTGCGATACTCATAGCACTGTCGATGGACTTCAGGGCGCGTTCACCATCGGCGGATATTTTCACAGCTTCCACAGACACCTGAATCGATCTGTAAGCAAACACCATCGCGGTATGTAGCACGCTTACGGTATTTGTATCATGCAGAAGGTTTTTCATGGTCTCATGCACCATTCTGAACCCTCGCGCAGTAGTCAAGCTTTGTTGCTTGCACTTAGCGACCAACGACGACGTGTCGGATGATGCCTGCTCTGCTAAATAGAGCTCCTCGACCGATGTCATCATCGTCTGCAAGTTCCTCCAGGCACTGAGGAAGTGCGTGTCAAATCGTAGATACTCATCCACCCTCTCCTTTAAGGATTGAGCATTAGAAACGAGGGGCGGGATGACTTGAGAAATCCGTGTCGCCTCCCGTTCTACTTGCTCCACTCGATGCTTGAGGTCGTCCATGCTGTTGACCCACCAAGACATCGACGGAAATATTATCTCAATATAATGTGCATACGTGACGTGAAAAGATACTCACTGATAGATTCCAGTCATGTCTTTATAGTCCCAGTCTTGAACCTACAGCGTCGTTATAACCTATTGGATTCGCTATCACGTATATCACGGAATTTCAAGATAGGAACCGACGTCCGGCGCGGTAGATACGCCAATCGGGCGTGTTTCCTCACACATATATGTCTGACAGCAAGGTTCAGATGGAGACCTAGTCGTCGCTGATATAAGCGGCGGACGATATCGCCGGATCTTGACACATAGGGCTACTGTTCAAGCAAGGTTCTGAAAGCTCTGACCACACCAGTTTGGGGAGCCGATAGTCATCACATCATGGCAGGACATGGAAGGTGGTCCCTGGCTACAATTAGGAAGGCCATGATATGTGCCGCATGCGCGTCGCGGCACGTCGAACGCTACGACGCCTTGCTGTAGGATACCACACACACTTTCCGCTTCTCACCGCCAGTTCTGGAGCATACGTGTTTTCTGTGTTGTTCCACGCGGCTTGACGGGCATCGACAAATGTAAAGAATTAGTCCCATACTAGTCATTTTGAAAACACAAGTTGGGAGTTGTGGCGCCCACGCGTCGGACTTTAGTAGATCAAACCTTATTTACCTTATTATTAATGTATTTCTCCATACAACATAGGTACATAGCGGCTCTTACAAGCGGGCTCCACGCCCTCGTACGGAATGGCACAATGAAGTGCGGCTCTCTCGATATCTTGACCCTACGGGTTTCAGGCGGACTACATGCTACTGCTCGGGTGAGCACTGTGCGGCCGGTCCTCGCGCGGCGAGCCGTGTCGGTTTCCCGACAGCGAGGTGAGGGAGGAGAATCCCGGGGGCGTCGAATGGCTCTCCCCGCGGCTCCGGGAAGCGGAAGCGGCGTCAGACACCGGGATGGGTTGGGGACGGCGCGGCACTATTATTAACACCACGCTCGTGCGACTGATATGAGGAGGTCCTTGGCGCGTGCCTCCACGTCGCACCAGTCAGTGAAGCCCGCAAAGTCCGAATCAGCAAAAGGCAGGATAACAGATAATTCCAAACCATTATTGTAACAAATTGCGGTGAACTTTACAGGGTGGAAGCCGATTGCAATGGTCTGGTGAGCAATTCTAAAGTTAGATATCACTAGGTAATCCCCCGTGAGGTTGCACGGCCATACCTAGGATCTTTGGTCGCAAAATATATATCCAGCTTCATAGATTCTAGATCTGGCCGCGCAATTCAACTGGGATTTTGCCGATTTCGGAGCTTTGCGAACTCCGGTACCTTTTTACGTACGATTGGCGAGTGGGAGCTAAGGGCCGATCAGTGGCTGAGGCACGAAGCTCCCACCCGCAACCGTAGACCAGCCATCCTGTTCGTGGCGCTGCCGCGATTCCACGCTACTGCCGCACCAGCGGTTCTGGGGCCCGGATTGTTAGATCGAGCGCGATATGCGCCGCTCGAGAAGTGAACTAGTGACTAGTGATCCATAAGGAACCGCGCTGCCCGCGCTCCGTGCTGGTTGGAAGTGCCTGCGTGCTTAAGCAGTCACGTTCGCTTGCAATTGGCCGTGTCGCCATGACCTTAGTTACTGTTGACAGCTAAGAGTCTACACAAGCGTGATATTGTAATTCTGCTGGCCGTTCTCGCTTGACATGGTCTATTTGTACAAGTAGAGAGTTACGAGGTACGTATATGAAGTTTCGATGATTGGGCGCTCTTCACATGGAGGGCTCGCGGGAGATGGGGGAAAGTTCAGTCCTTGGGGTCTTGACATGCCCATTGCTGTTCGAAACCTTGTAAGTCTCGGTCAAACTACGATAAACACGTGTCTAAATTCAACGGGTTGTACAGTGCGCGACTAAAGGCTCGAAGGGAGTGGTGCACATCTTAGAAGACGATGCATGTCATCCAATTTGGTTAGACCACACACGGCCTCACATGGTATCTGTTCCATCACTGATACATAATGTGGTACTCGGCAAACTCGATGCTTACTACGACATGCTCGCGATTGGCGTTTGATTGTCGTTCTTTCAGTGGTCTATGTGGTCTATTGCACGTGCACAAGGTGTGCATCCGATTTCCCATGCATGACACCTTCCCCGAGTTCACCACGGGCACTAGCCACGAACGCCGTCTCGGTGGGCAGCCCTATGACCGCCTCTGCATCATTGGTATAACTGCACACTAAGCAAGATCGCTTTGCCATATAAGCACCTTGTACAATATCGCACTCATTGCAATCATGTCTACAGAAGTTGTCAAAGCTCAGAATGCACTCAATAGCATTTCGAGCGGCAAGGCTATCAACAATGACGAGTTCGTGCAGTAAGTTCTCAAATATATATCTTCCGTTGTCTATTATGCACAATGGTCTTATAGCATGTGGGCCAACACGAACTGGGGTGAGCTGCTTCAGCCCGCGCCCCTCTCAATATCCGTCATTGGTAGCATTCTTGTCCTCGCCGCCTCAACCGACGACTTTTCCCTCGTAACCGAACGCAGGGTAGATGATTGGAAGTTTGCCAAATATCCTGAGTCATTCAAGACCTCCCTGGAACAGGTTGTACGTATTCGATTACGTCTTTGCCTTCGCAAGAATTCTCCGTCCTTCGTTCACACACATCTCTTCTATCAGGTTGGCGACAGCTTTGAGGCGTTCTCAACTGCTCATGCGGAGATGGAGAACATACAGAATGCGTCTGCTCAGATGCCAGGCGAGATTAGGACCGCTGTCATGACCATCCTGAAGGCATCACCCAAGGAAGTCGAAGTATACCTGCCGGGTCAGCTTGAAGGTGTCCGCACTTTAGCGGAAATCTGCTCCAAATCTGCATTGCGATGCGAGACCGGTTTCAACAACCTCACGGGGCTACTTCAGGTCAATGATTCACACTCAATATCCAGAATAATTCTGCTTACACTAGATTGGTTCCTCCAGGAGTTGATCCTGGCATGTTCTAACAAAGTATTGTCGTCGTTTCTCTACAGTACTATCAACCCAATCATGATGACCTTTGCTTTCATATAGCGGGGCGACTCCGAGCAAAAGAAAGGGAAGATGAAGTTGGAACTGCAAGTTCTTAAGACACAGCTCAAACATCAAAAGCAGAGACTCGAGAACACCGAGCGGACTCACGAAACAATGCAAAAGGCCCGTTCTGACCGATCATAAGCTAATGAGGAGATATGAACTGATGGCTTATCCACAGGCGTTCGTTGAGGCTGAAGAGGGTTTCAAGCGTGCGGCGGACTCTATCCCTACAGGGTATTGGTTTTTGTGCCTACAACGCAACGGAACACTGGCTGATCAGTATGGCAGGTGGGGTGCGGTAGGCATGCAAGTCGTTGAAGCCTATGTGGACATGGCCAAGACTGCCACAAGCGTAGCCGCAAACTGCGCCGTAAACGTGCCACTTCACGTAATGGGTATGGTGCAGGGCGGAGCCAAGATAGAAACACGAAGCTCTGGTGCCTCCCCTAGTGTCACGGCGGCGCGCTCAGGTGCTACTGCTAACAGTACCGCGATGAGCGCGGCGTCCACGTCGGATGACGAATCCCTAGCTAGTCTGTCGACAATCAGCGCTTATATCGCAACCATCAAAGGCCTCCTTGATGGAGGCGAGGATGGAAAGCCGGAGTTTGAGCGAATCCGCTCTGACCAAGTCGTATGTATTCAGCGCATGCGAAACCTGCAATTCCATTCATACGCTCACTTCACCTTACCAGGCTAATGGCGGGGCTTGGGTGGAAGCAGGCCTCAATGTCCAGATCAAGAGCATCTCCTCACGCACGAACCACCCCTGGACGAGCCGAATTCACCCCATCGTCACTGAGAGCCTCGATATCATCGTCAACATGCGAAAAGCTGCGGGAAGCTTGCAGGGACACAGCGCCAGCTCGGAGGAACTGAAGAAGACGTACCTTTCGCGAGCACTCCAGGTGGAACAGGATCTGGAGAAGCTGAAGGCGGAGCGCAACCTCATATTACAGCAGAGTAGCATCTCTGCGCACGGCCCCGCGACGCCTGTCCCTGGCCAAAGAATGTCGGACGCTGCTGCTGTATGCCATAACCCTTTGGTATCGAATATATCCATGCTGAAGTTCATTTCCCCACAGTCTCGGTCCCTCGAGGCCGCTCGCATCAAAGTTGACGAAACCCGTGCGCATCTCGTGGGATCGCGCGAAGCATTCGAGAGGAGCTCCATTCGGCTTGAAGAAGGCCAAAAGGAGGTCGGGAGGACAGTCGTTTCCATGACTACGCTCAAGCTCGAGTCGATGACTCTCGAACGTGGGCCTTTCTCCATGTGTGGCTGTCCCCGTACATCACTCACGCTGCTGAAAACCAGAGATGATTCCGATCCTCGTCAAGGCTGTTCAGTCATTCAAGAGTATGCGTTGCACAATCTTCTACATAGATGTCAGGAAACAAACCGCCATTCTGCTACAGCGCTTCGGACCCAATTCTCTCAGATCACCCAATTCTTCAACAGCATCACGTCGCTCATAAATGTCGTCCTAGTCCCGTCAGTGGCCCGCTGGGTGAAAACTATGGAAGATGCCCGCTCTCTAGGCGGCGTTTCTATCTCTGGTGATTGATGTTACTTCACTTGCGTGGCACGGGAAGAGATACTTACATGCCTCTTACGGCAGATTTCACTCGTCAATTGATTTATACTCAGATGATGATGCCTCTCAAAATTTCTATGCTTGCGGAGAAGATATCAGCGACATACATGACGGTGTCCACCAAATATATCATGCCTAGTCTCAGGTACAAGGCCCCTCCAGACTCTGCTGTCATGCTGCTAAGACAGTGGTCATCTTTTCAGGGAGGTTGGGCAGATCCAGAGCTCAAGCGCAGGGGTCTCGAAGGAAGAGAGGAGAGCATACATTGGTATGGCGTTATGCCTCCACTAATCTTGACATCGGCACTAAGTCCGACACTTGCCATAGGCAAGCTTACTAGGGTGAAAGATAAAGTTGGTCAGCAAGCTATTCAATCTAGCAAAGAGATATTGCAGCTGGTCGCCAACGAGCAGAAGGTGTGCATTCAAGTGGCTACTGGCATCGTCTCGTTGACTCTGGCATGCCTGCCAGCAATTTGTGTCCTCTATCGACGAACGACTGAACGTCATCATGACTGCGGTTAAGCCTGTGCTAGCCATTGAAGACGAGAGTCAGTACCCAATATTAAACACTTCGAACAATGGCTGATAGGATTCTGGTTTTTGCCGCCCACAGTTCCCGGGCGTTTCGTAGAAGTCACCTACGCTCACGTCAAGTGCGTAGATGAAGCCAAGGGGAAGGAGATGTCTGAGAATGGCATCTACAAGAAGTTCGACGTTAATAGTGATGACATCATGTGAGCACATCGAGCGCTCAGCGAGACGTGCGCCCGGGCAGGGGTTAGAACACGCACCACAACAAATCACTTGTTCACTGTCTGTATTACTTTGTCTTGCTTATCAATTCCACATGCCCTTGAATGCCCCCGCCTGCCATGCCTTAACAATGAGGAAGCTTTCGTCTTTGGCTATGAGCAGTACGGCTACCGCAAGTGTATCACGTCTGGGAGTCTCACAAAGACATATTACCACACATTGAACGGAGCAATCCACGCCCCCCGACAGCAAGCTCACTGACAACCTGTCACGAGCCTCGTAGTGTTATGGACTGACATGACAGAACTCGGTAAGCTCTCATTCGAAATGAGCACCCCCCCGTGGGCGCACTCGACGCCGGACAATAGCACTCTCGAGTTTAATCACGATGATAGATCCGTCCGCCTTAAGAATAGAGGAATACTTATGTGAGAACGACCGGGCGGCAGACGATGCATGCGGGCGCCGGGTGGAATGTACGAAGATCCAACACAGGGACTAGTCGTAAGGAAACAAACCACGGCGCGCAGTCGCATATACAATGGAATTTCTCCCTGCGAGCGCGACCGTAAGCCAAAACAAGTTCTGACAAGATCGTGCTGTATAATAAGTATTAAGTATAGACCAATTTGATTTGCTAGTGCATCTCAGATCTGAGGTGCCGGCTAAGAATGGTGCCAGTGATAGAGTTGGGCAAGACCACTAATCAGCTCATCTGAAGTGCTTGGGCGACTGCGATAGTGCAATCCTCACCACCGTATCCCCGCGTCGGGAATCGTCACCCCATAGTTGCTCACGCCCCCATTGGAAGTAAGTACTAGATCAACTTTATAGGCATAGGCTACGTTAATGCCGGACCACGATGCTCTTAGGCTATCATGTCCACCGCTCGTTGGCGACTCGTGTCGAAAGCATCGTGGATCGCCCGCTCTTCACAGTGCATGTGTGTAACTACAGCCGGGCAGCTGATTGTCTATGGGGGCGAATTGAAGCCTCGTCAACCTGTTGATTCCGCCGATCAAGAGGGTGTGGTGGAAGGATCGGTCCACCTCTTCGATCTCAAACGTCGATCGCAAACTAGCGGGTTGACCGAGGGGTGGCGCACGCTCCGTCCGGTGGACGGAAGCCCGCAGTCCTCAGGTCCAGCGGTCCCAAAACCCAGAGTAGGTGCAACCATGGTGTGCATGGACGATTGTTTGTACGTCTGGGGTGGACGAGGTGGGGTCGACATGGCACCCTTGGATGATGAACAGGTTGGTGTATGGCGCGCCGAACTGAAGACTGGCAGTGACACGGCGGAGCCTGATGGTGTAATCTGGGAGAGGTTGTCTTACACAGACGGTCCGGAACCTCGTAGCTACCACGCTGCAGCTGCTACGGATGTACGAGAGTCCGCCGATTATATGAAAGGTCGTTGCTGACCAATCAAGTCGACAGAATGACTTCTTCATCCACGCAGGATGTCCAACGTCAGGGCGTTTGGCGCAGTTACACAAGTTCAACATTCGTAGCAGACAATGGGAAGAACTTTCATCGGCGCCGGCTCCTCCTCGCGGCGGTACAGGTATTGTTTCTAAGAATCTGATGTCGTGGGGTCGCGTCGTTCTTAGATTCGGAGGTATGTGATCATCAGCCCTTGTCAATCACGGCACCGACACATTCTTGCGACCAGGTTTCAGCGGCTACGAGCTACCATCCGTACCAGGCACACTCGACCTGTTTGACCCCAAGCACGATAGATGGTACACCTTGCAGCCGTCGCCGGATCCCATCCATGGATATCCAGGTGCACGTTCCGTTTGTGGATTCGCTCATTTCGAATCCAAGTCACCGGTGTTGTCGAGCATTGTTGGCGTCTTATTCCATGGGGAGAGAGACGCGAGTACCTTGGGCCATGCAGGCGCTGGAACATTCTGGGACGATGTCTGGGCGCTGAAGAAGACAGAAAGCAATCATGTGGTGCAGTGGGCCTGGAGGAAATTGGACGTCAAGCCTGCAGATGAACAGGGCGAAGGTGAGTCGGGTATGCCGGAAGGTAGGGGCTGGTTCGCACACGCCGGGTGGCAGGAGAATGGTACTACTAGCGTTTTCATGCACGGCGGCTTACTATCATCTAATGAAAGAAGCGATGAGCTATGGGAATTGCAGATAGAATAGGCCGGTCAAGTATATTGTATGATGCATGACGGTGGGGATAAGCCCAGCACTTACATTGTACTACTATGGTAGATCATCTAGCTTGCGGTGGAGGTTAATATTCTATCTGCGCAGCCTGTGTACGTCTCCATAGCTCCTTGTTAAATTGCAGCTGTAATTGGGTATTATATGATGGATGAGCATTCGAACAAGGTAGAGCAAATAATATTACTCACGACTCGCTCATATCCAAGCAAGGGGGTAAACATTTGTGTTCTCTCGTCGGCGGTCAGATTCAAGAAGTCATCGAGGGTCATCTGGGAGAGGACCACAGTAGCGGCGAATGTGTTCATGCCCGGGACATTGGCAAGATCATACTCTCCCTGTCACTGCTCTTAAGTTCACGATAACATGAGTTTATGATTGTCACCTACTTCCTGTTCCTCGATGTCTAGCCAACTGCGTTCACCCCACAGGACCCCGCCTGAGACGTCCGAGCGTTCGATCAGGCCACCAAATTGCCTCACGCACAGGGCTGCGTCTTGCACCGAGGTGGCAAACCCAAAGTATATGACCGTCTTGCTATGCTTAGCCTCGCAAGCCTCTGCGATGCTCAGGTCGCGTCGCAGCTTCTTCACTGACTTGATCACGGCTGGCGAGAAAGGATTTGGCATAGGCTTGGGCGAGCCCTCTCTGAAGGCCTGGGAGACAGGAAAGGCCTCAAAGACAACCAGAAGACGCCGGAACCGCCAAGAGAGCGAAGAAAGAGACGTGGTGAGCGCATCGATAGCAGATGGAAGACCTGCCAGAGACGTAAACAGGACAGCAGAATCAGGATCTACGACAAGGTCGGCAGCATCCAAGTAATCGCGCTCCACAAGATCAACTGCACATCGGCGCGAGTTCAAGTGGCGAATAAGTGCTCTCTTCTGGATCAGGTCGACGGATGCCATGTAACGGTGCACTGCGCCTGGTGATGGTATTGACTCTGGATCGATGCACAAGGTCAACTGATCAATCAATTCTTCAGGTACGGGCGGCAAGGTTGTTTGTACAGCTTGAAGATCGGTATGAGCGGGAACCCAATCATGTCCAGGAGCTAGCACCTCGAGTTGACTAGTAGCAGCATCCTCACTCGCGTCAGTGGCTGATCTGCCCACAAGTCTCAGGAAGCGAGTTAGAGACTGTTCCGCGGAAGCAGCGGGCATCGCTCCTCTACTCATATTTGGCGAGCTAAGTTTTGTTTGCTGATTGGAGACCTGATCAGCATCCTTCCTCGCTAGCAGACCCTCCAGGTGAAGAGACGAGGGGCAGACATTTCGAGCAGTCTCCAGATTGTGAGCACGATTACGGCAGGGCTCAGAACCCGTGCCAGCGATTGCCTCCGTTTTGGTCAGTACTTGGTTTTGAGGCATTTCGATATCGCCAAGCTCGCCGAGGTAAGCGAAGTCATCCGCAGTACTATCGCCAAGAGCACACATAGCGCTAGAAAAGTACCGGTCCAGAAGGGTATTTTCAGCACTGGACCTCCCGAGCTCAGCAGACCAAGCCAAATATCGGGAACCGCCAGTTTGCGAGGTAGTGTGAAGTTCGATCTCGTGAACCGGATCCATGTCAGGAAACAGATCGCCGTCCATGTCAGATCCGACGAAGCCTTCAGCGCCATATGCCAGCTGTGTGAAGTGGCCTCGACGTGTATCGGCAGGAGGCGACAGCAAGAAGACACCGGAGTCGTTTGACACAAGTTGTTGAGAAATGCTTTCTGCCTCCTCGACATCTTCAAGTAAATCCATTTTGAAGCGTTTCGCGGGTCTCTCCGGGTCGTCATGAGAGACGTACAGTGGCGTGCCCTGATCTGGGTTGCATTCGTTTTCTTTGTCACTTGATCCGAAGTCCTCATCGCCATCGGTCGTTCCGTAAATTCTCCTGCGATGAGCTCTAGTGTAAATAATATCGTCGTCACCTTGAAAAAGGCCAAACGCGGCAGGATTGCATGGCGGTAAGCCATCGTCCCACGTAATGCGTGTTGAGGGGCACATAGAATCACCACCCTGCGCTTCCGGATCGAAATGCAATGTTCCGCCGAGGAGATTGGATAACTTGGCCTCGACTTCTTCGTTGTCTGTACGAAGGATTTGGATGAGGTTGTCGCCCATATCGATACAGACTTCAGCCACCTCCTCGTTAGTGGGGACCGTCGACCCAAATTTGAAGGGTCTGCTCAGGAATTTAAGTCAGAGTACGCAGCGCCTATTATCCACATACCTCCATGATAGTTCAATACTAAGCGACTGGAGGCCCTTGACCTTTTTGAGGAATCCGTGATGCACAGATTCGTGCTTCAAGCTCTCCACAACAGGTTGGGCGGGAGCGGATGTCGGCGACATGAGCAATCCGGCTAGGTGCGTGGGCAGGAATATGTCAGTGAGCGAATGTTCGTTGGGAGGCCGCATGACTGGCACTGAAATAGAAATAATTAGCCATCATCATAGAACAATGTCGAGAATCGCACCATCCATAAGCAAACTGTCCTTTTCGTCGATTTTCTCCCTCAAGATGATGTCACGAAAGTTCTGATTTCCCATTCGCTCGCCGCACACCTTCTCCAGCAGAACGTCCAGATCTAGATCTTCACTTGAGATACGGTATCCAGTCACAGCGCTATCTTCGCCGGTGTCGTCTACGGTAGGTGGCTGCCCTAACATCGACATCGTGATCGTTGTATGCGGGGATGACGGGTGTGATTTGGGCGTAGTGATGATCTTTGCCTCAGTTTCTAACATAGGACGTGAAGAGACAAGTGGTTCTAGGAATGAGACGAGGCTGGAGCAAAGATATAGCATTAGATCGAGCAGCAGTGAGTCTAACATCACACTGATACCTCTGTCCTTCCCCCAGAGCACCGATCGCCTTAGCTTTCGGTTTTAGGCCACGGAATCTCTCTGATCTTGGTAGCTCGTGATCATCTGTAGAGGTAACCACATTTACTTTGGGCTACGCGAGAAGAGAGGAACCCACTCACCCATCCGTGCGGACATCAAGGATTCGAATAACGGCTGCTGGCTACCCGGAGGCGAAGCCATGAATAGCTCGTCTATGTCGCTTGAGCTGTCAGCCAGCGGCGGAGTACTAGCGGAGGTGGGCGACGACGGTGCTTCGAATGCTTCTAGACGTGAGTGAGCCATGCCCGAGTTACGACGTAGATGCGCAATGAGGGTTCCGAAAGTCATTTAACATAAGCGAGACTTACGCCAGCCATTCACCACTACCATGTGTTGTTTATACAAGTCGTCTTCATCGTCATCTGGCTTCATGACCGCCTTTGGTACGAGCTCTGGCAGATCGGCGATCGCTTCGGGAGCTAAAGAATGCTTGCTGGTGGTGGTAGTCGACGGCCGGTATCCTGGCTGTAGGGATCTAGAGAAAATAGGTGGCGAGCAGAGGCGTATTGGCTGTAACGGAGGAGACTCCGCTCGAAGGAAGGCAGCGCGATGTGAGTTAACATCATCATCCTTGGCTGAGGAACTCGAGATCGCAGGTACACCTTTGAGCAGTTGCAATACGCCAACATGCGTTTGCGCGTCAAGGGGTAGTTTGATCTGCCTGTAAAGGCACTTGTCAGACACATTCCTACAACAACGTTGTATGCTCAATACATTGCCTCCTCAATTACTACTGGTGTCTCTTCCGAATATTCATCCACGGATACGAGATCTATTCCAGAGTGCCCAGGAATTTGCCGCCCAGAATGAAGTATGTCGCGCATATATGCACCAGAACCGAGTTTAGGCGTCTCACGGATCGCACGCATGCTCAACGCTGGTGACATAGGCCGCTCGGAGGCCCATCGCGCGAGCCCAGCTACAAGGAAGGGTCATGAGGTCTGTTCCCTTGCATTTTTCTGCCGGCCTACCATCTTGGCTCTCATCCCAGCACTTGTTGGTTGGACGCCGCCCAGCAAGCCGTAAGCTCTGCGTTATGTATCTGACCGTTTCGGCATCGGCTTGCCAGTTTTCTTTATGTTCTTTCGTTGCGTTTTGTGTCAGTCTGTTTATAAGTAAACTGTGGACATCGCTTGGGAGCACGGGATCAGTAGGGTCGATAGGTGGAACGGGCAGAAGGTTATCTGAAAGCAACTACCGGTGTTTTCAGTGGACGTATTCCAGACGCTTGAAAGTCAGTATCTTACTTCTTCCACAGCATCATGAGTCCAGTTTAGATAGTTGGTTGCTAAATGATTCAAAGCATAGTCGAGCAAGAGATTGCGAATATGGGCACGAAGAGCAAGTTCCCTGTCGGAATCCATGAAGCAGATCTATGACTTTGAGCTCGAAAAGACAGATGATTGATTTTGGGTATTGTACGCTATTCAGAGACGTTGTGAGTGTAAGTTCGCGGACGTCGTAACTTGCCTTAAAATGGCCGATGGAGAAAGAAGGATATCCCCAGACGCGTGACGCCAACACGTCGCGTCGCGTCTCTCATATCACGTGTGACCGCGTACAGGCACGTCACTGGCCACAGGCCACCCCGTGCAAGGCCGCCGTGCACTGTGCACACGCTCCGTTGCCCCTACTGCGATGACGGACACTCGTCTTCGTGTCCTCACTCTGAACTGCTGGTAAGCCGGCCACTCTCCCTTTCAAGAATACTCTAAGTTCTGATTCGCTCTGGAAGGGGCTTGAAGTATGTCTCTAAGCATAGGACAGCGCGCATTGCCGCAATTGCGGACGTCCTAGCAGGTTCGGACTACGATCTGGTAGTCTTACAAGAAGTATGGGTGTATGGGGACTACAATCGCCTGCGTGCAGCCGTCTCGACGCGTCTGCCGTACTCCAAGTTCTTTTATAGGTGTGCAGGCCCGTTCCTCAGCGCCTTGCTGCTAGACTGATGCATTACATTTACAGCGGGGCTTTGGGCGCTGGCCTAGCAATATTGTCTCGCTTTCCTATCATTGGCGCAACCATTCACCCGTACTCTCTGAACGGGTCACCCATTGAGGTTATTCAAGGCGACTGGTTCGTAGGCAAAGCTGCTGCTAGCATACTGGTCGCACACCCTATTCTTGGCCAGGTGCAGGTCTTCAATACACATGTGAGCCCGTATTCTTGTTCCTCCACAAGTTAGGCGTCTGAGTACCTGGTCTCCAGTTATTTGCACCGGGCGGAGACTCCGGCCCGCTTCACCTGCAGGCCCACCGCTTAGTCAACGCATGGGAGTTCGCCAAGCTCGCTAGACAGGCTGCCGAAGTGGGTAGATATGTCATTGCAGCAGGCGACTTTAATAGCTCGCCCGCTTCCTTGCCCATGTCTGTCATCCAAGAACACGCCTCACTCACAGACGCCTGGGTTGTGTCCCATCCTAATGCACCCCCTCTCCCCAACGCTCTACCGACTCCTCTCGATGCTGTGAACATATATGGTATCACAGCGGATTCTCCCCTGAACTCGTTCTCGGCGGGCAAGCGCCTCGAGCCCCTTGCCCGCAAGTTCCAGGGCAAGCGGCTGGACTACATATTCTTCCGCCAGCCAAGTAGTCCGCCAGCCAGCGACAAAACCCCAATATTGAAGTGTGTAAACACGAAGGTTGCTTTCACAGACGCGGTGCCCGGAACAGACTTCTCGTATTCCGACCACTTCGGCTTAGAAGCCACGTTCGAAATATCACTTCCCGAGGGCGGGGACGTGACGAATCCAGACAACACCTACATTCCCGCGTCTGCCGAGCCTCGCAGCCCTTCGTTCGTCCTGACGTCTGTCCCCAATCCCACACCCACGCCACCACGCGCTCTGTCACCGGACTCGATTACTGAAATTCTGCAATCACTCACGGCGTGCTACCGCTTCTCGCTCTACCGCGCACGCTCCCAGCTCACCGTCTTCGTTGTCTGCATCCTACTCCTCCTTGTCATCCTCATCGGGTCTGCTTGGCTTCCCTCATCGTGGATTACCCCGGTCGTATTCTTCCTTACAATCTTCCTTGCATGGCTTGCGACAACATTCCTATACGTTGGCTTCGTATATGGGCGATGGGAAGTCAATGCTCTGACAAACATCATCGAGGAGTTGGAACTTTACAGGAACAGCTTACTCGAACGACAAAATTAGAATTGAGCACCAATCGTCACGCGGGTTAGTAATGGACTACCGTATTCATGAACTATTACATTTTGCGTTCTTGTACATCGCCACTAGGTTGGAAGGAACTAATACGACATGCTACATTGTATCCCAAAAGTGACAAAGCTATAGAGTACGGAGTAAACTACGACCCTGAAGGAAGACGCGCGTCAGGATATGTTACAAGTGGTTGTTGTTCTTGCCAGACAAGGTCCGTGCACGTCTACGTCGTCGCGAGTCGTCGGGTTTGTATGTGATCGTCTGGTTAGCAGGCCCTGAAGCAGAAAATTGCTGAACAAGAGAGCTGATGTCGGGATGACTGGCTTCGGAGCGTCGTATCGACGGCGGCATAAGGGGCGCTGTCTGCGGGGATGTGCTAAGTGTCGAGCGCCGCCACCTCGGGATATGCAGCACGCCCTCATCGGACACGTCGTATCCGGAGATGTCGGGGTGCAGCGGCGCACGGTCGAGGTGGCTCGTTGCAGAGCGATACGATGCGTCAGCGATGAACGAGAACGTCGACTTGAGCCGCCGCAGCGAAGGTCGCGATTGCATCCGTGGTCGGTCGTGCACGGGCGACACCGCGACAGTGGCATACTCCGTGGGGGTGGATGGGCCGCTGTTGTCCTCCTCTGAGCTCGGTGGCGGCGACCAGGACGAGGCCCAGCTACGGTCGCCCTCAGTGCTGGACGAAGCCGAAACGCTTTGATCGCTCTCGGGCGTGTTGCGTCGGGAACACTCGCGCTCCTCGTCTGATGCGCTACCGATATCCTCGCGCCGCGAGCCGGTCTCCATGCCATCCCCGCGCACAACGCGTGCGGAGTCGTTGTCGATCTCCTGCTCGAGCCCGCGCTCGGTAGAGCCTTGAAGCGCCTGAGGTGACTGCCGCTGCCACTGTGGGAGGAAGTTCTGCACGAAGTCCCGGGAGGAGATGAATGCTTTCTGGGCCGTGTCGAGGAACGGAAGCGTCTGGAACACGTGCACCTGTCACTATATGTCAGAATCTCAGTACCACAGCATCATACGATGGACGTACCGCGTCCTCGTACTGCTCATGCCGTACTTCTACGCCCGCCAAAGTCGCCTTGTGAGCTAGAAGCATAATCTCGTCACGAAGGACCTCACACTCCCCTGCCTGGATGAGCATTGGAGGTAGACCCTTGAAGTCGCCAAATAGCGGGCTCGCGTATGGATGCGTGAGGTACTTTTCCATATGCTCGCCCAGGTAACAGGCGATGGGGTTCAGGTGGTCTCCTGGCATAGGCCGCGGGACGATATCGAACTCTGCGTTGCTGTCCCATGATTCGCAGCTCATTGTCAAGTCTAGGGTGATAATTAGATGTTGATTCCACACAAAATTTGCACGAGATATGATACATACCAACCCAGGGAGACATCAGAATAGCAGCAGAAGGCAACGGAAACTCGTTGTCTCGCAGGTACATAATGAGTGCAAGAGATAGGCCGCCCCCGGCACTGTCCCCAGCGACGATAATGTTCTCGGGAGGTATATGCAGGTCCTCTACCAGTCGAAGGTATGCCGAAACTACGTCATGCAATGGCCCTGGGAAGCGTGTCTCCGGTGCCAAACGGTAGTCAATGGCTATGTGTGAAGCAACATTGATGAGAATGCAAAAGCAGTTAACAAGGAAGCTTCAACATACCAAATACGCGTGCGTCCAGATGTTTGGCCAATGGTATGGTGATGAGCCTGTGTGAAGCAGCACTCGAGACATAATATGCACCTGGAGATCATTCATGAGACCCGGTTTTCCACTATTGGGAGAGCTACCCACCGCCATGAAGATACAGGATAACCCGCTCCCTAGCCTGATGTTGCGACATGTTCAGCTGCGGCGATGTCCCGCCTGCGGACCCTCCATTTGGAGAGTTGGCTTGCTGCTTCGCCGCACGCCATTCCTTCTGCAGTCGCTGCCAAGTCCTCTTGCCAACGACCCATTCACCGGAGAGCTCGCGCGTGCCGTCCTCCGCGGCGTCGAATTCCGTGAGGATGCCAGGGAGGTTGCGCCTGCGCACGCGAAAAGTCACCGGCGTGGCCAGCGCGTCAGATGGCAGAGGGATCCAACCGCCGATACCCATGAGCATCCGTATGAGGGCCTGCGGGCGCGTAACAACGTCGTAAGGATCATGTATGCGCTAGAGTTCGATCAGGTAGACTCACCATGTCGCCTAGATGTGAGTGCCGGCCGACATCCCTCATGATGCTTGACAGAAGAGTCATCTCGATACCCCATGACACGCGGCGCGGACCCCGTACATGGTGGTACACGACGTCCGTGGCCATCTCGATCGCTATTGACGACGCTCAGCATCCTGACCGAGTATTCACGCGCAGACGGCAGGGCAGTATATTGCCGAGCTCGGAGCTTGCACAGGCCACATGGGGATTACCGCGACATTGCGCAGCCTATGTCCTATGCACTACTGCCCCGGACGGAACTACCCCGGGCTGCCGTAAAGACCAAGACGCGCTGCAACGCACCTTTCATGGCTGCAAACGTGCCCATCTTGCCCAGCTGCCATATGCTCAAGGGCTGGCCTTGACGCTGCTTGAGCTTTGGGTCCCCCACGCGTGCAGAGGGCGGAAGAGACATGCCCGGGCTCTCGAAGTGATGTAGCAAGTCTATTGGGTTCGACGAACTGCTGGATCGTTTCGCCTCGGGTGCCACGGCGAAATTACTAGCCTCACCGCGGGTCTGCACATCGTCGTTGTTGCTATTACTGTTACTAGACCAGAGCAGAGACAGAGGCCAGACCATGGTGTTCTGTCTTGTCGAAGGGACGGGGCCAGTGCCAGAGTGCAGGAGAGCACTGCGCAAAAGTGGCAGATGACAATTAGACTACAAGGATTACGAAGGTATATAATCTGAAAAGATATGCCAGCCTCGGGCTTAAAGTTTAAAAGCAAGAGATGGAAAGAGCAGAAGACAAGCAGAGAGGTCCATTATAAGACGCGGGCATTTAATGACACAAGGCCCCAGTTCGAGTGTCGATGATGGAATGATCAACCGCTTTATCACATGCCACGAGCGCCTACACCCAGCGCCCCGGCGTGCATTTGCTGAATGTGGCACGCTCACTTCGAACACATGACAGTCAGCCGAGCGGAAGCCTGAGGTATCCAACGGCATATTACAGACACACTACCAATACAGAACAGCGGACAACAGACAGCGGTATAAGCCAGGGCCGCGCGTTAGTAGTCCTCTCCTCGGCTGACTACCTCTTTCCGTGTCGGACGCAATAGGATGGTGTGTTCCTGTTGGTAGAGGTCAGATGAGAGATAGATACACGCCGCACGTCGGGCGAGTCTTACGAATTGGGCAGTCTTCGACCCTATTTGGTCGCATAGCGGGGGATAGTCATGCACAATTCCTTGTGCCACTAGGTGGTTCAACTGCACGTGGGTCAGGTCACAAGATGTCGAGCAGAAACGGACAACGGTCACTTACGGCAAGCAGGTACTTGCTCTCCCCGAGTCGGTCGAGGTACCGCCGGCAGAACGGCAATGTGCCAAAGTTCTTGTTGATAGTCTTGAGTAGCGACTTGGCAGACGTCAACCTGCGACACCGTCAACGCCTTGATGTCGGACACAGTTTGTGCATACTGCTCACCGCAGAGGAACATGTGGTGCATCCCATGCCCTCGCATAATGCGAGACTTCGCCCTGAATTTCAAAAAGCGTGAGTGCACAGTTGTAGTATGTACGAGCGGCACGTACATTCTCAACGACCCTGCCGCGTCCCGTTGATCCAAACGTCTCGATAGCAAAATACTCCCCTTCCTCCATCTTCGTTTGGTCTTCCGTCCTGATCAGCGGTACGGACTTTCCGGCCTTCCCTCCGTGGATCGAATACGGTATGATGGTATGTCCGCTCAGGTTTTGAATCGCTTTCACTAATACCGGACATCAGGGGATTCAGCAAAGGGAAATTTCTAGGAGTTAAACTGACCGGGATACACCTTGCCGTCGGCCTCAACCTCATATGACTCCATGGTCTCCTGAATGTATCCGCCGAGTTCGCCCAGTCGGACGTCGATGCCAGCTTCCTGGATCGCGGGTCAGCATAAGGAATCATGCCAGCATGCCGAAACAGCACATACCCGGATACCAGTATTTGTTGCATCCTTCACGGCTTCGAGCAACTTGTCATAGGTTGGCTCAAACGTGAGTGTAAATGCGGAATCAACGATACGGCCCTTCACATGTACACCAAAGTCGACCTTCATGACATCGCCGTGCTGGAGGACTATGCCCTGTCAAGATAACGTCTCTGCAGTCCGCTTAATAGCACTCACCGATTGTGTCCCCCGAGTTTGGTGAATAATGCGCTGCGCAGTGGTTTAGACTGAGGCCAGTAGGGAATCCCACGCCCGACTCCATTCCGTCCTCCTCTACCAATGCTCGCGTGCCATCCTCAATGATGTTTGCGATCTCGGTCATGCTCATGCCCGGCTTGATCGTTTTGCGCGCATACTGCCGCACCTGTCTGTGCACCTCCGCGGCACGGCGAATGCTCGCGTACGTTGTCTCGGGGTCTTCCATAGCCATGCGCTCGTTGTAGCGCATCTCTTCTGAGGTTGTGCGCCATGCATTGCTTAATATGAAGTCAGAAGAGACATACAGAAATGCTGGATGTTAAGTGACGCACTCGTTCTTATATTCCTGCAGCTCGCCCTCTGGATAGTTCCCATCGGGGAACAGCTTCGTTATGGCAACACGCGGCGGTTCGGTCTGCTCTACCTTCTTCTTCTTGGGCTTCTTCTTTTTCTTCTTCTTCTTGCCCTCTCCTGCACTCCATGCTAATTAGAATCCCAGCCTTCCCAGCTTACTTGAGGAAGAAAGCGCATAGATCTGCGCGATCACGCACCATTCGCGGGAGTATCGACCACCCCGTCCTCCTCAGCGTCGTCGTTCTCCTCTTCCGCCTCAACTACGGCGGGTGGAACCTCCTTCTCTTTCACTGCGTCGGCCATGGCGGCGGCGGCTTGAAGAGGGTGGTGGCGGCGAGGCGAGAGTGATGATCGGAGGCACACAGTGCAGATTTTGAGTTTGCCGCTGCGCGCGGCATGTCGTCGGTATCACGTGTGTCCGCCGATCACCCCTGGCGGGGCCCCGCGTCTGCACTCGACTTGGTTCAGCGATGTCTGCCACCACTACACAAGAGATACCTTCACCCCCAGAATTTCTTACAAGACTATATGCTCTACATTCTGAATCAGATCGACCCGTGTCCATGTACACGGGGCATCGACAGCCGACGCCGACCGTAGGGGACTCGACACGGCCATACCTGACGTTAACGTTCGCGCAGTCCTTGGATGCCAAGATCGCGGGACCGGGAGGAAAACAACTTGCATTGAGTGGGAAGGAGAGCCTTATTATGACACATTGGTGCGTATCCCAATTTCGTCTGCTACTCGTACACGCTAATGGGCGACCGGTCTGCCGTGCGGTGCGAATGTTAGGATGCGCACGATGCACGACGGTATCCTCATAGGCATCGGTACCGCGCTAAATGACGACCCGCAGTTGAACAGTACGCCCCGTCGTCAGCTCTGCTGAGCGAAGGCTCAGCATTTGGTCTAGCGCGCCATCTCCCTCCACTTACTAGGGGCCGCTACCACTGCCCAAGACCGATCATTCTGGACTCGCAGTTGCGATTATCCCCTGATTGCAAGCTGCTGAAGAACTACAGAGCGGGGACCGGCAGACGTCCATGGGTAGTCTGTACGGGTTATGAGAAAAAGACTGAGGCGCAGGAGAAGGAGTTCAATCAGACGAAACAAGCACTGCGCCAGGCAGGAGCGCGCATTGTCGATGAAACTGGAAGCAAAGGTGCGCGACCTGCGCGACTTTATGTCTATGTATCAATTAAACGCGCTATAGGGTTGATCTCCCTTCCTATGCTCATGATGTCGCTAAGCTCAATGGGAATCCGGTCCGTTATGGTGGAAGGCGGCGCACGTGTCATTCAGTCATTCCTCGCGGAAGCAGAAAGTAGTGACATAGTGGACACAGTCGTAGTAACTGTCGCGCCCACTTTAGTCGGTGAGTCGGGCGTAGGCTATGGGCAGAGCCTTGTGAGGAACAAGGTGCGTGCTCTCAATGTGTATGCAGCGCCTTATATGATAAATCTGCGCTTTTGCCCAGCTACCGAAACTGCAGCATATCTCTACCGAGGTATTCGGCTCAGATGCAGTCATCGCTTTGAAAGTTGTAGAATCTACCGAGCTCTCAGGTCCAGTCATCGTTTTCCCAGAACATAAGATAATGAAGGTATAGAGATAGAGGCCTTGATGGTTATGAATGTGAGCTGTCCTGGCAATTGTCATACGGGAAATTTTCAGAATAATAGGGTTGTCACTCGCAGACATTGTAGCGACCGTGTTGGGCCAGATTGTACTTCTCACATTCACTAATTGTTTCGTATCAGAAGACAGCCTTACGTACATGTGTTCCACCGTCTGATCAAGGTAATTGCCACCCTTGAACACCTTTTCTTCCGACGAGGCAGTAATGCATTCTGTCTCCGTGATGTTGTGCGTCGTGTCGGCCACATCTAGTCTCGGAACAAATGCCTCATTAATCCTTCGGCCGCGTCCAGTCCTACCCCGAGACCGGAGTAGCAGGGCATCTAGTCCCGATAATGACACTGTTCTTTGTATGGGCTTTACACTGCCAGTGATTCGTATCCTCGTCGCCTCCGGCGCGAACCTGCGCATCACGTCGATATAGGTGACTGAAGAGGTGAGTGACTTGACTTGATACAGGCCTGGATACGGACAATATAACGATAGTTTTGGCAGACGAGATCAATCTGGTACATTTTGTCGTCAATGCAGATAGACCGCGGCAAAACCGATTCCAGGTCTCGGATGCTGGTGAGCAGCTTCCTGTCTGAAAGGAACATCTATGTGAGACTTCACGTTGAAAGGTCGATAATTCTCATCAATGTAACCACGCAGGTGTCGCATTGCCGCAGCATCTTGCTGGCACAGAGGGTATCTCTGAGCACAGGAGCATAGCAGATACATTGCTTCCGCTACGCCGCGATTTTGGCTTCAAGGAGTCGTGGGCGATAGGATCAAAAAAACGGATTGCAAATGATTCCGAGCCTTGACGCCGCGCATACTGTTACCCGCCACGCTTGGTCTGATAGGGTAGTCACGTCTTGCGGGACGCAGGCATTGCCACTGATGCCGAATAGGGAATCGGTACGATGATCATCAAATTCTGAAAACCGACAGCTAGGGTGTGCTGATGCCGCTTCACCTCAGCTGCTACCCGACGTTGATTAGGTTGTGTCCTCATCGACTTCCTGAAGGATATTCAACAAAGGGGCCATAAGACCTTGGGAAATCTGCCAATACTGTCGGGCAGTCCCTTTGGTGCATGGCGCATGGTAATGACCTGTACGGATAGCCAAACCCAGCATTATGTTCCTGATATGAGAGGACAGACCTCGGCTGAAATATCACCGCGTCTCTGTTCACTTTATTGCATGGCCTTTGCGTTCCAATTTGTTCGGACATCCTGCCTGGGCTTTATAGAGGCATGATAGTCGGTAGTTTGTGTCAGCATTCTTCAGACGCCTCAATTTCGACATGTCCATAAGCCAGGTACTTTTCACCATTAGTCCGCCTCTCCTTCTTCTGATAGGCCGTTCAACGCAAACATTCTAGGATCTCCAGTGCGGCAGCCCTAGCGACGCATTCGAATTCCTCCGCGCATACAATGCAGATCTTACGGACCACTTCTACACTATTGACCATAATGAGATGGAGCGTTATGTCCCCAACGGCGGCTATGCATCCCAGGGCGACGCAGGCTGGATCTTCCCGACCAAAGTGGGAGCGACAGTCCCATTGTACCGCTTGTACGTCGGCGGAAGCGAAACGGACCATTTCTACACGACCAACCAGACGGAGAAGGAGATTGCTATCTCTAGCTTAGGGTATACGTCTCAAGGCATCGCCGGTTACGTCTATTCCACGCAGATCTGCGGAAGCATCCCGCTATATCGTCTCTATCAACCTAGTTGGGTGGACCACTTCTACACCATCTCTTGGGCCGAGGATCAGAATGTGACTTACACCAAGGGCTATGTGGAGGAGGGGATCCAGTGCTACGTGTTGCCCGACATCGTGGTCACGTCCACCACCTCGTCAGGCTCGGCTAGTAGCAGTAGTTCAACGCCCACGCCACTCGTGACCGAGGTTGAGACAAGTACTCCGGCCAGCACGACGTCATCCCTATATTCAGCCAGTCCAACTGCTGGTTCTACTATATCCCACGAGTCTGGAGGACATCTGGCACATATCGTTGCTCCTATCGTAGCGACGATTTTCACAGTGCTAGCACTCGTCATGGCGATTTTTTGCATTCGGCGTCAGCGAAGCAGACGTAGGCGACGTGCTACGCAAGGGACCCACGAAGGTGATTGTTCCAAGCGCGGCTGTGGAGAATTTGTCTAACATGCTGGCAGCCCCGCGACGGTCAGCAGAGACCGATCACAGTATGGTTGGTATTAGGTCTCAAGATGCCCTCATTGTGGAGCACGACAACTGGGCCGTTTCCCCGAATGAATGAGGTGAGAAATGCGCTCTGTCGGAACTCTACCTCAAAGCTCATTCCCTATGCAGCCAGTTCTCTAAGTTGTGAATAGATATGACAACCTGTCACGGTTGCGAGAATCATAGTGGACGTTGTGACAGTGCATCACAATTCTCATGTACATCCGCCACAGCAATGAGCAGCATGAGTCACTTCGCAGGCGAATTTGGTGTCCGTTGATGCCGGGCCTCGATCAGCTCGACGTAGCCCCATGTGACGTTGACTTTCGCGCAGCTTGATGCTACAGAACAAGGTGACAAGGAGCTCACTTTGAACAGGAAAAGAGCCTGATTAGGACATACAGGAATTTGCGACTATGCATGCCGATAGGTGACTCGTATTTCTACCGTTCTGTGCGAACGGTATCTCTACTGTGCAGCTGAACAGCAGGCCCGCCGTCGATTCTACTGGGTAGCTACTCAGTATTAATAGCGCCATCTCCCTCCGCTTCCTGCTGATTATCTCTGGCGCTATCACTTCTCAAAGCGAATATATGCGATTCGAATCTGCCGCTATGTTTTGACTGCTAGCTACCGAGGGCCTATTGAGCGAGCACTGGCATACAACATGCATTGTCACTCCCACTTCTCCGTCACTTTCCTCCTGATGGGGAGTGCTTTCTATGTTTGGTATTTGAACAACACGAATGGTCATATCGTGCCTAGAGACAGTAGGAGGTGTGTATCTTTGCGAAATCTAATGATATGGGCGTTAATTTGATATATGGCTGAGTGCTGTCATCTCGCGAACGTCGATGGGAGTCAACTATAATTTAGACAATGCCGACCTGTCAGATACCTACAATGGGACTACAGAAGGCTGTACTACGACGGCGGCAGGCTCATCAACACGACGAAGCGAGGTGAGGGGCAGGCTTCATATGCAATGTCACCGAGCACTGCAACGTCCGAGATGAGGTGCGAGCCTGACCATGTTCCCGAAAACAGTATGTGAGGTCGGAGGGCTGATGCCGTTCTAGCTCAAGTTACTCGGCGGTGCTGAGATGCAATTTCGATAATTAGAGAATGCTCTAAACCAAGGCATGATCTATTGGTCTTTGTCGGCATAATGATGAGCACTTCGTCCCAACAGGCACCTCTGTGCCCTAGTTAGGCCAGACATCCCAAGGCACTAACTGAGTTATATAGATGTACAGACAATGGGTCGCTTATCTTAGCTATTTCTCAGACCGACACTCTCATATGTCTACTAGCCAGGTACGTTTTCCGTTCACTTACTTGTCTTCGTTTGACTAGTCCCTCAACGATTGTTTCTTAGGAACCCGAGTGCAGCGACCCCAGCCTTGCCCTCAAATTCCTTCGCGCTTACAACCCAAGCATAATGGATCACTTCTATACCATCGACCCATTTGAGATGGACCGTTTTGTCCCGGGACTCGGATATGAATCCCAGGGTGACGCAGGCTGGATCTTCCCAACTCAGACAGGGGTGACAATCCCACTATACCGTATGCATAGTCAGACGGACCACTTCTACACGACAGACGAGGCGGAGATGAAACTTGCCACAGCCCACGGTACTTATGTGTTGCAAGGCATCGCTGGGTATGTCTACTCTACCCAGATTTGCGGCAGTATCCCGCTGTACCGCCTCTACAAGCCAGTGGACCATTTCCACACCATCTCTTGGGCCGAGGATCAGAACATGTCATACATCGAGGATTATGTGGAGGAGGGGATCCAATGTTACGTGTTACCCGATATCATGGCCACATCTACTAGCTCGTCGAGCTCGACCAGCGGCCCACGACCCACATCACTCGTTACCGGGCCTGAGACGAGTGCTCCGGCCATCGCGACGTCATCCCTGTACTTGGCCATTCCATCCGCTAATTCTGCGAATTCTAACAAGTTAGGAGGACAAACTGCGCACATCACTCCAGTAACTGCAGTGGTCTCCACAATGCTATTTCTCGCAACGATGATCCCTTGTTTCCGGCGCCAGCGGGATGAATATGTACATTTCGCTAGGTTGGGGAATCACAAAGGTAGTTCGTGTTAGCATCGCTGTTGCAAGAATGACCGACGTAATGCAGGCGACACGTCAGGGCAACGACCGGTGGAAGAAGACGGCGATCTAGTCAATTTTGACTCTCGAGATGCCCTTGTGACATGCTACGATGGCTAGCCTGTCTCCCCACAGGAGTGAGGTGAGCTATAATATCTATATTCAATTCTCCGGAGCATTTATTTCCTAAAAGGTCCAATTGTACGGACTGTTGCCAGATGCCAGGATCACAGCAGATATGGCATTGTGACAGTGTACAGGATTCATGATATAACATAGTACTAAGAAGCAAGAATTATTTTGTAGACTGTGAAGTGGGCCACAACTGAATGCCTTCCGGACTGTTCGCAGAAACAGACCCGTTATGTCGGTTCGTGCCGTTTAGCAATTGACGAATATATAATGAGGGCTGGAGTTGATGACATAAGCAGAGGGATCATGTTTGAGCCAGCGAGAACAGGGCGGAGCCCGAAAATAACGTCTGCAACGCCTCGATTTGGTCCGGAGGAGGGGGGACCCTCCTCCAGATGCAAACATGGCAATCCAGACTCTTCAGCATATAAAATCACGGCAACAGTCGTTTCGAGTCTGGATGCGATCGCAGAACAGAATAGACCTCAGATCGTGTCGGCAACACGGCTGATCTGACTGGCCCACAAGGCATGCACTTACGCTTGAGAGCAGGTACGAGGCGGGTTTGTCTCGATTCCGCACCCCACCACAGCAAATGGATATGTCTTGAGATCGTTAGAGGCGAGTAAGAGTTGGGAACTTGCATAACTCATCAACTCCTAGTCGTAGCACAAGGGTGTCAACCGTGGGTAATATGTCGTCATACACGCTATCCGGCTTCGAGGTCTACGCAAGTCTCTCCTAGAATGTGTGGAGGCTGTATGTGGTGCTTGTCTTGCCTTAGATGTGTCTGGTTTGACTCATACAAGTCGCCTCGAATGGTATCGAGCAACAATCGCAGCACCTTCACTAACTACAGCTACGGCTCAACTGCTCACCTGAACCAGCCTGGTTTCAGCAACTCGCCGTTCAACAACTTCTAGGGAGGCTGAGCATCAGCGCCGCTGCCGCCACGGATGACATGCAGCCACAGATGAGCTCGAATGCTGCGGATGCGGACACTCACGCCATAGCAGCAGCAATCTGCAAATAGCAATGGCCACTACAAAGGGTACGTCATGTTCGGTATGTGTCTGCCCAACATGGGTGTCATTGACGAATTCCTGTACCATGCGCACATGGCAGCCTGTGCCTATGACAGGCATCATTCTTAATCGAAGATGAAGATGGATCGATATTGGTCTTGTCGTGGATGTTCACTACAAATGATATCCTCAGCACCATAACCCTCTAGCTCAGGCTCTACGACTCCCTGCGACGCGTTTGCGCTTGCAAGACATAGCTTATACAGAAAGACAGGTACGTTGGACTCATCACTTCGAGTGGCTGCCACAAACACTCCACTAGATTACATATGGTGAACGGGGATAACGCTGATAAAACACCTTAGTCCCACCATGACTTCTTACCAGGTATCGGGATGCTATGACTATGATATCGATCACGTTGTTCCCTGTTCTACTACCAACCAAACCCCCTCTCTCAGCCCGACTTTGCAGCTGCCGGTGCCAATGTCTACTCCATTTTCATCCGTGACTCAACTCTCTGCCGTGTCGACACACCATGTGCCCAATGCGAGTTCCTCGAAGGTCGCGGCGACCCCTCTCCCCCTGTCGACCCCGAGTCCCGATCCTGGGAGGTCAGCTGGCCGTCTAGCGCTGATTATCGGTCTAATTATTGGGCTGGTCTCCATATTACTGTCTGTCTTTGCTGTCGTCTGCTGCATCTGGCGTAGACGCTCACGGCAAGCCTATCGAGAGAGTTATAATGGTAAGCGATCCGCTATAGCTGCAGACATAACTGTTAGTGACCTGTATGCCATAGGAGCACCAGTGTCGCCGCGACAGCCAATGGAGATATCGCATAGCACGGCCACCCTCAGACCGCAGGAAACACATACTGCAGACGGAGACACGTCCGCCGCCGACGAGCTCGAGTGTCTATCTCACGCATCGCAGGCAACACGCACTTTTATCCATATAGAGGAGTACAGCATACCAGACGTACCACCTCCGCCGTACGATGAATGAAATCCTTAGGTCGTATATTTAGCCTGAGTAATCCGTGCGCACAGCACCAGTCTCTGCACGTTGTAACATGACCACACAAGAAGGGTTACTTTTGTGTAGACGCGCCTATCGGTTTTCCATTCGCTGTCATTCAATTGCAAATTCTTAACGTAAGGTGATATTTCCGTCTCAATAATACACAGGCACATGCAAGGACGACAATGATCTCAAATTCACAGCTCTGTACGTACTGATTCTCCTTACATCAGAGCACTTCATCCAAGTTCAGGAATACTGGAAGCTTTTAATAGACATAAGACCGCAGACAGAGGCAAATGTCCAAGTTCATTACGTATGCATCGCGCTAGAGGATCGCTCATGATTCCGCCGCGGGCTGAAGAATCCGCGGGGTGAAGCTCAATTGAGCGCTCAGGATGACAGACAAAACTCAGTTTGGCATTGACATGGACTGTTCAATTCCCAATTTTGATTCTTCTTAACGAATCAATCACACTACTCGCCTCCCATGCCTCGTGTCATGATAGATATGGGATAGCAACGGGCACTTCTCACATCGCAATCCGTGATTACCGTTGCTCATTAAATACTTGCAGCTCTCTCCTTCATTGACCGTATGTGACCTGCTCAAGTGAACCTCTGTCTTTACATTTCACTGAACGACTTGCCAGGTCTTCTCTCTCGGCTGGCGACTGCAATACATCCCAAGGATGATCATGCATCCGCCCTCTGCTAGACTTTTGTGTCTTGGTTGGCTTCCCATTCTGCTCGTTCCCCGTGTTCGCGCTTCCTTCACAATTTCGCCCGGGGGCACGACTCTACAGCAATGTTTGCCGACGGACCTCATCTGGACAGAAGAGGTATGTGGCAAATCACCACTGCATATATTGGTGCATGACACATCCGGCATGTAGCCTCCAATTGTATGTACGACTTCCCTCGTCCCAAGGCTGCAGCATGCTATGCTTGTTATCCCAACTAATAGGCCTTGTAGCATCTCTGGGCGGCGCCCAATGCTGAGGACTCACCGGGTGATCCGACTTTGCACGACTTCGGGATAATCAACAGCAGTTTTATACTTTGGACAGTGAACCTGCCAGTTGGTACGTAGCGCAAGTTCGTCTCTGCGTGACTCATATCAATTGCGTCTACAGGTCAAAACGTCAGTTTCACATACGTGCAGACTGCCAACCTATATTATATTTATTCATCTGGTACGTGTGGTCGCCTTACAGATCGATGCTTCTGCGTAGGCTGACGTGTTTATAGCTGAGTACATGGTGGTACCTGGGCAGGATGATTCTTGCCTCACAGGGAGCAGCTCGACTGGGACCTCGTCTGTCTTGCCCATTTCAGTGTCATCTTCGGCGAGTATTATATCAAGTAGCACGAGCCTCATCCCAAGCAGCACAAGCATCACCTCAGGCAGCACGAACACCATCTCAAGCAGTGCGAGCGCCATCTCAAGCAGCGCAAGCGCTAGCTCGGATCCTTCTGCATCGAAGACGCCCGCAGTCGCCAATGCTGACGGAAACAAACCAGCCCGGAATTTGGCATGGGTTGCGGGACTCGTAGTGGGACTCGCGGCTGTGATCATAGGTGTCATTGCCGCCTTCTTTATCGTACGCTGCCGGCGACGTCGACTGCAGACGCGACCTTTTCTGCATGCGGGCACGCTGCCGAATAACGGTATGTAAGCCTTGTGTGGCAGGGGTACTGCCAACTCATAGCTATCCGTCATAGAAATGAGCCAACCCAGAAGAGAGGGAGCAGGAGGATTGGAAGTAGCAGCGCATTTGCTTGGGGCCAGCCCGCAGATTCCAGAAGGACATTCTGCCATCACACCCCCTCCGCTGAGCTTTGACAGGGGCCCATTCACCTCTCATGATCAGTCGCATGATTCTCTACTGCACGGCGGAACAAGTGAGAAGGAGGGACTCAGCGGTGAGACTTTGTCGTCCTTTTTAAAGGGTCTCGTGGGGCTGACGAGCAATGCAACAGCAGCGTCCGAGATCAACATATCCACGTCCCCATCTACCTCTCGTGACGTTGATGGAGGGATTGCATTCTCTGACGATGGAGTTCCAGACATTCTTCCACCTGATTACGAAGATAGAAGACCAGCGACAATCCAAGTGAGATAGCCAGCAGCGGATCAACTGCCTGTCGGCGTAGTCACGCATCAAATAAGTTATTCATCCGATCGAAAGCAAGCACGACATGCGAGGCACATAAACATGAAATCCATCCGTAAGAATCAAGCAGAACAAGAAAAAATGTCGCAGGGCGTTGGCCGGTCAGGCCTTTTGTGCAGAGACCCGCATCATGATCTCTGAGATGATGTCGGCAGCGTGCGGGACACTCCCGCTTGTCACCTCCACCATTTTGTTCTTGAAGGCAGACGACGCCTTCAGCGCGTGCCAATATCTAACTACCAGAGCGAGCTCCATCTCCTTGACTTCGTCGTACCTGTATCGTCGCATCCGTCAAAACGTCATTTTGGGAATGTACATGTAGATTGCCTACCTCGTGGTGAACTCGCTGAACACCTCCGTGAGTAGTGTCTCAGGCGTCAGCTGCGACTCTAGATACTCCAGCGCAAGCTTCCTCAATCCGTCGAGCTCGAGCTACAGCACTCAGTGAGTAGGCGGACTAGTGAAGTACTTAGAAAACAGACCATGTGTGCGAGGCGGTATATCGAGCGGCACGAGGGTGGCAGTGGACGGTGAGGATTGCCGCTACGGTATCGGGCAAGGAATTCATCTTGACCCTTTGGATTCAGTGATGTCAGCGGTGCAAAGTCGATGAATCCCGTATATAGGTAATACAGCAACGCCTCCCAGCTATGGGCTACCCTGTCAGACGAACACCAATAAGCAACGTATGGACTTACGTGCGAGCTGCAGCACCGAGGAGGACAATCGTCGTTCCCTCGAATTCTACATTGTCCGGTTAGGCCGATGAACGAAAAAAGAGGGCAGCACAAACCTGAAGGAGAATACAAATCTACGCCTTCTCTCGGATTGATGATATCGAAAGAGTCGGTTGATGATTGCATGGAAGCTATTCTTACGGTCTCAGCAGCGGAAGTCCAGCTAAAAGAAGATTAGTACCTTCAACCTCAGCCTGTATGCTCTCGAGGGTGACACTGTCATCTGCTATCATCGAGTCGGCAGGAGTGCCTCCTGGAAGCGGACGCCTCGCACGTTGGCGGCAGTTCTCGCTTTGGACAACGACAATATCGTCGTCCTCGTCATCTTCCTCCTCGTCTCGCTCAAAGTCGCTGTCATAATCGTGTTGGTCGCATGTAAGGCTATAATCATCCAAGCTAGCTCCAACGGGTAGTTCAAATCCCTCAATGCTATTTTCTATGTTGAGTACTATTCTCGAGGTAATTAGCGGCTGACAAAAAAAAAAGAATCGCGTGGGTGCACTCACGGTCCTCACATCGCTCGTAATGGGACGCGAGGTCTTTCATGTTCGCATAGAACGCACGTGGGCAGCTTAAGCGACCGGTAGAATCACGTCTACGGAAGACTATGAATCGGGTATTGGATATGGGACGTGCCGTGAGGACGCGATGTATGAGGTTGAGAGTTGGGCTCGAGCGGGGAGTCGGCGCATTAGAAGAGCGTAGGGTGACGAGGACGATGGCTGCGTTCTCACGCTGCATGGTGTATGATGCTTCGTACATCTTTTGCGACAACAGTGTGCCGATGGTCGTCCGACCGTGGTCAAATGTGGCCTGACGTTTTAGTGCTTTTGTTGAGTACGTGTGATTTCCTAAGAGGGACTGAACAGAGACAGAGGCATAGACTGCGATGGTTGGTGTGGAATAGTCTCCAGGGAGCATATACAAGGACAGTCTACATTTTCTTTGCTTGCCTTCGATTGCCCGCGAAACCTTGAACATGAAGCCTGGCCAGAAGGCGTTGCTCATGCGAGGCTCAACTTCGACTCCCTCAGTCTCGGCAGAGTCAGTCAAGAGTTCCCGCAGGTTGTCAATTCTGAACCGCACGGAGAGGTCGAAGTCGGCTGCGTCTTGCTGGACTGTCATGGAAGCCATCCTGCAAGATGTTTTCTGGGGAAGATTTACGGAGTAGTCGAGCGAGGGAACGTCGGTATATCTGAGGCGAGCAGTAGTCCAGCAGGCGGAAGGTTATGTCCAAGTTATGTCATGCAAGGCGTGCACACAGCACGATATACGTAAAGAGCCGAACCCTCGTCCCTTCGATGGGTAGATCAGAACGTGCTATTGCAGCAAACGGTAGTAAAAAGGTCCTCTCGGGACGTTTCTGAACAAAAACGAGGACAGGAGGAAAGAGAACTAGAGAAAGACGACTGGGAAACGGTAGCGCGCGTGGGGATTGGGACGCGTCATGATCGCAAGCAGACGCGTGCAGTCACGCGCCATATACCAGGCCGCGCGTTACACCAGGTCGTCACGCCGTATATGGTAACCGACAAATGTACGCACATCCATTTGAGCATCCAATTCTAATATACATCAGGCATGCGCGTTTACTGCGACCAAGATAAGAAATAGTGAAGGAGCGAGAGGTTCGATGATATACAGTGTCACCAATGAATGCTATTCCGTTTCACTTCAATCGTCTTCGGACGAGGCGCTGTCGTACAGGAGCACGTAATCAGGATCCTGGACACGGGCATTGGGCGCGGCCACCATGTGCGATCTGCTGTCTTCATACATTTCCTCCTCGTCGTCAGACAAGGGTGAATCCGGTGCGTCCACTAGAGAGATTGACGAGTCAAACGAGCCATCCTCCGACGGCGGGCTGGAGGGCAGGGTAGCTGACACAGTAGGCGCAGAATCAGCAGTGGCGAAGTGCTCGTCAACTACGGTGGGTAGTCCGGCGCTCGCACCCTCCGCAGGCTGCGGCATGATGATAGACGAGGACGCCAGTGAGTGATCGTCATTCGACAGCGCAGACATTGCCCTCGTCATCTCAGCGACGGTTATGCTGTCCGAGAATCAGCAAACACAACGAATGCTCAATAATAAAGATGACTTACTCAACCCAAATGCTATGTCCAAACTGGTTGCCTTCACCATCACTGAGCCGCCAGTAGCTCACATATCGTCCCGGAATCTCAGGAGCCTGGGGAAAGCAATCAACAAACTTATGTTCATCATTGGCTAAGCACGCATACCTTCATTTCGCCAGCCACGATCTCGACCTCCACACCAGCTTTCACAGTGCCCACATGAGCCCGACGCGATGCGGCCTCATACGGCGCCAGCCGATCGCCAGCTACGTACACCAGTTCCGTGGACTCCGGCCACTCCGTCCTGCCATTGTTGAGCATCTTCCACGCCTTGACGAACTCGGCTCCAGGCGGAAAAATCTGGCCGTCGGGAATGTTGTTGTCTGACACAAAACTAGCGAGCAGCGGCTGCGGAACTGGCTCAGGAGAGGGCTCCCTTGCTGGCAGCGTCGTGCTCGAGACCACGCTGAAAATCGAGTTCCTGGACTGTTCGCTGACCGGGACAGTGTTGGACGAGCTACGATAGACCGTTTCGTCGAACACAGCGTGCAGAGGCCTTTCCCCGACGCGGGCCCCGAGGGGCCTACACAAGAGCGGCTCGCCAACCAGAGGCGACTCCTCGACGGCCTTGGAAATATCTTGCTCCTCGGCGGCCTTGGGCTGCTCAACAATCATCGCACCCGGCATCATTTCCTCCTCCACAGTCATAGCGGCATTCGGTGTTCCAGTAGGCGTGGTCGGCTGGAGGAGATGTTTCAGCATAGACGTCAGCTCTGGCCAGAGTTCGCGCCATTCGTTATTCACAGGTCCAAGCCGGGGAATGGAAGTGGAGGAGGTAGTAGATGGTGTCGTTAGTCCTCCAAGCGTGGACTCCCCCTCGATGCGTTGATCCTTCTCAGTATTCGTCTCGCCGTAATCAATTAGACGCTCCTCAGCCTCTGTGACGTGCGGCTGCCCGACGGGAGACACCGATTGTTCCAGCGCCATAGGAACGGTCAGAGGTGATGATGCCACAACCTCCGGTTCTGCGGTAGGAGTAGAGATAACGTCGTTCACCAATCGTCCAAGAAGCGTGGAATCCGCAATGGCCACATTTCCCAGCAGAGATGTAGGCCGTACCCCTTCGTCCCAGTGGTTGTTGTTCAATGATTCCAACGGAGTGAGATCTGGGAAACTGGTAGGAAAGTCTATCGCGGTGGGGGCCAGGCTTGAAGTACGTGTTATCGACTCGTCCGACACACCCTCCGAACGTTCATGGCTTTCGACGTCCTCCGGAATGAGTGAGGTTGAGGTGTTCATCCATGTACTATCCGCGACATCAGGCTTGTTGCTCGAGTAAGCTTGGATGGTTACGGGATTCCTGCGGCATTCCTCAGTCGCCATGAGTTCTTCCACCAAACTACATTCTCGCCCCGACTCGGATGGCATCGTACGCTCGAGCTGGTCCAACAGGTCATGCATAGCCGGCTGCGCAGCTTCCGGTCTCCGGACAGCGGGGATTGTAGCGTCCGGCTTTCTCATCTTCAGGAACGGATGTGCAGGCGGATGCACGGGGAATGGAAGGGCCTCACAGGATTGACAGAGGTCGAAGTCCAGACAAGAAGAATGCATGCACTGTATAACGTAAACGATCACTATAATTTAGTTCTGTGGGAGTCGGACGATGACATACCTTGTAACGGATGCCAACGATCTGATTCCGGCAAACATTGCAAACAGCGCCATGAATTACATTCGAACCCAGTGCGTTGCGGACCTGGAATGATAAAGGGACCGGCCTCAGATCAGGATCATATGAGGCATCATAAACACTAACTATGAGATTGTCAGGTCTTTCGATCTTCACAAAGCCGTGGTCAGGGTGTTGCTCTGCAGTAATTCTACTAAAATGTGAGATACGCTTCACATACGCTATGTATACTCACTGGAAACACGAGGAGCACGTGTCGAAGTCAGGGCAGTTCATGCATTTCTGTAGACAGGGTTGGATTAGTAACGGCAGGTAGTAGTTGGTTAATTCAGCCATACGTAGCGGTCTCCCTGGATCCTCGAGTCGCAAAGGTTGCATTTGGCTTGGTGAATGATTGGCGAGGGAGCCCGTATAACCACAGGCTCCATAGACTCTACAGGAGACGGGGAACGAGGGGCGCCGACCTCGTCGTTATCAGAAAAGACGGTGTGCACAATCACTTCACCCGGGCGGTCGATCTCGAAGAATTGGTGTCGAGGACCATGCGTAGCGAGCAGACCGGGCTGTGCGATGCACGAACTGCACAGGTCATAGTCGGGACAATCCAGACACTTGTGTCTAATCCCGACAACCTGGTCATGACAGTTATCGCAGAATACGTTGCGATGAACTGGAAGATCCCCGCTTGTCTGTCCGGTGGGAACGCGTATGGGAGACATAGGTTCTCGCGGAGGACTTGCAGATGTGGATTGAGCCTGCGTTTCGGACAAGCGAGCATTCACCAGGCGCTGGCGGGCACGGTAGTAGGCGTCGATAGACCCTGGTCTGGAAATAGGGAAGAAGTGATGCGTAGGATCATGCACCTCGTATGCACGAGACTTGCAGATGCATGACGAACAGTAGTCAAAATCTGTCACACCAAGGTTGAGAATAGGTCCACCACGTCCGTCGCGATGACAATCACGTACCATCACACTCAAGACACTTGAATCTTACTCCTGGGAAACGACGTTTGTTACAACCGTCGCAAGTGATACCCATATGCGTCATCTGCTTATAATCATTGCCACTGAGAATCGGGAGGAAGGAATGATTTGTCGAATGTTGTTCCAAAACCCCAGGGCGAGCAATGCAAGCGCTGCACAGATCAAAATCTGGTTGAAACCCGTCAGACGATCGTATACAGATATTCAAATAGGAAAGAACCAACCGCGACAGTCCAAACATTTGAACCTGACCCCTGTCAAATCAAGTTTCTCGCATCCATCACATGTAATACCCCTGTGGATGATTGCGGGAGAAGACACAAAGGCGTGATTCTCCATCGACTGACCACGCTGGGGAGTCCACGAGGTAGTCCAACCGGGCGCGGGAGACACAAACGACGGCAGGGGAGGCGGTGGTGGGACTGCGAAATGCGGAGGTGGCATATAGGGCATAAAGCCCTCTGGAGGAATCTGGAATTGAGGCGGCGGAGGTACAAAGAGAGAGCACGGGGGCTGAGGGAAAGGCGACCTCACTTGTGGTGAGCCCCAACCAAAGTCGGACTGCCCACTTGCCCACGTCTTACCAGGTGAGGGGGGCATAGAGAGGTCATTATGCCGATGGTAGCCGGGGGCTATTGAAGTACGAGCATGCAGAACAGACGTATCATTTCCCTGGCTGCGCCGTGGGCCGCAAGAGCTCGAATTTGCTCGGCCGCAGCCAGGTCCGTGCGCGGACGGCCTGCGATACTCCCACCCATCTCCAAAGGACCTCTTCATTGTACGCTCAATATTGACCATGACGTTATCGATAATCGTTTCGATCTCAGCCTTGGTCCGCGACACCGAACAGCAATTGACCGAATGACCTTGCGAAGAAACGTTGGCAGGAGTTGCCTGCAGCGTAGCGACGGGATTGCGTGTGCCCCCGGGGCCCGAAGCTTGATGCTGCGCGGACTGCCGCGATGACTCGGGGTGCTGCGCCCCATCAGACCGAGATGCTTGAAGGGTGCCTGGGCCCAACTCGCTCGAGGGAGAGTCCATCACGATATCGTCTCTGTTGTTCGTAGGCACCAGTGGGGTCACAGCAGATGTGTTGCTTGATGCAGTCGGGTAAAGCACAGGCGGCGGCGGAATCACAAGAGAGGACCGTGCGGACTGCACGTTGGACCAGTGTACGGGGCACATCACAGGCGGAGGGGGAATGACAAACAACGGCTCATTGTCATTTCCAGATTGTGCCGCTGTGAAGTCTTGAACACGAGTGGACTGACTGCGTTGTGTGTTTGGCAGAGTCGAAGAATTCGAGGCATCAGTAGCATTCATTTCCGTCTGGAATACGTCGAAGATAGACCGCGTCGGCGGCTTGTCCGTGGACGCACTAGCGACGGTCGAGGGCTCCTCAGATAACAGATCGAACAGAGAAGGCCTGACAGTCCTGACGCTACTCCCGGTCGCAGGCGAGTCGGTCCTGTCGGGCCTCGGAGGTAATGGTCTTGGCGTCGGCTGAGATTGAGGTGGACTGGGTGGCAATATTGTTATTGTGGGGGAGGCACCGGGGGAGGGCGGCCCCGAAGGAGAAGACGGTGAGAGGGGACCGACGGTAGAACGTGTCGTCGTCCGTTCGCGCAGGCGGTCAATGATCAACCGACGCTCGTCGCCTTTCCTTCTGCGGATGCTGGCCGCAGTCCAGTCGACGACGGTCGCCGAACTCTGACTAGCGCCCTCGGTACCCGTGCAGGCACTGTCGAGGCTGGAGGTGGAGATCATGCTAGTACGATTGCTCGAGCTTGCGCGGGGTGACTTGTGGGGGGTCTCGTCCACCACAGAGAACTTGAGAATCGCCCCGGGCCAGGTACGACCTTGATAGGGGGCTATATGCTCATTGTATTCCTCCGCGGAGTGGGCTTCCATGCCAATCAAGATGCGGCGTGCGGCCGCTGAAGAATTAGGCGAGAATAATAACTTGGACAGATAAAAGGAATGGGACACTGGGAAGACTTTGTACAACTGTACAGGCGCCGGGTCGGTGAGACTGATGTCGGCGGGAAAGAGGATGTCTCCAAGTATTCACCTGATTATACAACTGCTCGTATGTAGGAAACGTATCTCCGAAAGTGAACCTCCTCGTCTCGTTGTGGTAGGTTGCCTTGACTGTGAACATATTGCTCGGGGTACTGGGAGTACAGAGCAGAGGGGAGGCCGAGGTCTGCGGCCGCGTCGTCATCTACTTATAGTACCTAAGCGCTCAAGCTGTCATTGGGCGCTGCGGGACATATATCACGTGTATGGACCTGGCTCTCGACTACCAGCTGCTCTCCTCGACAAGATTTGACCCAGGTCTCCGTAACGTTACATGGAACACGGACGCTAATGATGGCATTATATCTCCGTATTTATTGCTGAGGTACAACCGGGACAGGCTATCGCAGGCCGTGCAAGAACATGGCTGGCCGGAGGCGCAATGTCTAACATACGACGAACTGGAGGCAAAGTGTGATGAGGCAGTTCACAGAGCATGTTCAGGTCAACCTGGTGGTGCTTCCCTCAAGGTAGGCAGGCTGTTCTATCTTCACGAGAAGTGCTCAGCTCTCCGCTAGCTTCGCATTCTCCTGGACCGCCGGGGTGTACTTACGGTCACCGCATCCTCTACGGGCCCGCTGCTATTCCTTGACCCTGCTGCACCATCTCAGCATATCCCGACGTCTCTGGAATCTTTATCCTCACTGCAGTCTCTCTCCTATTCCGTTGGGACACCATTGACTATCCGCGTCGACGTTTGTCCGTCTAACGCGTCCCTCTTTACCCGCACAAAGACAACTCATCGGCCAGACTACACTATGGCTCGCGATCGTATGGGAATTCCGCCTCTGCCTGCGCCATCAAATTCGGACGTTCTGTTATATACATTCGACGATGAGCTCATGGAGACCTCAATACGCAATATAGCCTTCCTTCGCCGAAATCCTCCTTGTTGGGTCACCCCGAGGAAGGAGACCGGTTGCCTTCCAGGAGTAATGCGCCGTTGGTTGCTCGAACAGGGACGCATTGTTGAAGCAAGCGAAGGAGAACTCTCGAAGCGCGATCTGGTTGATGAAGAAGTCGTTCTGACATTCAATGGGGTCGAAGGTTGCCGCTGGGGTCGGATTGTATTGACATCGACCTGAAAGATGGTCTAGAACCTATAGCCCTCGTTTTGCTTTTGACCTATCGGGTGCTGTGCTGTTGTGGTATCTCCTTAATGAGTCTCCGCCGTCCTAAGATCATACATTGCTGCAGTCAACGTCAAGATAAGAGAGAACAGGTGTCACCTCCGTATCCTTTGGCAATTAACACCGATGCATCTGTCATGGTATGTATCATGGGACAAGGGATTACCGGTTGTGCGAACATGCCTACAAACCTAATACTCCGAGCTCATTGTCCAGGCCCGTAAATCATATCGTGACCGGATTGATCCACATCTTTAGGCTTTTGTATGAGGATAAAACAATCTTCACGCCTTATGGCTGAGCAACACTGTCAGGCTTGGTACACTTTTGAAACGTCCACACCAGTTAAGCACTGCAAGACGCGCGCGGGACATATAAATCAGTCACGTGGTACGCGTCTCGCCGCACACCTCTTGGAGAGAAGCGGAGATGAGGACCAATGCGCGACTGAAATCCGCGGCTCAAGATTCTGAGCTTGCGGTCGTTTTCTATGTTGGTAGAGGACTTTGGCAATTCATGGCAACGTGTACGCCGTGCTGCAAGTTTCACACCTCTATGCATACGCCTCAATCACTCGGTCCGCGCTGCAATTGGAACGCTCCCACCCCATGACCGGGTGGCCATCGCCTCTTCGTGGGCGCGCATCTTACTCCATGCTAGCTCCATCTCGTTCAACTCAGGCTTCTTTCCCCACTGCATCTAACCTTGGAGAACGGTCGTGAGACTAGCTCAGTGCATATCTGCCTTCACCTCCCCTGCGCTAGTGCTACAGCCACCCCTTCCTTCCGCCACAATGGGCAGCGGTAGTCACCGAGAGGTCCATCATCCAACGCTGTATTATGAGGACGGGAACGTCGTGCTCTCCGCCCAGACGCAGGACCGCGAACTCCACTACTTTCGCGTGCACCAATCCATCCTATGCAGGCACTCGCCGATCCTCGCCGACATGTTCTCAATCCCACCTCTCAGGGTATCCGCCTCACGCGACACGCTCGCGGAGGTATATGACGGTGTGCCGCATGTCCAGATGCCGGACAGCGCAGAAGATCTCGCCAGCTTCCTTCATGTCCTCTACGACCCCCTGTACGTCACATGCCCCCCGCGCATCCCACTGACACACCGGCACTGACACATGCAGCACGCAGGGGGACCGCCTACAAGCGGTTCAACCCCGACACCCCCGTGCTCGTGCAGGGCACCCTCAAGCTCGCAACAAAGTACGAGTGCGACGCCCTCCGCACGCGCATCGTCGAGAACCTCGAGGCCGACTGGCCGCAGACCCTCGCGCAGTGGGACGCGCGCCGCGCCGAGGGCATCCTCGCGCGCTCCGAGCACTCCCAGCAGTTCACCGGCAAGGTGAACGGCCTCTACCTCGACGACCGCCTCCCCGAGCCCGCCTCCGCCATCCGCATCGCGTCCGACTACCACATCCCCAGCATCCTCCCCGCCGCGTTCTACCAGCTCGCGCTCCTCAGCACCGACGCCGACTGGGACACCTACCGCGCGAACCCCGGCAAGCACCTGCGCTTCGGCGCGCGCACCGCGCGCTGGCGGCTGCTCGACAAGCGCGACCTCATGCGCCTCGTCCACGGCCAGCGCCTGCTCGCGTCGTATACGCGGGAGATCGGGACCATCATCTTCGGCAAGCGCTGTCAGCGGGGCATAAAAACGTGCGCGAAGGCCCGGGGCGATTGCTGGAAGTACTTCCAGGAGGATGCTCCAAATTCCATGGACGACCCCCTCGACATCCTATACGACTGCTCCCGGCTTGATACCCTCTTCACCGATATTCCGTGCGCGGCATGCGTCGCAGACATCGCAACCATGGCAGAAAAGAAGCGGCGAGAGCTGTGGCGGAGCCTGCCCGCATTCTTCAATCTTCAGTGATGCAGATTTTGTCGTCAGCCCCTGGGACCTGTACTACCATACCCGCTTCGTATTCACCCTTGTATGTCTAGGTATCTTCTTGCTGCCTCGTATGATTGTACCTGTATCAAGTATCACCCACTGTGTACTAGTATGTAGGTGCTCGTCGAAAACTAACTGCTCCCCTGAAGCTGCGCTGGAAGATGCAGAATGCTATTATTTTACTCTAATGATAAGAATACACAGAGAGCGCATGAAAGGTCGTGAGCGTTACAACACTATGCGTACAAGAAAGCATTGTGGACGATGACGACCATCTGGGGTCCCATGCCATATGAAGTTTAATTTATATGCAAGTAGGCAAAATAATCGTACACCTATTGGTACACTTCAGCCGTCTGCTTTTGATGTGCACAGAACGCGGCTGAGGGATGAGGGGTTAATAGTGTGAGAACACAACGATGTGAAGGAGGGGAGGAGGGCAGATATGCAAAATATGCAAAACGAGCGATCTAAACATATGAGGGAATCATGATCATGGCCGGCGCAGGAAAGCAGAGTTTCCTTGGGCGCGGTCGCATTTCTTCGCGATGCGAAGGGCGCTTTCGAGAGCACGTTCAACCAGGCCTCTCGACGGACTGGACACAGGTGTGTGCGCTAATAGATCTGAGGAGATATCGGGAATTAGATGGCAGTTCTGCGGGGAAGTCATTGTAAAACCCACCCTTGTACTGCAAGACATATCGCATCACCCGCTGCGTCGGCTGGATAGCAAGATCCCTGACAGTCAACTTCTTCTCCTCCGCGGTCGGTGCGACAGGCGACGGCAGCGTGCCAGCCGAGGACGGTAAGTGGTACAGCGACGACGGCATGCTCTTGCGCTTCCACGCACTCAACGTCCGCGAGAGCGACCCAGCGGGACCCGTCACCTTCCCGACGCTCGCCGTGCTCCCGTGTTTGACGTATCCGTGCGGCTGCGACACAGGCGACAGACCAAACGCAAGCCCAGTGCCCAGCGCAGCGGTGAACATACCGCCGCTCTCGCCCATGCCGAACAGCGACATCCGGCGTGCCTCCGGCACCTTGGGCTTCGGGAGCCCGAGCCCGCCCTGGCTCAGACTCCGTGTCGAGAGCGGCGGCGCAGGTGCAGGTGCAGGTGCAGGCGCTGCGCCCTTCCCGCCCTTCTGCCGGACTCCGAACTCGTCATGACCGTGTGCGCTCGCCGACACGTCGTTGACCTTGCGCGCGAGCTTGCGGCCGCGCTTGTCCTTCTCCTCGGGGTCTGCGAAGAACTCGCCGACGGTTCCGCACCACGCAACGAATGCGGCCTCGAGGTCCTCCTCACAGCCAATGAAGGCCGCGCTCACGCCCCACGCCGACGGGTCGTCGACAAGCCGCACCAACAACGCGTCCGAGGCCTCTAGGAGGGCAGGTACGTACGAGAGCAGCAAGGAGAACATCGGATGCGACGACTGGGCGTTGAGCAGCTGCCGCAGTCGAGCCTGGTAGTTCCGCTCCGTCCGCACGAGCTCTCGGCAGCATAGCAGCGCGCGTCTTGCCGTGCGCCACTCCTCCGCATCCTCCGCATCCTCCTCAGCTTCCTCCACGGTCCCTTCCAGGCCCTCCTCGTCCTCCGAGTCGCTCTCTCCACCCAGCTGGAACCGCGTGCTTGCCCTCCACGGCGACCCCGAGGAGTTGCCATAAACGAATGACGGGCGCCAATCACGGCTATCACAGTCGCTCCCATGTCCTTGTTGACTGCTCGTGGGCGTGCGGCTCGTGCTAACGCGCGACCGCCCCTCCTTCCAGAGCTTGTCAAGCTCCTGCACGAGCACTTCGTCCGGGACATCTGCCATCGCGAGCGTCCACCGCCGCATGGCCATGGGATCGCTGTCGAGGAAGCTCGTGTGAGTCTGCGGCGGCCGTTGCGTATGGCGTGGAAACGGGAGCGAGGCGTGTCCGTGAGTGTCGAGGGATGCTCGATGTGAAGGGAGCTCTCTTGTCATTTGTGATGTGAACAACGTTGCCGGAGCTTCCGGCGTGGGTGCTGGCGCAGGCACAGGAATGCTCTCGCGCGTTGGCGTCATCTTCTTCCGCATCGAGGAAAAGGTGCTGCTCATGGCGTGACCGAGCGCGCTGCCCCCGTGCCCGTCGTCGTCGCCATCAGGGAAGTCTCCCACCTTGTCAAGATGGGTCGAGTTGGGGTTCCCCCCGCTGGCATACAGGCTCTCGCCGTATGGGTCGAAGCTCCCAGGCTGGACGGCTAGTTCCTGTTTCGCAAGCTGTGCAGCGCGTTCAGGGGAACGTTTCTGGATGTTCAAACGGGATGTGAGTGCAGCAAGCTCGGGGGAAGACAGCCCAGTCCAGGCCAGCTGCGCGAGTGCGTTCGCCGAGCTCTTTTTCCGTCCAGAGAGGGTGTTGGGCGCGGACGGCGAACGCGGTGACTGCGTAAGGGAATCAGGCTGATTGACGTAAGCAGATAGAAGGTCACGTAAATAGAAGCACGGAAGCAGAGTCAGTTTCGAGGATCTCCACAAGGACAGCCGTGCACACGTACGATATCGAGACCGAAGGGCGCCTCGGGGTTGATCGGTGGCAGGACTGCTCCGCTGACACCAGCATCACATCGCGTGCGTGCCTGGGTCTTGGATCGTCGCAGCCCCCATGCTGCAACTGGACTCGCCGGGGCGCTTGCGGACGTCTGCGATGGGCGCCGTTTCTTAAGTTTACGGGGCGCATGAGCGCGGCTGTTGCTCGTCGCACGCGTCAGTGCCCTTGGGTCCTCTTCCTCTTCTTCTACAACGCACGTGGAGATAGTGGGCTCGATGGGAGACACGATAGGGGAAGTGTCGTCAGGCGTCGTTAGCGGGGTCGTGTCGGACGAGAAATGAGATGAAGACAAGCATGCCGAGTGAGAAGTGGAACTGGAATGCGATTGTGATCCCGAACTGCTGCCGCCACTACCATGGGACTGCGGGATGGGTCTAGGGGCTCGTGAAGGATCGGCGTGCCCACTTTCACTCACCGCACTACGCGTGCGGAAGAACTTGCTGGCTTTCAGTGACCGCGGAGACTCGTCCTTGTGACCAGATGGGACATGCAGGCTCAGAGCGCGCCATATGCGCGAGCCAGTTCCGGTGCAGCTGGAAGACGGGCTAGGCAACGGATTCATCAAAGAGTTCGGACGCGTGATCGACTTCTTGAGCTTCCTCCTCCCATGTTGAGGAGTCGCTGGGAAGCTCGTAAGCGTCGAGGGCAATTGATGGCCGGCCAACGGAAACGAGTTTCGGTAGGTGGGGATACTGGCCTTATCTGCCCAGCTCAGGCGCGAGGTGTAGCCGTGTGTCGGATTGGTATGCTCAGACAGCGACTGGCTCGCCAGCGTCCTTCCATGCGGAGCACGGCCCGAGGAAGATGCCTCCGGGATGGTGAACGTCAAGTCGTGCCCCGGTTCGGACACAGTGTGGTCGCAGTACGGATAGACGTCTTCCTGCGGCTCGTCAGATGGCGCGACGATGGACACAGATTTCGCCTTGCGGACGTCCGACTTTGGCGGGACGGGCGGGGGCGTGCTCAGTACGGGAGGATCGTGCATGAGCGCGTCAACGAGCTCATCGTATTTTGAACGTGGGCGGTCGCCTGATGAGTGAGCGGGAGCAGCCCGTGCAGACGGCGCGAGGATCTCTGCAGCGAGATTGGCACACGTCACACATGGAGGGTTCGGGACACGTACGAGGTTCGGCGTGCGCGTAGCCTGCGTATTGAGCCGTGTCGAGAAACGACGTCGGCGCGTCCTCGGTCTCGAGCACGGAATGGCAGTCTGCGCTCTCGTTGGAGTACACCGACGACGACGAGCCCGAGGGATCGAGTGGTGGCGGGATCTCTGGGAGAAGACGCTGCCTACGCGGCGTACACCTGCTTATATTGAGAAACTGATAGGCTATTCGGGAGCGCGACTTACTCGATATGTGCTGTCTCGGCGACGCGAGGCTTGTCGTCGAAGTAGCTGCGCATGCTTATCGCCGCCGTCGCGCCTGGTTGCGAGGAAGCTAGAGACGGACAGGGAAGAGCATGAGGGGAGATAGGAAGGGGCGACTGGGTGAGAACAGCCATGCAGCGGGCGACGCAGAAAGGCGTCGAGAGCGAGGCTTGTTCGAGTGGGCCTATCGCGTTTATACAGCCACCCCCATGCATCAGTCCTGACGTCATTCCCACGGCCCTCTTTGCTCTCCGCCAGGCCACATTTATAACTCAGCTGCCTGTTACAATCTCCGCGAACATCAGCTCTCTTTTCCCCCGCAGATCGGACGTCACTGGCCCCCAGGGCGCGGCGGCCAGTCTGCGACAACGGCCGCTTCATCGTTCACAAATCTGCCGTTTCGTTCTCGGAATCTGGACAGAGGGCGTGAATTGATCCCGACCAGTCCCATCCAGGCGTGTCGCGCGATGCGGGTCATATGCTCTAGCATCTCCAAGGGTGGCATCTAACTTTATCTCCCTGCGGGGTAGGACGATACGGAGTCGGGATGACGATGCACAAAACCCTATACGCCATGCTTCACCTGTCCGGCTCCTTGCTTCTCGAGGCCCGGCTGTGCCTGGCACACCCACAGCTCCCAATCGTTTGTCGGTTTCTCCATGTTTCTCCGTGGAGATCACGTAGCGCGTCAATAGTCGGATCAACTACATTCCACGCGTCTCGGAACTGCTACTGGCTGTAAAGGCGTAATTGAATTCATTGTTTACTTTCAAGCGACCGCGTTCGAGGCTTGCTTAACCCGATGGGCGCAGCGTTCTCGACACTCTTCCGGGAAAACTCTTCAAGGGTTATGAACATGAGGCACCGGGGTATGTTATTATCAGTTATTGACAGCTATCAAGCAGTTTTGACGTAACTGACATAAGCCTCCAAATAGCGGCCACATCATCCAATCCGAGGCCTGGAAATCGTACAAGGCCCGGAAGGCCGCTTACAGCCCCGGAGAGTTTTCGACTTCGTTGCATGTTATCAACACCCACAATTCTCGACCCAGTCAATAACACCTCTCAGTTCAAAATTTAAGGGGTTTTCCCCGGAACAATCGGTCTCGACCTCACGTTCGACGCCCGTGCTCAAAGTCAAAGGTATACGCATGATGTATGCAATCCTCCGCCTCCCCGGACTCCGTGTATATACCGCGATAACGACTTCACTAACACGAAAACGATCATGAAAGGCGCGTTCCTTCGATCATGAGCCCAAGGTGCACGGTCTGCCTCAGCGATGTTTCATATAGTCCCTATTCGACGTCGCACTAGGTCCTTACTACCGAGACACATAACACGGATCTAGAAGTGCCTTATCCATCTAGTACGTTGTCCTCTTCATCCGACTGACTATACGGCGGGGGCTGTAGATCCGACATGCTATAATTCTGATACATGTCATCATCACCCTCTGACATTAGCTGGAACGATTCAGTCTCTGCTGAAAGCGCTGCGGGGGCGAATGAGCATACGAAATATTTGCAAATGATAGGTATCTCTCGCCTTCTGGCTTCGGTTCGACGTCCAGATCCAGAGCGTCCTCCCCGGACACTTCTGCGTCTACTACCGGTATCCCCACTTGAGGTACCGCATCGACTGAATTGCTCGTAGGCAGTAGCGACGCCGACGGCACTTCGCCATCTTCAAAAGAAAATCTTATTCAACTACATTTGTAGCTATATTGACGCGCCCACCTCCGCGAGCCTCCGACTTCGCGCGCAATGCCCGTTTGCGCCGTTGGAACCAGAGGTAAATGACAATGACCAGCGATACAAAGACTACTGCAACAATCGGAGCGACGATGGCCGCCACATGCCCCGTTGATTTTGGCGCAGAAACAGGAGTCGGAGTCGGAGTCTGCGTGGACGTCTGTGTGGGGGTCTGCGTGGGTGTTTGTGTAGATGTTTGCAGGGATGATTGCGCGGATGACTGCGTGGGTGATTGTGTGGATGATTGCGTGGACTCGGCCAATGCGTTGGGCAACACAAAGCACTGGATTCCCTCCTCCACATAATCCTCCGTGGTCGCCGCAACGTTCATCTCGGTCGCATTAATGGTATAGAAGTGGTCCGAGAGCGACGAACTGTAGAGGCGGTACAGGGGGATGCCGTTGCAGACCTGCGTGGCATAGACATATGCAGCGATCTCCTCGAAGACATATCCGTCTTGGGAAATGGCACTGTCCCTCTCCGTCTCGTTCGTTGTGTAGAAGTGGTCGGTGATCGCCGAGTTGAACAGGCGGTATAGTGGAATCGTCGCTCCCACCTGGGTCGTGAAGACCCAGCCGGCGTTGCCCTGGGATGTATAGCCTTCTGAGCTGACTGCAGCCTCCATTTCAACATGATCAGTGGTATAGAAATGATCCGTCCCGTTTACGCTGTAGGCGCGAAGGAATAGGGTAGCATTGCTGCTGCTACCACATGCCTAGAAAGTGATCATTATATTGGGTCAGAGGAGAGGAAGCATGCGAAGCGGTGCTACACACCTGGTTCGCAGACATGTTGTAAGCCTCTTTGAGGGGGGAGGAGCAGAGAGATTAGCAAGAAGTAAGCCTTCATGACACTTTATGTTCTTGCTAGAATCATTGGGACATACACACGGTTGTCGTGGCTATGCAACAGGAAGACATTGACATCTGAGATGATTTGTTAGCATGTCTCTTCTCTGATGTTCGAGCTCGGCCCGAGTTTCCATTCCAAGAAACATTCAACGCCGCCTTGCATGTTGATAATGACGCGCGCAGGTCCCTTGATCAACTATCGCACCCTTGGATCGTGGAGCCAATTAGCAGTGCCCGTTGGGCGGCTGTGCCTGCGCATAGTCGCGCGCCGGCTGATACTCCTGGTGGCTGAATATGTAGCTATGCCGAAGTATAGCTTCGACTGTTCCGCAACTCATCATACAGGGGTTGATGAGCCTGACAGCCCACAGCTAGTGTTTGAACAATTATTATGCACCGACGGGATGTCATAGAGAGTTAGATGGATTAGGTGTGTGCTTTGGAAAGAAGCGGTTTTTACTTACTTGTCGCTTTTCGAGGAGGAAAGATGAGACTCAGTGGATCCGTTGGGTTCAGCTTGATTGACTATAGCCTTATATGCGACCCGGGGGAGGACGAGAGCGACGATATTGTCGTTGTCCAAAGCGACAGCTGCCGTCAACGTGTGAGGCGTCGGCCTCCGTTGCTGAGACCGTGAGATTAGCTTCCATGCAACCGTCAACCGGCTCTTTTGACATCATCCATTCGAGAGAAGGCGTAGATCTGTATTCTCCTTCAGGTTTGTGCCGCTCTTGTTTGTTCATTTATTATCGGTTTGACCGGATAATCGTGTTGAAATCGAGGGAACGACAATTGTCCTCCTCGGTGCGCAGCTCGCCTGTGAGTCCACATATTCCTCACTGGCGATCGTCTGACAGGTCGTCTACAGTTGGGAGACGCTGGCAGTGCATTACCTATATATGGGATTCACCGACTTTGCACCGCTGTCATCTGTGAACTCAAAGGGTCAAGATGTATTTTTCGCCCGATAGGGCTATAGAGGAATTCCGCACCGTCCACTGCCTCCCTCCTGTCGCTCGGTATACCACCTCGCACACCTGGTCTGTCCTCCGAGCACATCATTAGTCCACCTACCCACTGAGTGCTGTAGTTCGATCTTGATGGACTGACGCCTAAGACACTACTCACGGAGGTGTTCTGTGTGTTCACGACGAGGCTGTCTAACACACTGTAAATCTCCAAGGTGGCATTTCGGCGGATGCGACGATACATGTACGATGAAGTCAAGGAGATAGAGCTTGCTTCGTTAGTGAGATATCGGCACGCGCTGAAGGCGTCGTCTGCCTTCAAAAACGAAATGGTAGAGGGAACGGGCGGGAGTATCCCGCACGCTGCGAACATCACCTCAGAGAACATGATGCGGATCTCTGCACAAACGTGCTGACCGGCCAACGCACCGTGGTGATTTCCTTGCTCTGATCGATTCTCACGGACGGATTTCCTATTTATGTGCCTCACATGTCAATCGGATGGGTAACTTATGCGTACATGCCTTGTGAGTGACTGCACTGACTGACAGTTAATCCGCTGCTGACTATCTCATATGTATGTTGTTTGTCTTCTATCTTCGTATTCAGGTGGAAGAATGTCTGGAACTCCATCGTCAGCAAATGTGATCCCGGCATCGGTGTCACAGTAGGTCAATGCCATGGACGTGTTGATCTCGGACGTTTCTGTTGCGTTACTTGTCAGCCGCCCTAGAACGGCTCAAAATGAAAAGAACAGGCTCACCGTTGGGTCTATACCTCTCGAATGCTCGATCCTGCAGTGCAATATCACGGGATCGATCATGAGAGGTTGACAAGTCCCTATCGAGGCCCGGCGCAAAGGGTGTGATGATGAATCGTTCTCCTGATGCCTGTGCGTTCGAGGACAAGGGTTCTGCCGACTCTAGCTCCGCTAATCCCTCTCCGCTGGATTGGCTTATTTCTATGACGGACAGCTATCAAATGACAGTATTGCTGCTCGAGAATGCTAACATACCGTTATGTAACAACGTGCCTACAAGCAGACGGGATCTCTTCCCCAATCGACGCCGCCTGCAGCGCACAATGACAAAGGCAGCAATGGCCCCTATGATCACAATTGCGAGTCCCGTTACCAGTCCTGCAACCCATGTCAGGTTCTTGGTTGATATATTTCCGTCAGCCTTAGATGTTGCCGACGCGGAAGAACCTGAACTGGTGCTGCGTAATGTGGTGCTGCTTGAAGATGACACTGCAGTGGAGGAAGCGGACGGTGTCCCAGATGAGCTATGCCCTGGGAGGCAAGAATCGGTGTGCCCGGCTACCACTATGTACTGAGCTGTAAGCATCTCAGCTCACGAAGACGCAAACGGGAATTTGAACCCCCATGCGAACTGCACATACAAGATGAAAGAAGATTATATGGGTTGGCTGTCCGCACGTATGTGAAACTGACGTTTTGACCTGCAGATGCAATTAATGACGAGTCACGCAGAGACGGACTTGCACTACGTACCGACCGGCAGGTCCACTGTCCAAAGTGTAAAAGTGTTGTTGATTATCCCGAAATCATGCAGAGTCGCATCACCCGGTTCGTCGTCAGCATTGGGCGCTGCCCAGAGATGCTATGGGGTCTTTGAGTTGGTATAACAAGCATAGCATGCTGCAGCCTTGGGACGAGAGAAGTCTTACATACAATTGGAGGCTGGATGCTGAATATGTCGTGCACTAATACACGCAGTGGTGGTCTTCCACGCACCTCCTCTGTCCAGGTGAGATTCGTCGCTAAACATTGCTGTAAGGTCGCGCCTTCGGGCGAAATTGTGAAGGAAGCGTGAACATGGGAAACAAACAGAACGTAAAGCCAGCCAAAACGCCCAGGTTTACGAGAAGTTGAGTACAACGCTCTGCCTGCCATGTAATGGAGGCGTCAACGCCTGGCAAGTAGTCCGATTACAATGTTAACCACGAGTAGTCCATCTCAGCAGAACACAGACCTTTGGTAAGCCTAGGGAGCTGCGAGCACTGGGTAAAAAATGAAGCTCTCTGGTCATCCCAGGTTTATTAAGGCACGACACCTCGAGCTGGTGCATGTGGCTGTCCATGGCGTGGTGATTTTGACGTCGCCATCGAGATGTATAACAGTATGTTTGACGGCGTGGATTGAACGGCGGTCCATGACAGTTATAGGCGAGAACGTGCCCCCTCAAATCTGCAGTGTCAAAGTCATTGAGGATGCGACACGCATCATGTCGAGCGCAGATCCTCAAGTGGCGCAGAATTAGGATATCTGTCCTTTCTACGTAGCTTCCGTCTGTGCGATGCGTCGATATGCATCTAGTGGCAGTGTTTGAACAGCCCATGCCAATGTCAGGATCAAGATTTTCTCATGCCATGCCCAGGGAACCTCTAGCGCGAGGGGTGCATTGGAAATACCTTCCTCCAGTCTGGGCCCGGCCACATGGAGCGTCTGCGAGTCCGATCATTTTCTCGTCCTCCGGATTTTCACGCAACCACTGCGTGGCTTTGTATATGCTCATGGTATCGGTAAATAATAAGAACTTTCTGCGAGGTACGCTTTTGAGGTATATGAGAAATCACAAGCGTGTCACGGCACAGCACGGCACAACACTACGCACAGGATAAGGCTCGAGAATGGTATACAGCCCAAGCATTTCATCATTCCTCATACGGCGGAGGTAGTGTGTCCGGTATGCTATTTTCCTCCACGTCGAGGAAGGTACGTGTTTCACGGGATGGGGGCTGCAACGGCTGCAACGGCTCAGCGCCTTGAGACGGATGTTCCGGCTGTTCGTCAGCTTGAGGTACTTGAGGTACGACCTCGTTTGCCGTGTGTGTTTGCTGCGATTTCACAGTCAGTGGGTTTTGCAATGCTTCTGTCGGCCATGGAAACAGCACTGGCGCTCCTGTGGAATATAGGTATCTAACGGCAACGTCCGCAGCTATACTGATTTGCTTACCACTGCTACTTTCTGACAAGGGTCGCCGTGAGCGTCTGCGCCGGGCACGCCGGAGACAGTAGACGATGGCTGAGACAGCCAGTAATATGAATATCGACCCAGCAATTGGACCGATGATTAGGGCTGGACGCCTAGCTGACCTTGTCACAGTCTCAGGATTCGGGGCAGCCGAGGGGAGATCGTCCACTGTGGCCTTCGAGGAACTTACAAAGGATGTCGACATGGTGGTAGGTGTAGCTATGGGCGACAGAGTGTTCGTCTCCGTTGAGTAATCAATAGTATAGACAGTATGAGTTCCGCCATTAGAGATGACAGTCAAGGCGACTAAGTGAGTGATTTCGGACGAGCTTGGTGAGCTGCGGCTACTGTGGGGGATACTGTCCGGCGAATCACTTGGCGTTGTCGAGACTGATGGAGACGCAGATGGCTGCACAGGCGGCGGAGTGTATGATATCGGTGTAGAAGACTGTGAGGACGAAGGAGGCGTGCCGTCTTGGGACGCTGTTGCAGAGGGTGGGATCGCGGACGAAGACAGGGGAGGCGTTGGCACCAGCAGTCGCTACGACGAGGCAGGAGAAGGGGTTTCGTTGGTGGTGGAACAGGGGACAACCTGATCTATACTAGAATCAAAGCATGCCGATTCCTGGTGAAACGTCATGGCGATTTATTGTGTGACTGGGGCGTTTTCTCAGCGGTATCTCAGTTCACCAAGCAACCTAGTGTAGTATCTGTAACGGCCACCTGAAGAGCTGAGCACAACGTACCTGTCTCTTCGTTGTGTTATAGGGGCACATTAATGCGTCGTAGGGAGCGGTAAAACCTGAACTGGGCAAGAGAGGAGTTCATATAGGACCTGAAAATAGCACTTGCTGTCAACGTGCATGATAGGATCGATATCAATCCATCTGTGAACTTTTATTAGAGTAGCCACCATGGCTATGAAAGGAGACACATCAGAGGAACACGACACCGGAGGGTAGCAAAAGGATTGGCCACCCGCTTCGTGCAGATACTTAGTTTCTTTCAAGGTAGAACCAGGGGATACGATGTCACAGTATGCGCTTGCGTATAAGTACGGACTCGCGAAGCTCGCGGACATGTCAAGGCAATAACGTACATATGTGGCACATAAATAGTACTTGATCTTCCCATGTCAACCAAAGCGTCAAATTCATCCCTATCCAAGGCAACTTGGAAGTATGCTGTGGAATAGTTGAATCTGAGCGCCTGTCAGAGGGCCTCTTTAACACGGTGTTGGGAGATTGTGCTTGGCGGAGTGTAGAGGTCGTTGTACGCAGGGGGCAGCACGGTTGGAGTGGATGTAAGAATGACACCAGAATCAACCTCTCGGGGAGGAGGCACCGTGTTCCACGGATATGCACCCGCGGCGTGCAGAGTGATCACAGGTGACGAGTTCGCTGCTGGGAACTCGAAGGAGGATGGTTTCATGGTGACCAAAGCCGCATCGCTTTCTGTGTGTAGGGTTTGGACAAATAGTCTTTCGATGTCCGACGCGTACTCACCTCTGGTACCGGATTCTACTATTGGGTGATAACCCGAGTTTCGATTTGTATTCCTGCCCTCTCGACTTAAGTTCCATGGTCTGATGGCAAATGTGGAGAATCTAGACAGCGGGTGCAAGCCAGTAGAATCTAAACTCGTGGAATCAGAACAACTCTGATACCAATCAGGCACGGCTCACCATCGGCATTGGTAGGCAAGGAGTCATCTCCGTGGGAAACCTTCTTATAACTTCCTCGGCGATACTTCATAATGAAGCAGAGTACGATCAAGCATACAAGTATAGCACTACCAACGCTGCTGCCCACGACTAGCGCTACCATTGATGGCATCGAGAGCTCGACTTGCGTCATTGTCTGAGCATCTGTTGCAGTGGAAGTGGCAGGCTTAAGGCCGTGTGAGGACGATGAACTGTTGATGGCTTGGGTGGAGTAAGAAGTATGAATCTGGGCTGAATGAGTAGTCGGTAGTGCTGAGGACGTTATAAATGAGTATTGTGTGCTTGAACTTCTCGCGATGGACGAAGAAGTCGCTGACTGTAACTGAAGGAGCTGGAATGTATTTGACACCGTTGAGACAGTGGTATCGTAAATCTTGGCACTGGAAGTCGAGGAGGCGTACAGCCAAGTTTTGCTTGCTGAACGTGGGAGTGTCGCTGAGCTGACAGAGGGATCAGAGATTATTGTGGTGCTAGTGAAAGCATCGGTTGCCTCTGAAATGAATGTGCGTGTGGAAGATGATTCTGCCAGGGCTCGAGACGAGGCGATCGAACTGATGGGAAAGAATGAAGGTATGGGATATGCGCGGGTAGTTGGTCCGAATGCGGAAGTGTGCCAGAACAAATAGAACGCGACGTGAGAAAGTACAAGGGCCAGCTTTCTGGAAAGAGCAGACATCAGTTATACCGGCCCTGTGTCGCAATACGAGGGTTAAGGTGCGATCACGATCAATGGAGATGCCCTCGCAGAAACAGCTGTATACCACCGAAAGGAAATCGTCCAACTGCGTCGCGGAAGAAGGGATCGAAAGGGTAAAGACAGGATGAAGATGAACAGAATGGGGCTACGCGACAAGAGGTTTCCTTATAGCCATTTGCACAGGTCCTACCACTGATCGCTAGGTGAGACATTTGTCGACTTCGATCATGAAGCTGTCAAACCCTGGGGAAATCGACAAAAGCACTTACTCATCATACTCGAGAGACGAGAAGGATTGAGCTGGACGTTGAACCGCCGGTCGGGCAATACGACAGAACAGTCACCAAAGCCTGTTATGGTATGTCAATGGACGGATCGACATTAGTACATAGTTCGGGTTTGCTTGCATTCGCACGGACATGGCCGAACCGTAATGATGTGATGGCTTCAATCGCGCCAGTTTCGTATCACGAAGTGACTAAGCTGTGAGGCTGGAAACTCGAGTCGCGCCCCACGTCAGTCCCACGATCCGTGAACGATAGCATGTTTCCTCAGCAATCGCTTGCCACTTTCGAGATGGCGTATGCTTGGCCATATCCTAGACGGTGATGTGCAGTGATTAGTTCAACGAGCATGATTCAACACGGTTAATACCTCCGTCACAATGAAAGCAGATGATAGTGAGACAAACATAAGTTAGCTGCAGAGCTGCACACAAGGTACTTTGACTCTTCATCTCGGCAAGCCAACATGTGGATGATCAAAAGACTAGGTCAGATGGCACCGGTGACAGTTCTCGCCGTCAAGGTCAGACCCTCTCCCCGAATAGTGTCGCCCATTCAGAAATTTAGTCCTCATGCAGTGGCATTTGAGACACAACCATCGTGATCATCATTATTACAAAATGTCAGCGTACCTTTCGATACGACCGATATCCTACCTATCACGACGTCCGGAATAACTTGATACGGTGCTGCCAGCGCGCCGGTACCCTGAAGGAAGTGACCCTCAGAGTGCACGGCTTCCCCTGAGTAAAAAGATACGCGTTCTCTCCATCGATAGAGCTGCGGTATGCGACACTAGATAATCATGAGCGATAATTCGAAAGCTAGTAGCGGGGCGCGCTCATCGCAACTCGGAACAAGTCCGTGTAGGCGCTTGTGTACGCTCATTTGCCGCTCACACGCGTGAGCGCCTCCAGCGCGCCCTCCGGTTTGTACTACCCCTCACCGACCGACCAATGTTTAATTCTCCATAAAATCACAGAAAAGCGTATCGACGACTGAACATCAATATTTTCACATGCAGCTCATGATGTGTTCTTGATCTTGTCGAACTCACCGCTTATTATGTCCGCGAAGCCCCTCATTTGCTCTGTCCTCTATTCTCTGATCCGTCCTCAGGCCTCAGGGTTCGATGGAGTCACAAACCCGCCATTTATGGCGACCACAAGTCTACATATGTAGCTGCCCCCGCGAAACGAGAAGCGAGGCGACACGCCGCCCGTTGCGCCAATGTACGGAACGCTCATACCTCCGCACGACCGCCACTATGCGAGTTACCAGCGAGCTGCCGAGACCCAGCAGCAGAAGACTTGCTGTCACCTGCGTGACATCCATGGTGCTCATAACGCAGGGACCAGTGCAGTCGATTCGTCTCTCGCGGACTTCCCAGCCCTGGGCATGATTGCACCTCAGTACGTACTAGACCTTGCATATTGCGGCATCTCCGGTTAGGGAGTTGTATGTGTGGATCTATCTGACTGATACTCAGGAGCGTCGTGCACCACATGGAGAACACCGCTGGCTACCCCGTTGTCGGCTATTACACTTCTGCCAATGTGCTGCAAGCGAGGGCAAATATGCTTCAGCCCTCCCTTGGGGCTTGCCAATACGGCGCTCCCGGAGACTGGCCTGCAATGGGCGTAGGCTGGGATTCTGCGAGCTACATCTCCGCATATGCCCCCGTGTCATTGGCAAACGGTGTGCTCTCGCAGACTGCCTCTGCACGCCAGTTCAATCATGCAGACCCTGGTAATGCTACTTCCGACGACAAGCAACTCGGAGTCTATCATCGATGTATGTGCTTAAGCGAGTTCCTCCTCACAGCATCCGTTTGACATCGCAGCAGCAGCTGGGGAGACGATCTCAATGCCATCTGAGTCGGGATTCCCCAACCACATGAGCGAGCCCTTTGATACACTTGTTCTCCTGTACCCATCCTCGGACGATGAGGCCATTGACGAGCCCAGTAGCTGCCCGTCTCCTGTGCCGTCACTGCAGTATCCGGATAGTGAGCCTGGCATGGATATAGACCTGCCGGCACCCAGCCACGTACCCACTCAGTCTCATCGTTTGCTGAGCCCGTTGCCCCCGCTTGGGTTATCGCAGCCTCTTTCCGTACCGCGGCGCGACACCAATCCCGATCCCGCCGTTTTGCATCTACTGCGCGACGAGCACGGCATGCTGCTCGGTACGAAGGACAGGCCAATTGTCATCGATCTCTAGTCTCCAGGTACCGAGCGGCATTGAGAACTTCGATATGATGACGTCTCGTCACACTTGCGTGCCGCTGTCGAATCCTTGCTGTCTCATGCCGCCTGCATTGCGATTTGTGACATACTCTCTTATTGTTAGTGTTGTTAGTGATGTGTGGTCGTAAGAAGCAGGACTCAAGCAGGGTCGAATGACAACCGGTTCATCGTTGACAAATTGACAGCGGGAGAACCCATGAAAATCAAATGCCCATTATAAACACAGTCCGAGAAGGGGTATATAATGTCGAACACAATAACGCCGGTATCGAGGTCACGGCTGAATGTCAGGAACACAATAACATGAATATCGCTACAGTGGGGAATAGGATGCCGAGAGGTGATAGTGGGGATGGGAATTGGAGTCGTGAGTGTGAAATGTTTGTGTGTATGATGGATGCGGGGTGGTTATGGATGAATGCATGAGATCGTCGTCATCGATCGCGGAACGAGGATCTTGCCGCCCTGCAGCTAGAGTGCGCCTCTTCCCGCCTTTGCTCTCCTCTATTGTTTCAGGCGTCCGGCAGGGATGCCTTCGTCGCTCGTGGGGACATCCCCGGTGCGCCTCCATGGACCATCGCAGCGCCTGCGCGCGATGCCCCGAGACGCAGTGCGCGTGTGCGCGTGCATCACTTCCTTGCCGGAAGCTTCTTCAAGGTGCCGCCCTGGCTTTGACCACCATGCTGCATGCTGCCCTGGGATGATGGCGCGAATGATGCGTACATGGCGTGCCCGTCGCGCGGGGATTGGTGGAAGGATGAGAATGCGTTCGGCGACGCCGGTCCACTGGGGAAGAAGCTGGTGATGGGCGATGACGGAGGCGACGTGTAGTTGTACGAGGACATGGTTATGTGTGGCCTTGCGACGTAAGGGGAGAGGCGGCGTGGATGGTCAGGTCAGTGGCGATGGGCCTGGTGGATGGGCTGGCGCGGCTGAGGGTGAAGACCGTAGTGGCTTGGAGAAAGATGGCCCACACTGCGCTGGCTTTATGCGTTGCCGTCCTTGCTACGAGCGCCAGCAAGGAAGGCAGACCTGCCATACGCATGAGCCCAGAGTACAAGGACACGTCCCAATCCGGAAAGCAGCGGCCAACTCCGCGGCACTACTCTCGCACACTTGCCTTTCTGGGATCAAAGGCAAGAAGCAAAATGGAATGGCCGGCGGGGAAATCACAGCCTCGAGATCTCGTAACCGCGTTATAGTTCCCGCGACGAAGGTCCCGAAGAACAACGCGAAGTCGAGGGTCCACACGTGCACATGCTGTTGATGCCGATAACGCGCAATGTGTCAGCGCGTCCGACACCGCCAAATACGAGGATGTCGGCTGCAGAACACGACCATCACGGCGACCGCTGTAAGTATTTCAATTTGACGGAATAATCATTCGAACCTGCACAAGGCCTGTTCGCGGGAGCAATCTAAACGGGGTCAGCGCCGCGTGATTCGGAATGTAGACATACCTTTATGCTGTGGGGCGCTGTAGTCCACTTCCATCTAAGCGATCGCACGCATGTCGACTGCATGGTGAGACTGGAACATGGCATAACCATTGTCATGGAATACATGGATTGCGATGACGATGCAAAATAAGATGATCTATACTAGGTGACGCGGGGTCCATGATTAGCACCAGACTACAGGTACGCGATGCAATGCAGTGAGTATGCACAAAGAACAAATAAACTCATCCCAGAAAACACACCCATCCTCAAGAATCCGACGATATAAAGATATGTGACAACTCGGACTGGACACACCGCATCATGCAATCGCTCAGAGAAGGGCCTGGTTGTGCTGTCCTGCTGCCACAAGCCGCTGCCAGTCCGCCCGCCACTGGCGCATGCTCGTGCGCAGCTTCTGGTCGGAGATCACTTTCTCGATCCAGGCGAGCAGCGCATTCTCATCCTCCGGGACGAAAAATGATGACAGCAGGGACAGCACTGTCTCGAAGCTCGCTGCGCTCGATGTGATGTGGTCTGCAAGGGATACAATTAAATTGGCGCGGACATGACACCGGCTAACGAGACGCACCTCTGTAGACCCACACGATTGCTACGGCGACCACGACGAATATATCGTGCCCCTCGAGCAGGAACCCGTCCCAGAGCCGCAGCTGGGTCTGGAACGGTACTGAATTGGCGAACAGCGTGATATACCATTTCGTGGCATACGAGGTCGTTGAAATCATGTGTTTCTTGAAGGCAGCGTATACCGCCGGCATCATCTGCTCCGTGATCCGCTCCTGAACGTAGATCGCTTCCAGCAGCCCTGGGAAACCTGGACTGAAGATCGTATGCATCTGATATGAGTCGTGCAACCGGACGAGCGAGGCGTATGCGCGCTCCGGCTCGAAGTAGCACAGGAATGTTGCCGCAATGGGGCCCATGCCCTGGCAGTACCCACACGACTCACAGTGCAGTGAAAGGCAATGGAGAACATGAAAGAGCGACCGTTGCCTTGAAAGTAGTCCGATCACTGGGTGGTCACACGAGAACACCCGAGAGAACTCACCCTTGGCCGTACCGCGTCCGGAACGTGACATGCCCACTTATCGTCCTAGGGACATCGAGGTCGATTTGCACGTCGTACGTCGACGAGCGATCGAGTGCTTCCCGATATGCGTGCGCGAGACGACGCGTCTCTGCCTGGCCATGCTTCGAGAACCGGCACATCAGCGTATCCCATGCTGCACGGCGCCATCGGTCTGGTATGCCTTTGAAGGTGCGCTCGCGCAACTTGCGCTCCTTTGACGACTTGATCCCCCACGAGTCGATATTCTGCCCCTCGTCCCGCGCACGCGGCTCCAGCATCCTCCCCCACTTCGCAACACGTGACGTTTCCTTCGAGGGTGGCGGTGGGGCCGGTAACGAGGGCAGCAGGGGCGCGCTCGCGGGCGCATTCGTCGGAGCTGTCGTGATGTGCGCAAGGGGCTTCAAGAGTGGACCCACGGGCAGCATAATGATACGATCATGTGAGGGCATCACGTAGAAACCATACCTATCAAACGCAAACGCCACGATGAGCCACCATCTCCTGCGCATCCATGACGCGTGCACTCACCTGTCTAGACTCGACAGCATGCTCAGCTCCTGTGGCGTGAGGTCGCGCGTCTTCTCGTAGCCATCGCCAAGTGCCTCTTGCGCGCGCAATTCGCTTGCCCGGCTCCCACCCACACGCGCCCGTGTCCGCTCCACACCCTCTTCGATTCCGTCGCCCCGCACCCCACACATCTCCAGCTGCGCATACGTCGACCTTACGTGGAACCCGTCCGGGTCCTCGTCGGGGGATGGTGCCAGTGAGAGCACGCTCGGAGGTGAACCGACCACGGATGACACGCGCGGCGGGGAGGATGGCGGCGTCAACACGGGCTGCAGCTGCGATTGTGAAGAGCTTTGTGGATCATGACTTGTGGACGTGGACTCGGAAGGAGGTATGACGGGTGGTGATGTGAGCAGTGCTTTCGTGTCGCGCTCGGCTGTGCTGTCGCGGTCCTGTGGACGCGGTGATTTCGGTACCCCCACAGGTGCATTTCCAGAGCCTCCGCTGGAGTCCCGGGCATGGCTGGACGATGGCCGGCTGGTCGGCGCAGCTGAGAGGAGAGAACCATTGGATATAGCACGCGGAATGGAGTCGGCGCGACTGCTGTGCGACGCACGCACAAAGCTCGACGACGCCTGACCCTCCGGTAGCACAGATAGCGATGAGCCATTGGAGAGAACCCGGGGCGTTAGGTAGCCCTGACTGTCAGAGCGCGAGGTGGCGGACGTCCGGGCTTGACTAGACGGCGGACGACTATCTGCGTACGCAAGCTGCGCAGAACCATTCGATGCAACAGACTCCCTTGTCTTCTCCAGAATACTCGTACGCGACCATTCGGCCGTTTCAAAGTAGGCGCTATCCTCGACCTGCCTAGAGCTCCACTTGGAAGATGAGACCCGGTGGTCGACACCCATGACGGTGACATCGACGTCTGCATCCTTTGATGGACGATGTCGGTGTCCTGCTACTGACTGCGGGGCAGACCAGCTGCCTGCATCTTCTTCGTACATCGAATAGATAGATACTATCGTAGTCTCCGACGAGCTGCGTTCGCGTTCGTCGGCGGTGAGTTCGGGCGTGTTGGTGGGTGTCGTTGCGGCCGACGATTGCGGTGAGATGGAGGGGTGGGTGTCGACGGGAATCACGAGAAGCGACGGAGGGTCCATAAAGAGCGTGAAGGGAGAAAAAGGAGGACAAAGTATGAGAGTGTGAAATGACCTGAAATGGCTCTTCGAGAGCGGGGTTTAGCGCGGGTCGGCCAGGCGGTGCTCGCTACAGCGCAAACACAATCAATTGTTACCCCCTCGATCTCACACAATCTGTGCTCTACCGTTGCGCACGGGATACAGATGCAATTGTTGTCGCGAGCGACCGCAAACACGACCGTCGGGGACTCTAAGTCTTGAGGCTCGATGCTCGATGAATGCCGAAGCGCTCATGGCGATTTCACGGGCAGCGCACGTGCCCATACGGGGCGCCGGAAGCGCAGTGCCAGTAGCACTTGGCTTGCTGCAAGTGTCATAAAAGTTGAACTCAATCACCTGCGGTAGAGTATGCTACCTTGGCACCAAGATATGAATGAGCAGCTCTGATAAGTGCGGAGTCCATTTTAAATGATAGCTTATAGACTAAAGGGATATCCGGTACTTTGTGCAATGCTGTCTAGTCTATGAACTAGGCGCACACTATGGCATCTTGGACACGATAAAGCGATGGTCGAGAAGAGGAAACATTCAGATACTGGGTGGGGCAGACGTCGACCGCAGGCCCTCCGTCCTAATTAGGTATGGTATCTACTATTCCTGGAACACGGGTAACGCCGAACACAAGCCAAGCCATTACGCACGTGCTTGAAACTTTAATATGATAGTTGAGCGCCTATGCATCCCCCGCCGGAGGCCCTGGAGGCTAGCGTAACCTTTGTCTCTCTTCCCCCACTCGCCCACCATGTCTCGACGCGCACACAATGTCGGCCAGTCCACCCAAGTCACTGCACACTCACTCGCCATCCTTGGGGAGCATACCCACACCCTCGACTCTGTGCCCCTCGATCTCTCCCGTAGCTTTGCCGACCTGCGAGAGCTCGACGCCGTCCTCTCATCCTCCATGACTCTGCTCGCCGCCAAGATCACCGAATTAACCGTCATGCTAGAGAACAAGACCGAATCCAAAGAGAAATGCCTATGGCTGCTCGCCCAGATTGCCGAGGAGGCTACCCGCCTGAAGGTCGGCGGGGACGACAAGATTCGGGTGGCATGCCACGCGGCAGATACCCTCCGCGCACACAACTCGCATATGAAGGAGCTCATGAACGCGATTCCAGACAGGGACTTCGACAACATCGAACCCCTTGGCAGGAGGACCATATTCCCACATGTGGCGACGCGCTCGTACATGCCGCTAGGAGGCTCAGGCGAAGGTGGACGGCGGCAACGACGAGCGGCACACAGCAGCTTGTTGACCAGCTCAGCAGTCGATGCCAGTCCGAACAAGAGGAAGAGGGTTACAGGCAGAGATGACGAGGCGGAGGTCGTCGCCAAAACACCCCGGAAGGATAGACAAGGTGAACCGTCTAGGCAGCGCGTTACTGCAAGGAACAGAAGGTCCGTTTTGTCGCATACATCCTGTTACACTCGTTCTAATCGTGACTTTCGCATATCCCAGACCTGAGCGCGCTACCTCACCGGCCGAGTCCTTAGTATCAGTTGCTTCTCATATGCCCCCTGCACCGCAAGCAACGGGCAATCCTCCTAACTCTCGCGCCAGCATCAAGCGCTCGCGCGCAGCACACAACGCTAATACTCCTGGCCATAACACCATGGATCCTTCACCACATATTTTCGATGTACATCCACCCTCATCAGCTACACATCCTTCGCTTCCTGCTCCCTTTGTGAATGGAGCGCATATCATGGACAGTGGAGGTGAATGGGCCGCTGGCCTCCTTCCAGGTCCGGGGATCCCACCGGTTCGCGACTTCGCGCATGCGCCTGCCGAGAACGGCGAGGAAGGAGCGGGTAACCCTCCTATTGAGGGCGACGCAGAGAATGATGATGGGAGAACGTACTGTTTCTGCAATCGCCAGAGCTTCGGGGACATGATAGCGTGTGACGACTCACATTGTGAACGCGAGTGGGTAAGTGCTGTCTGCAAATCACGCCTGCAGCAATCGTTGAATACACTTATCTCGCAGTTCCATCTACCATGCATCGGCCTTACTGTTCCTCCAGCCGGACTGTGGTTCTGCTCGGTATGTGAAGCAAAGCGCGCGCGAAAGTCAGGTCGCGGAGGAAAGAAGCGGCCTGGCGGGGGGCGAGCCGCTCCTAGGAACACGTCTGCCTGATCTCGTATTATTATCTCTATCTTTTCTTTACTTCGTGAGTGTTTGTTCAGTCCCAGCTGTCTGTACACCCAAAGCTGATTAGCATTGGCGCAAGTGCCCCCATTTTTGTCAGCCTAACACATTGTCTCTTGTATTTTGCTTAGCTGTAATTGATAGCGTGTCCTGTCCACGGATGTTTCATCGCGCCCCTATCATTGATCTGTCTTCCGCTCCGATGCAGCTCTGGAGTCCGCCCGAGGCTCATCGCTACCACCTACCACTGTGGTACCAGGAGAGATGTGACCACAAACGCGATCGCCCGAGCGACAACTGCCGCTATTACGTCACGCGTAAGTCACGTGATGTACGGGTGGCTGATGAGCCTGCGGTTGCAACCCGCCGTTGCTCAACTGAACTTGCCTCCGCCCAGTACTTGCTGATTCTCGACCACCCCCTGCGTTGGATCCTCCATGCTGGCATCCCATGCATTCATGTGTAGAACTCATCATGGAGTCGTCCCCAAGTAGCCTGTTGTTTGACATTCCGCCAGAGGTCCTGCTCCATATCTGTATGGCGCGCCAATTCCTCCTGGTGGAGGACGTGCTGACTTCGCATGTTCGCCAGTGTCTTTTCTAGACATACCTGACCTCGCTTCCCTGAGCCATGTGCACCCAGTTCTTGCTCAGTATGCCGAGGACCCAGTCCTTCATCGTTTCCGCCTGCAAGTTGTAGCCCCATCTAGGGTTTCACACTCGTTGTTCCGGCAGAGCTCTGCGGGCGTCCCCTTGAGACCCACTGTCCCCGATCTGGTTCACCGGGGTATCATACGAGGGCTTGGTATTGAGCGCCGCTGGCGCGCGGGCATGTATTTTCACTCTCAGCATGTACGCTCTTACCTCGTACCCATGCGGTGACGCTTTCTCACCTGCATCTCGCAGATGGTGACCCAATACGAGAATTCGCTTCGCCTGCAGCGTACACACGCAGGCAACGTGATTGAGTCCACTCTCCGGCGACGCTCCACCTCTACTCTCTCTCATGTCTACTCCGAACGCATGCTCCCTGAGGAGTCGGCTTCGCCAGCCATCTCGCCGTCCCTTATTCCTACCATGCGCAAACTCAAATGGTCCCTCCAAAGGGATAGGCTTGCCAAGCTCGTCAAGGCCCGAAGCGACCTGGTGCGCAATGGCGGCGTCGTAACGTGGCTGGAAGGTCGCGGCAAGACTGTCATGCGCAAAGAGAATGAGCGTGTCAGACTTGCCCTGTGCCCTGGGATCAGCAGCATTGTGCAATTCTATGAGGGCTTGAGCCGTTGACAATATCGCGATCAATGTTCCTCCTGTGATACCCTCCATTAATTTCACTCATTATGTACTCTTCTCAGTCAGTGATTTGTATACTGTATATGTACTCCCTTAGACTCGCTGTTGCCTCGGACTTTGTACATTATGTCAGTATATCTTCAACAATGTAGTCTGGCTATGTACGTTAACCGCTTGGATCGACGGAATTTGAACCAGAGTGCGCATCACCATTTTTTTCGTATCGCAGTTCACGGGAAGGTATGAAGTACCTCTGTAGAGGTATACCATAGATCACAATGTTTCACCTGGCTCAATGTTGATGTACTCTTCCCAGGCCAGGTCCGCAATCCGCCTCACCTCCCTCACACGCTCCTCACTCGTGCGCCAGATTCCCCACTCTCCGTCACCGCCCACACCCATTCCCATGCCCGGTGGACGATACTGCATCTCACCGGGTACCCAGGATCCTCCGCTGAGGTGGATCTCACGCAGGCCGTGTGGGAGGAGGGCATCGAGGACCGGTCGCACGGTTGCCGGATTGATGCCCGAGCCGACGAGGATCGCGGGTGTGCTCGCGGGCGTGGGGTGCGTGGGTTCAGCCGCCTTCTGCAGAAGATCGCGAAGTGCGGGCAGCGCGGACGGTGCGGCGGGTTTGTGACCACTAAGGAGCTATCAGTCGCGAGCCCGGCGACTCATGACTTTCGGCAAGGATCGTACCTTGTCAGGATACGCGTGACGTTGGGAATAGAACGCACGGCTTTCAGTGCTGTGAAATGCAAGCGGTTGGTGAACGAATGACGGGGAGGAGGCAGGGTGGCCACCATTTAGTGGGTCACGAGTCATGTCAAATGCTCTATGAAAGCAGACTGCAAAGGTACTCATGAGGCAATCAGCGCGGTAAAACATGATCATGGTCAGTACCTTGAAGAGGTGCAGCTTCGGCTGCGAGTCTATGCTCATTATTATAAGTCAGATGGGGCCACTCCTGTAGATATGTACCTGGTTGTACGATCTGTGTCCACAAAACCTTCCGCGGAGAGAACTCCGAACACGAGGCCATCCGCTCCTGCTTGTTTCAGAATGCGGATGTCCTCCAGCATGATGTCAAGCTCTGGGTCTGTGCAGCAAAAGTCACCGGTACGCGGACGTATCATGACCTAAAACGTCTCCTCTATCAACGATTCGTACTTGCTGTCCGAGCGCAGTGCTCATGCGGCGTACTAGGATTCACCATGATTGGAGTACCAGGTACTGCTCGCTTGACCGCTCTGAATAGAGCGAGTGTGGGAGTCGTCCCCCCTCCAAGCCCGAGGTTTCCACATAGTTCAAGGCGGTCAGCACCTCCGTTAGCAGCGCTGGAAAAGAGCCACCGTGAGGCTGGATGTCGCAATGCCGAGAAATCCACGAACGCGATGGCCGATTCCACTGAGTCGATGCACACCTCTACCACGATAGACGACCCTTTGCTGCTGCGTACCCTGGGTACGTATAATCACCAGGTGCTCTGTCGCTTATTGGTAAGTCCAAACTCACTGAGGACCTTTCTGATACTCCATTGCTTCCACTAATGTTGGCGCCTACTCCTGAGGGATGCCGATGCCCCAGTTGTCCTGAGATCCAAATTATGTACAGACAAGCGAAATGCCAAGCTGCTGCGGTTCCTCGGTATCTGCTCTGAGGTAGCTGAAAGCGGATCTCAGGATGATCGATGCCGGCATCTGTATGATGCTGTGTGGTAGTGTTGAGTTCATCGCGATCGACGCGTTTCTATACACGATCATGTGAGCGCGTCGGATCTCGATCCCGTTGAAGTTGTGTGATCAGGAGGTAACAGTCTTTCCTACACTGATTCTTTGGGGATACTCTACCAATTGCCACTCGCGCACTGTACAGGTGCGCTGCAAGGAGGGAGGGCTCTTCTCGCATGTCGCGAACAGGCAAAGCATCAGCGCCTGCAATCAACGGGATGCACTGCTATCCATGTAGGTCACCGTAGGTGCCACAAGGAAGAAACTGTAGAAGAAAGTACGAAGACGGCCCACTGACCAGGAACGTCGCGGGCATTCATTTGCGAGCATCAATACACATGGAGCGGCGTAAAGTCAGTGGCTCTTCACCGTGTCGCTGGTTTGTATGCTCAATGGGCCCCAGTGTATGTCCGTGATATGCGGTCGGCTTACCTGCGTTACCTAATGGCCGACCATTCACAGAGGGCCACTGGATCGGTGCTGTTATGAAGGATGTCTGAAATCACGATGATACAGTTAAGGCTGAGAGTAGTACAGGCTGTTGCAACCTGCTGGTTAAAAAATGGGTATAATCCCGCGGCTGTCATTGAGTGGATGCGAGTTGCGTCGCTATGCTCCGGGTATGGCAGTTGCCCAGCGGTGTTCAGAAGCTCCCATTGACGTATATTCATACTATCAGGTTTCCCATGCCACCTTGCCATCTTCTAGTCCGAATCCGTATTTCCAAGACCACACATGCTGCGCCCATTGACATATTCGCTCTCCTTGATGCCATACAAAGCCAATTCCACTCGGAGGCATGCTCTTCCCTTAAGGCCAAGTAAAGATAGGTATTCCCCTCCTTGTCCACAAACCATGTCGGTCCCCAGTCCACCCTCCGCTGCCAATCCGGATGTGTGGTGGTGGAACGCTGGCTTCTTCATTTCCGTACACATTGCTGCCATCTTAGGTGTCTGGTTATATCCATACTATGCCGTACATCGGGCTACCCTTGCGCTCGCTTTCGCTCTTTTCCAGATATCAGAGATTTCGTAAGTGTATACTACGATTCTATCACACCGTTTTACCTCACATTCTTCCAGAATCACCGTCGGTTATCATCGACTCTACTCACATCGGTCCTTCAGGGCGGCTCGTAGCGTCAGAGTGTTCCTCGCACTCATGGGTGCAGGGGCAATGCAAGGCTCCATTAAGGTGTGTGGCGCATGGCAATCGTCACCTTGGCACTCCCTTAACTGCAACCAACAGTGGTGGTAAGAGACAGTCTCTGCGAACTATTCTCGAACATCAGTCGTTGATTCAAGAATCGAAGGTGTCTGAGACATCGTCTACATCACGTACGTTCTCTCGTGCCCATTCCCATGAATCGACAGTTAACGTTAGACCGTCTAGCGCTTCACCGATGATCCTGTACACGACCCGTAAGTGCTGGGATACGGTCGCGATGAATGGCTATGTTAACCAGGTTCTTCGTTGATGCCTGATGGGGACCGTAGTTACGCTGCAACGCGAGGTCTTCTCTGGTCACACATGGGCTGGATCTTCTTCAAACCACGCTATGATCGCTTAAAGGTGATCGAGCAGGACGACCTGCGGAGTGATCCAGGTTAGCACGCTCACCCTTGCGTGTATGTTGTCTGACTCGGAAAAACAGTTGTCCGCTTCCAACACAAATATTATGGTGGGCACCCCACGTCTTTGGGTCCTATTGTCACTTATAAATTTAGTCCCCCTTGCACTGCTGATTGGATTTGTCCTCCCACCGGTTGCTGGATGGCTCTGGGGCGACCCATACGGTGCGTTTGTCTGGGGTGCCCTCGTTGCGCGGGTTCTCAGTGAGTTCTCCTTTCTATTCGGTTCGTCATATCCCCTGAACCGATCTTTTTAGTCTGGCATTGTACGTTCTTTGTGAACTCGTCAGTGATACCCCGTGTATCGTCCTGCGGATTATACCTGACCATATCAAATCTTTTAGGCTCGCACATTGGGATGGTCTGCAGCCCTACTCTGATGAGAACACATCGAAGTCCAACCTTGTACGTCCTGACATCCACTATATGCATATATGCGCTCACCAGCGTATACTATCTGAAGTTTCTTGCGATGCTTACGTGCGGCGAAGGAAACCACAATTTCGTGCGTACATTTCACCATTGTAGTGTGTGCGCATTTTGAAAGCCCAGCCACAGCATGTATGCTAGCCGTCTACGCATCCACTGTGGCCCGCTCACATAATCGATGCATATAGCATGCTTTCCCCCACGACTACCGCTCGGGACCCTGCCCCTTTGACTGGGATCCGTCTAAATGGGTCATTCTTGCCCTTCACACCCTTGGCCTAGCCACGGGCTTGAAGCGCGCTCGCCCAGACGACGTTAGCGAGGCCCTCATATACATGGCCCACAAGCACCACGCGCCCCTGAACTCCGAACCGCCCCATTCCTCCGAATCCAGCTCAGAGGATGAGGAGATGTGGAAGGGAGCAGTCTGGACATGGCAAGAAGCGGCGGGCTACGTCCGTCAAGGCAGGGGTGCAGGAAGATGCGTACTGGTCGTCGATGGCTTCGCTGTAGATGTAACAGGATACCTTGGCGAGCACGTACGTCCCCTCCTTGATCTGCCATTGTTCTCTCAGCTCAACCATGATCGCCATGCTAGCCTGGCGGCGCGACTCTCTTGCGTAAACACTCCGTTCGCATCGGCTTCGATCCAACGAACGCGGATGATAAGACCTGGCAGGAGGCAGATTGGGCTTTCCACGGAGGGTACAACATCCACACGCGCGCGGCGCACAAGCGCATGCGCGCGCTCAGGGTGGCGAAGATCTCGGGGCTTGACATTGTCAAGGATCGGTCTTCGTCGATCTGACAAGCTCCTGAATGTTGCCTTGAATGTGAGTCGACATGCTCTCCCAAAAGCTGCGTGAGGGTCTTCAAGCCTTATACGTACGCGCTATGTATGTATGAACAATACAGGAATATACTTGCTGCCTCCGGTTGTCGCTTGTCAAAGCCGTGCTCAGAGAACTATCGGATGTACTGCGCAGCTGCCTTTGCCGGCCCTGGACTGGTCGTGGCACGTCTCTTGCTAGCAAGAGATCCCATCTTGCCCGTGTCCGCCTCCAGCCAATATAGTCAACACTTGCCATTTCCTGCAAACTCCCGCTGTGGAAAGCCTGATGATTCTGGAAGCGTGACAGTGGACCTGCAAAAGATGTTGTTCGCTGAGTGGCTCTTTGAACATACGGATGCGCGCGTTGTTTCCCTTCGACCCAAGGCAAAAGTACGCCAGAACATTCGGTTTACCGTAGGTCGTAACACGATCTCCACGGGGCCAATTCACAAGTTCCTATATAGCTTGCCAGTGTGGCCCGTCGGAGTCTCTTGAGTCAAATTAGTTAGGTTATCTTCACGCCTCCAGTATGGTCTAGCGTCCGGTACCTATAATACACCAACATCCCCTCTGCCTGTAAGCAGAAGGCAGAATTGCCCATCACCGCGGCTGATCTGCCTGCATTCTTCTCCTCTGTGATCCCGGCGAACCCCACTGAGTCTGCCGTTCTGTAGATCGTGCGACATGAATTGGACCCGTGGCAGCTCTTCGTGCACGGTCTGAAACGCGAGCCTGAAAGACCCGCCGATAACGTTCACTCGTGTCAGGTCCAACAAAGTCCGAGCTGCTTTCATCTAGTACGCGCCCCTGACGGCCTACTTCCAGGTGCTGTCCGCGTTCGCCACATCGGCCAGGACAGCACTCTAGCGTTCAAAATCACATTTGGGTTCCTCGAACACTCACCGCAACTTACGAAATTGCACGAAGACTACAAGTGGTAAGCCGTCTATGCTTACAAGGATTGATTCGTGGGTGGTGTCACGGTACGCTACTGTGGCGCACATCGTGATCGTTTCCTGGTACAATTGGGATGCACGAGCCCGGATACCACTTGTAATTGTCGCGACTTCCTCTGCCACATGCTGAGGTATTGAACCTTGACAGTCGCGTCGCCCACCCAATTCATTCCAGTGGCTGCAATGTCAATAATCCCATAGTTCCAACTCATTTATGCACATGATTACAGGCCACAGCGAACCAAAGTGCGGTCAATGCGCTACATGAGCTTCTGGTTGATAAATGCAATGATGTTTCCGTCCGGCAACGACGGACGCTTATTGGCCCGGATGCTCTGCCGTATCTCGGAGAGCATTATCACATATCGCATCCCCAGTCGCATGCCTTCGTCCAGCGTAAGGGCCTCGTCGCGTTTGCACAGCTCGAGATAAGCTGGTCTGAGCCAAGGAGACACATCAAACTGGCGCGCAAGAAGGACGCGATCAATGGGGGAGGCGAGCTGCAACAAACGCGTGATAGCAAGCTCGCGGTATTCGAGGAATTGAAACTTCGTGGCCAATGCCAATACCGACGTCCACTCCTTGGCGGTCGTGAGGTCGCCCTGAATTGCGCTGCTATAGCGCGGCATGCACTATTAGCACTTTGTCTCCGCAGGCTTAAGGACGATTCTGATCTCGATGATGTAGAATGCCCTGAAGGACTTACTCAGGATAGAATAATGATAACAGCCGCTCGAAATCTTGACGAGATACCTCTGGGATGTGGATGGGGTGATTGTCATCGCAACCCTCTTGCGCTTTGTTGGGAGATAGGGAGAACATGTCTGCAAACACTCGAGAGTGGCGCTTGAGAAAGTAGCGATGCACTTTGAACAAAGTAGTCTCGATCTGATATATGCGTCGTCAAGGTATGGACCGTCTACCAATAGAGTGGCTGTCAGACCATACCAAAAAGACGACGGTGTCGTCATCGAAGTAGAGCGATTCATGCCGCTGGGGTATATCGACTTTGTCTATGGTAGCAGTGTCGGGATCTGTGTTGAGAACATGTAAAGACGACAATATAAGTGCACCAGCACTGGGAGAAGTGTGCACAGCCTGACCCATCCTTGCTTCCCATGGTCCAGCTGCACTGTATAGTGAGGTTTCCTCAAGTACTGAATAGCCAGAGTTGACTGTACAAGAGTACTACGCATCACGATGATGGAAATCGATTAACTCGCAAGCAATCACAACGGCAGAGTCCGAACCAGAAACACAATTCCCGCTGACACCTCCAGCTTGTCGATGCCCGAGGAGGATGCACCAATTAATACCTCTTAGTAAAACATAATCTTGTATATATCATGTGAATCTAGAAGTAGTTTTGGAGGATGGTGCAGAGAGATTCGAACATTAAAGTGGCCCAGTAACGCGTGAGAATGGAACCAACGGAGCCGCGTCGAGCACGTGACCACCTTACCAAATATGGGCAGGCCTCCCGCCAATGCTGAGCCCGACGAACACTGGGGGACTGTCAGATATCTAGAGTGGCCGCCGCTGTATCCAGCCCTGAGCTTGACGAACGCCTCTTCCTGACTCTAACGTACGCTCGTTTTCTGCAATGTCGAAGAGAGAAGCAAGCCAAATCGCCGCGGCGGCAGGCGTCGACATCGACGCACCGCGCGCCAAGCGACGGAGGGAAGTACCTGCGAGCACAGATAACTCGGGAGTGAAAGCAGAGCACGCTTCACCCGGTAGCAACGATATATCCAAGCCCAAGACCGAGGGTGAAGATGATAAGGGCATAAAGGAGGATCCCGAGCTCGTTAAGGAGAAGGGACTCAAGTTGTGGCAGACCGTGAAGGATGCGGTTAACAAGGAGTGCGTGACTGTTCGCCTCAAACTCACTGCGCTCTTTCTGACTCCGATGGCCACTCTCGAACTTGATCACTCCCCTACTCCATGTATCCGCACGACAAATTGTATGCAATGTCTATGCGACAATATCACCTGGGCCTTGCAGGGGCAGGCCACTATCGCATGATTTCATGCGCTTGCCATCCAAACGACAGTATGCGGATTATTACCAGCAGATTAAGCGACCCATTGCGCTCGACGACATTAAATCTCAGCTGGACATTGGGGCATATCAGTCCTTTGAAGACGTCAGGCAAGATCTCGAGACGTGCTTCCGCAACGCGAAGCGATACAATATGAAAGAAAGTCAGATCTGGAAGGATGCCAAGTCCTTACATGTGAGTGCGGGTCCCTTCCTCGTGTCCTATGTAGTTTTGTTGTCAAGACCCTGTCAAATAATACTCTCGATCCGTATCTCACCTAACAACTTCATCCAGAAACTCGTCACGAAGGAATACAGTAAGATGACTGGCACAGTAGATGAGGGTGGAGAAGACGCCGACGATCATGCTGCTGGTTCCGACGATGAAGGGACGAAGAAGAAGAAACCGCCAAACCTCACCCGGCTGCTGAAGACCCGGTTGCAAAAAGTCGCGGAGAAGACAGACGAGGAGTGCGTATGACTCCTTGGCGCTTCGCTCTCCTCTCATTCCTGCTGTTCAGAGGTCGTGTGCTGTCGACTGAATTCATGGATCTTCCCAATCGTAAGCAATGGTCCATCTATTACAAAACGATTAAGCGGCCGCAGTGCCTCGAGAATGTTTTCGTGCGTATCCCCGTCACCTTATGCTATGGATACAATCGAATGCCGATGAATTCCGTAGAAACATCTCAAGCGTAAGGAATACCACACTTCCCAAGAATTCGCCAATGATGTCGAACTTGTCTTCTCCAATGCTCTTGAGTTCAATCAGGAACATACTCCGATATGGGAGGATGCTCTGACTCTACGGGTAAGTCTAGCTCCTCTGCCCTTGTTGCCACAGTTGTATGAGCTATGCACCTGCAGGACTACTTCCGACAGTTGATGTCTGATCTTCCCCCACCGCATGCCATACCTGCCTACTCACCCGCCGAATCCTCTGGGAAGATTAAGCTGAAGGTTCCTGCTGTGTCCTCAAGCCAACTGCCGGCGCAGCCGCCGACCGATGCAGCACCGTCTTACTCTGTACATTCGTCTGGCACTCTACGAATACCTGCGCAGCATGCCGCCGCCACTAACGGTGCTACGTCACAATCGAACGCTGTGCCTGAACAATCAAAATCTCCCGTGGTTGTGCCAAAGCTTCAGCCGTCGGCTGTTTCCCATCCAGCTCCACAAAATGCAATCACGCCCATAAACACGGTCGTTCCAGCCCCCGTACCGGCCGTTGCACAGCTGAGAGGTTCGACAGCAACACCAAACACCAACATGCAGTCTAACGGCTACCCTTACAACTCTGCGTATACGCATCACTACCCGAACACCTCCTACCATCCCAATGTCACGCCTATTGCCCCGGCCGCAGTATCGACAGCGGCGCCCGCTCCGAGCACCCAAGCAATCCCAGCCTCAACGCCGGCACCAGCCGCTTCGACATCCCAGATGCAGACGCCACCGCCTCCATCACGCCGACATCCGCTGAAATGCGCTACCCTTGTGACAAAGCCGCTTGACAGGCATCTGGTACTCAATCACAAGGATGGCGTCAAAGTATGGGCGATGCGCCTCTCAGGGGAGACTGGCGTACGTGTCACCGGCTTGGTGCTTGTGTCACACGGAGAGGACGAGGAGAGTGGCGAGGAGGAGGAGATGGAGCAGCAGGAGGAAGAGGAGGAAGAGGAGGAACAGCCTAAGCCCAAGCGTGGTCGGGGCCGGCCAAGGAAGAAATCGAAGCCTGCAGAGCCTCTGAAGCCGGCGGACATCCCCAAAGCCAAGAACAAGGGCAAATCCGTAGCGAATGCGGCGTTCACTCTAGAGCAGTTGGAACTGAAACTGAACGGCGTGCTTGTGACGCGAACACCGGAATCTAACGAGGATTGGGACATCGAACTGCCTGTTGGAATGAATGTGGTCGAGCTGGGAGAAAAGGGAGGGGCACCGTGGAGAATATACCTGGACAGACTTAATCTATGACAGAGCGTGCTGTATACTCTTCCTGTCGGACGGTCCTAGGATTTTCCTTGGTGTTATATGTATCGGAGAGGTACAACTAATAATGTAATAAATAATGTGTGCAAGTGTGTATAAAGTATCCCTGTCTAGTCCGCGTGCGTGGTAGTCGAGTTGCAGTGACGACGAAAGTAGTGTGCATGTTAAGTAGCCGATCGCCATTGTTCAACCTGCTGAGCAAGAGGTATAGACTCATCCGCGTCTCCATCCTCGACTTCGCTCTCACTGGACGGCTCTGGCACATAGCGCTGATATCTGCCAGGTTCGTGTGTCCGGCCCTCGACGAATCTGCGGAGCACCTCCTCCCGGTCAACAGACTTCACTTCGTAGCCTTCAGAGCCCCTGCGCACGCGAACACGGCCCATACGACGGCCGAATTCGTCATCAGGCACCTCTTCCTCGCCGGATGAAGACTCAGAAGATAGCGCGTATGCGGGCTCGGCCTGAGATTCGTCATAATCTGGATGGTACGGAGGCAGCGAAGAATATGGGCCCTGCGCTGCGGCGGACTGGAGACGTCGCTGCGAGGATGGGCGTCTACGGGTGTTCGAGGGTTCGAGGTGGGGGTTGAGTGAGCCATTCTGGAATGTCCATGGGTTGTCTGGGAGGACAAACTTGTAATTGGGGTCCGACTCGGGTAGGGTATTGATTTTGGTCGGATCTTCGGGAGGCCATGCTACGCCACGGGAGTCTGGACAGAAGTATTAGACACAGAGATATGGCTATGAAAACAAAGACAGGGAGTACGGGAGCTGTGGTATTGGGCATAAGTGCTTACATCGCGATATTATGAACAATGGGTTCACACCTCAGGGAGCAGCCGCAGCTACCGCCTCACGGCTCCGGCAAATCGTATGGGCGCCGATGACCACTCCAGACATCCCTCTGGTTTAGTTCAATCCACTTACCGTCGCCCTCGGCAAGCTGATACTTGAGACCTGTTCCCGGAGTGACAGTCGGCCAGCACCATAGGAGGGGGTTGTCGCCGAGCACGGAGCAAATATTGCGCCTGATCCCAAGATTCTGCACAGAATGGTAAATACATCCTCGTAGTGAAGTGTTCAAATCCACTTACATAGGGGAACTTAATCTAGATTACGCGAAGCGTCAGCATGCGACGTCGATCAACGTAAATCTAGAGCGCACCTCGTGAATTTTGCCATGCCGGACAAGAGTCGCGACCTTGTCCTTCTCCCATCCTTCGATGGTAGTGGTATTGCCCGATAAAGCCCAAAAGTGGTACAGACTGCGGAGTGAGCGTCAGATACGTTGACAAGCTGAGACGCGTGGGATGTCGCTGACCTGAATGCACCAACTGCAACGAGGACGGGGATGCACGTTGCAAAGTTTAATATGATGAATATGAGCTCTGTACTAGCTATGTCCTCCTGATGTATTGTAAGAAGCTATGCCTAAATTTCCTTCTGGAGAACGTACCCAGTACTGTGTAGCAGCATACACTCGCCGGGCGACCATGGCGAAGTGATACGAGCACGCGAGATCGACGTAGAAAAGGAATCGCACGAAATGCCCATAGTTGAAGTGTCCCACGCAATTGTTCACCCATGGACAGTGATGGTCTGTCTTCTCATTAATCACGACTTATCATCAAGGCGGCGTAGCACTTACCCATACGAAGGACGCAGCTGCACAAACTGATTCGTCAGTTTCACATGAGCGGTCAACCTGTATCGTAGTACGTGCCGTTTGCACTGCCTGCAGTGGTGAGCGCGCGGAGGCTTATAAGCCTCACACGTCCGACAAAATCTTGGTCCTCGAGTCAATTTCTTCACTTCGTATCCGTCATTGTCTTGTACGTCTGGTTTCTGTTGTAGGCCATCTTAGGATCGGTCTGGCACTGAGGAAGCTGAGGAGCGTACCCAGCCCGCAGGGACCCTGCCGGGGTCTGTCACTGCACACAGATAGTAGTTCCATAGCAGCACGCCAACCAGGAGACTGATGGTTATGAGTTCCCCATGGCTCATTTGTACCGGCACGACACGTACTTGAATGGGAGTAGCAGGGTGATGAGCTCTACCGAGAGTTCACGACCGTACCATGGCCATATTACGAAGATTTGCGGCGAGTATGCAATGAAGCATATCAGAGACGATGTAAAGCCTACGAATAGCCTCCCAACTAAGCGGCCCATGCAAGCAGCACTAGAAAACGAGAGGACACAAGAAATCGGTATGAGTGAGTGAGAATACTCAAGAGACGCCCTCTGCTATGACCATGACAGGAAAGCGCCCGTGAAGTCGTTTCACCGCGGCTTTGCTTTCGACTTCGTCTACGTGGTAGCTCGGTTCTATGTCTGCAATGCTCGCTCGCTCATCGCAAGCGGTATGTTCGGCGAGAACCTCTGCACTATGTATCCACCCCAAACCCACGCCGCTATTTCTGCGGTCAAATTCATCTGCTGCCGCCAGCACCGAACCTGCTCCCGAGGCCGCCCCCGCGCCTCGGAAGCGTACAATTCCGCTCGCGAATGTCTTTGGTGACATTGAGATTCGTCAGTTCCATCTCAGCCCTGTTGGCTATTGATATATTGACCCGCATCACCCTCAGTCAGTAGTCGTGCCCCCAGGACGTCGACCTCCGCGGGGTCACGCAACGATTTCAGACCTGATCTCAGCTGGCTCGGAGATGACGAATTTGATGGCAAAGCACCCATCGCACAGCGAATGGCACGCAGGCAACTTGATATTCAGAACCAGTCCGGTCGCAAATCGACCGCTGAGTCTCCTGTCGACGCGCAGACGCCAACTCCTCTCTTCGTTCCCAGCCGAGTAAACCTGTCATCGGCGAATTCCACGCAGCACAATGACGCAGAGAGAACGCGGCCGAGGAGAGAAAGGAACGACAGGCAGAGGGCCTCCTCGGGGAACACAGCCGCTGCAGGTGGTCAGTACGCGGAGACGTACAAGGAGCGCGAACGTCCAGCAAATCGTGACCGGGCCCGTGAGCCTCGAAACACGGAGTCTCTCAGCTCACAGCCTCGCACCGGGGAAAAACCTGCGGCTTTGGGGGTCAAGAAGGCTATGAAGTCGCTAGCTGCGTCCGAAGCTGCAGAAGATGTTAGAGTCACTACTGTGCGGCCTTCATCCTCAGATATGCCGCCTATCCAGACGACCGATCTCGAGAAACTTTTCGGCACGGCGGATGTGTCTCAGGCTCAGCCTGCTCTCTCGTCTACCCGGCTATCCGGCGCCGCTCGCCGTGTTCAGCATGTCCTAGAGACCACGGGCGGCGAATACTCGCGCTACCTCCCGCCTAATTTGGGGAGGATGGCTCCTGAGCAACTCGGACCCATTGCAATGGCGCGGCTACACCTAGGGCGTAGAAGAGAGGTGGGACTTAGGATGCGGCAGACTGCCTTAGACGTTGTCCAGCAGATGGCTGTGACCAAGGCAGCCGATGATGTGAAGCAAGTGACTGCATAGATGTTCATGTAGGGTATCTGCAGGATGCTTGCTCAATAAATATGGGTATACAGCGGCCGTATTACACCAGTATTCACCGTAGGGAAATACACAAGATAAAATCAGGACAACCACGGACGGCGAGTAAGAATTGTATCGCTCATTCCTCGAGAACGGTAATCTGGACGCGGTCGTCATCATCTGGTCCCGGTGGTGGACCTCCTACTGACGGCGCGCTGGACGGTGACTCGCGCTTGATCTTGTTAAAAAACCCATTACCCTGGCCATTCCACGGCTGGCCGTTGAAATACGGGTCGTCATCGCTCTCATTGTCCCACCCGTCCTGACTGCCCGACTGCGCACCCGCTAATACCCAGTGGGGAATCTCAAAGTCCCGCACCTCCTCAAGCTCTTGCGGGACCCGCGCCCCGAACGCAGTGATGTGCCGCTGCGTCTTCCTGACGTTCGGCGCAGCAGAGTTACGCATCGCAGATATCATGAGAACGCACGTCGTGGGCTCCGGTCTGCCAGCTGCCCCCGCGTACGATGCGTGTCCCTTTCCGATGGACGGCGAACCCCTGGAGAGAGTGCGGCCGACAGCGGAGATCGATTCTGCTCGAGATGCGCCGTCGGTGCGATATTTCTTTTTGGGCGGCAGCTTCGCCGACGCAGACTCCGCGGACGAGCTCTTGTTTTTTGAGAGAAACCTCCCGTCGGCATCGCGCACGCGCACAGGGCCAGCAGGTGCGGTGACGATGGATGAGGCAGTTGAGATGACGCGTGCATGAGTGTCCGTCCGCGGTGTCTCGGCGGCATGTTTCGCAAGGAAGGGTGATAGCGTGGATTGTTTCTTCTTTGCGGACGCCTGCTTCGCGAGCGCGTCCTTGAGCTGTGAGGGGGTGCGCGGCGGGAATTTGATCCGTAGCTTAAGCCCCTTGGACCGCTCGCGCTCGCGCGCCTCGAAGTCGACCTCAGACTCGCCATCCTCGTCATGATATGGTTTCGGTGGGGGCTCTTTCACAGGCTCCTCGTCCGACTCCATGAGCTCGTCGATCTCTTCTTCTCCCTCCTCCTCGACCTCGATGGGTATCGACTGTCTGGCCGCTGGAGTGCCTCCGGAGGCACTGATGCTTTCTGGCTTGTTGTTCTTTTTCTCCAGCCATCTTCGGTCGGGCGGCAAAAGCGTCCGGTACCGCTCCTCCAAGCTGAGAGCGATGTCAAGCATCAGCTTCCGTCGCCGTTCGCCTTCAATGTGTGCGGCGGAAATAGTTGTAGGAGCACCTTGAATATCATTGTACTCAGGGTCGTCTTCGGGGATTACTTCGGGCGGTTCCTCAGAGGTCACAGGAAAATCCGACGCGGGCAGTGTGAGGAATGCGGGGGTGTCCATGGCGCGCAGTTGCTCCATACGTTCCTTGAGCTTGTACTGTTCATGCTTGAGCTTTTCCTTCTCTCGCAGGCGCTGTCGCTTCTCAAATGTCTCGTATTTGCGATGGCGCTTTTCGTACATTGCATCAGACGTGTCTGCGGACTCCTGTGACACAAGACATTGCATTGGGAAAATGGTAGGAGTAAGTACGTAGACTGGAGGAATAAGCATTGTAGACGAACATCTTCTGCACCCCTCGGTCTAAAGCGGCCGCCAACATTGGCATCTTCGTCAAGCTGTGTGAACTCAGGCGTCTGTATGATCTGCTGCTCTCGGTATGCTTTCTGGACCTCTGGACGGTCGAAATAGCGGATATATGCTGAGCTATTGAGCTCTGCCTGAAAGGAGCCGGAAACCGACGTTGAAGGGACTAGGGAGGAGTTCGTGGTGAGTAGAAATCGTGATTCGGCCGGAATTAGGGGCTCGCTTTCGACTGCAGCATGAGGTTCGTTTAACAAAGAAAAATGTAAAGGGAGAAAAAGCACATACGCCTCCGCTTCAGGTTGTCCAGTATCATGACGTCTATTTCTGTACTGCCCACGCCAGGGCCGCCTCTTCGCGACCGCGACGGTAGGACGCGCTTTTGACGCGTCTGAATGCCAGGTTTCGCGGGGGATTCGCCCGCTTGCGTTTGCAGATGCGACGTGGCCTCACCCACGCTGGAAACTCGAGGCGTAGAAGCGGTGGCTATTGAAATGCTTTGCTCTTCGCCCGTGTTCCCATCGCGCTTCTCGCCAACTGTCTCAGTTTTCGGTGTCGACATGTTCGGAGTTAGGGGCATTAGCGGAAGTATTGCGCACGGTAGGGTCTATGTGCAGACCGAGTGGGGGAAACCAACTAAGACGTCCTCACAGGGCCACCGGAGGGCTACACAATATTGAATGGCCATGTCGCTGGGCGCTTCTGCAGGTGTTTCATACCTTTTTGGGATATTCAGATGGCGTAGCCTTCTTGCACTCAACGCCTTCTTTTAGACGCCCTTTGTGGCACCCCGAAAGCCACACTATGTATTCTCAATGACGCCCACCAACTAGGCAACTGCCAAGGAAAAGTGTATCCTCAACGTATACATTCAGTGAATATTGAATACATAGATCGAGAAACGCTCAAGCGCGGTCATGGACCGGTAGGCTCTTCTGTTCTCGGGCTGCCACCTCCATTATTGAGACGCTGAGCACCGGTATTTCTACTATACTCCTGATCCCAGGAAGGGTTTCCTCCTCCGCTGTAGCCCACACCATTATATCCGTAGGGCATGTATTGATTTCCCTGCTGAAATCCGAAATTCATGCCGAAGTTCGATGCGAACCTCGGGTTGATGTGTGGCTGGACATACTGGTTCTGATAGCCGAAGGAGAAGTTGTACTGCTGGTCGGCAGTATACTGCGGGTGCGACCATCCGCTTGCCTGAGATTGAGCATCAGAACCAACTGCAGTTCCGTCAGCATACTGGCCCGTAGCACGAGCGATAGCTAGCGACGTCGGGGAAAGCGGGCGTGGCGCTGGCGCGTCCTGGGCGTCAGAGAACGAGCTGGGCTGCCTGCCCCGCTCATGTCCCGCCCAAGGGCCTCGATCATCGCGACCACGACCCCTCCCTCTCCCCCGGTTGCCTCGCGGCCGGTCGCGGCCTCTGCCGCGTCCACGGTCGTCGCGCCTGCCGCCACCATCTCTGCCTGGGGGATATCGATTACGACCACGACCACGACCACGGTCATTGATGTGGCCATCGATAGAGGCATCATCATCGTCTTCTCGACGGCGACTCGTCACGGGAGAACGAGACTCCCCCTCTACCGAGGGTAATTGCGCGTCATCGACACCGTAACTATCTGAATACGGGTCGTCGTAGGGAATCGGCGCAGGTCTTGATGGCCCTGCACCGAAGTCCATGTCATTGTACGGTCCAGAAGTGTCGTACGGATTTGCTCCGTACGAATCATCGGCCATGTCCTGGTCACGCATCTGGGACGGGGTTGGAGTAGCATGCCGCGAAGACGTCACTGATTGGCCCCGTCGTCTACAGGACTAGGATGAGCTAGTTCTGAGGGTACGATGTCATATGAAATACCTCTCCGTGAGAGCTCTTTTGTGAGCCGCTTCCGCCTCATCGTCGGAGAAGTCAAGCTCCTCATCAGCAGGCTCCTCGTCGTAAACATTGCTCGCATCACTGCCTTTAAGGCGGCGAAGTTGTCCGACGAATACGAAATTACTGCGCTGCGGTACGTGGAAAACCGGACGCGAGAGCTGTACTCTCTCTGGATTGAGAGGATACTTTTCGTTGAATTTTATCTGATAAAGGGGTTGGGAAGTGGGTCCGAATGTCTCGTAAATCTTGCTAGGATGTCAGGGAAGGTCACAGAGACGTGCTTTGCGAACACTCACATATCCGAGCACTTTCCTATCTTCAAAAACAAGTAATGTGTCAGAGTCAAGAGCTCTTTCTGATGCCCTGTTTGTATACTCTGACGCAGAGCCTTTGACAATTACGACCTTGTCAAAGATGCTCATTACCTCGCCCACCTTCTCGAGCACCTCATCAGAACCGACTTCCTCGATGTCGGGAATAATGACTTTGGCCTCGGTCTCTGGTATCTCGTTCTTGGTCCTGGTTTGGGCTTCTGAGGTAACTGCGGGACCTGTCTCATCCTCGTCATCCAAAAGCATCTCCAATTTCCCTGAAGTTGGGGGTGCCTTCTTAGCCTTCTCGTCAGAGTCAGAGTCATGAGAGTCGACGTCAGAGTCTGAAGACGAGCCGGAGTCCGTGGCAGAGACCGAGGGAGGGGCACTACAGCAGGCCGTTTAACTAGGAGCAAAAGAGAAGTATTTCGACCCCTACGTTGTAGAAGGGCTTTCCTCGTCGTCGACACCTCCCAATATGTCTTCCTCTACTTCCCGCTCGCTGTCAGTGTCGCTATCCGGGCCATCATCACGCGGTGGCACCCTTGGCGGGGTAGGAGGTTTACTTGGGGTGATATCTCCTATTAGACCGCTAATAATCTGCAGGTCTTGTGCAAGAGTCGACGGGATTTTGAAGCCGCGGGAGGACATTGCTGCACTGATCCTTTGGAGGAAAGCGAACGGTGGCGATAACCTGCGAGCGGGTAGAGGAGGGGGGGGGGGGGGGGAATGGCTGGAGGGAGCAGGCCAGGCTCAGCCACCGAGTGGAGTAAAGAAAGCAAGGGCCTCGGGCAAAGTCCGGATGCGGAAAATGATCGCGCTCTCGCGTCCGTCGACACGTCGCGTCTCCGCTCACCACCATGCTCGCTGCCAGGTTTGCGTCGCGTGCCTTCCCTCGTACTCGCCTATACTCTACTGCTCCGAAGAGGAGTTTGAAAGAACTCGTTACTGAGCTCAGGAGCCAGGCAGATGTTTCTCCCATCCAAGCCGGTCAGGCTCTCAAAGCCTCGGACATGGACGTGTCCAAAGCACTGCTCTGGCTAGAGAAGCAGCGGACGCAGTCTGCGGTGAAAAAGGCGGCCAAGGTGGCAGACAGGACAGCGAACGAGGGTCTCATTGGCACCACTGTATTGTCCAGCGGTGTCGCGAACGGCCGACGCGTGGGTGTACGGGCAGCAATGGTCGAGCTTAACTGCGAGACCGATTTCGTCGCTCGCAACGAACTTTTTGCAAATCTCCTTGAGGACATTACCCACACTGCAGCGTTCATCTCGGAACCGGCTAATGCAGAGACGTTCATGCAGCCGTTCTCGATGGAGACCCTTCAGAACGCTCCTCTTCTCTCGCAAACTAAGCCTAGTCAGAACGGAAAGGCTACAGTATCCGAAGCCATGCGCGATCTCACTGGACGAGTAGGCGAAAAGATTTCACTTCGTCGTGCCCTTACGGTCGTGCGTGATCCCTTCACATCCTCCCAGCCCGACCTCGCCTTGCGCGTGGCCGCACGCGTCCACCAATCCGTCTTCAACCCCACCCAAGGCCGAATAGGCAGTCTCGCTCTCCTGGCGCTGAAATCAAAACGTCTCTCCGAAGCCATCGCATCCCAGACGTTCCAGGATGATCTTGACAAACTATGTCAAGCCCTTGGGCGACAAGTAATTGGCTTCCCTACCACCTGCATACGCTCACCGCCAGGGACGACAGATGAGGGTGCATTGTATGATCAGCCCTTCAGTATGTTCATTGGACCCGGGAACGACCAATCCGTCGGGGCATTTTTACAAAGCTGGGCACAAGAGCGAAGCCTTGTCAATAAAGACGAGGAACAATCAGCTGGCGTCGAAGTCCTGGAATTCGCGAAATGGACTGTTGGCGACGTCGTTTAGGTCACATACCGATCGCATTCGCGAAAGCGTGCTGCCACCGCTAGCCTATCATCGCAAAAGGTAGATCTTCGTTGGACTCACATCAATCGAGGCTGATTAAGATACGTTCGCAGTACTGCCACCAATGCACGATCTATTTATATGTAGTGAAGTAATTGAATACATACCTCTCAAATGCTGCAAACGCATCATCCCACTCACAAACATCTCTATGGGCGTGAACCTTCTCGGCCGGCGGCGACTGTTCTTGCATCTATGTTTCGGCCAGACACTGACTCCCTTTCTAGAGGACGACTGCTGAGTCTGCTCTGAGCATGGGTGACCGTAATAGCATTGCCCATGACAACGTTGTTCATGAGGAGCAGGAAGTTGTCTTAAAATAGCGTTGTTGTTAGGTGTTCCCTCTTACATTGGTCAAACTGACTCGGCACCACGGTCGTCAATTGATAAGTAGCTGTACGTCGATTGAAAAGGACTGACCCCATGCTCTAGTGACTCCAAGTCCAAGTCAACTGTGCTCGTCTGCACCTAAGAGTAGCGGGGAATACGGATATAGCCAGCACTTTCCCCAGCAACGCTCATGCTGCAGTCATATTCTATCATTAAAATTCAGATGCTTCATTCTGCAAATTGAAGTGTATACAGTGGCTCACGAACATGGTAACCCCCTTCTGGCCGATTATCATACATAGTGATATACTTGCTATCCTCGATTTGCCGCTCGCCAGGGATGTCATCTTGGGTAGGTAGATGCTAATGATACATGGGATACGGTACAGTGAGCCTTCCGTAATTAGTATTCCTCATCATTGTCAGAGCCCTCCTCGTCCTCTTCTTCCAGCGCAGCCTCAGCTTCCGCCTGTGCCTGTGCTACTAGAGCCGCTTGCGCGATCGCCTGTTCGAGCATTCTGGTTTGTTCCTCCGACAGAGAGAGAGACGTCGGTAAGGGTGGAGCAGGGGGTGTTGTGTCCTGGATGGCAGAACGCTGCGTGAGTTCGTTAGACTGAGCCCCTATGTGCGTGGGCGAAGCCATAGAATAATGGTGTTGCTGTGAATGTGCGATGACGCTTGCGAGCGTCGCCTGGCTGCTTTGCACATGACTTTGATTGGAGAGCGGGGGGCTGCCGAGCCCTCGAGCAACGTAGCCCTGTAACAGCCCGTGCAGCTGCAGAACAATCGTCTGCGCCTCCGCGACGATGCGCGGATCAACCTCTCCCTCCTCTGGCTGGCTGTCTTCCGCCCCCGCCCCGCCGCTCCCGCTCGCATGGCCCGTGCTAGCGGCTTGGTTCGCCGCAATGTCGCTCCACAACTTCGCACGCCGACTCGCCTCCTCGTCCCCGTCCTTCTCCACCTCGACTTCCTCGATCTCCGCGTACGCACACACCGCGTCGCCGCCCCCGCCGGCGCGCCCGCGGCTGTCTTTATGCCGCTTGATCGCGTCGCGCCGGGAGAACACCTTCCCGCAGCCCGCACACCGCCACGCCTTGCGGTCGTGCAGCCGTTCGTGCCGCTTCAGGTCGTGGTTGCGCACGAACGACGCGGGGCACTGGGCACAGCGGAACGGGCGGTCCGCGAGCGTGTGGGAGCGCTGGTGCGCGCGTAGGGCATACAGCCGGTGGAACGTCTTCGCACACCCGGGCGCGAGGCATGGGTATACCGCCGTGCCGATGTCCGCGGGCGGGGCCCAGGGTGCGTGCGGGGATGGCGCGCCGATCGGGATTCCACTGAGTACGCCGAGCATCTGTATGAGCCCCGCGAGCTCCTGCAGTGGGGGCGTCCGCTCTCCAGCGCGCGGGGCAGAGGTGACGGCGAAGAGAAAAACTTGGTGTAGCTGGGGATGGATGGACGAGATGAGCGCGGGGTCGGGTGGTTGGCTGGTCGGGGTGTTTAGAAGAGGCAAAAACGCGGCGCTGACAACTCGGACGGCTTCAGAGACCTGGCTTCTGAGGTCGGGCTCGTCTAATGCGAAGCGCTTGGGCGGCGGCATGGCGGGAGCGTCATAGCTGCCGTCGTCCATAAGGTCGCGTTTTCGCTTGCCTTTATCGAGCTGAATGGCGGGCGCATCGGAGTTCCTGAGGGATGCAAAGAGAACGTCAGACTTTGCGAGGGCGACGACGGCCTCGCTAAGCGGTCTGGCAATGCTCTTCCGCACGATGCCCGAAGATATGCAACGGTGGAAGACGTCAAGAATATTAACATTTCCTGCTGATGGTACCAGTAGAGAGACTAGAGAGTCATGTATTGATGAATTTGCCACCGCAAACCCGAGAATTGCTTTCATTGTTGATATGGCCGCATCATGCCTCCTTTTGCGGGTATTCGAGCCCTGGGTGGTATCATTCGTCGGGGGTGGGGCGGCAGCCTCAGGTCGTGCGTTCATCGTAGCAGCAGCGGCTTCGAGTTGTGCTCTAGCGATGTCAGCATGGAGCTGATCTTGCAGTCTGCGAGCCATTTCTTCTGCCTCTGCGGCAAAGTCGTCGTCGCCCTCATCGTATTGTTCATCATAGCCCTCTCCCTCGTCGTATTCCTCGAGATCTTCTTCATCTCCGGCTGAGTTCAGAGCAGAATGCTCAGCGAGTTCCATGCTAGTAGAAATTGACTAGTACTGTAGCAGGTGAGGGTTCAGCACGAGCCTTTGGCGCTTGTGGATACTCGATCAATCGGCATCTCAGATCGCACTTCCGGAAAATAGCGTTGTTGACATCGGCGACTGAGATCTGCGTAAGTACTTGCTCCAGAATGTGAGCAATGGCGCATTTACCAAGCGCGTTTCACATTGTAATTGCGCCTCTTATAGAGCGTGTCTTGACACTGTATAGTACATTATGTGGTCTGTTCGTTGTCGGGAGCAGTTCTGCGTATGTAGTTCCACCAGAGGCCTCAGATCCGCCTAAAACTGCTTGACTGATGGGATTAGGCTGCAGTAGAGAACAAATGCTTGCTATAAATGCACTCATGACAAGGATAGCGCATAATCAATGAATATAGTACAGAAATTGATAGCACAGGATGCAGAATGAAAGTCGAAGTTGAGGCAGCACTGGCGATTTCCTTTTTGGGACGTAAGGTGGTAGTCCGGTGTAGTGGGCGCGCTTTCCGGCAGACCATATACTAGATCCGGGTCGACTGTCATCCATGTCCTTAAATGGTTTGCAACGCAGACTAAAGTTACTCATCCGATCGACATGCGAGGCACATAAATAGGACATTGTCCGTGTGAATCAAGCACAGCAAGAAAAAGACCGCAGGGCATCGGCAGACCCGCATCATGGTCCCTGAGATGCTGTGTGCAGCGCGCGAGGCACTCCCGGGACCCGCTCGTCACCTCCGCCATTTTTATTCTTGCAGGCAATACCTGTAACCTAGCTACCAGAGCGGGCACCGTCTCCTCGATCTCGCCGTATCCGTACCGTCGCACTCATCGGAATATCACTTCGGGAACGTACAACGTAGACGCCGGCCTCGTAGCGAACTCGCCGAACACTTCCGCGACCAGCGTCTCAGGCGTCCGCTGCGACTCTAAGTACACCAGCGCAAGCTTCCTCAGGCCGTCGGGCCCCAACTACAGTACTCAGTCAGTAGGTGGACTAGTGAGGTACTTTTGAAAACAAACCATGTGTGCGAGGCGGTATATCGAGCGGTAGGAGGGTGGCAATGGACGGTGCGCATTTCCACTACGGTGTCGGGCAAAGAATTCATCTTCACCCTTTAGATTCAGTGATGTCAACGGCGCAAAATCGATGAATTCCGTATATAGATAATACAGTAGCGCCCCCCAACTATAGACGACCTGTCAGATTATCGCCGACAAGATCACGCCCATAAAACTCTCCATTACATCCCATCGGTACCTGGCAGGTGTTTGAACACTATATGGGACGTGTCCGGCTCATCGACCCCTGTATGTAAGTGCCGAAGCTATACTTGAGCATAGCTATACATTCAATCACCCGGAGTGGCAGCAGGCGTGCGACTCTGCGCAGGCGTCGTCTAACGGTCACTCCTAATCAACTTCCCGCGATCCAAAGAAGGACCGATGATTGGCCAAGAGACCCGCGCGCGCTGTCATCAAAGGACAAGGCAGCGTTGATTGTTCCTCGAAATTGAAACTCGAGTGGTACTCAAACATCAAAGACGGGGCATCTTGACATCGCTGACAATTCGTCTCAAATATCACTATCGTCTTGTTGCATAGCCTCGACAACCGTGTGTGCGTCCCAAATGATTATAGCAAGAACATAAAATATCATGAAGGCTTACTTCTTGCTTATCTCTCTGCTCCCCTCTCAAAAAGGCTTACAACATGTCTACGAGCCAGGTGTGTAGCACCGCTTCGCATGCTTCCTCTCCTCTGACTCAGTACAAGGCATGTGGTAACAATACCAATGCTACCCTGTTCCTTCGCGCCTACAGTGTAAACGCGACGGACCACTTCTATACCACTGACCATATCGAAATGGAGGCTGAAGTTGACACCGGCGGTTATACATCTCAGGGCAACGCCGGCTGGGTCTTCACGACCGAGGTGGGGGCGACGATTCCGCTATACCGCCTGTACAACTTGGAGCACACCGATCACTTCTACACAACCAACGCGACGGAGATGGCCACCGTCGTATCCCAATCCGGATATGTCTTCCAGGAGATCGCCGCATATGTCTATGCCACGCAGATCTGCAACAGCATCCCCCTGTACCGCCTCGACAATTCGCTGGTCACGGACCACTTCTATACCATTAATGCGACCGAGATGAATGTTGCGGCGACCACGGAGGGATATGTAGAGGAGGGAATTCAGTGCTATGTGTTGCCCAACGCATTGGCCGAGTCCACGCAAACGACCGCACAAACGATCACACAAACGATCACGCAGACTGCGACTCCGGGTGTTCCTATACCAAAATCAACTGTGGATGTGGCAATCATCGTCGCTCCGATTGCTGCAGTAGTCGTAGTCTCCGTATTGCTCGTCATTTTCATCTACGTCTGGTTCCGCCGGCGCGAACGGGAAATACGCGCCACGTTGGAGGCTCGCGGAGGTGAGCATGTCAATGTGGCTGCAAACGTGGTTGAATAAAGTTTTCTTTAGAAGATGGCTCAGTGTCGTCGGCGTCGCTACTGCCTACGAGCAACTTAGTCGACGCGGAACCTCAAGCAGAGATACTGGTAGTAGGCGCAGATGTGCCCGGGGAGAGCGCTCTGGACGTCGAACCGACGCCGCAAGGTGAGAGACACCTGTCATTTGCAGAAATTTCACATGCTCACCGGCCCCCGCAGTACATTCAGTAGAGCCAGAGGGTGATGATGACACGCATCAGAGTCACAGCGTGTCAGGTTCACAACCCCCACCGTACAGTCAGTCGGATGAAGAGCATAGATCCCTAGACAGACAAGGCATTTCTGGGTCCGTGTTTGCGGGGGAAGCGAGCATATCGACATGGGGGGTGAAACCTCGCTCTCGCAGGAGATAATCAGAGCCAAAGAGTCCACTCAAGCGCCCGAGCACTTTCCGCACTCGCAGCATAAGTACGCTGTAAGTCGTTCGAAAGTGCATGAATTCTCATCATCTGAGTTCTGAAAGCGAAGTTCTTGTATCTCTGACTCAGGACAGACTTGGATTACAGTTACGCAGCATTGATCATAGAGTTGAATGCTTCGCGAGCCACTCCCCGTGCAGCGTGTGCATACTAGCCTGGGGACGGAACGAGGGTGGCGGGGAACGCAGACGTGAGTGAGCAAAGTAAGACAGTTCCTGTCGGTAAAGACCACTGTCCGATAGTGATGACAGAAACTTTCTGGATCGCGGCTGAAACAACGGGCAAAGACAAGAGCTCCTCAGTGGGGTAGACGTTTAGGAGATCATCGCAAAGGACCATGCGACGATGAATGACGTCTTCGGGTCTGAATGCACTGATCTTGCAGTCTGCGAGCCATTTCTTCTGCCTCTGCGGCAAAGTCGTCGTCGCCCTCATCGTATTGTTCATCATAGCCCTCTCCCTCGTCGTATTCCTCGAGCTCTTCGCCACCTCCAGCTGGGTCCAGAGCAGAATGCTCAGCGAGTTCCATGCCAGAAATTGACCGGTACTGTAGCAGGTGAGGGTTCAGCCTTTGGCGCTTGTGGATACTCGATCAATCGGCATCTCAGATCGCAATTCCGGAAAATAGTGTTATTGACATCGGCGACTCGGATCTGTGTAAGTATTATGTTGAAGTCTGTCCGAGACCCGAAGCGAGAATGATCGACAAAGATATATCGCTTTTGTTTGGGCTCCGTCAAACGCGTAAGGATCATATTGAGCGGCTCGCGCAAAGTCTACGATGTACTACAAATAATGCCAAACACGATGGCATGCGCTCACCACAATCCCAAGTTCTAACACAGGCCGTTTATACAGACTCCCATCGTGATCTCTGAGATGATGTCGGCAGCGCGCAGGATACTCCCGCTCGTCAGCTTCACCATTTCGATTTTGAAGCCAGACGACGTCTTCAGCACGTGCCGATTCTAAGTTACGAAGCAAGCTCCATCTCCTTGACTTCATCGTACCTGTATCGTCGCATCCGTCGGAATGCCACCTTGGGAATTTACAGTGTATTAGACAGCCTCGTCTCCGTGAGTAGCGTCTCAGGCGTCAGTCCATCAAGCTCGAACTACAGCGCTCAGTGGGTAGGTGGTCTAGTGAGGTGTTCGGAAGACAGACCATGTGTGCGAGGCGGTATACCGAGCGGCAGGAAGGAGGCAATGGACGGTGCGTATTTCCACAATGATATCAGGCAAGAAATTCATCTCGACCCTTTGGATTTACAGATGACAACGGCGCAAAGTCAATGAATCCCGTGTAGGGGTGATACAACAGCGCCTTCCGACTGTGGGTGACCTGTCAGACGACCGCCAATAAGGCACATGTGAACTCACGTGCGAGCTGCGGCACCGAGGGGCCAATTGTCGTTCCCTCGAATTCCACATTATTCGGTCGGATCAATGAGCGAACAAACGAGGGCAGCACAGATCCGAAGGAGAATACAGATCAACCCCTTCTCTCGAATGGATGAGATTGAAAGAGTGGGTTGACAATTGCATGGAAGCTAATCTTACGGTCTCAGCAGTGAAAGCCCATTTGAAAGAGAATCAGTACCTTCAACTTTGGCCTGTATGCGCAACACAGCCTAACACTGACATCTGCCATCATAGAGTCTGCGGGAGTGCCTCCTGAAGGCGGACGCCTCGCACGTTGGCGGCAGTTCTCGGTCTGAACGACGACAATATCGTTGTCCTCATCATCTTCGTCCTCGTCCGGCTCAAAGTTGTTGTTATAACCGCGCCGGCCGCTTGTAAGGCCACAGTCACCCGAGAAGGCCCTAACGGATCAACTGACGAGAGTCTCCTCGAGTAACGACCCATGAACCAAAACTATTTCTTCCCAACTAGGTTATCGCTGAGAAGCTCACACCCAATCTATTTAGCTCTCCATGGCATCTCATTGGGGCCTGACAGGTGTTCGAACACTATCTGGGAGTTGTCAGGCTCATCGATCCCTATATGTAAGTGTCAAAGCTATACTTGAGCATAATCATGTATTCAATTACCCGGAGTGGTGAAAGCGTGCGACTCTGCGCAGGCGTTGTGTAACGGTCACTCCTAACTAGCTGCCCACGGTCTAAGGAAGGATCGATGATTGGCTAAGGGACCCGCGCGCGCGCGGTCATCAACAGGCAAGGCAGCGTCGAGTCTTACTTGAAATTGAAACTTGCGTCGCGCTCGAACATCAGAGAAGAGGCATCTTGACATATTGTCAATTCATCTCGGATGCCGCTATCTTCTTGTTGCATAGCCACGACCTCCATGTGCCCCAAATGATACTAGTAAGAACATAAGATATCGTGAAGGCTTACTTTTTGCTCGTCCCTCTGCCCCATCCCCCCCCCAAAACCTCAAAGGAGGCTTACAACATGTCTCCGAGCCAGGTGTGTTGCACTGCTTTGCATGTTTCCTTCCCTTTGACTCAATACCACAATTGCTTCCTAGGAATGTGACAACAACAACAATGCTACCCTATTCCTTCGCGCCTACAGCGTAAACGCAACAGACCACTTCTATACCACCAACCACACTGAGATGGAGGCTGCAGTTACCTTCTTCGGCTATACATCCCAGGGTAACGCTGGCTGGGTTTTCACGACCCAGGTGGGGGCGACGATTCCGCTATATCGCCTGTATAACGGGGCGATCACCGACCACTTCTACACAACCAACGAGACGGAGAGGGACACCGCCGTTTCCCAAGATGGATATGTCTTCCAGAGCATCGCTGCCTATGTATATGCCACGCAGGTCTGCAACAGCATACCCCTGTACCGCCTCGACAATCCGGTGGTCGCGGACCACTTCTATACCATTAATACGACCGAGATGAATGTTGCGGCAACCACGGAAGGATATGTGGAGGAAGGAATCCAGTGCTTTGTGTTGCCAAACGCATTGGCCGAGTCCACACAAACATCTCCGCAAACACCCGCGCAGACACCTACACCCACGCCGACTCCGACTCCTGTTTCTGCGCCAAAATCAACGGGGCATGTAGCGGCCATCGTCGCTCCGGTTGTTGCAGTTGTATTAGTATCGCTGGTCATTGTCATCTACGTCTGGTTCCAACGACGCAAACGGGCATTATGCGCCAAGTTGGAGGCTCGTGGAGGTGAGCACGTCGATATACCGACAAATGTAGTTAAATAAGGTTTTCTTTAGAAGATGGCGAAGTGCCGTCGGCGTCGCTACTGCCTACGAACAATCCAGTCGATGCGGAACCTCAAGTGGGGATACCGGTGGTAGACTCAGAAGTACCCGGGGAGGACGCTCTGGATCTGGACGTCGAACCGAAGCCAGAAGGCGAGAGACACCTATCGTTTGCAAATATTTCGTATGCTCATTCGCCTCCGCAGCGCTTTCAGCAGAGACTGAATTGTTGCAACCAATGCCAGAGGGTGATGATGATACACATCAGGATCACAGCGTGTTAGGATCACAACCCCCACCGTATAGTCAGTCGGATGAACAGCATGGAGCATGAAGCCCTAGGTGGATAAGGCATTTCTGTATCCGTGTTATTTGTCTCGGTGAGGCCCTAGTGCGACGTTGAATAGGGTATCACATAATGTCGCTTGCAAGCGAAGTCACTGGCTTTCGAACAATCGAGCATAGTTGACGCGTTGCGGTCTCAAGCGCGAGGTCGAGAATGTTGCGCCAACCGGCTCATAGACATGCCTTGACCGCGATTGCGTCTACTGGAAATAAAGATAAATCCAGTTGTGCCCCTACAGCCAATAACAAATACTAGATATCAATCGACTGTCATCCGTGCCGTAAATCATTAGCAATGCAGACTAATAGCAGCAAGCAGCTCTGCTTGCTGTTTCGATCAAATAGGGAGAGAATCTTCGGTACAATTTATAAGGACAGACCGTGATTGTCATTGTCTTATTGGGCATTTGCGTCCGACTGCGACGCCTATGCTGGCGGTAGCTCTGCTTCGTATTATCAGATGGATAGTGACGGTCGGCAAAAACTATCTGATACTGATGACAGGGAATTTGTGGATCGCGGTTGAAGCAAAGAAGCGCTTAGGGCGAAGGCAAGGATTCAATATGAGCTCCCTCAGTGAAGTAGAATTTGAGGAGATCGCAATTCCGTTATTGACATCGGCAACTCGGATCTGCGTAAGTAGTAGTTCCAGAATGTGAGCAATGGCGCATTTCTTAGCACTGATGAATCTGTGAACATAAATCGGGGGAGGTACGCTGTCTTCATCCGCTGAATTGAAGTCCTTCTATAGCAGCATGATCACCTTCATGCAACTTGGCCCGGTTTGCAGGACGAGCCCTTTAACGCACTTTCCGGATCACGTGAAGCGCGTTTCACAGTGTAATCGCGCGAGGCTCTCAACGATCCTTCCTAGTCTCCTGTGGGCAGAACATAATACACTTCCTACAACCTAAGCAGGCTCCGGATATCGATGTATAACGTCGTTCCCTCGAATTCTACAATGTTCAGTCAGCCCGATAAATGGACAAACAAGGGCGGCACAGACCTGAAGCAGAACACAGATTCACGCCTTCTCTCGAACGGATGATATCGAAAGAGTCGGTTAACGATTGCATGGAAGCTAATCTCACGGTCTTCGTAGCGGAAGCTAATATGAAAGAAGATTAGCGCCTTCCACACCGGACACTGTCATCATCGAATCGGCAGAAGTGTCTCCTGGAGGCGGACGCCTCATACGTTGACGGCGACTCTCGCTTTGGATAACGACAATTTCATCGTCCTCGTCCGGGTCGCATAAAAAGCTATAGTCAATCAAGCTGACTCCAACGGATCCACTGAGATTCTCATCTTCCCTCCTCGAAAAGCGACAAGTAAGTAGAAGCCGCTTCTTTTCAAGTGAGTTATCGCCTCCGACAAGAGCACACACCTAATCCATCTAACTCTCTATGACATCCCGTCGGTGCATAATAGTTGTTCAAACACTAGCTGTGGGCTGTCAGGCTCATCAACCCCTGTATGATGAGGTGCGGAACAGTCGAAGCTCTACTTCAGCATAGCTACATATTCAATCGCCAGGAGTATCAGCCGGCGTGCGACTATGCGCAGGCACGGCCGCCCAACGGGCACCACTAATTAGCTGCCAACAATATAAGAAAGCGATAATTGGCCAAGGGGCCTGCGCGCGCGGTTATCAACAGGCAAGGCGGCATTGAATGTGTTTTTTAGAATGGAAACTCTGGCCGTGCCCGAACATCAGAGAAGAGATATGCTGACATCGTTGACAGTTCATCTCAGATGCAAATATCTTCTTGTTGCATAGCTACGACAACCGTGTATGTGTGTTGTGTCCCAATGATTCTAGCAAGAACATAAAGTATCATGAAGGCTTACTTCTTGCTTATCCCTCTGTCCCCTCCCCTTTCAAAGAGGCTTATAGCATGTCTGCCAGCCAGGTGTGTTGCACCGCTTCGCACGCTTCCTCTCCTTTGACTCAATTCCACAATTGCTTCCTAGGAATGTGGTAACAGCGGCAATGCCACTCCATTCCTTCGCGCCTACAGCGTATCCACGACGGACCACGCCTATTCCACCAACTACACTGAGTTGGAGATTGCAGTTAGCTCCTACGGCTATACATCCCAGGGCAACGCCGGCTGGGTCTTCACCACCCAGGTGGGGTCGACGATCCCGCTATACCAGCTGTATAGCTCGGCGCTCACCGATTTCTTCTACACAACCAACTACACGGAGGGGGAAATCGCCGTTTCCCAAGCCGGATATGTCCTCCAGACCATCGCTGCATTTGTCTACGCCACGCAGGTCTGCAACAGCATCCCCTTGTACCGCCTCTACAGTACCTCGCTCACGGACCACTTCTATACCATCAATGCGACCGAGATGAACGCTGCGGCGACCTGGGAGGGATATGTGAAGGAGGGAATCCAGTGCTTTGTGTTGCCCAACGCATTGACCGAGTCCACGCAATCATCCGCGCAATCATCCACCCAAACATCTCCGCAAACATCTATGCAATCATCCGCGCAAACATTTACCCCGCAAACATCTACGCAAATATCCACCCAAACAACCGCGCAAACACCCACAGAAACGCGAACGCAAATTCCCACGCAGAATACGACTCCGGTTGTTCCTGTACCAAAATCAACTGGGCATGTGGCAGCCATCGTCGCTCCGATTGTTGCAGTAGTCACAGTCTTCGTATTGCTCGTCATTCTCATCTACGTCTGGTTCCGCCGGCGCGAACGGGCAATACGCGCCAAGTTGGAGGCTCGCGGAGGTGAGCATGTCAATGTGGCTGCGAATGTGGTTGAATAAGGTTTTCTTTAGAAGATGGCTCAGTGTCGTCGGCGTCGCTACTGCCTACGAGCAACTCGGTCGATGCGGAACCTCAAGTAGGGATACTGGTAGTAGACGCAGAAGTGCCCGTGGAGGGCGCTCTGAACGTCCGACCGAAGCCACAAGGTGAGAGACACCTGTCATTCGCAAATACTGTATATGCTCATTCGCTCCCACAGTGCATTCAGCAGCGACTTCAGCAGCGATTGGTTCGTTGCAGCTGTCAGAGGATGATGATGACATGCATCAGAATCACAGCATGTCGGATCTACAACCCCCACCGTATAGTTAGTAAGAGCATGAAGTCCTAGGCGGATAAGGCATTTCTGTATCCGTGTTCTGTGTTTCGGTGAGGCTCTAGGGCGACGACGAATAGGGTATCACACAATGTCGCTTACAAGCGAAGCTACTGGCTGTCGAACAATGGAGCATAGGTGACGCTTTGCGGTCCCAAGCACGAGGTCGAGAATGCTGTGCCCACCGGCTTAGAGACTGTAGGCATGTCTTGATCGCGATCACTTCTACTGGAAGTAAAGATGAAATCAGTTGTACCCCTACAGCCAGTAACGTATACTAGATATGAATCGACTGTCATCTATGCTCGTAAATGGTTAGCGACGCCGATACTATCAGTCAATGAAAATCTATTCATGTCTTCAGACATACTTCAGCGGACTATATATGCTATAATACTCATGTCGATATTACCAGCAACACGCAGCCATAGTGGTATACTAAGACGTGGTCAACATTAATGCTATGCGATGTGACGGAACCGAAGTGTGCATGGGTATCAATCCAGACAGTGTACATTTATGCGGCATGATAATGGTCAAAGCATAGTCAGTTGTGACGATAGGGAAATATGCCGCTGGCATGTTATGAGGGTGTTACCGTGATAGGTGGCAGTGACGCTTCGCGAAACAAGCTATCTTCGACTTCGTCTTCGCTCTCGAGGGCCTGATCTTCCTGATCAACCGCAGAAACGCTATGCGGATGACCATCATCATCCCGGTCCGCGTCAGTTATCGAGCGAGAGTCCGCCTCGGCATCGTCTCCACGCCATGATCGTACTTCCTCGGCACTCAGAACCTTCGCGCCACTCTTGATGCCTTCTACGAAGTCTGACGGCTTGGACTCGAGGGCACGGCGGCAACCCTCCAGCAGGGTGTCCAGGATCAGCTTGACGCGTCGATACGGCTCGTCATCCTTGCCTTCCAATAATTCTTGCTCGTCCTCATCCTCGTCTACTTCTTCGCTGTCCTCTTCCTCTTCCTTGACTACCTCTTCTGCAGGCAAAGAGGACTTCACGGCTCGGTAAGTTGGTGGTGGCAGAATTAGGCGTGACTCCCGTAGCTTTCGCTTGAGATCCCTGATCTCCTTGGCTTGGCGATGCTTCGCGGCTTCGAGAGAGGAATTGATGGCGAGCAGCGAGCGGTTCGAGATCTCCAGGTCCGCAATCTACAAAGAACAACTTTGACTTCCAGATTGTGATAGCATTCGACTGAGAAATCTTACCTTGCGGTTGGATTTCGCTTCGTCCTTGAGCATCTTGTCCAAGTCATCTGATTCATCGCCATCCAGGTTGTCCGGTTCCTCTACGTCATCGTCGCTGTCGGCAGACGCTTCGTGTGATGATAGAGAAGCGGACCGGACGCTAGGACCATCGAGACTTCCCTTTGTGCGCGACAAGCGATTATCACGCCGTGCCCGCATATCACCAGTGAGACGCGAATGTACTGTCAAAGCAGTACTCCGTGTGGCATCCGACCCATGTGTGTCGTAAGAAACGGATGATCGCGATGCAGACGAATGTGACGAAAACGAGATGGCTGACATTGGAGGCGACTGTGGTGGGAGTGGTATTGCGGCGGGGTCTACCTTCGCCGCCACAGAATACGCGCCGTAATTCACGGTCAGGTCATCGTTCGACGGGAACGGCTGGAATGCGTGTGGTCGGTGTATTGGGCTTTCGCGAGTTGTAGCGAATCGGTGCTGCTGAGCTGGTGCAGTTGGTGGGGGTGCATTGGCAGGTGGTAGCAGTGGAGCTGCGACCGAGATGCTGGGGATAGACGGCATGCGGTCATGGACGCTACGGCCCACAGTGGAGAGCACGGGCGAGGAGGAGGTGGACGTCGGTGATTGTGGTGTCGAGTCAACCTTGGTCACCTTCGATTTCACGCGCACACCTCTTCCAGCGTTCGACAGCGGGTGACCATTCTCCTCCGTGGGTGACGCCGGGCCCCTCGCATATGCGCGCCCATGTACTTCGGAATGTGCTGGAGAGACAACATGGGACACTTGAGACGATATGCTTCCTCTCCGATGTCGCGTTCGCACAGCCAGAGCCGAGTCCGATGGTACCGTTGTCAGCGAACGCTGTCTGGTCTCGAGAGCGGAAGACGCGACGTGAGAGCTCTTAGGACGGGCTGTTACGCGCGCTTTGACGACAGGTGGCGCAGAAACCGTAGCTCCGATGGGAGAATGAAGTTGCTTGAACGGAGAGGGCGCGCGGGGAGGAGGAATGCCACTATTACGAACTAACGGTGCTGGAGACGTGCCTCGTACCGCATTTGTCTTGCGGATGGTGACATTTGCACTGCTATTGACCTTGGCCTTGGGCTTGATTAGGTTCGACGAAGATGGCGAGATGGTTTGCGGTTTATAGGGAGAAGGGGGGCGCGAAGTAGGTCGCGTTCTGTCATAGTCGACCCGCGCGGTGACCTGGAAAGCCATCTCAGCGCGCAGGTGAGTTGTGCACACTCTTCGCTGCGAACCTTCGGCTTGAGCTTGGCTTCCATAAGACCCAAGGGCCAGTTAGAGATAAGTTATAGACCTAGAAGCGACTTGGGAACGAAGGACAACCAGAGTCGAATTGGTGCACTCGGCTGCTGTGGCGGCATGCTCCGAACCACAGAGCGTGTCCAAATATGGCAAGTCTCCAAGAACGTCTGCTAAATGAAACTCGGACTCCCGGTCATCGTGACGCGGGGTACACAGTAAGTCCATGCTACGAAGATACTGAAGCTAGTTTTTGTTGCAAGATATAGATACAGGCACTTCTTCTTCTTCTTACAGAATTCCCTTCTTGGCCAACACGTCTTCTACAATTCTCTCTACGTACGTCTTCATGGTGTCTCCCCCTCCACCGCTTAAAGCAGCATGCACGCTCTTCTCGACAAATTTGCCTACCATGTCGACCTCTATGTTTACCTTTGCTCCTATCGACTTCTTGCTCAGCGTGATCTTCTCTTGCGTGTGCGTGATGAGCATGACGCCGAACGTCCGCCGGGAGTCGTCGACCCCTGTAATCGTCAGAGAGGTGCCGTCTATGGCAACATAGCCTTTTGGTATGAGGTACGGGAGCAGGGATGGGCGTTCTGGCGTAGGTTCCGGAAGCTGGAAGAGGAGGCGCAGCGAGTCGCCGTCGGGCGTTTGACCAACGATAGTCGCAGTAGTATCTACATGGGCCTAACCATGTCCGAGTCAGTACCTCGTCCACACCCCTTGTGTGAAGGATTCGAGAGAAGGGGCACAGACACGCCCGGTGGCATGTCACGGAACTCCCAGAAGCGCACCTGTACGAAATGTCCTCCAAAACGAACATGGGCACCCATAGCCCGCTCCAAATTTAATTGGTCTCCGACCTTTCGCTCTCCTGGGGGGTGTTAGCACATGCCGCATAGTCACTCATGCTCAGATTTCGCACCCAGGTCCGTCCTATCAAGTGTCTCGTTCGCAAGCCATACTTTGAACCACCCGCCATTCTCCTGTTTGTCGAACTCCGTGACAGTCAAGCACGCCCCATTGACCGCGATGGAGTCTCCAATGTGACAGTCGGACAGAATTGGTGCCGAGTCAGCGATCGTCAAAGTGCATCCGCCGCTGTCATGTTCGATGGAGGAGACGAAACCAAGATGTTCAATCTAGTTTGCGTATATGAGCGCAGAGAGTGAGGCTCGGACGGTGGGCATACCAGACCTGTGAACATTTCGCCTGTAGTACTGGACGTCGGCAGAGGATGTCTTGCCCTTTGGCGCCCGTTCGATCGCGCAGGTCAGTGGTTACCTCATTTGGGTCCCTCCATCTTCCGAGTCCACTCGCCGCGGCACACCAGCCACCCCTTGCATGTAAACAGCTACCACGCTCTCCGTCATGTCGTCTAATGCAGGGGAGAAGGCCAAAACCGATGCTCCGAAAGCCTCGTTTCGCACCGTGCCCGTTCAACAGCGGTCAATCTGGGAGTCGTGGGCCGGTAAGCACGCCAAATTACAACCACTTCCCACAACATCAATGACGGACCGCTATGGTCAGTGCTGCCCGCGAGGACACGGTTGTTCGTGTCTTTGGGAATCACTGCATTCGCCCTAGGCGGAGTCTTGGTCTCTGACCAGCTCGAGAAGACAATACCACCACCGGAGAAGGAGCGTTTGGCTGAGGGCGCGACGAAGGATGTACCTCCTCCATGAAATTAATGGCAATGATCCATGATAACATTCGCGAGATTCAACATGCTACAAGATAAGTACGGGCTATGAATACATCAAGAGCTAAAATACATGAGGACTCTGAAGACCTATCACTTTCCGTCAATACCATCATACGCGTCGTCTGATGCAGGCCTGTCAGAGAAGGGATTTTCACTGCCTCCATGTACTCTGATATGTGCCGAGGGTTGCGCAGTGGTGTTTTCGACGTGTCTCCTTACACTAGGAGCCTTCGACAGCGCGGGCGTCTGCTCTGCGTTACTGGAAGTTGGCCGTGGGTCCGGAGCGAGATATACCTTGTCCGGTTGTGCAGGGTAGTCAGGCGATAGGATGGTTTTCTCAGCTGCCGACAAGACTGTGCCCGCACCAGAGGCCCCGCCAGACAGACGTCGGGTTGCCGTCCACTCCTTGACTTTCCTTGAACCTTCCCTTTGCAGCTGGCTCTTCCCTGGTGCCCCAGACGGAAATGACGTGAATGACGGGTACCGATGCCTGTCGTCGCCAAAGCGGACCTCCCAGCTGCCCTTCTCCCAGTCCGGTATCAGCTCTTCTGTCCCGTCAGGGACGCGACGCTTGCCGAGTACATCGCGGACGAATCGCCACCAGTGGTCGAAAAATACAGCAGCAATGAGAACCGCCGCGACTGCGCTGAAGGCGATCACAGCGACACCGATAATCTTCCAAGTTGATGTAGTACCGGGCGCGGCAGATAATTCTGAGCCATGCGCGTCCTTGGTTGGCGACACAGATGCAGGTGGACCATCAGAAGCCGGTGTCGTTGCACTAGACGTAGACGTTGTTTGGGATTCGACACCAGTGGTTGTCGCACTCGTCTGCGAAGCTGTCTCCTTCGCCTTGTTCGTGGGTATGTTGCTTGTCGACATCAGAGGCACCAAATTCAGCGGGTCGTCTTCCGTCTTTGTCGAAGGCCGGCTTTCCGTAGGCTGGGGATAGCCTGGCTCTTCCGGCTCCCATCCGCCAAGGAGACCTCCAAGGTCCCGCCTCCCTCCATGCCCCAGCGTGTGCGGAAAGCCAGCCCGAGTTCTCAGCGAGGAAGAGACGGCTCCATGGATGAGGCCAGCAACGAGCACGATCCGAAGGATGCAAGGTCTCATGACCCAGAGTCGCAGGCCTATAACAACCGACGTACAATGAGTGCCAATCCAGCGATGGCTACGAGATAGTGTGTTTCTGAAGAACGATAAGCCGGGAGATATATGAGAGCAAGGCCAGCTTGCTAGCGAAGCGCAGACCGATGAGTCGTTGTCGACGTTCGCCAAGTTCGAACCGGGGGCGTGTTACACTGGCAACGCGTGACATCACATTCACGTGAAGCGATCGCGTCGCGGGGCGTCATTCCAGCTTTCTCCACACCGCATGGTCAGGGACACAAGAGAAGATCTAAATCGACGATGATTGCACAATGACGCAAGAGGCGCGGTCAAACTAATCAGGACTAGGGAAGAATCGCGAACATGAGTATGGGGAAACAGGTGAATGATACATGCCGTCAGTTGCGATGATACACGGGGAGAGGTCAACGAATTGGGAATGTCAGATAAGAAGTGAAATCGTAAATTCATCAGAAAGGCGGAAATGGGGCCGTGAGCTATGCGCGGAACGTGTTCAGGAGCAGATGTCCGGATACTCGTAGTCTGTCGGGTCCTGCGGTATCCAGCCGCCAGCAAGGCCGGCCTGATACGACCACTCGTCCGCGCTCTCCGTCTTCCAGGTCCACATAATCCACCCTTGCGCGCCCGCAGAGAACGCAATCGCCTTATCGTGGGTAAATGAAGGGCGAGAAGTTAGGGCGAGAACAACGCGGGGAAGCAGCTTGGCGTACCTGAGCTTCCCAGTACTGCCTCAGGAAAGTTTTGTAATCAGTGCTGAAGGACGTCGAGAGGCCTGTCAAGCCGCTGCAGCTGCCGACGTATGTCGAGTCCGGATACGATCCGTCGTATCGGGCACCAACACCACGCCCGTTCAGATACGTCGCGCAGTCGTTCGGTGCAGGCGACCATTCTCCGACGATGAGCCAAAGATCAAACCCTGAGAGCGACGAAGCATAGGCACATGCGGCACTAATGTGTTGAGAATACGAATATTCTACCTCCTGTTGGACGTATCATGTAGAGAGGCGCATGTCATGAGTCATTGAAGACGATCACGACCGCACGCACGTACCGCCTGCGAGAACACCTGATAGATATGCGTGTCCATTGCGACGCCTTGCCAATCGGGGGCGGTCATGTAACCCGACCAGTAACTAATTCGAATATCAATAAAGGTTCGGTCTAGCTTGATTGTACTGTAGACGTTACCTCAGAGGCTGGAACGCATCGTGGAGCAATACGACAGTGTTACTCTCCTGAGAGTTGCCATACGGGTATCTGTGTGAGCATTGTGTCAGCGATCGATCGCTCGGATCTTGTGGCGCGGTACTCGCCTGATGTTTCCGTATGAATCGTAGTAGTATTGGGTTAGAACGTCCAGAACGGCTGAGCCGTCATATCCCGCCGGCCTGCATGCACGGACGCAGATCAGAATCTGGTTAAATTTAGCCTGCGGAACATCCACTCACTCGTTCAATGGCGCGATGATAGGGACGATATCGGGGTTGTTAGCGTACATGGAAATAATCGTTTTGATGATAGAGTCCGTCCGCTGGACGTTCGTCGAATTCGACTGCCACTCAGGATAGGACAGCCTGTGCCCCGAGTTATCGTAGCTTGACAGAGCGTTAGCGGACGTGCGCCGAACAGAGATTGAGCGCGAAGATAATCACCCGTTCTGGCTTCCCGGGGCGCCGTGCAGGTCTATTATCACCTTGACGCCATAGTTGGCAGCCCAGCTGACGGCTGATTCCAAGTAGAGCAGCTGTCCTTGGATGTACGGCTCTCCAGCGCCGACCTCGAACGCCCAATATCCGACGGGTAGTCGGACGTGGTTTAGGCTGCATAAGGCGCGCGTTTCCTTTACAGGGCAAAACGCGAACACGTGACACTGACGCACCCTGCAGCAGCGATGTCCGCTATATCTATCTCCGTGATCCAGGTCTCCCAGTGGTTTTGGAGAGCCTCAGTCGCGGTCGTGGTGTCCTGGAGCTCACAGAATGTCCACTCATCGACGATATTATCATTGCCAGTGTTGTCAAATAGACTGGGAGTGATCCACGGCTGCAGAAAGAGACGCCGTTACGCGGAGGCTGATACGATCGCGCGTCGGCGGCTTACCTCGAGTAGAAGCCATCCTCCGAGGTTCACACCATACACTGTCTCGGAGCCGTAAGAAAACCCTGGGGTTATAGGGTTGTCTGCCCGGACACGGACGGCGAGCAGGCTGAGCAAGGAGAGAGCCGTACTGGTACGCCGCAGGGGGAACATGGCTGGAACAACCGCGACGGAAAGGAGTGAAGCGGTGGTGAGTAGTGAATGGGAGATGGCCAGCTTTTATGCGTGTAGCGGGGGGCCGTTGGGCGGCCGAGGAGATGACGCCGGAATTCGGTCTGCCAGCCCCCTGCGATCGAACGCCACCTTCTATTCTGCACGTGTAAGGGCCATCGGGAAGTACTCCATAAAACGCACGCCCGGCAAAGAGCTTATTCGCTTGTCGAACTGAGTGGATTGCGCACCCTCTTGATGCTCCGCCAATGCCGACGGGCCCTTGTACGTCGTAGCTCACGGCGGTCCTCGCACCGGAGCGCGCAACGTGGCCTACAACCACCGAGGAAGAACCACCCTCCAGATACGATACCCCTGAGTAACACACGAGTGTGTCTTTCCAACACGTTTGTCCCAACCGTGCTACATCGATGGGGTGCTCGACCGTGGTCATTTGGGTGCTGCATGCCCACTAGTTCAACAAAGTCGCACAGGTGATCGTGGAGGAAACGCGCGATCCAACTGCACGAGCGATTTGTATCCGGATGTATGCCGAGAGTGTTCGGCGAATTGGATTCACGGAAGGGCGCCCAATCAGAAAGGTCTAGACGGAGGTGATTCTACACACAACATTGCATCTGTCCTAGAATATGTTAATAGAATGATGTACCCCACAGGCGGAGTGGCGACAAAGTGCGTATGTCCATCTCCACAAGTCGGTTAAATTCCGGCCTTCACCAAAGGAGGCCACCGTCATGCAAGTTATTCATACAGCGACAACGCATAGTCTGCCATTCCGATCAGGATCCGCAAAACGAGCGAGACGCACCTGTCTCACACACTATTGCTATATGGCAAGGGGCGCAGACGAATAGTGAACGCACGATGGTCCACATATTGCCTCTTCACGAACGCGCAAGAGTATTCTCTGTGTCGTAGGAAGTGCCGCCGTTCGCATGCTATTACACACGGAGCAGACGTGCACATACACAGAAGAGACAAAGGCATCCCCGTTGCCAGCGAATGCGGCGTTTGTGAAAATCACAAGGCAGCGAAGGCCTGGGCGCGACGGCTTTCGCTAAGAAGCTGGGCCGTAGACTTGGAAACTTGGAAGCTGCAGCTTGTCCAGCGTCTATGCTGCCGAAATGCACAGGAAGACTGGCAAGTGTGACACAGCAGCGAGAAATGAGCAAAGGCCATACAGCGGTCTCACGATACGGTAGCACCCAGTTGAGCTACAGCTCGCCGCACAGGTCGCTAGTGGCGGGCAGGGCAGAGCAAAGCTGTACAGAGGGCTACGATGACCGTGCACGGCAGTTCCCGACGCGTAGCAGGCTGAGTATTTCAGGACGTCGTGACCATCCAGCACACCCAATTCAGCACTCTGCCACGAATCCCATATCCCTACATTCCGTTCCTTCCTCCACTCGTACCTTTGCATAATTCTCCACACGATTCCCCCGATGTCCTTCGATAAACTGCGCCAGCGTTACGAGGCCGCAGGCCAGGGTCATCTCCTCCAATTCTGGCCCAAGCTGTCTGAGACGGAGCGCGCATACCTCCTCGCACAGCTGGATGCCCTCGACATTGACCGTGTCAACCGGATCTACCGCAAGGCCGTCTCTTCGGAGAAGGAGGCTGCGGAGAATGCGGGCAAGGATGCTATCGGGCCTCTGCCTGAGGATGCGTTTGACAGCGTGATTGGTGTCCCTGAGAAGGAGAAGGAATGGCGGTCTATAGGCCTCCGCGCTATCGCCAGCGGTCAGGTGGGCGTGCTCCTCATGGCCGGTGGACAAGGCACTAGGTTGGGAAGCAGCGCTCCCAAGGGCTGCTACGACATCGGACTGCCATCGCACAAGTCCCTCTTCCAGTACCAGGCAGAGCGGATTGCCCGCCTACAGATTGTCGCTGAGAAGGAGTTCGGCAAGCCAGCTGGCTCCGTCGCGATCCCGTGGTATGTCATGACCAGTGGGCCCACCCGTCCCGAGACCGAGGCCTTCTTCAAGAAGCACAACTACTTTGGCCTTTCGTCCAAGAATGTGATTTTCTTCGAGCAAGGTTTGTGTCTACTGTTCTTCGATATCAGCTTCAAAGGGCTTACAAGGTTCCTCCAGGCACCCTGCCGTGCTTGACCATGGACGGCAAGGTCATCCTCGAGAAACCCTCGAAGGTGGCTGTTGCCCCTGATGGCAACGGCGGTCTGTACGCAGCCCTCCGGAAGCCGCTTTCCCCTTCTGCACCCCGCACCGTGCTCTCGGATCTCGCGGCGCGCAAGATCCAGTACGTGCACAGCTACTGCGTCGACAACTGTCTCGTCAAGGTCGCAGACCCCGTCTTCCTCGGATACTGCATCCAGAAGCAGGCCGACTGCGCCGCGAAGGTTGTCCCGAAAGCGTACCCAACCGAGTCCGTCGGTGTCGTCGCGCGCCGCGGCGACAAGTACAGCGTGATCGAGTACTCCGAGATCTCGAAGGAGCAGGCCGAGCGGCGCGACCCCAAGACGGGCGAGCTTGCGTTCCGCGCGGGGAACATCGCGAACCACTTCTACACGACCGCGTTCCTGAACAGCACCGCGGACTTCGAGGACGAGCTCGCGTTCCACATCGCGCGCAAGAAGATCCCGTTCGTGGACGCGACGGGCGCGGCGGCCAAGCCGGCGACGCCGAACGGCATGAAGCTCGAGCTGTTTGTCTTCGACGTGTTCCCGTTCACGCGCCACTTTGCCGTGCTCGAGGTCGCGCGCAACGAGGAGTTCAGCCCGCTCAAGAACGCGCCCGGCACCGGCTCGGACGACCCCCAGACGAGCCGCCGCGACCTGCTCTCCCAGCACAGGCGCTTCCTCGAGCGCGCCGGCGCGAAGGTGGCAGACGCCGTGGAGATCGAGGTTTCCCCGCTAGTCACATATGCAGGCGAGGGCCTGGACGCGACCAAGGGCAAGAATTACACACGATCGGGCCTAGTGGAGGCGATCGAGGAGCTTGACGCGCTACTCTAAAGGGACCTAATTCTCGGACTGGAAGGACATCATCATTGTACAACAAACTAACCTACACATCGCATCGGGCTTGTCGTCTCAACGGACTCCTCATGGACTTTTCTGGTTTCTGGTTTCGTTCGTAGGGTTTGGTAGAACATTGCATCCACATAATCATCACACAATCATAATCACCCCGCTCAAGTCTGAATCACGTATCCGTCGTTGCTGGTAGTGAGACATGGGAACATCACAGGAGTTACGAATATCGGTAACATGTCAGTGTCCTCATCCCAAGTCCCCTACGCACGCCGACGGGCGTGAAGTCAAGTGCCATCCTCTGGTGGACGATTAGATAGACCGTTGATGACAGATCGGTTGCCTAAGGACTTTGTGTGAACGAAGGTCTACTAGAGGAGTGCTGAGAACTTACGTGTCTCCAGCTCGTCGCGAAGTGAGCTGAAGAGCCTCTTGATTCTTTCATCGCTCGACTGCAACAGTTGTCAGAGGTAGTACCAAACACGCGACATTGTGTCCTCACATCATGACAACAGGCCAACAGCTTGTTGACCAGAAACGATTGTTGTTCTGTTACCTCCTCCAGCTCTGTGCGGAGCTGTTTGGTCTGCAGTACGTGAGGGTGAATATCGGTGCGCAGTCATTACGGACATGAAGGCCACCATACCTCTTCTTCGAGCTTGTCTGCCCTAGACTTCTCCCCCTCTGCCACCTGCTTCTGTTCCGCTGCTCGCGCCCGGGACAGTAACACCTCCAACTCCTTGGAGCGGATGACACACTCGAAGTGCCTCTCCCGGAGTTCGTACTGCCGTAAGACCTCCTTCAGGCGTTCCCGCACTCTGTAACGGTTCCAAATCGGCAACGGACCTCTGAAAATAGGATGGAGACACTCACACCCCGTCGAAGATCTCCTCCACCGTCTTCTTCGCTCTGGGCCACCGGATGAACGACGCGCTCAACGTATATGTAACAATGGCTTACTCTCGGGGATTCTCGACCCACTCTTTCTTCAGCTTCTGTCGACGAGGCTCCGGCTCATCCTATAATGCGAGTTGTATGATGCGGCTCAACCAAAGAAAGCGTGACGGTACTGACGACCTCCTCGGTACCCGGCCCTTCTGTCAGGTCCATGATTTCGACAGCGAGGATGACGTCCCCCTCTTCGATGCCTGCTTCCTCCGGCGTCTGGTCCGTATCCAGGCTCCTGCCTCCATGTGTGAAGATGAACTGCATAGAGCTCGAGGACGAGGAAGCACCCGAGGTGCTGTTCGGAGTGGTGGAAAGGGCCGTGCCATTCGGCTGCGGAGTGCCCTTGCCGTCGCCCTTCTTGGGCCCCGATTCCATGCGCTCTGTCCACGCGTTGAACAGCCGCGAAAGCTTCGTCTTCCGCGAGATCTTGAAGTACAGCTCCGCGCGGTACTTGCACAGCACACGCACGACGATGTCTGGCGTCTCGCGGTACTTGCTTTCCTGTGTCTTCGCCCGCTCCGCGCGTTTTGCCATGTCGTTCTTCATCTGCTTAATCTCCTCCTGGGCCTCTTCGACGCACGTCGCGAGCCTCTTGCTGTCTTCCTGTGCGCGTGCCGTGAGACATGTAAGAACACCCCCGGCCGCCCCGGTCGAAGGGACCTACCCGTAGTCTCTTGTTATCCTGTGGGGATGGTTAAACGCGAACGCGAACATGCAGGCCATGCGTGAGGGTTCACCTTCTGCAGTTCGCGGGCCAGATTCTCCATCTTGGTCTTGGTCTGGTTGGCCTTCGTCAACTGACTCTTTGCTTCGCGTGAAGGACAGGATAAGGGCGCCGCTGTGAGCGTGATAATGCGCGACAGACCTGCATCCTTGTCTTTCGCTAGTTTCTGCTTCTCTTTGGCGTGATCTCGTTCTAGCCGCTTCAATTCTGCGAACTAGTGTTTGTCAGCACTATATAGCTTCTGAAAGAGAGAGTGCCGAGACGTACGAGTTCAATGTACTTTGCATGAATGGCGTTTTCCCCCATCCCCGAGACGGAGCTCTGCGCTTCCTCCGCTAGACTCTGCATTGGCCTCCGTGACAAACGCGGTGGTTGACGACTCACCAAACCTTTTCTCCTCCTCTTCCTCATGGACCTCTTCCTCCTCCAATGCTGCAATACGGTTCTTCAGTGTCTCGTACATCTGTGATGGATCCACCGGCGGTGGATCGGCGGCCTTCTTCTTGCCCTTCTGCGTAGAGGGATGTGCGCCATTGACTGCTGTGCCATTCGGCTGGCGGTTGGTGGTCTGTGCGTGTGGGTGGGTCGGCGGTGCTGGGGGAGCGGCAGCGGGAGCAGGGGGCGTAGCACCTGCCGGAGCAGGTCTTCCATGCCTTGTGGGTTGTGCGCCGTTCATGGCAGAATTCTGAGTCATGAAGGAGGAGTCTGCGTGGGCGGCGGAGGCTGTTGGGACGCAACAGAAGAGAGTCCTGAACGCCCAAATGGTCTTTGTATTCGTCGAGGGCGAGTATGTGGGGCTCCCGCGCACGGCGCTTTGACGTTGTTCAAGCTTGTTCAACGACTTTGATCGACGTGGGGTGGGCAAATACTCTCGTCGATCACTCCAGGCCACACTTTGATGGCAGCGTTCTCTATCGTGGCTCATGGTGGCCACGAACGTCTCATGTTCACTGGCTTTACTGAGGCATGCGGTTCGTACAATGTTTTACGCGAAATAGTCAAGTACCTTGTATGATGTAGTATACTATATAAGTCGATGATGTCAATGTCAATGCTACGAATACCAGGACATAGACAGGATGTGTTCATCTGCTGCATACGACGGTCGCTTACAATGATAATGAGCTCCTGTCGTGATTCTGCACATTGTAGGGCAGCACATCGCCGAGACTCATCATGGCTCAACTGCTGATCGCAAGACACAATGCGCCTACATGCAGTTTCCACCTCTAAGTCTAAGCACCGTATGACATGTCATTCTCTAGGACGAATCCAAGGGCTTGTGGCCATCCCTCAGTTGTATCGAACGAGGACAATTGCCTTGGGAATGTCGTGCCCGATGAACATCTCATTGGCATAAAGTCCGCTTTGAGACAATCGCCCGCGCAATGAGTACAAGATGACAGAAATGGGAGACTCCTGCTGATGCCAAGAAGAGATTGAATTCAATGTCGGGGAGGGCGCGGTGCGTAAGAGAAGCACTTCAAATCCCAGAGATCGTCGATTCGAATCACGATCCTGCCACACAAACGCGTCGCTCACGTGATGTCGACGCGTCGCGTTTACTTAGACGCCTCTCTTGCTCTCGACGTCGCGTTACCGAGGCGCGCATACAGTGTCCTACCACTTAGTACTAACCACCAAACAAGCATCGCAGCTTTGAGACATAATGTCACGTTCAGGTGAGATATACTCCCTTCATTGACTGCCACAACGCGTCTCGAGCGCACATGCTATCAGAATCGGGATCCCCATCACCCTACCCATCACCGAAGCGGATGCGGCTTTCGTCTCCTACTTACGACGAACAGACCTGTCTCAGTCAAGAAGAGATGCAAGCGTTTGACATATTGGACCGACAGCTCTCTCAAACCACGTTGCCAGAGCCAAGGCCGTCACAAGCGCTCTCCTCTATAGAAAGGAGAAAGAGGAGTCGTGCAATTGCATTCGCTCTGGACGAGGTGCAGGATGAAAATCGCTCTTCTGAGGTTGCGGATGCAAGGGAATCATTATGTGCGCGCATATATCTCGAAGAAGTGATACAAATGACTGATTCATTTATAGCGCCCTCCTCCTCGCCACATCGCAATAGCTCTCAAAGTAACGGACCGAAAGCTTCACTTCCTACATTCCCTGTATTTCAGTCTGCTTCAACGTTACATATGACACGAGCGGATGCCGCTACTGATTTCATATCGCACAACGATTCATCGTCGGGACCCAGCGGCAAAGACGAAAGCGCTACAGGTGCTATCAGCATCTCAACTCCTTCCAGGCGACCAACTTCTGGGTTTGGCTCGGCGCTCCAATTCGAAGAAGAACAAGTCACCGACAGGGCAGACGATCTTCCCTCGTCTTCCCCGGATGCCGCACCTGAGCAGGATCTAGCGACGTGGTTTAACTCGACACCTGCGTCTCCTATTGCTGTCGGATTTCAGTCCGCAAAGTCGCTGAGAGACGATGATGCGCCAAGCGGGTCTTCTGATTCAGCGGAAAACACGACTCTGGACCTACCTGGCTTCACGTCTGGACGGAGCGTGCTTCTCGGCGCAAATCCGTCGTCAACCCCGTCTGACTCGGCATTTGAGCTCGATTCTGGTACTGCGTTGGTCGGATTCACTTCTGGCATCAACCTCATTCGGCCTTCACAAGGGGCTGACGCTGGTAAAAGCAAAGCGCAGGACTGGACAAGGCCGTCGAAAGAGGCCCTTGCCCTCGCTGCGCTGAAGATGAAGCGCTGGCAAGAAGAGATTGAGGAAGATCTCACCGATACGACTAGGATCGAGGAGGAGACCACTCGTCCGCAGAGCGCCAGTATCGTACAACCGCCAGAGACCCCGCGCCCCGCGTTACGTGCTGTGGAGAACTCTCCCGCACACCCTCCAGATAGCCCTACTCCCGCAAGTACAGGGTTTGGCAGGGCAGGTGCGTTGGGCATGAAGCCAGCGATCGGCGGCAAGAATAAGGCTTTCAAGTCTCCCCTCATGAATGTGGCCACAAAGCGCGCCGCGGGCACGCCTAGCTATGTGGGGTCCCCCCTCAATCCCAATCGCTCTACCCCGCTGGCGTCATCGTCGAAGATTCCCGCACCCGCATTCACACCTCTGCACGTTGGTACGCCGGCACCGGCAGCTCTGACGGCATTTCGATCGCCTGCAAAGGCACTGGGGTTGACACCTCGCAGACTTGGTGCGGGATTAGGCACTCCAGGGAAACCAAACTTCACAACACCTTTCAAACCGGGTATGAAGCCCGGTGAATTGGGCAGGCAACAGCTTGCACAGACTAAGGCCAGTCAAACACCAGCAACGACTGTCGGTGTCATCAAGATTAGCCAAGCAACCGTGCATGCACAGTCGAAAAGTCTCAGCAAAGGGAAAGAGAGACAAAGGTTCTTTGATTTGAGTAAGTTCTATTATTTTTGGCATGGCTTGAAGGTGCTTACCTCAAGCGCAATACAAGCAAAACCGCCTAATAGGAAAACACTCGCGACATGTGGGGCTCAACCACAGTCGTATGACGCCGAGACATTGTACTCAATGGGCATGTATGTGCCCTGCTAGGTGTTCTAATTTCCAAGTGCTCACTTTCTGATAGCAATGTGAACCAGCTGGACCAAGTCACGCCTGATATTGCTCTCTATTACTCATTTCGTTCGCCTTCCTCACCGACACCACCCGACTCCCAGACTCCTACCACAATGTTTGGCCCCGATGCGGCTCTCACGGAGCTTCACGAGATGGGTTGCTCGTTAGCCAAGAAGGAATGGGTGGAGAATCATTGGAGAATGATCCTGTGGAAATTGGCGGGTATGGCGTGTCTCCAGCCAGAACGGGAGAGCAATCCGGAGACCAGGAGATGGTGCTGGGGCGAAGTAATGAAGCAACTATTATATAGGTACAATCCTCGCTTTCCTTGCTACAATTCATTTAACGTGGCCGTATAGATACGAACGGGAATTGAACAGCGGATCAAGGCCCCCTCTGAGGCTGATTGCTGCCCAAGATGCGCCGCCAATGTGCCCTATGGTGCTATGTGTGTCCAAGGTGGCCTGGCTTCCGACAGGCCCAGATGAGCATGGCGTCGCGAGGAACACTCCTGAGCTCGAGGTCAGCGATGGCTGGTATAGACTGCGCGCCGTTATAGATGCCCCTCTGGAGCGTGCCATGCGCAAAGGCCTTCTTCGCGTCGGATCCAAGATCGCCGTCGCCAATGCAAGGGTACACATAGAACGCATCTTATAGCCTGCATTCACTCATTGTATACACATTCTATAGGTCATTTGCGAGCGCAAGGAGCCTGCAGAGATACTAGAGGCGTACGACTCTATGAGTCTGCAGCTAAGCGGAAACTCGTCCAATCCGGTGCCCTGGCATACAAAGCTCGGATTCATGAAGCAGCCTCCCATCGCGACGCTGGACAGTCTTACGCCTGATGGTGGGCTGGTAACTCTCATGGACCTCACTGTGGTCAAGGTAGGCGACGGCATGCCATCGTACGTAGGAGATGTACTGATACCAACGTAGGCTCATCCCATTGCTTTCGTCGAGATGATCGAGCGCGATGGAAAGAAGATTACTGTGGGGCCTCTGAATGAGCAAGAAGAAGTACAGGCTGAAGAGCAGTGGGCGGTATGTTTACTTTCAAGCACACGTATGCAGCCGCTGACGGATGTCGGCAGAGGCAAAGAGAGGTAGCTGTCTTCAAGATCCGCAGCGAGTTTGAAAACCGAATGCGCCGATGCAAACATATCGCAGATAGATTTAACGAGCGCGCCGGACTTGGGTGGGCTCCCGACGACGATGGTGCGTAGATTCTGGTTCTGAGTGAGACCCCTGATACGACTCCTGCACAGCACTGGCCCCCTCTGACATTGAAGATCGCTTGATGAACCTGCTGGACAACCCGAGCAGCTTCGCAGAAGAATATGTCAATACAACTCGTGAAGGGGCTGGCTGGCTCAGTGTATTCGCCGAGGATTACATGGCGAAGGCTCGGGAGAATTTACAGGATGAGATTCAGAGAGAGCTAGAGGTGCGCATATATTTCACTAATTTACGAGACAGTTGTTGAGGTCGGTACAGATCAACTTTCCGCCACGCAATGCACGGAGCTTCAGGGTGATTGTCGTCAAGGACTCTCAATGGTGCAAGAGCGAGCCTCTTCGTCGAGCGCAAATTACAATCTGGGACGTTCTTCGCATCACACATACTGAAGGTGGAAGGGCTGGTCATTTCGAGGCAGGGCAGAGGTTCTTGGTGAATCCCTTCCTGCCGTACCGACGCATAGGTCACTTAACTGATCTCTCATGGCAGGTCACAAATTTATATCCAACTAAGCAAGGGGCATGGATGCGCCCGGCTGTCGGCGCTGAAGTTTACATGAGCACACGGAGAGACACAACGTTCACGAAACTCAAGAGCTGACCGCCCTAACCTTTCTCTCCGTAACTTATCCTGCTATCCATTTGTCACAGGTGTAAAATGTCACTTCTCTTCATGCATACTGTAGTTACCAGCGCAATGGTAATTTTGCGCATGCTGTATTAGCTGGGTGTTGGTACAATAGCGGCATGGTAATACAGTGCTCGATCAGTAACCCCCGACCCCGTACTTCCGCAACACCGAGCGGTAGTCACCAAGATCCTCGTGACCCATACTCACAACGGTGGCCTTCTTTGCTGAGCCTGGACTGAATATCCGGGCCGCAACCAGACGCAACGAGTCTGGGGTGACTGCGTCGATCTTGTCGCACATCTCTGTGACGGGAACCTTGCGATTGTGCACAAGCACCTGGCGCCCGAGGTCCTCCACCTCGACAGCGCGGCTCTCGAGGGCCATCATGAGGCTACTTTTGAGCTGGTTTTTCGCACGCGAGAGCTCGACCTTGCTCGTCGGCGTGTAGAGCAGGAGACTAAGCTGGTGCACTAGGTGGGGGATGATCTGCGCGGGGCTGTTGCCCTGGTGTCGGCCGGTTGCGGGCACGAACGACGCAAAGAGCCCGAAGAGGGAGGAGTCGGTGTATATGTGGTGGAAGGACGCGCAGTGGTCGATTTGCGGATAGTGGTTCAGGATGTGCGTGTATAACCGAGAGTACATGCCCTTGCCCGGACCGCCTGAGACAGTCGATCAACGATGAGTACCAATCGAATAAGTTGTAGGCATACCTGCAGAAAAGCTGCCTCCACCTCCCAGCAGGACCTGCATTGTTGCCAAAGCATAGACGTCATCATCATGAATGCCCACGCCTTCAAACGCGAGGTAGACATGGTTGAACTCAGACGACGGATCGTGAATAAAACGATGTCCACCCGTGTATGTTGCTGCTGCCGGTGGCATAGTAGCAAGGAGCGCAGGATCCTGGCCAGTAATGGAAGACGTCGGGTACAGATACGACGATGCTGCACGAGTGAGTGACTTGTATAATGACGGGGAAGATGAGGGGAGAAGTTGTGAAGGAATTTGCGCATTCGCAACTGGACGCGATGAGCTGACCTGAGGCTGGATTGCCGGTGGCGGAGTGAACTTCAGCGATGAGAAGTGCTTGTCCGCAAGCTCTACAAGTGCATCGTGAGGCATGCCCGCCCCCGCAATCACCATGCGTTCGGGGCGATACAACTCCTTCATGAATCCCCGCATAACCGGCTCGTCAATAACGTCTATTCGATCCTCCGGACAGAGCAAGGGGTTTCCCAACGTCTTGCTGTCATACGCGACCTCGTGCAGGACTTCAGGGAGGATCATCTCAGGCTTCGCGGTCACCTCTCGGATTTCGTACCGTGCCGCTTCCCGCTGCGCCATAATTTCTTCGGGTAAGAACGCGGCGTTGATAACGGTGTCCGCGATGAGCGACATGGCAAGAGGCGTGCCCTGGTGGAAGTGTGATGACTGGTACATGATTGACTCGCGAGAGGAGGAGCAGAGTATCTGGCCGCCCAACTTGTCAATCGCATTCGACATTTCCTCGTCTGAGCGGGATGCGGTAGTCTACGCGGCTCGTTGAGTCACCGCATGCAAATACGGAAACCAGCGTACCTTGAACGCCATTCTATCAAGAAAATGGCTTACGCCCGATACCGAAGGTGTCTCATAGCGGGAGCCTGCATCGACGTAAAGGCCGACCGACGAGAAATGACCGGGGGTTGACTCAGTCGCTACGCGAATCTTGTTTGGTAGAGTCGTGATCTGCACGGGTGGATTCACAGCATCGATGGCCAAGTCGTGAAGACGTCGTCGCCTAAGACCAGTCCGAAGGATGGAGGTTGTTGCTCTCCGCATGAGTGTTCGTGAGCAAGGCTCCCAGCATGACTGAATGGATGGGTAAACAGCATACGTGACCTGCCAAACACGGACAAAACGTGAGCTAAGAGTGGAGAAAAAGAAGGCCTCATCGTGGTTCGAACACGAGACCCTACGATCTGCAATCGTATGCTCTACCACTGAGCTATAAGGCCGTTATCATAAAGCATACGCTAGATTATACATCGTACATGGATTGCACATCCCGACCGACGACGGTAAGCAGTGCAAGCCGGAGGAGGCGGCTTCCGAGGGCTTCGGACAAGTCGGGAGCTAATTTGGGCACGTCCAGGCCACCGCAGTGCTGCTTGAACTTCTGGCTGTGTACGTTCACTGCCACCTTTCTCTCCTCTTACTACCAGGTATGTCGCCCGGTAATGGGACACTGATCCCCCTCCCTCATTTCTGGGGCCCCGTTACAGCCACTCTTGATTGGTGTGAGGTAAAATGAACCTATGGGGGGTCTCTGATTACAACGGTACTGATCGACGGATCGTCCTAGGCCAATTACCAGTTCTCGAGGTACATTGCCGAGGCGGCGAACACCTTTTCAAACCTGTTCAGCATCAGTTTGGCGTTCTATGGCGCGTATAGAGCACACGCACAGTCCTTACCTCCGCGATATCTCCTAGGTTACACGGTATGATGGCCTTATTCATTTGTTTCGCGGCCGTTCGTCTAACGCCATCCTTTGCGTTCCTAGGGCTTCGCACTTGTCGGAGTGGGCAGCTTCATTTTCCATGCCACCCTTCGTTTTGAGGCGCAGCTTGCCGATGAGCTACCGATGGTCTATGTAGCGAGCTACTGTACCGCGATATTATTCGATACCGTGCCGGGCTTTGGCCTCAAGGGTTCGCCTGCCGTCATACTTGCGACCGTGTTCATGATCTTCAACGTGCTATTCACTTGGTCGTAGTACGCGTCTATTTAAGGTGCATCCCTCTACTCCCGTACTGACGTAACATACAGCTACTTGAATCGGAATCCGGTATACCACCAGGTAGTCTTCGCAGGACTTTTAGGCATTATCGCACTCCGGACTCTCTACTTGCTGCGTAATGCAGAAATCGCAGAGAAAGTACCGAAGGACGTCAAGTCGACCGTGACGCGCCTGTTCTTGTCAGGTGCCGGAACCTTCGCGTTTGGCTTCTTCATCTGGAATCTCGACAATATTTTCTGTGACGTCGTTACGCGTTGGAAGCATATCTTGGGTTGGCCAGCAGCATTCCTTCTTGAAGGTATTGTCACGCTCGCTTTAATCACATGGGTCCGGTAATGACGTCATTGAACCTAAGGTCACTCTTGGTGGCATATACTGACCGTGAGTTTTGGTCGACCGCAAAAACAAAACTGGACAAACCTGACATGTGTATAGGCCACTGGCACATACCTCATGTTGATTGGCAACACATGTGAGTGGCTGTGTTCCTAGTGCAATGTCTAACATTCATCTCACCGTGTTTTTACCCAGACTTGTGAGTTTTATGATCTGCTAATGCCGTGTATTCTGTCTACGCTCCTTATCAATGTGACCAGCACTCTCTGCATCAAGGACGATTACCGCAAGTATGCTATCAAGCCTGTATTGCGTGTACCACATCTGGAACGCGTTGACAAGGACAAGACTCAGTAGGAGAGTCTCACGAAATGCATCTAGCCCGATGCTGGACAAGAGCCTGCGCAATGACCCCATGATGTTTTAATCGGTTCATAGATTGTTGTTGTCATCACCATGTACTTGCGCTATTTCACGAGACGAATAGATTGCTCTATCAATGTTTGAATCGTTGCATTCAAAGTTCCAAACGGAGTGGATTGTGCATGACGCGATCACGTGGGCGCGTCCGGTACCGCACAGTACCCAGTGCCGTGCAGTGGGTACAATATTGTGCCAGTGACTGCACGCCTCGAGTCAGCTTCCTTTCGAGCCGCAGCCACTCAGTTTCCAAAGCTCGTGCCATCGTCGAGACGTACGACCTGGAGATATGAACGAAGACACCGATCAAGGCATCTTCAGTCGGAAGATGGTCTTCTGCCCATTCCTCCGGGACAGATTTGACTTTCCTGACGACATTCTCGTTCACTGCTCCGAATGTCTACGCTTTGTTGCTGTCTGTTGCAGTGACTATAAAGCGGGCAAGCGGTGCCACCATTGGCAGCTCGTCTACACCGACGGCGCATGCCTCTCCAACGGCCAGAGAGGGGCTACCGCGGGCATCGGCGTAGCCATAGGTCTAGGCGACCTAGGTCTACATCAATGGTCTATACCCATTGACGATACCGTCGACGCATATCCCACGCGATCCAGTCAGCGCGCAGAGCTGCTTGCGGCGATCGAAGGCCTACGATTAATCTCGGAAGCCAATTCCGAGAGACTCGATGACCATACTACCCCGAGGGGTGCAAAGAAGCCGTTTGCCATTGTCATCACGACAGACTCGGAGTACGTTGTGAAAGGTATGACAGAGTGGTTTCCCGCTTGGAAGGTACGCGCTCGGAGTTGTCGCAAATATCGATGGCTCACCGAGAACAGGAGAACGGGTGGCGCAAGAGCACTGGGCAACGGCCAGGCAACTTGGATCTGTTCCAGAAGCTTGACACTCAAATAATCGCTCTTGAAGGAGCACGCCATGTCAAAGTCGGCTTCTGGCACGTTCCCCGGCGTTTCAATACAGTCGCGGATGGTCTCGCTAAACGCGCTGCGCAAGGCGCGCCTGCGGCATCTCCTGCCTAGAAATAATCGGTGAGCTGTTGCCTTTGTGTGACCATATGGCGCTCATATCGAAAGCGAAAGCGCCATAGTCCGACAGAGACTCGCTCAAATTGTTGTGCCTGCAGAAGAGAATTGGTATCAGTTAGAATTGATTCTCAACATCTGATTGTGATGTACCTCCCGGCGTACGAATAGTATTGTCTCTAAGGGGATATTCGCTAGACCAAATGTGACCACCATCGGCGTATGCGGTACTGGTCGGGCGTTTGTGCCACATAATAACGTGTGAGGTTGGATGCAGTTGGCGCTAAGAGCTACTCCGATTATTCAGGATTTTTGTGAAGGGTGAATGATCTAAATACCCCGCTCATCAAATGTCAACAGGCCATTGCCCTGGCATACCGTCTCTATGAAGACAGTCAACCTTTTGCCTGTAGAAGTGAATGTGAATCTCACCATTCGCTTGTCGACGTATACTTGGCTGATAAGTCCTCATTCAAATTGAGTGGTTTTCATATACTATGACGCGATCGTGTGGGCACGTCTGCAGTCGCTGCAATCGAGTCGCGATCATTGTTCCCCTGAGGCTTCTTCACCTATCAGATAAACTGCAAACCGCGACGCTCTACATGTCGACGCCGACCCACATGCTCGTGTAGCAAAGAGTAGTGAGCACACTCATACACAGCATATGGATACATACTCAAAGCAGACCAGTTAGTGGACAGCTGTCCACACCAATAAGATGGGAAGCCCCAGGCAACACGCTTACATGTTCCGAGTTGATTGAAAGCGGTCAACGCCAATACTTACAACTCAAGGCAGCAGACTATGCATGCACTGACCATAGATCCTGCCATCCTTTGTTTATTACACGCCGTAGATGTCTACATGTCACAGTCATTGTCTTAAAACCCACTTGCGGAAATCACTCATCCTCTGCTAGTCTTTGTGCTCGTTTGGCCAACTGCATGAAAGGGTGATTTCAGTACGCGATTGAAGACCAACAAGGAGTCAGCGTACCGCAGCAGCCAGATCCAGCTGCCCACCTGGCGCGGCCGGCTTAGCTATGCCGCCTGGCTTGGGCTTGGGCGGAGCAGCAGCGGGTCTTGATGCAACAGGAATAGGGGGCTTCGCTCCTACCTTGGGCGGCGGAGCACCTCCAGGTTTGCTTGCCAGAGGTGGAGGGCCAGGCTTCGGTTTCGGCGCTGGCGGGGGAGGTTTCGATGCCAAAGAACTGGCTGGCCGTGAGCTGACGGGCGTGCTGTCTGTTGACGAGCCGTTCAATGTAGAGCTGGTTGACGCCTGCTTTTTCCAAGGCGCCGCAGAGCCATTGGCTGGCACCATGCCCGGGAACACAGCTACTGGTTTGGCATGCGGGTCGGCGATGACGGACTTCCCAGTGGCCTTGGCGGTCGGGGCAGCAGGCGCAGCCGGTTGCATAGATGGTGGTCGACGGTTGGCGGCAGGCGGCGGGGGCGGTGGCGGAGGTGGCGCGGGTGCAGCCTTTGGCTTTGGTGGTACCAACTCGAGGTAGTTGTTGGGTGCCCACCCCTCGACACCGTCCTTCTTCACCAACCACCAACCGTTGTCATCCTTCTCGACCAACTCAACCACGTCGTCTTTCTTGAGAGCCATCTCGCCCGCTTGGCCCTCGAATGCGAATTTGGCGCGATACAGTTCGACATCTGGCTCTGGTGGGGGAGGGAGCGCTGCTGCTCTGGGCGGAGGCGGAGGCGGTGGCGGCGCTTGCGATGCACTTGACGTCGAGAAACTCGAAGATATGGCGGCGGGAGGGGCTGCGGCCTTGCCCGGTAAGGGTTTTGCAGCAGGCTTCGGACGTGATGCCGCCGGTTTCTGAGATAGGAGTTAGGCCGTGTCTCAACAACTAAGAGGATACCTACGTCTGAAGGACCACCCTTACGCAACAGTTTACCTTGCGTTATCGGCCGCGCTACGCCCGCCTTACGTTTTGCTGGTGGGTTCGACAAGCTACTTGGCGGCTCGCCTGTAGGAACATGGACCGCATGACTCTTGTAAACGTCATTCCTAGGAACGGTCTCGTCCTTCAGGAACTTGACCTGTGCTCTCTTCTCTTTCTTCTTGTTGTAGTCAATCCTGTACACGGCAACATGAACGGCTCAGAGCACGAGACAGTAACATATCGATTGCACGCACGTCGGACCAATGAGCACATTGAGACCGCCTTGCGTCAACTGTTGAAGGTGCGTCACGAACTCCGTCTTGAATACGCAGCTGATGAGAGGATCGCCTTCTTCAGTTGAACCCAAATTCAATGACTAAAATAAAGGTCAATGTTATTCTTCTGGACGCGAATAACGTCCTCACGATCCAATCATCCCGTAGATTCGACATAGATATGCCCTTGATTGTTACCAGCGGTATCTTGCGTTCCAGGGTGTAGAAAGTCACGCCATCCTTAGTCTGACCCAAGACGACAATGTGGACAGCTTTCTGAGTCTGATTAGGATTGAATTATGTAAGTGAGAGCTTGGACAGGTATAGGCAAGAACGCACAAGAATCAGGAAACGAGGGCTAGGTTTACTTGAGCGAAGTGCCTTCGAGACCAAAAGCTGGCACCTTGAACTGAACGTGACCTTCTCGGCTGGACAAATTCCGAAGCATGAGCGCAATTCGCACGTATATGGGACGTTCTTACCACCGAGACCACAAGCAGAACCCAGCTCCTCACCCAGAGGACTTTTGTCATTGACAAAGAGGTAGTCGGCCATGAAGCGTCGGTAGCTGAGCAGACTAAACCGTCTGCGCTCCTTCCTGCCTGCAAGGATCTGGTGCCCATAATCACGTATCTTCGCATACTCGATCGCTTCTTTGTTGTTCTTCCAGAATCGCTGTATGCGGCGTGCGCACTCGTGTTTGTAGCGCATATAGTTACGCCACGCTCGCTGAATACGCCCAGCCATGTTGTGCCAGTACCTGTCACGCATCGTCTCCAGAGCGAAGAGCTGCACGCAACGTGAGCTTCTGCTCCGCGGGAATAGAGCAGCCGAAACATACCGTCTCAGGGTTCTTGATGAACGCCTTCGTCACACCCATCTGCCACTCCTCGCGGGCGATCCCAGTATCAGTAAGAATCTTCTCGCAGCCAGATTTCGAATCGCCATTCCATGTATAATCGCCGGCATACGAAGTCGAGGGCGAGAGCAAGTAGAACCGCTCGACCATCTTCTCGAACGTGTTCCTATATGCGAAGCCGGCTCGCCGCACCCGGATGTTCTCCTGCAGACCGAGGTACTTAACCTGATGCAGGACAGCCTTGGTGTCATATTCGGTCGCACTTCTGTTTTGGTTCGGCTTAATCGTCCGGATGTACGACGGCTGCGCACGCATAAGGTTCTCTACCAGCGCTTGCGCCGACGCCTACAGCCTGATCAGTCCCCTGTCTAGTGGTGAATATCGCTTAGACTGACCTTGATCCTGTCACCAGCGGTAGGTGGCCGCTTCTTGCTGTTGGGATCCGGCCTGTCCGGGAAGAGCGATTGGAGGAATTGGTTGTTGCTGCCCGCCATTAGGTCGAGCAGGTCCTTCACCAATACGTCCTTGTTCTTGTCCGTCATCCCCGCGACGTTGTACATCACGTCGCCGGCGTAGTGCTTGACCAGGAACTGTGCGCCACGCGCCTCGAAGTGGGGGTTCGACGCGAGGCCCGCCGTGCGTTGGATAAAGCTGTTGTCGGCGGCGCTCGGGTCGGCGTGTGCTGTCGCGCAAGCATCGTTGAGGGCGGCGAAGATGCCGGGCGGCCGCTTCTCCTCGATGAGATCACACACGATTTTATTGTTGAAATACTTAATCGGCGTCCACTTGATCTGCTCCCGGACGTACTCCTCCTGCTCCGTCTTGAGGGTCAGCTCGATGAAGATCTGCTGCAACTTCTCATTGACGTAATTGATGCAGAGCTGCTCAAACGAGTTGTCCTGCAAAACATGGCATTAGCTACCTCCCTTGAAACGACGACATGGCGACATACCTCGAAGATCTCAAAGCCAAAGATATCCTGGGAGGTGGTTAAATTGAATTCCATAAATCTGTCAAGACACGCACCAAGATACCGATCAGTTGTGCAGTAGATGATCGCGCCTTCATCGAGACGTTAATCTTCGACACAATCCACTCGAAAAGATTGTTATAGATCGCCTTCGCCAAGGCGTTGCGCCCAGACGTTGCTTGCGATGGGTTGAGGGGGACGTCATAAACCGACCCTCTCCGTCCACCGCGTTGCGTCTCCATGACCTTAATCGTCATAACCTTCTGCATGAGCGCAGGGTCAACCTCCATGAGGTACCCGAGGAAGTCTGTGACGCTTGTATCAGCAACGCGCGCGTTGCCGTCGTCCATCTCCTCGTACTGGACGTTGCCGAGCCAGAGGATGATCGCAAGCATGCGGAAGATCTCGCTCTGCTCGTAGTCGCTCAGACCGATGACTTGCATGGCCCTCTGATAGGATATGAGCGGCGGACTAGTGAGTGTAAGTAGGGGTGGTTGTGACGTACGATGGTCTCGCTGAAGTCCTGTACATCGTCGATGCCCTGGACGTCGAGACAGTTGCTCACACTTGTGTAGGCATATGCTTCCGGGCCCTGCAGACCATACGTCTCTGGGTAGCATGAGTTCAGGAATGCCTATCTCGTTGCGGTCCGCATATGAACTCATACCTCGCTGTTCGTCTGAAGCGCCTTTGGTGAACTGATAGAAGATGTGAAAGTTACGTTCGCTCTCCACTTGTCCGACGACACGACCCTTCTCCAAGAGATAGTTCGTGATCTGGGCACCTATAGGCTCTCCGTGATCGTTGAACATGATCTCGAGATATTTGCCCTAAATGAATGTCAATTTGGATCTTGCACACTTATGAACCTACGTACGTGTCGACTGGAGTTGTTATTACGGAGGGTCTTGGCACAGCCGAAGCTCTCCAGCAAGGGGTTGGTAGCCAGCACCATGTCCTTGATCTCCTGAATACTACTATCGCGACCGCCCGACACGGCAGCGATGTACTGCATGATGCGTTTCGCTGCCTCCGTCTTACCTGCACCAGACTCCCCTGATATGATGACACATTGGTTCTCGTGGTAGGCGTTCATATTGTAGTAGGCAGACTCGGCAATGCCAAAGACATGGGGCGGCACCTCGAGCCTGTTCTTCCCCTTGTATCGCTGTAGCACCTCGTCGGTGTAGATTCCGAGATCTGGTCGAAACACTTGAGGGGGCGACCGGAACGATGAATGTGATGTCCCATACCTCTGAAAGGGTTAACGGATATCAAGACAGAGCCAATATAGGTGTAGATCTCCCCGGCGAGCCATCGCTTCTGCAGGTTCTCATTGATAGCCTCGTTTGTGATAGTGGTCAACAAGGTCATATCCGACACGCCGACCTGCTTCTTCTTGAAGCCCTCCTTCCAGTCCGCCTAATGACATAGCCTCCGTGATACTCATGAGCATACTGTTTGAAATTCTACAACATACCTTCGCTACTTTGCCTCCACCACCGCCTGCCTTCTGAGGCGCAGCGGCCTTCTTTCCCGCCTTCTTGGAAATCGCCTGCATGACGGTAGGATGAAGATAGAGCAGCACAAAGCTGTCCGGGCTACTGACCATGGTGTATGTAAGGTAGATCCTCCCTTGAATGCGCTAATTTGACTGTGCAGAGATGCAACGCGGCCAGCGAACGGAAACGGCGCGGTCAGAGTGCGCACACTTCCAATGCCACGACCTTGCGTCAGTGCAGCGCAGTCGTGCAGATGGATTTAATGTGCAGGTTCAAATCTAGCTTTTGACAAGCCGAACACGGTAGGGCAGTAGTTCTGATAGTCGAGTGTAAAGAGGAATGCAGTGATCAGGCCGTACACATGTCATCGGGGACCCTGGCTGCGACGACCCGCGATCACGCTGCGGTCCGGACTCATCTCGATTGTCTCCGTCCCTTCTACAGCAACCATTCGCCGTTCTCTTCTCTCATCAGCTTTACCTGGCAGCTCTTCTTCATTTCTCAGCCAGAATGAATACGGACAACGCCTCAGTCATAATGCCGTCACTGAAGATATCCGGCAATCTATTTGTACAATCCATTGAAAGCAATGGTGATGGCATAATCAAAAGAGGTAGGCCCTTTTACTTCTCAAGCGAGGAATCCGGTCTCGCGCCAGTGCCGCACCCACTTCGCGACAAGCTCCTCCGAGATCGCGGGGGAGTTCGCAATGCTTGGCGCAGCTTGACTCGTCAAGTCGACGCGGAAGTTCTTGGGAGGTCGCCCAGCGTTTGACTTACCGAATCGGTTGCGGTAGTACGGCTAGTAAAGTGATCATCAGCACTTCCGACCACCATTGGCATCGCGTATACGCTCACAAGCAGCTTGATCGCCGGGTTGCGCTTACCGTCGGGGTCGGATTTGGCCAGACGATCCAGCCACTCCGCGCGATCCACGGCGTCAAAATGCAGACCGCCTTGTCGAAGACCGGATAGAATTGTGTTCCAATCACCCTTCAAGTTAGGGTTGAGTATGTGGTACACCGCGGACTTCGGCTGCGATGAACGTGTGACGATCTCAGTGATAGCCTGGCCAGCAACGTTCGTAGGCAGCCATTGTGGTGGCTAGGAAAGAAATCAGGCTACACGGGTACGAGTTGCAGGCTCGTATTGACGTACCTCCGTCAACTGAGGCAAAGCACCAGTTATGGTTGCTGATTTGAACATGAGCGGCCAGGCTTCAGTCTCGTTCCACACGCCACTGCCAGGACGGTCAATATCGCCTTGCCGAATAAAAATCCAGCAGCTGCTTACTTCTTCGTATCGCCGGCTAATTGTCCAATCCGGAGTACACCGATGTTGAGGGGTGTTGCTTGCGAAGCTCGCTCACACAGCTTCTCAACAACCCACTTGCTCCGACCATAACCTGTCGAGAGGGCTGTCGTAGGGCTTGCAGGGAAGTCCTCCCCGACCACGAGATCACTGGAGCCAGAGCGCGCCGCTATAGATGAACTGAAGAAGAACGATGGCTTCGGAGATCCAGCGGAGCGGAGGCACAAATTGATCAGGTTCAGTGCGCCACCGATATGTGGGTCATAAGAGTCGACGGCCATGTTAAAGTTGACTGGCCATGCGTTCTGAAATGGCAATCTCGCTCAGTACTCCTTCTGCAGGAAATGCGAGGGGCAAATACATGAATGACAGCACTCGTCTGCGACAAAACGTGCGCATATTCGCTCTCGGTCAACCCAAGGCGATCCTCGTTGACATCCACGGCGAACGACTCGACCTTCGCCCATTGCTCTGGCGAGAGAGACAGTCGACGGGTCTGCAACGACTCCTTCACACGGGCGAGCGAGTCGTCGTGAGACTTCGCACGCGAAAGGCATACAACACGTTGGACTGAGGGAGACGAGACAAGCTGGCTGAGAATGTGCGCTCCAAGAGAGCCCGTAGTACCAGTGAGGACCTCGAGGACAATTCTAAGTCAGCCTTTTGCATGGCGTAAAGACAAGGCCAACCGGCGCTTTGTGCTCACCACGACATGTCCTGTCGACCCAACATGTTGGCCGTTCTGTGTTGCAGAGTGCAGGTCGAACTTGGCGCTCCACTTCTCGACCATGGCCAACATTGTCGCATGCTGCTGTTCGTCTGAGGCCGTGGCGCTGCCTCCAGCGCGGAGGGCCTGGATGAATGCGGCTAGCCTGTCAACCTGTCAGTTTACCGACGCCACACAAAGTGCGAGGGTGCACACTTCTCTACCGACGGATTCTCGTATACAACTAGGTGCGGGAGGACAGCTTAGTTAGTCGCGAGAGAGAGCGAATACGATAGCTCTTACTATTCTGTCCAAGCGTCTGCCCGTTCAGCTCTAGTTCCTTCTGGCAAATGTTACGGATTCTCGTGGCCTGCAAGGAATCTACACCGAAGGCAAAGAGATCGGACGATTTTGTCAGTTTAGCTGCCCTAGTAATGCCTAGTGTCTGTGTGATTGCGTCGAAGAGGAAGTCTTCCAGCTCTGGTAGCGACAGCTCTAACTTGTTTACGCCTAAACCGCTCTCGAAGCGGTCATATACGGAGTCTGTACCATGTTAAACATGTTTTAATATCAGAAGAGTACAAAGCACGGCGTACCGATAATATCTTTGAACTTTGCATAGCATGCAGGTCGCAGTATTGACATCTTCGTGGCTTGCGGGATCTATCACACGACCGACCCAGGGTCAGTACGCCCTCTCAAGATCGAGATCAGCAACGCCCAACCTGTGTCCCATACCTAATGGGACATGTTATAAATTAGGCTGCAAAGGAAAGGCACAAACAATAGGCTCACTCTAGTATATGCACCATTTCTGGGAGTATGCGCGAATGTGTGGGCGCCTCCGCATTTGCCTCCTCGATCACTGGCCAGACCTTCTCCAGATACGCAGCTCGGTCCTTCGCTAGGTCCTTCCCGAGCTCTGTCGGGAAAATGAGCACGCCCACTTGGGGTTTGCCTTCTCCGAATACAATCGCCTCCTCTACGTATGGGCTATTGCCTCGGATAGCAAGCTCTATGGGGACTACACAAGGTTTTCTAGGTTACGATCCTTGCTTAGGGAGATATTCATGTAACATACCGGGGTTTGTCTTCTCCCCGAGCAACATGACAAGCGTGTCGTCCAGTCGCCCAATATATTTGTACCAATTCGAGTGCTCCGAATGCCGAAGGAAAAGATCCTTGGTCGCGTAGGAGCCGTCTGGCCGATTTGATTGAATCTTGGCGGGCCATCCATCCTTCACGACGGACTCGAAGGTGTTGGAGCCGCGGTCTTCCATGACGATATAGTCTGAAATGGGGCCCTCCACTCGTAGCCAATTCCAAGCCTTGTCAGTTTTAAAGTCGCGCGTGGATTTTAAAAGTGTTCCTGTCTGGAGATGATACGCAAGTGTCACTAACTGAAGTGGCAAGCTAGACCAGAAACACGGACCTCTGTAGTTCCATATGTGGCTTGAATGTTGACGCCAGCTGCAGTGAGTCGATCCCCCAGATCGTCCTAAGGTCAAATATCCAGTTGAGTAACCCTGTAGACGCATGGGCATTGTCCAATCCTACAGGAACAGGGGCACCGGAAAATGTGATGCTTTCGAATTCCGCGAGAGCGCACACGCCTTCTTCCGTCTCTCCGAGGAGCTACACAGAGATCAATGTCATCTTGAGATGCAAATGAACGTACTGTATCATACCTTGATAACGTATGGTACGAGAAAGCATAGAGGTGTGTGTACCGGAATCTTTGTGATGACCTTGCATATATTGGCCGACGTCAAGGGCAAGTGCGGAGGGAAGAGAGAGAATGGTACGCCGGCATAGTAGCAACGGAAGCTATGGACGTCAAGGTGCATTAGCTTATAGTAGAGTTTCGACATTTATGCAAGCGCATACACGCTAAAGTGGCCGAATCCGTGGTACACGGGGAGAGCGCTGAAGCCTGGTTTGGCTACAAATCCAGCAACGTTTGCAATCAAGGCAAAATGAGTGATATATACTGGCTTCGGAAAACCCGTCTACGTGCAGTGGCTGATCAGAGTTGTGTGGCACAAGAATGATTACAGGAAAAAACACACCGATCCTGACGAGTGCAAGATCACTGCAGTCCTGTTCTTTTCCTCTTGCGGGCCTAGCACCGCTGGAAAGGGGTCTATCTTGGCGTCCTCCACTCCTTCCGATCCCCAAAGGGGAAAGCGTTTGTCTGGTACGATCTCGAGATGATATCCTTGCTCGGCGAGCAGCTTCTGAGCTTCCTTGGCTTCTTCGGGGAACCGAGACCCATAGATCAAATGGCTCGAGTTTGTGAGTTTACATAGGTGGGCAACTGCTGGGATGGAGTTGTTGACTGAAAGCAGAAGTGCACTCAGCCCTAGCTTCGCAAGTGCGATCTCAAGGAGCGACTCGTCAATAGCAGTTGTCGTTAAGACCGCAATGGCACGCTCTGGTGGTAAACCATTGTCTCCCACTGGTGGTTGCAGGCCAAGGCTAGCATAATGAGCGCACAGTCGGTCGACGGCTCGCTGAACCTGAGTATATCTATCCATTCGGTACGTCAATGTCTGCGATATTCGAGATATCATGTCCGTCATACGTGAGCGGTCTCAGCAAAATACCAGGCTCATCGATGCCTGTGTAAAACGCAACATCGTCTGGCTGTTCACCTGTAAACGAATCGGTGTGAGCGTTCATCAACTATAAACAAAGATCACTCGAGGACTCACGCGCTCGGATAGCAACTAGCTCAGTGAGCGATAGCGCAGCAAATGTAGGGGCAGGCATTCTACACAGTAGTGGGCGGAGAATGTGTGCCCCGCGCAGAGCTCACCTACAGATATAAATGTGACCAGAAGGAGGCAACCCTATGTGGACTGTTCACGATAAGGCCGCATAAAGTGTAAGGATTCGAGGACTATAATTGACATTGGATTATAGCGAAGTCATAAGGATGATCATGGGACGGCCTGCGAACGGCAGGTTATCCGGAAGCTCATGAACGGAACGGTGGACGGTGAACCAACGGAACGCTTAGGTCCCGCGCCATCGTAACCTGATATCAGTGTGGTGTCCTAGCACCTCACTGGAGGAGTCATCTCCCCATGACAATGAACGCTGAAGCGCTGAACTGCGGTAGCGGGATGTACGCTAACACAGAGTAATGAGCAGGCGAATCGTGATCTTGCAACAGAATTCCGATTCCACTGTCCGGCCCGACCAAGCCGAGAATCTCGACGAGATCTGAAATAGTCAAACAACGCACGCAGCGGGAAGCTAACGCCGCATACGCTAAGTACTTCATCTTCGTAGAGCAAAGTGGGTACAAGCAGCTGCCTGCAAGCAAGGCGACCGATAAATGTAGGCCTATTCCTGGCTTCAAAGCCGTCAGACTCGCGCGGAATGCAATGAAAGGCGATACATTCCTACCGTTTTAGCAGTGCATGTGTTCATACCGTGATCTCAATTCCGCTCTCCAGCAGCCACTTGATTATCTCAGCTGATGGCTTCAAGACAGGTGATCCGTCGTGTGAGGACTTCAGCACGCCCACAATGGCTCGCACCAGACCTATCCGATCGACCTCCAGCGCAAGAGCCTGGCGAGCGGCTCTGTCACGCACCGAAAGGAGCAGGTTGCGCAGACACACTACTCCTCGATGCTGCAGACCGGGGTCAGACGTCGCATTCGGTCGTTCGTCTCCAGACTCATCCACCTCGGAGGTAGTCGACATAACAGCCGGGTCGATTAACTGCCCTAGAATCGGTAGCACCTTGTGGCGCTCCTCTTGCAATTCCAGAAGGGACTGGCAGGCGTCAGGGGAGGACGTCAATATAGCCACTGCACCAGAGGCTGCAAGCTGGGTTGGCACATCATCGACATCGCAGAGAGCCACGAGGACCTGTAATTTTGACTTCGAGGCCGCGGATGCCTCGCCGCCGTACCTATTGAAGACCTCTTCGCAACCCCCAGCAAGATTACAGATGAGCTCCGTGGCTGCTCTGCGGACCAATGTATGGTCTTCAAGCATCAACAGCTCCACTTTGTTCAGAAGTCCCTCTGCGCGTGCAACTCTTGCTGCTACTTCTTCGCCCTGGGAGGTGAGGTTGGTGAGAGCCATCAACGCTTCGAAACGTTGTAAGAGATTCGATGCAGGATTAACGAGCATGATGGTAAAGGGCCGTATCGCATCATAAAGCGCACCCTGGTTTGGACCGAAGACTTGTATGGGTGACGACGTGATAGCAAGTTTGGCTAATGCTTGTATAGGGTCTATATCCGAGGAATCTAGCGGGGCATCTCGTGGTGGTTGGGTGGTAGCACTTGGGGTAGGCAGGATACTCTGGATGATTAACAGCAATGCCTTCGCCCCTCCTCCTTGCAATATCTTTCCACGGTTACCTTGGTCTTCCACAAGATGCAGCAATATCTTCCCAATGGCAACCCTGACCGCGCGGCTATCTGTGACACGGATGGCTGCCGTCAGCGCATCGACTACGCCGGCCATGATGAGCTTGCGCCCCCTCTCACGAACGCGGTCGTCGTCATCAAGTGGGTTGTTCTCGGAGTCTTGTGGTTTCGATGAGGTAGGTGAGGCTTTCGTCATGCGCTTGAGCTTGGCGATCTGCGCTTCTTCGTCAGACAAGCGAGCTCGATAGGCGCATATATTGAGCACAATGATGGCGAACCCGTATGCTGGTGATCTCGCGATATCGTCTGGCGACTGGGTCAATGAGGGTTTCCGACGTGGAATGACCGTAAACAGACGGCTGAGAAATGAAGAATCGTTCGCCAAAGTCTCCTTCACCGAAGGATCGATACTCAGGTAGGCAAGTCCTTCTATTGCATCGGCAAGAGACGAAGAATCGCGTTCATCAACAACCAGCCCCTTCATCAGCTGTGCCAGAGCTTCATCGTCTTGACGCAGAGCTTGCCTGTCTCCTGCAACACGAGCCTCCTGAGAATCCGTCTCAACTCCTCGCGAGAGCTTCACAAGGGCTACTGCGGCAGCCGCACGCAGCGCTGGGTCGGAGGTTTGGCGAGATTTGGTCTCGAGCCATCGCACATGTTGGGATGAGATGAGGGCGCGGCAGGACTTATGGCCGCAAGCTTGGGAGAATAGATGGGCAACAGCCCGCGAAATCTGAGAAGAATAAAACATATCCAGTCCGTCCATCACCGAATCAATCGTGCCTTCATCCTCGAAAATGACCGCAGCTGTCTTCCAGTCGACTTCAAAGAGAGCGCTGAGGAATGATATGCCCGCGAGGACCTCGATCTCCACAGTATCGGATAGGCGGGAAGAGAGAGGAGGGCTAAAGGTCTTGTGAAGAATAAGTGTTGCCTCTTCTGTGTCCTGCTTAGCAGGAGCTGGAGAGGATATGTTCCGATAATGTTGGCAGAGAGCGGACAGGGCGACATAAGCCTTCGAGCGTAGGGATGTGGGTTGTTCGGTCGGGAGGAAGGCATTGATCAAGGTAGACAGCTCCTCGGGCAGCATGGCTAACTGCGTTTTCTCTTGTGATCGCCCGATAATCGCGTTCAATTGTTGTTCTAGATCGTCTGACATTGCGAGGATACCAGCAGGAGGAGGGGCGGTGGGGTAGAGCGTTGCAGGGAGACCGTGATTTACATACATCGCGTAGCCCTAACCCTATAATAGGTCTTGACGGCCACCCTAACCTGGCAGAGCGATATGCCATTGGGTTTATTCTGCTCTCTTGGCCTTGACTGAAGAAATGGACGTCGGCGAAGGTCCTTCACAAACCTCCTCCTGCAGGAATTCTGCAGAAACAATTCAGGTCGGACATACACTGCTCTTGAAACTACCCAGCGGGGATATCAAGACGTGGAAACTGGAGAAAGACTCGTGTGTTTTGATTTTGACTTCGCTTCCGCCATAGTTGACGTATTCGCAGAACAGCCAACCTCGGAAAATTTGGGTCCTTTTACGCGAACGAGCTAATAGACCAACCATTTGGGCTGACCTATGAGATCGTTGACAAGAAGCTTAAGGTCATACTCCCTCGCAGTTTGCAGGAAGTCGGTAGGAACTCCGTCCGTTTTCCTGGCTATATAACTGAATATACTGGTCAGAGGATACCGATGCGACGAATGAGTTGATCAATGACGGTCAATGCGTCCAGCCCTTGACCACAGAGGAGATTGAGGCATTGAAGAAATCCGGTCTTCATGCATCAGTGCGTATTCTCATGTACTTCCCTCTCTTGCTCTGAAGATCCATTTGTTTCCAGGAAATCATCAAAAAACAGATCGAACAACATGCAAACTACTCGCTCAAAACAGAATATAGCAAGGAGAAGTATAAAAAGAGGAAAGAGGCAAAGTAGGTCTAGGTGTACTGACCACCGACAGTCCGCGCTCAAAACGTCTTGTATAGATATTCCAAGTCCTTCGCTGTCGTTGCGCCTACTTTATTCAATGTTTGTGATTATTGGTTCAACAAAGACCAGAACAGACTGCGTGACATCCGCCCTGACACATTGTCGCAAATGCTAAACTTGGCAAATATTCGACCTGGCGGTAGATATTTGGCCGTCGACGATGCATCTGGCGTTGTAGTTGCGGGAATTCTAGAACGTCTTGGCGGTGAGCTTCATCTTGTATCTACCAAAGACCTTGCCGTGATTGACATAAACGCAAGGTAATGGACGGCTCCTTACAATCTGTGATGTCGACTCTCCGCCTGCGTATCCCGTTACAGTGCACATGAATTTCAGGAAAGAATACGCAGACAAATTGTCCTCTCTTAACTGGGCCACTGCCGATGAGGAGTATGCACCAAGTGCGTTGCAAATTAGAATCAGCGAGCATGATAGCCTGAACACCACGTCACTCTGTAGTTGTTGCATCACCGGAACCACCTACTGGAAAATTCAAGTCAGAGGCACAAAAACAAAGATCGAACAAGCGCAAAGTAGTCGCCGAGTCACTTTCGCAAACTCGAGAAGAGCTTTTTGCGGGTGAATTTGATGGGTAAGTACCACATACTGTACAGAATATCCCCACTCCTTACGCTTTCACGGCTCAGACTCATAATAGCTAGCGAATACGACCCCTTCTCAATACTGCAATCTCTATCGCCATATCTCGCAGGCTCCGCATCAATTGTAGTGCATAGTCCATACGTTCAGGTTTTCTCTCTTCTCTTCCATGATTTCAGCACGCTCACAACATGTCCAGATTGTGGCAGATTTACAGAATCAGCTACGCGAGTTGCCTCAATACCTTGGGCCTACCGTCACGGAAGTGTGGTTACGGCGCTATCAGGTACAGACCAAGATCCATCCCACTATTCCAGTACGCTGACCCTGCCAGGTGTTACCGGGACGTACGCACCCACTGATGAACATGTCTGGGTCAGGGGGCTTTATCTTGCACACAACCAAAGTGTCTGTATATGCTTTTGATTTGCCTCTTCCTCGCTAAACGTTCGCCTCAGATATGACGATCCGACGGCTTCATCCGTCATGGCTCATCGGCATAAGGCGAAGAGATCGAGGTCCGAAAACGCGGTTGAGCAACTCACTACTGAAACACAGGAGACACCAACACAGGAGAATGAAAGCAATCAATCGCTGGATCAAAACAACGGGGGCAGCTAACAGCACTACCAATCCTCCAAAAGTATTATAGGGCTTTAGTCATACATGGGTATACACGTACTAGCAGACGCCGCGAACTAGTCATGTCACAGTCGTTAGGGCGCGAAGAATACATCTTATGATGGCGAGTCTGGGAAGAGGGCAGCAAAGATCTATCACTCGACTCTTAGCACTCTGAGGACATATATCGATGTTGCCCATGACATACCTCATCGACAATAGTGTACAGCAAGTGTTGGTTCAGTCGTCGGTTCTGAAGCACAGCGAAGATCCTGCGTGCCCCTCTTCGAGCGTTTGATCGCCCAATCATGTTTGCAACGAGATCTGTAGTTTCGACATGGATATCCAATTCGACAAAATTCGTGAAAGGCAAGACTTACCTGGCATGAGAGCAGACAGTTTGCGGTTCGCTTCGTCTCTGGTACGGAGCTTCTCTTCAGCAGTTCTGGGTACGCTCGGTGGTTTCAACTGGCCTCCGGGCCAAAGTCCATCGCGGAATATATTGATGTAGTTCACGAGATGGAGTTCGTCCACATACATCGCGAACGTTTCCCGGATTTTGCTATAGAGAGACCCTCGTTAGGACGCCGGAAGAAAGCCTCTTTTTGTGAGCACATACCGCTCGATTGTATCACCGAACACTTGTTGCAAGATAATCACAATAGCTTGTCTTCGGAGCCAGTTGTTCTTCTTGTCGAGCTCAAACACAGCGAGTACGAGATCACATATGGGAGATGAGAACGTCGAGGTACTGGTCTCGCCCTGCAGAGGCCTCAGGTCCCCTGAGAGTTGGAATAGCGCATCATCCGGCGTTGATTTTCCAGAAGCTTTCAGGGCCTGCGCAACGAGGTCCTCGTCGTGTACGCCGCTGCCGACAATGCCCGCAAACTCCGCCGCTTGGGTGGTGAGGCGTTGGATAATGACATCCAGCATGGAAGGCCCGAAGAACATGTCATCTATGCTCTCGGTAACAGACTGGTACATGGAGCGGACAATTCCTTTTCCACGAGCAGGAGGAGCTGTCTTCGACGTCGAAGCAATCGACTCGTTTGCAATGAAGGGTGATTCGCGGGACAGAAAACCGCGGAGCTCTTCACTCTCACAAACAGCAGGATTGGCGATTAGGTTCTGATTGGGATGTTGTCATTGGGCAAGACTCAGGGGGTCAGGCAGACTTACCTGCAAGTACTTCTCCAAGGCTACACGGCGCTGGTCGACGAAACTACTGGATAGTGCAGTTACGAGTCGTTTGCCGGGGAAGTCCAGATTCCGCACCAACGCGTATCGCTCCCTCAGCTTGTTATGCATGTTAAAGAACTCGTTGTATCTCCTCGCGACGACCCATCCCGAACTGAACGTCCCGTCCTGTGCCAGCTGCTGGACCTCGATCAGGTATCGCACAACCGACTTGCCGTCCTCCTCGCCCACGGTGGAGTTCACGATCGCGACCTTCGTGTGGTCTGAGAGTAATCGGTTGGCACTCTCCTGCTGCTCGTACTGTGTCTTCTGAAACCGAAGCTCACGAAGCTCCCGCGTGAGTGACGAGCGAGATTTGCGCAGCAACCGCAACTCCTGGGCGTCGCCCGTCAGCTCCGCTTTCTTGATCAGCGTGTCCAACATTGCGTCCTGCGATTGCAGCGTCTCGATCTTGTGCGTCAGGCGTGCGATCTCATGTGAGAGCTGCAGGTCGCCGGGGCCTGCGAGCTGGAACGAGCCGTGACCGTGCTCGCCGTCGTCGTCAGGTCGATCCTCCTCTTCCTCCACGTCGTAGTCAAGGGTGCTATTCCGCTTGCCCTCCGAGATCAAGCTGGAACTCAATTTAGCACTCGAGATACTCTCGGCAGAACCCACTGGGTGCTCATCACGCTTATCGAGCGCAATGATATCCGTCAGAGCGGCCTGTATTGCAGCCATGCGCCGGGACTGCTCCGTCATCTTCGCGTCCTCAGGGTCGTCAAAAAGTGGGGCACGGGAAGACGATACCGATGGCGACTCCGCAATCGGGGACATGAGAACCTCTAAATTAGACAGAGATCCTTTGAACGTGGTGTTCGGAGTCGAAGCGTTTGAGGATGGCAGTTCCATTCTCACTGGCTTCTGCGCGGTGGGCGTGCTGAACAGAGGCGAGGAAAAGGAGCGGGGAACGGATGTCATGGATAAGAGTGATTGCTCTGATGCCTCTGACGCCGTCCGGGATATGGCATGATCATCACTTCTCGAGGGAGGATGATCCATGCCCCTGCGGGCGATTGCTTCTAGGTCACCGACGACGCGGAACCACAGCTCCGAACGCTGGAAATCTTCAAAGTCCTGTTCCATTTCGCGTTCAATCTGCCGCTGCGTGAGCATTACGCTGCGCCGCACGCGCCGCTCCTCCACGGGAGTGGGCGTCTCTTCGCCCAGGCCGAACGTACGGATAGCGTTGACGTGCTTCTGTGAGATGGACGACAGCACCGGGTCGGGTGTAGTCCCGGAGAAATAGAGCTCGTTCATCATGGAGATATCCTCTTTCAGCGTGGCGGAGCGCGTAGGGTCCAGAACCGCATCGTCGTCCTCATCCGACGAGCCTGAGTCGACAGATTCGAGCGGATTCTTGAAACTCTCGACAGTAAGCCAGAATTGGACGAGGAGAGAACGGTGGCGACGATCCATGAATTCCATGAAGTATGACAACGAACTGGGATTCCTTAACACGTCGCGGAGCGTCAGGTGTGACTGCATGCCCGCTTCAGGAGCAGTCGTAGGTTGTCGCTGGTATACATAGCATATTCAAGCAATACGATATAGTGAAGGAACTGCGGGAACTCACTGGATCTGACTCTCCGCCTAGAAGGACAATGCGCTTTTCCACTTTGCGCTTCGCGGTGTAGAGTCTGTCGAGGAAGGCAACGATGTCTTCTGTCTTCTCACCATTGATCCAGTCATCCTTCTCATGGTTTGCTATGTCACTCATCAATGCCACAACCAGTGATCGAACACTTGTCACTCACAAAGCAAAGCGCGAGTTCGCCTAATCTCACCCATGATATCGTTCTTCAGTCGCCTTGCGTCTAACAAGGACGAGCACCGATTGATGCTGCGCAGGAAGGATTCAAATTGCCGCGCATCGGTACGGATTGTGATGGTCTCCGTGGTCGAAGGCCTTGGCACGGTGACGCTAGGATTGGGACGAGGCAGCTGTGCCTCTAAGATATTTCTGACCTTTGAGACCAGCCTCCTATAGAGCAAAAGGAACACTATGAACAGCGTCCTATGCCATTTCGCTATGTCACGTACTGCTGGCGTATAGCTGCACCCGCCTGAGTATATTGAGAATAGCTCGTCAAACTAGGACAGTTCACTCACCACTGAGTCAATAGAGCGGTTCCAAAAGTCAGGGTCCGCGAGCATTTCCATTATGGGATAGAGAACTGAGCACGCTACTATCTCGCGCACCACGATCTTGACTGCCTCGCTTCTGGCTTCCTTCTCTGGCAGAATATATGGGAGGGCGCGGTCGACGAGTCCTCTCAGGTGGTTCTCTTCTGTCTGCTTCGTGAAAGTGGACGAAAGGTTGTCTACTGCGCGATGCAGCTTCTCGCCGCCCCTTCCAGCGTAACGGCTTGCGAGCAGCAGGTCCAATTCCTCCGACTGCGTGAGCCTGCGCTCCAGACCCGCGCCGCGCAATGCAACCTCAGACTGTCGAAACTGTTCGATGTGAGCTGTCACCTTAGGCACAATACATTTCACGATGAGGGCGGAGATGTCCAGGGTCATAACTCGAGTGAGAACTTGTTCCATGGAGCTGTGCAGAACAGACGAGACCGCAGTGGGAAAGGACGGGGAGGACGAGATATCTTTGTACCACACTAGCACGAAGTCCCGCACAATCATAATAAGGATATCATTCAGAGCAGCAGATATAACCGGAGAGTCGCGATACAGCGGAGGTAGAGACTGGGGTGCCTTGTGAGACCACTGAGAACGCGTCAAGACGGCTTGCCAAGCTGCGGGCGTGGAGAAAGCCAGCGGTCTCGCTGCAGAGGGAAGCGCATTATGCGGAGGAAGCCGGTGTACGTCCAAGAGATATCCCAGGAAGATATTGAGTGCCAGAAAGCCAAGTGCACTGACCACAGCGAGGACTGGGAGCAGAAGAATGAGTGTTAGCGGCGATGAGACTATGCGTACGGCTGTAGGCACCACGATAGCCAGAGCCGTAACGGCGAAGAATGTCTGCCTTGTAGAGAAGACCATGGCTACGTAGGGCACGCCGGGACCATTCTATGCACTCCGCACATGAGTGCGAGTGAGCCTGAGGACGGCGTACCGTGAAACTAACGGGAAGGGGGAATACATGTATAACACCTTATCCGATTTTATCAATATTTGTTTATAGCTATTTTCACGCGAGATGTCGCGAGAGTCAAATAAAGCAGTTCTAACTTCTCCCTCAACGGCCTCCCAGTGAGAATAGGAATGTCTCGACAATGGCGTAACGTGTCATCTTGATTCTTGCTGCGCTGGACTTGTCTCGTTGTTCTGTGCTCATTCGGCTTCAGAGATACCCGTTCAATGAGTCCCTGACATGGTGCTCACAAGTAGTTTTACTTCTGAGGGGGTGTTAGAGATGTTGAAATTTGAATGTCAACAAATTGTGATGCTTCTGGTACCAGGACTCGCTATGGAATGACAAGACAGCTCCAGCGGAGCAAGAACCAGATATGCTAAGTCGTTTACGTTCAGCGAGAATATACCAGACACGCACGACATCTCGTGTGAAATCAGTCATAAAGCAAGCCGTCGTTACGCAACGCCAGGTCGTTTTGGTCCTAGCCCTTTTCAATTTCAATTTGCTGTGTGTGTATAACACTGACTCGAGCTATTCCCGCACAGCCTCGGTGTGCTTTATGCAATGTGGCCATTATCATGGGTCTCTGGTCTGCCCGAGCACACAGTGCGTTCGCTGCAACCAGAATACGACTTCATAGTAGTAGGCGGTGAGTTCAGCGACATATAAAGTGTTGCAATAGAGCTACGACGTGGCCTCACATAGGCGGAACTGCCGGGTGTGTACTGGCACGACGTCTTGCGGAAGATGGCGAGTCAACCGTCCTACTCGTGGAGAGAGGAGACGCCGCAGACTCGTGAGACACATGAGGCACGTAATGTGACATAGACCCGACGTTCATGACATCCCAGGTGGCTGCACCGGACACCTCTCTTATCGCACCATCACACCTCCGACGGGAAGCATAGTACAATAATTCCAAGCCGTGCTGCACCAAATTCTGAGCTCCAAGGACGCTCCTTCCCGTTGATCTGCGGGCTCGGCCTTGGGGGCAGCACGCGCATCAATGGTGGACAGTATACGTGTGGCGTACCGGCGCAGTACAACATGTGGAGTCAGGCTGGCCGACAGGGCTGGTCTTACACCGACCTTAAGCCGTACTTTGACAAGTCCGAAAGTTGGACGGGTCCAGTGCCAAAGGAGTACCACGGCCTTCATGGTACTCCTACCTTCCACTTGGGTTGTAGACCTACCCTTACCGATGGCTTTTTCCTGCAGGACCATTGTCAGTAAGATCATTCGAGGGTTACTTCTATGGGAGTAGCGAGAGGTCCGGATTCTACATCGTATGCGGACTTTCACAGACTAACGAAGGTATCTTGACCCAGGGCGGCAGAGGCGATCAAACGATTGGGATTCCTCGATATCATCGACATGCATTCGCCGCTGGAACCAAGCATAGGCTTCAATAAGATGCAATTTATACTGGGTAGCGACGGAACGCGCCAATCCGCCCACCGAGCATACCTGCCACGGGACTTTACACAGAGCCATCGTGGCAATTTGCACATATGCACGAAGACGATAGCAACTCGTGTGGGGACTGAGAAGACTGCGGACGGGGACCTTCGAGCGCGAAATCTAGAATTACAGAACATCGATAATGGCAACACACGTACAATCTCTGCGCGTCGCGAAATCATATTGACTTGCGGCGCGTTGCACACCCCACAGCTTCTGTTGCTCAGGTACTTTATTCATCAAGTTTCGTCTCCTCCAAAGTTGACACCATGTAGCGGTATTGGTCCACGGGATCATCTTCAAGATTTGGGTATTGACCTTGTCAAACACTTACCAGGCGTTGGAGAACATGTTGTAAGCGCGAACGTATTTCATGGTCGCATCCCGCTCATCTTTTGTGCTAAGCAAGATCATATGTTACTTACAACATCCTACAATTGTCCTATGCCTGACTCCCTGTGGTCTATGGCAAGGCAGCCACTAACACTACTGAAGCAGGTATATAACTACTTGCTCTACGGAACAGGATGGTTCCTCGGAACCTTCGTCGAAGTTGAGATATTCGCCAAGTCTTCGCTTATACAGGCGGACGGGAAGCCTCTATCTCTTCAAGACGAGTTCCTGGACTCTTACAATCCCAGTAACCTCCCAGACTTTGGTGTCTTGGTAGTAAGGGTCTTCTGCTTTTTTTCCCCTGAAGCATATGATCGACCCCACGACAGACCCCAATAACGGACCCCAATGAGCCAGGCGCCAACAAATCCAAGGGTTTCTTCGGTCTGATCGCTGCACTCCTCCTGTCCAAGTCTTACGGGACTATACGTCTAGCTTCCACAGACCCTCAGGCCTACCCAGTCTGCGACATGAACTATCTGTCGTCGCCAGATGATTGTGCCGCCCTTCGCGCTGCGCTGCGGGTCACCGTTGCCATCGCAAACGAAATGAGAGCGGAAGGCTATCCTTTGGACGACATCTCGGTTCCGGACGTGTCCAGCGACGAAGCGCTTGACGATCTCATCCGCAGGCGCGTCGAGACGATGTACCACTACTCAAGCTCGTGCCGCATGGCTCCTGAGGACGATACGTATCCCGGAGTGGTGGACGACGAGCTTCGCGTACATGGATTCTCGAACCTGCGTATCGCTGATGCGAGTATCTTCCCGGACGTGCCGGCGGCACACCCGCAAGCCCTGATCTATGCTGTTGCGGAGAAGTGTGCTGACATGGTGCGGCGAAATGTATTGATGGTGGCGTGACGGGAGAGCGCACAATGTTCCTGACTTGCTTACCAGTCTGACTACTACCATGTTCTCGAGCGTTGCCGCAAACAGTTTAGACTCGGAACTCTTGGCAGACTTGAGCCATCATGATTTCGAGACATGGTCGAACATAATATGAGGATGTTGTCTTCCCTCTATGTAGAAGGTGAAGAGACGCGGAACCGTGTTCTGTGATCCGACCACGGACGATCATGATGGGAGCGCTAGTTGGCGCCCGTGGTCTCCGATCGCGTCTGTACACGTGGGCGCGTTCTTCCGATCGAATGATTCACCCCGGGCAGATGTTGCTCTCGGCCAGCTCACGAACGCAACCTCCTTGCCCCTGTTCTTCTCGCTAGCAGCTGTACCATATCTTCTTGTGTTCTATCGCACACCGAAGAGTTGAGGTACAATGAGCTCTGTTCGTTTGAACACTGCCGAAGGCTTTGTATGTGGCGGCTTGGCCGCATGCATGGCCGTGAGTTCTCCAATGTAGCAATGCAGTACATAATCCTCATTTGAGGGTTCACCCGACGGCCTCATAGGTCACAATCTCGAATCCCGCCGAGGTCGCCAAGACGCGTCTCCAGCTGCAGGGAGAGCTGGCTCGGGATGGGGGTGTCAAGGTCTACAAGAACACCTTGGACGTTGTGACCAAAACGTGGAAGAATGAGGGCATACGCGGTGTACAGCGTGGCCTCGGTCCTGCTGTGAGCCTGTCTTTGTTTTGCCTCAGAGCCTCGGACTGACCTTGAAGGGAGTATGTGTATCAAGTGGGTGTGGCTCGTAACTTTTCCATCTTCCTTGTTGACCCCAGTAGATTCTCCTGAACGGGTCTCGACTTGGTACGTCTATCCGTTTTTGAATGCAGTCATATATTGACCAGAATTCCAGGATTCTACGAACCCATCAGACATTGGTGTAATTGGGTAGTTGGCCTCTCGCCGTCTGACCAAATGCCTGTGACGTCAGTCATAGCAGGCGCATCAAGCGGAGCTATTGGTGGTAAGTGAGGTCAATCGCCGAATTGATCTGGTTCGTAATAAATTCGTGTAGCATCCCTCGGGAGTCCTCTGTTCTTGATCAAGGCACGGATGCAGGTCAGTATGCACAATTGAGACCATGAACATCTCACTTACCAGCATTCGCGTCTGCTAGGCGTACTCTCCTGCACTACCTGTCGGCACGCAGCATTACTATAAGAATGCGCTTGACGCATTCAAGACTATTTACAAATCCGAGGGGCTTCGGGGCTTGGTCCGCGGTGTAGATGCGGCGATTCTCAGGACGGCGATGGGGTCATCGGTATGTTGTACCTCCTTCCCAGGAGTGCTCCGCTGAACACACTTTGCACAGGTGCAACTGCCAACCTATAACTGGACAAAAAAGCAACTCGTCGATCGTGGTATTCTACCTGCTGATAGTATATGGACGTTTCTCGCCAGCAGTTCGGTATCTGGCTTGTGTGTGGTAAGTGCATGATTTTCCCGCCGGCTGCTCTGGCTGACGCGCGATTCAGCTGGCCGCGATGCAACCCGCAGATACGGTATGCGCAAGAAACAGCAACGGTTATGAGGGCTACTGATAGCCCCTTCCACTTAGACACTGACGCGAATGTACAACCAACCTACACGGCAGTTGCCTAACGGCAAATTTGTCGGCACGCTTTACAAAAATCCAATAGATTGTCTTTGGAAGACACTCCAGATAGAGGGTCCATTCGGGTGGTATAAAGGTACTGTATAATCCCCTTACACAAGCTGTCGGTGATCCTGACGTAAATCGTCAGGGTCGCTTGCGCACTTCTTCCGTATAACGCCGCACACGTGAGTGAACATACACCGCTAAGACTCGCTCTCGATGTGACTGAGGCGATTACAGGATTGTGACGTTGACCGCTAACGACATCATAACCGGACTGTACAAGCAGTACAAGCAGTACCGTAGTAGAGAATCTGAATAGGCAATCCGGTGGCTCGTCTTCTAGATTTTGATTTATAGGCTATTATCCCTGTCGCTAATGTCATAAATTCCTGCGCAGTGTGTGTCGGGGGACATTTGTGGACCATGATTTCCAAGTCTTCTCGTGCGGAAATTCTCTAAGTTGTGCCAAATTGTGCTCCAGGTTTACTACCCCGTGCCCAAAGTTCAGAGTAGTGACCGGCTTCTCTGACGGCAGTAAGTCGAGCGACGCCAGCAGCCAACAGGACGAAAAGGAGATTTGTCGGATCAGGGAAGCCTTCGTGAGGAGTTACACGACGTGAAAATGAACATAGACGTCGGCGAGGGAAGGCCCAGCGTCAGATGACTGCATCAGGGCGTTAGTATGTACGTGAGCTTTTAGCATCGTCCTACAAGAAAGGCTTCAGGTAACGCGGACCGAATCGATGCGTTCACGATATTCTTGGGACAGGTGATCCCGCTATGCTCAGACATCCATTCGGGAGCGTTAAGCATTGCAATTGCGGATGCGAATACACGCCTCGGTACTCCGCTAGGTGGGTGACTCTGTCAGGTGCATGGGACGGGGAGACGCAGGTCGCCCTTCCTCGAACAGATATATAGGTAAGCACGTCCATGTTTGAGAAGCGACGCAATGGCGAAGTATTCGTGGCGTGCTGTGTCCGTCCTGCTTAGCTGCATCGCCACATTGCGGCCAGTCGCGTCTGCTATCTTCCCTGACACCGATGTGGTCATAGTGACGAACAACGACCTCAACCCGTCGAATCCCAACCGTGCGGGCGCACTCTACCTCAAGAGTGGATTCACCTGCCCCGAGGCGGTGCTAGCCTGTGCGGTACTCCAGGAGAGCCTCCTGCCCGCGCCGAACAGCACCGCAGGACTCACAGCAGCCAATCTCTCCGTCGCGCTGACCTCCGAGCGGCACGGTGCGGCTTTGGACACAACTCAGCAGATCTGGCTCGCAGGCGAGGGTGCGTCACCGCGTTCATTCTATCTATGTTTAATCCCCGTGTGCTCCACTAACACCCGAAATTACACAGAGGAAGGCCTCTGTTCGGTCTTCACCCCAAGCTACCAGTACGGCGGGGAGTACACCCCTTCTGCACCGGGCTCCGTCGACCTCAGCACGAGTCTTCCAGTGCTCTGCACGAACTCCGCGCCGCTAACGCGCTCCAACATCACCGCGGACACGTCGCGCCAGATCCAGCTCTCCACGCCGTCGGCGGGCGTTCTCACGGGTTATCGCGACAAGTTTAGCTGGCGTTTCCTCGGCATCAAGTACGCGGAGCCACCCACGGGGGAAGCGCGGTTCCTGCCACCGACACCGGTGCAGGTGTCGTCAGACACCGTTAGGTCGGCGCTGGAGTATGGGCCGGCCTGCGCGCAGGTGCGTGGATTTGCCTTCAGGAAGTGGATATGGTGCTGAGCAGACCGAAGCCTCCGGATGCCGATAATGGGCATGAGTGGTACGATGCAGAAGATTGCCTCCAAGTAAACGTCTTTTCGCCAGTCATCAACTCTGGCTCTGTCCCGGATGAGACCGCCCCCAAGCTTCCGGTGATGTTCTTCAGTGAGTTAGATGTGTACGTCAAAGTACGCAGGTCTAAAACGACGCATGTGATCTTCTGTAGTTCACGGTGGTGGGCTGAACACGGGCGACAGTGGTCCTATTCCCTTTAACATGACGTCAAGCGGATACGTCGGTCCGTCAACATCAAACTTATTCGACGGCACCAACATGGTTTCGTATGGTGGCGTCGTGCTTGTGACGGTCAACTACAGGTTGACCGCCTTCGGATGGTTCAATGCCTCGAATGCTGCTCTGAAGGACACATTGCTCGCTTTGCACTGGGTACAAGACAACATTGAAGCCTTCGGTGGTGACGTGAGTTGCCTCTTACAAAGGGTGACATGCCTGCTGACCAAGATTTCGAATTGGTGTGGATAGCCAACAAAAGTTCTAATTTTTGGCGAGTCAGCCGGAGGAGGAATGACTCGATACTTGCTGGGCACAAACCCTGCGTACACTGACGGGCTTTTCAGTGAGTTACCCGCCGAGTCATATGACGTATAGCACTAACATTGGACCAGGCGCTGCGATTCTCGAGTCTGACTGGCCGACCAGTAATCAGTTCTATTCTGTAGAGCGGTCGTTGGATGTCTCACTTGAGCTTGCGAAGGCCCTTGGCTGCGCTTCAAATTCATCGACTGTCTTCGATGAGTCCATGGCCGTGTGTGTACGGGACCTCCCGACGGAGGAGATTGTGGCTACATCCTACGACCTGAATATATCCTGGGAAATCATCGTCGACGGAGATCTTGTCCTCACCGACATCGCGACGAGCATCAAGGACGGCATGTATGGACGTGTCCCGACCATTTGGGCCACCAACGAGTGCGAGTACTGCTTCTTCATACCATCCTCCATACCGCCGAATTCCCCACCTTCGGCGTTCCCGGACAACCTATCGATCTGGTTCAACAGCACAGATGCTCAGGCCATCATGAACGTCTCCAGCACGCTTTATCCCTACGAGACAGCGCCTCAGTCGCACAAACTTTCGGGTGCGGTATTTACTCTTGCTCAGCTCATGACCGACTACTATCTCCACTGCCCCATGCTGTACTTGTCGTCACTGGAGACTAATACGACAAACCCGGGCAACAGCTACAAGGTGATGTTCGCGGTAGGGCTAGGCTCGACAATCACAGCAAACCCAGTGACTTGTCCCGGCCAGGTCTGCCACGCCGACGAATTGTACTGGGTGTTCGCAACGGCAGAGACAGACAACCTATATCAGCCTCTTACTCCCAGCGAGGTAGCGACGACACAGGAGGTGAACAAACGCTGGACGTCGTTAGCATGGACAGGCACTCCAAACTACGAAGGCGCACTGGTCGAGTGGCCGCCGTATACAGGGGACAATGAAGTTATCATCAATGCGACTGCCACGGAGTCCATCCAACCTTATCGCGTTGCACAGTGTGATTTCATCGAGAGTCAGCTGGGCCTGGTCTTCGGACAATCATGAGGTTGGAGCTTGTAATGATGAGTTTTGTAGAGGTGTATGTAAATGTACGGACTTCATATTCCCCATGTGAAAGCACGATCTTGAAAAAATAATTAACTTTTGGGGCCATTATCACAATATCGCCAGACGCTATATACAAGAACCCGTGGCGCAGCGGTAGCGCGTGAGATTCCAGCTCATGGGAAATCCTCAAGGTCATCCGTTCAATCCGGGTCGGGTTCAAGTATTTTGTCACTTGTAGGCTAAGTGCCCACTATGTTTTTGTAGCCTTTTTATGCTCGTTTGTACCGATGTTTTAGCCAACATGCATGCAGAGAGGTTGGACATTGCTTAGTGCTCTTGCACAGGCCTGCCGGGTTGGGACGCATGCAGCCTGATCAAGTAAGTAAATAATCGGCCTGTGCCTGGCTCATGTGAAATATCAAGGGGTCGCAGCTAGGCGACGATCCATTTATGATGCTGATGTATGGTGCATGCCCCGGCGGCACCTTGTTGCATACTATGTGCTGTTATTAAGGCAATGCAATATGCTGATCTATTAATAACCTTATGCTCCTTCCTCCTGACCACGGTCTTTGTCTGTTGCTACACTACCAACTGACCGTTTAATCCGTGCGGCATGCCTCGCGATAGCTACACCGACTCCGAGAGTGGCTCGGTCACCCCAGATCTCGAAGAGGCCATTCTATCCGACCGCTCGTCTAGTGCGGAAGGCAGGTTTGGTGGGCAGCGTGGACTGGCGGAACTCGATGTCGCTTCTTCTCCTGCAGTCCTTGACCACAAGTCTTCAAGCAAGTCTCCTACGAAGAGTCCTGTCAGGCCTCATGTCGACCACATCCTGCACCATGCGTATACAACGCCTGGCGACCGCTTTCGGGCGACGGTGCGCAAGGTAATCACCATGAACCGTACTACGTCGTCAATGATGCTCTTGCGCCCTGGAATTGGCGCAGAACCCGGTATTGATCCCCGCCGCGCCTCTGCGAACATCAACTACGGCAACATCAAGCAGCGCTGTATCATCGAAGTCGCAGACTACTCGACGATGCGCAGCAGCTTCGGGCGTATGACAAACCGCGAATTTGTGAAGATGTTGCGCGACCCCTCTGCGAGCCGCAGAGACCCATGGGTGCGCGTACGCTGGATTAACATTGGCGGTATCAGTTGGGACGTGATCAGCGCTTTAGCTCTCAAATATGGTGCGTCCTTACGAGAACCGGACCCGGATCCCGTGGTTCTGTCAACACTACACGGCTAACAGCGCTCAACAGACATACATCCTTTGGCGCTGGAAGATGTTCTCAGCCAGCGACAGCACTCACGCTCGAAAGTTGATTATTATCCTCAACACCTATTCCTGCGCATATTGTGTCACTCTCTCGGGGAAGAGAATGCTCCTTCACCCGACGTCTCTCTGACGGATCTGCCACGTTCTGCATCGCCAGACTTAATGGGCATCGATGACAACTCTGATGAGGACGATGAGGACGTGTTGCGGGATGTGGTAGAGCCGAGGGACGATCATGAGGACGAGCGCACGGTGTTTGGAAGCGCGAGCGGCTCACGCTTCTCGACGGGGCGACAGTCACTAAAGCATCGGTTCGGCGGATTTGGAATGGCAGGAAGGAAGGATCCGGAGAGCCATGCAATGGAGGAGCAGCCGCAGCGTGCCCCAACCTTCTTCTCCACATTTACTGAGAAGGTGCGTTCACTGCCAAAAGCCACGCAGTGCTGCCGTGCCTGTGATCGTTAACGATACATGCACGTTCTTAGCGGAAGAAAGTCTCTAGGGACATGAAGCTCATCCGTGAATTGAAAAAGGGGGACCGTGTCAACGTGAGAATCCATCCAGTCTGTATTTTTCTCTTTCGTGACGGTACGGCTTTCGATTATCTTGGAATGCCTCCAATTCATGCTGAATGCGCGCGTTTGTACGTAGGCACAGTTATCTCTATCAATCGAGGTGGGTTCGACCATTTGCGGACTGTCACCTCGCGATTTCTTCGTCGAAGTAGTTCGTGTCTTACCGTAATTCCAGATGTTGATGTCAACTACACCGCTCCGATCACTGAACGTTTGCGGCAACGGCATACTGGTTTACGGACAACAGCCGATCCGTCCCTTCTTGTCCAGAGTCTGCTTGATTTGAGTACGTCCCCGGAGCTCCGATACTCTATGACTGATGACGAACGCCATGCTTTGAAGTGGTTGATTCTGCGTTAGAAGTTGTGGAAGAATACCAAGGCAAGATTCTCAAAATAGAACAAGAAGTGCTGTTGAAACCCGGCATGCAGACTGTACGGAGGCGTGCGTATTGCTTTGAATCTATATCTTGTGTGCCACCAAGATCAGGATGCTTTCAATCGTCATCGAAGGCAAGGAGGGCGTTGGTGCACGGTCCTTCTTCGGACATTTGTGGAGTCGTCCTGGAGAGGTGCAGTATGCTGTTCTCCTGACTAATGACGGCTGAGATAGAGCGAACGGGAATTCCCAGTTCCTTCTCGACGGTCTCTGTCTACATCGAGGGGGGCTGACATATACTTCAAACAGTGCATATACTCCAAGGAGATCTTATCCTTTATAAACGCACCCTTGAGCCGATCAAGACCGTCATTTATGGTTTGCGGAGATATGACGATGACCGTGTTGCCGCCCTCTCAGAGAAAATCGATCCCCACATGAAGATCCAAGGTTACATGAGCCACAAGGCCAAGATCTATCTTGTACGTATCATTCTCAGGCAATCCACGGGAAGGATAATCAAAAGGAGCTGGCATGTTACAGGCGGACGTCCACGATCACATGGAGTACATTTTAACTAGCATGGACATGTTTGCTGGAGTCAGTGAGAATCTGATCAATTACACGTTTAACGTGTGTATTGCATTGCACCTATTCGTCCTGCTCTTGTTAACCTTTCCTGTGGATTGCCCGTAGATGGCATCTTATGAAATGAACGAAGTGATGTGAGTGTAGATGTCAGCATGCAGGGGGTCACATTCAGCAGATCACACTGACTAATTTCGCGACGCAGGCGTCGGCTTACTCTTGCCACAATCATTTTCTTGCCGCTCACACTCCTCACCGGATACTTCGTACGTGACCCGTTCTGTCGCAGTCTAACCGACGTCCTTAACTTGTTGGCTTTTACCCTCAACGCTAGGGTATGAATTTCGAATCCATGTGGTCGGTCGGTCACCACACGGATCTTCTGTGCGTATTCGGTTTTCCCTCACACCTTGCAGGCATTGGCTGTGACGAAAGGATGTCCTGTGTATTAACTCTATATAACGTCTAGATTTTGGGAAATTGGGTTGCCGGTGATGGCGATCGTGATTCCCCTGTTCACTTGGCCGGACCTCAAGAGGCTGGCACACTATCTACAAAAACGTATGATGAAAAAGGAAATCAAACGAGTGAGACACTTGTTCCGAATGCCATGGTATGGTTTTCGCTGACGAATTGGTCCTTCACAGAGATATAGGCGGTGATTGCTGCTATCTATGTATAGCTTGGGGCCCTTGGGCCATGTGGGTAATAGCACTCATACTCTGACGGACTTAACATCGTATTCTCTGGATAGCCACGCTCTTTCTCTGATTGCCTGGATACTTATATGTTAAGCTCATCATCTATTACTGCTATCACGCTGTGCTTCGTCATGGATATTGCTACTCGTCATTCGCCTGTCATTGTGAAGGAAACATGATTTCGACGATTTCCTTTCAATCCAGTGGTGTGAATTGATTTTTTTCGCCTCCACAATATTCAAAGTACTCAACGTATCCGCCTCAGTTGTCACAGCAATGGACGATCTAGCGGCGTAAAGATTAGGGTCCCTTTAGGCGGTTGGGTCACCGTGTTGAGCGGGTCGGTGACTTCAAAGCGGCCTTCCAAGAGACTGGGAGTAGCGCGTCCAATGAGGGACAAAACTATAAGCTTGATCTCTGGATTCAGGGTCGCTTCGTCAGGCACAGTCGCTGACAGAGAGTGGATACAGGCTGACCGTTCACCGCAAGCACCCTCCCGGGGCACGCGAAGCGGCCAAGACCGAAGACGATGTGCGCGGAGCCTGTCATGGCAGCATCTTTATTCAGCTCCACCCATCGGAAGCCATCGAATTTGGTCGGCTCGTCCCCAAATATCTCGGGATTCTCATGCACAGTGGAAGACATAGGCGTGACAAATGATCCTGAGGAAGAATGCCTCGTCAGCGCGACCCCACCGGCAGAATGAAGCGATGCTGCTACGGTGCCAATACGCACCATTCGGAATCACATAGCCACCGAGGGGGACATCTGCGGTTGTATACCTCATAGTTGAGATGGTGTCCCCCTTGAGGCGCATGACTTCACGGATGAACGAGTCAAGCAGATGCGCTGCCCGTAGGGAGGCGGCAGTAAGGTGTAGCTCTCCGTTCGCAGCTTCTTCGCGGACCTTCAAAAGCTCTTCTCGCAGAGGGTTCAGGTATTCTGGTCGAGTAGCGAGTTGGAATAAGACCCATTGAGAGACGACGGTTCTATAGCACAGCGGGGTTTAGCGGGAAGATGGATGCGCCTGGAGAAGTTGACACACGTTGTGTGAACGGAGGCGAATATAAGGCTGAAAGAATGTCAAATCCGGTAGTGGCGGTGAGAACAGAACTACGCACCACAACAGTAGCATAGCGATGTACATTCGTCGAAAGACACCGATATATTGTTCGCCAGAATTAATGTACGTCTTCACTATGAGGTAGAGGACGTTCCGGGGCTGTTATGTGGCCATGAGCTGCACATTTATCGGTGTAGAATCTTCCACTGCTCACCTCCTGTTCTGATGCCTTCGACTTCCTTGCAATTTTCTCGTACCTGCTCACATCGACCCACAGACGGGGACCTAGCAGCCGCACAAAGCCGAATGGAATTTTGATTATAATTACGTTGATCCTGAATTTCATAATGAAGCTGGCGGTGTTTGATACGGCGAGGAACTGACCAGGTAAGGAGCACCCAGAGCCACGGTAGGTACTTGCCTACGAAAGAGAAATTCTGATACTGGCCGGTGAGTTGCGCCATGCCGTTCGACACATCTTCAACGATGCGCATGTTCCTTTTGCTGACGTATTCCTGTGCACCGCTGATGAGAGATTGGTGGTCAAATCGTAGCAGGACACTTACCTGACCAAGCAGAAGCAGAAGTGTCGCCTCGGATAACGTGTCGCGCGTGTGATTGAAGAGGTCAGGACGGCTGCTCTCGTGCTCTGGTTTAGCAACGAGGTCGACGAACACCTCGCAGTCGCGGTCATATATCGGATAGACTGAGTACGCGTTAGTTAAAAAGAGGCTGATTCTAAGAGAGCGCTACTCACGTTGATCGACAATTTCATCCATTCTTGCTATGATACCTTCCCGGACGAAATCCTTTAGATCACGGAACAGCGTTCCGCCAGTCAGCGCCATGATAGGTTGCAAGTTCATAATCTAGACCGGTTATATGCAAACAAGTTAGGATGGTAGGCAGAGGCACCTACTGCCGCTGAGCCTTCTTCAAAACTGAAGTCGCGGTCACAGGTGAGTACGTGCCGGGCAAACTCAGGCCCCACCACATATTCGAGCTGCATAACGTGTCAGTCTTGGGACGCATCTCGGAGTATGTTGCTGACATTTCCCTTACGCCTTACAGCAATCACCGGACCATGTTGTCGTAGGGCAGCCCCATAGGCCTCGCGCGGGTTCGAGAAAATGTCTTCCGGCTATAAATGTCAGTTTTGAATGTTTTGGAGGTAGAGTCAGCAACTGGCGATTAATACCGGGATGTTTACCGTCGGCGGCAGGCCCTTTCTACAGACCTGTTGATCTTCAAGTCATAAGTGGAGCACCCGAGGGTTGCCGGTAAGCGAAGGCACGGTACCTTAGATCGTCTCAACAATCGCAGAGCAAGTAGCAGGAGCAAGGGAGCGGCGAATGAGTAAAAGATATACATGCCAGTTTGTCGTGTACGTCGTGAAGCTCACGGGCCATCACATTATATATGTGCTTTCAATCGGGCCCCTCGCATAGGGTGTATCATCAGCAGGCCACGTACGTATTAGTACGTGGGACAGAGCTTCATGCCGCCCTATACGTTGTTTGTCGAAGTCTTCTTCCTAGATGTGAGAACTGATAGATTCGAGAAGATGGAACCCTGGCGTAAGAGGGTCCAAAGACCGGCCGGAGACAACTCAAGAACCAATTATATCGGACAATCCGACGCCGGAAGGTGACTAGTCTCAGCACAGTAATATCGCCGCCTCCGTGTCATGCTCAACAAGAGATGACGTCGTATGTGGTCAAGCCAGTCAGGCTGAGTCTGCCTTGTAAAGGCAAGCGAATATCAGACGAGAGCTTCGAGCACCGTGAACTGTGGCTTCGCGATCCTCCGAGTGGCCGCTTAGAAACCAAGATCCGATAGTGCTTGCAGGTGCCAATGAGTAGCGAAATTACGTGTAGTGGGGATGTCCGTGTTGTCTTGGTAAACTCCGGGCACTGGACGCGTCGCGTCGCGTCCCAAGTCACGAGACCGTCATACGGGATTGGTGGACTCGGTGCGTGTGTCTTTCTGCTTCTAGCTTATTGCTCTCCTCATGCCTCCGTGGCCATTCGGCGAAGACATTCTCGCGGAAGCCGCCACGCATCAAGGCTTCCTTCTCACATTGCACTTGGTTCGTATTGAGCAGGAACCGTAGTGTGAGGTACCAGCTGGTGCCAAAACCTGAGGCTTGAACCCCGGTCTGTGTACTTTATTAGATCAACACCATATGCTAGTGTGCTTCGCTCCTCAAGCTTCTGTCTTCGCCACGAAACGCCTTTCTTCCGTTCGGACACCTTGTGAGCTATCGCTACACATCATCGCGGCTCGCATGTCTTGCTTTATGTGCACTCGGCTTCCTCTTGCCAGCATCGTTGATCCACGGAACAAGGGTGTACTATTTATGAAAGCGAAGTTGTTCACGCGTGCGGACGTCGGATAGCGATAATCATAAAGCTTCCCACATCGGCCTTTCTGTGTATGACGAAACATCTCTTCTATCCTCAGACTGACTGGAATTGTGTTTTCAGCTGAAAGGCATGATACGCGCCTTGAAGGATTGTTGACCTCTCCGAAGCAATCTCCAAATACAACAGCGCTCAGATCAACTAGCGGCGTTAGCCTGGTGAGCTCATTTTCTCATGAAACATACCAGCTGCATCTTCCAATGGAGATATTGCCGTTTATTGGTAGGTCCAGATGTGTGGTTCTATCTTCGAGAACATGTTCCTCATTCGAATGTGTTCCATTCGGTTCGCTACCCGACAGTCTCATCCGGATAATACACAACGTGTTACCTGAGTACCGCAGCAACGCGGAATTGCCCGATTGCGGATTCATACGGTAGGCTCAAGGAAGACACCCATTCGCATAGCTGCGCTTGTGCCACGACTCCCGCGAGCAATCGTGTCTCGTGTGTGCCCGTGAGGCTTAGATGATCACTCACCATAGTCGATCGATGTCAAGCGAGGGTGTGCTCCTTTTCGGATTATGTGTGTCAATGACCATTTACCGTTTACCCCTGTTATGTGCTTCCTGTCACTGCAGGACACATTCATTGCTCTTCTGACGAAATGGGCTTGAGGTACGGGTAAAGAATCAGCGTGTCGTCTCTTATCACATTTAGTCCTCGAATGTTCAGGATCGGGACATGAAAACATGGGCCGGTGCTCGACAGATCTCACATGCACACGGCAGCTGTGGTTGTTAGGACAGGAGACCCTGCCCAAATTGTCTAGGCTATATTCGGATCGACAGCGTAGTACCTACTCGCATCCCGCACGAGAGAGGACTCGCGATCAGCCCTACCAGTTCATTATCGTGCCCTGCTGACGGCTCACTTGCTCTATGTGACTGCTGCCTCGAACGTGTTTCGTGTGAGGCATATATGTATATTGTCCACGCCAAGCCCTTAACTCGTTGATCAACGACAACGGATGAAGGCCCGCATACAGCCTTTCTCTCACTCTCTCACTCTCTCACTCTCTTTCTATCTCAGTTTCACCTCAATCAGCAGGGGCGCTCCGCCCGTACGCGGCACCTCATCCCCGTCGCTGATGACGTTGCTAAACGTGCGAAAACTTAGACAATGTTCTGTCTCCCGCTCGTACAAATGGCTTGCAGATAGTAGATTACTATCAGGGTGAAGGGTATACTTTTTCGGGGGCTAGTCTACGCAAACAGCAGGCTACAGACTACATTAATCACTGAAGACATCCCGATACGCAGGCGGCAATATATGGGGTATGTTATCTTGAGAGAACGAGATCCCTGCATCTGTTGCGCGCAGGGTTAGCGGTACCACAGCATCCACACTGGTCCTATCAGGGGTTATATTTGGAATAGAGCTGACGGGGTGAGCAGGAGATTGCTCGTCGGGTGCTCGTAGCTCCGCTTGACTGTTCTCATCTGTCATGGCAGATATCAGCCAAACGACGTGCAGAATTCGAACCTTCGCGCTAACCGTCGTGCTTTATTTCTGCCTCTATATCGTAGTCAGGGGGTGGCCCGTTTACGCTGTCTTCACGGCCTGCCGCTAGTGCAGTCGCCAGCGTAGGTATTGCGGTGTTCCCGCAACGATAATTAGCACTCACCATTCATATGTGTAGAGATCAAGGCTGGTTCACGACGCATTTGCATATCGTGCCATCGGCAGTACCGCCTCCGGGAGAACCACACAAACAAAGAAACGATAAATATGCCGCCTACTATGGCGCACGCGATGACAGCTGTCCAGGGAAACCTCATATGTTGAGGTGACGTCACATTCTCGGTGACAGATGCTGCAGCAGGTTGCGCGGAATGAGAATGGAGCAAGCTGCTCTGAGAAGAAGCAGTGCTCCAAGCTAGTGATGACGCGGTGGTTGATGCAGATGAGGGATGCGTGGGTAATCCCACAGACACTGAAACTGAGGTTGTCCATTCAGACTGAACAGTCGTGCTCGGCAAGGCCTGTGGCAATGAAGATGAGACAGGAGAAGGCTGGGACGTCACGGTGGCGGAAAGTGGGATGGTCACATCGCTGTCAATGGATGAAGAATGTACTATATGAGTCAGGGGTGAAGTGCTGTATGTGAGCAATGTGCTCCTGATGGGAGAGCTTTCGGTAGTGGAAGCCAAAGAACTGCTTAAGGAAGCGGGAACGGTCCCTGATGTTGGGCTGCTAGTACTTGATGCGTCGCAGCCTACGTCTAACCCCAAAAGATCAACGCACAACCCGCTGGACATGGCTGCATTCAGCGTGCCGTTCTAATGGACAACAATAAGCGAACAAAAAGGGGTGAGAAGTACAAACGCAGGGGCTAACAAAGATCGGGTTCAACACACGACGCGGCCGGTAAATGCAAGCGACATAAAGTACTGTCTTGATCGCTGTAAGTAGATTCTTCTGCTATAGCATCGAGGTGACGCACCTACCAGAAGGAAAACGCCTCAAAGATAAACACTTGGGGTTGGTAGGAGAAGAGACAGGCTGAAGTAAAGACCGGAGGGAGATTGGACGTCGACATTCAGCTGGGATATTTAAGTAGGCATCTAGATGCCTTGTCTTCTTCAAGATTGCGCACAGAGGTTTCCTTTCTAGCCACGATAGATGATGCGGTGATAAATGAGGTAAAGAAAACCGAGATTGACAACAAAGCTCTCACAATTACCCTTAATATGGGTCACGTTGGCTGTGTGGCACAAGACCATCTGTCAGGGACATTTTCAAGACGTGATGTAAAGATGAACCAAACATTAGCCTCCTTCTGCCCAAGGGAATAATATCCAACTGGAATGTGTTTTCCTCAAGCACGTATCTCGCAAGCATCAGTACTCTTGTCTAGATCCAAATCGAGAAATCCGCTTGACCATATGAATGAGAAAGGGGTGATGGCTGTGAAGATTAACATGGCATGTCCGCTACTTGAAGCTTGACTGATTGTGAGATACTGTTGGATAGCATAGTAGCAGAGTGCGATTAAGCTTACCATTGTGAAATTTAGCACATCTCGAAGGCACGATAGCACTGGGACGCTTTCTTCAACAGCACACTAACAGGCATGCAAGAGTGCTCACCTGAGATAAGTTGATCTCAAAGACCAATTAACAGAAGACTGTCGCTTATGTATGTCTTCATGCATTCAGATCATCAGCAACGACATGGCAGAATATACATGGAATGGGGGCCGATTGACAGATGTACTCGAGGAATGCGCAAGAGAGCACCGCCCGGCCCGCACGAATGATTCTGAGAAACTGCGACGACTTACATAACAAGCATCCACATGACGTCGATATATAAGCCACTGAAACGTACGAGATAAATCATCACCCTACGGCTTCACACAAGGAGTCAATCCGGCAATGCTTACAAGATATTGCGGTCAGTCGGCCGAAAGAGAAGGCTAGAAAGCCAGACGGACCAAGTAACCTCGTCAGATACTCTGATAGATAGCTCGGGCCTGTCATGGCTGGTCAAAAAGATCATCATCAGATACGACTCTTAGGAGAATAATGTGAACGTCCTGCCCGCGGGAGATGAAGATCAACATGTACCGTGGCAACCGACAGACACAAGCGCAATCAGATCTTTGAGAACAAACATTAACCTTCATACAAAGGCAGTCGGGAGGCCCTGACGGAGGTATCGTTATTACAGGTATGACTATTGTATGCGAAGGGGTATGTCGTATGTCAGGCGTAGATCATCGTGTCAATCACCAGGCTACAGCATACAGCCTAAAGTGACGACCCTACTCCTCCCGAGCGACCGAAATTGTATCTGTGCGTGCCGGTACGTCTTGTGCGGCCACCAAACCAGTTGCAGCAGATGATATCGAATATGATATCGAAGATGGTGACAATGATCTATGAATTTGACAGTGAGCCTCTGCGCTGCGAAGGCGGAGCGGATGGACATACCGTCACAATGACGCCGACAATGATCATGATGATGCTGGCCACCGCAGAGACAACGGCCTCGATAGCACCAGCGATTGCAGAGACAACGGTACCCTGTGGGCTAGGGTCAGCGACGGCGGCGACAAGGCGGAAGTCGAGCGAGTGCTTACCATGGTGGATATTGGTGGTTGGTAGAGAAAGTGGTCGTTAAAAGGTTACAGAGGATGGTCGCGTGAAAAAGTCGTGAACGTGAGCTGTGAGGGATGAGCTGCAATTTGCAGGCGTTTTATAGGGCTGGCAAAAACGTTGTGGGGCTAAGCGGAAGCATATGACGTCAATACGCTGCAAGCCGCGTCACCGATCGGGGCGTGCGTAGGTGGAGACTTCTGCCACCTAGGCTGTGGTGTATCTGCCTCGCTCGCCCCGTATGAAAATGTAGTCCCCGCTTGGCTCCCCACCGTGGCATCGTCGGCTCTGAAATAAGTCATCTCGCACGCCTTTTGAATCTTGCCCTATCCACAATACGGATCTAAAGCGATGCGAGAGGCATCTTCAACTCCACCACGTCCAAGTTTACAGATAGAGATACGGTAGCTAGAAAACAGATCACCAAGCCAGGGCCATTGGTGTCCAGGTCTGCAGCTGGAGGCCCTGAAGGACATGGAGAAGCATAGAGATGTAAAAGAGTAATATTGGAGAGAGCAGAACAAGCTTCGGCAAAGCCCGAATTGCACTGGTGACGTTTACCCGGAGCTTCCCCGGACCGCGTGCGCAGCGCGTACACACCGCGCAGCTGTGTACTTCGTCTACACTCTTGTACTAGCTCTGGGTCTCTGAGTAGTCCATATTATTTGCGCTGGCGCCATGTCCACATACGACTCACTCCATCGTCAATGTCGGACCTTGGAGTCTCTCTTCGACACCAAACTCACAGCTTATGCCCGCCTTGCTTCTTCCATTGCCCGCCACCAGGACGACATCGAGGCCACTGGCTCAGGCGAGCGTTGGAAAGACCTTGAGATAGAATGCGAGGAACTGCTCGAGAAGGTGTGCGTATTTGCATCACCACGCTGCACGATGTTCACAGTTCGGCCATGGGCAGTTGCAAGAACTGAACGACCAGCTCTCTGCGCTCTCAGATGACACGGACAATCCTCCATCGCAGACCATGTTGCGTGCGATACAGAGACATAGGGAGGTGTATCAGGACTACGTACGGGAATTCCGTAGGACAAAAGTACGCACGATCACCCCGGCGACATGTTCAGGTACTGACTAGGCTCGCATAGACGAACGTGCAGGCCGCGTTGGATCAAGCGAACCTGCTAAGCGGCGTGCGGAACGACATCGAGTATGTCTGAGGTTACGCGACTTCACACGTTCCACTCTTCTGATGTGAAGCCGCACCATGCAGTGCATACAGGTCCTCCGCGGCCGACTCGTTGCTAGCCGAGCGGGGACACATCGACAGCTCACATCGTATGACGGACGATATCCTTGCGTACGCATCTGCTTCTTGTCGCTTCCCACGAGCCAGCATCCATCTCACTTACATGCCCTCATTAGCCAAGCATACGAGACCCGTGCAGAGTTCTCTAGGCAAGGCTCGACCATTTCGGGGATCAATGCGCGAATGACGGGAGTGCTAAGTGCGTGTGCTCTCCACGTTGCTGTACTAAGGTGCTAAGTACTCATACAAGTCCGCCGATAGCTTCCCTGCCGGGGATGAACCACCTCATTTCCATGATCAGGTCACGGCGGCGGCGAGATGCAATCATCGTGGGCTGCGTTGTGGGCGTATGTTTAATCCTCCTGCTCATGTACGCTTTCTAATACCAGCTACTGCTGCCTCGGAACTCTTGCATACTGTATGTTCCTTTGTTCCTATCCTACGATAATATCATTATTCTTGCGTGGACTCACAATGAGCTTGCGTTACTTTTTTTCCCACCTCAATGCCTCGTTGCTGGTGCTGATTTGACTTCTGGAAATTTTATTCGTCCTCTTCCTCCTCGCTGTCGTCGAGTAACAGCTTCCTCTTATCCCGTTTCTTCGTCCTCGGTGCTTCCCTATGTCCACCGCGCTCGAAACTCCGCCAGTTCTCTGCCAGCCGCCACACCACGCCCCATTGTGTTTTGTCCTCGCCGCCCACCTCCTCGACCTCCGCCGCGCTCTGCTCAACCCGCCACCCGCGTGCGTCCGCAATGCGGCACACCATATCCCACGTATACGGCGCGCTCAGGCGCACATCGTGGAAGTCCGACTCGACCAGAAGGCGGGTTGGCGCTGCGGCGCGCAGCAGAGCAATGTGCCCGCGCGAACGCGCGTTGATCCCCGTTGAAAGCGAGAGAAAGACGTTTGGGTGGGTGCGCTGGGCATCAGGATGTCGCTTCATCATGTACGGGCGAGACCAGACAAACGGTTCATGCGCACCTCGATGTCGCGCCAGCCCTCCGGGCTCAATCCGCAGCTATGCAGGTCCACGCTGATGTCCATCCACGCGTGCCCAAAGCGCGCCTTCATGCGCGCGAGCAGCTCCGCGGTGGCCTGGGGTGCCTGGACGCTGTGCAGGCTTACGTTCCTACGCAGTTCGACCGCGAGTGCGAGCTGCGCCTCGAGGATCGCGACCTGGTGCGCGAGGGGTATCGTGAACGGGGAGAGGCTGCTTGCGCCGTCGCGCTTGTCGTCGTGGTCGTGAGCGGTGTACGCCTCTGCGTACGGCGGGGCGACGGGGTGCTTGTACAGCACGCGGCAGGCGCGGTCGAGCCCGACTTCGCCGAGCATGGCGTGCGGGAAGGCCGTGAGGTCCGCGCGGAGGCCGGCGAGGACGGTTTCGAGCGGGGTGGGGTCGGGGAGGAAGGGGAGGAGGCGCTCGAAGGCGTCGGCGTGCTGTGGTTTTGAGGAGGGGAGGAAGAGGGAGGCGTAGTGTGAGCGTTTGGAGGGGACCGCGGAAGCCGGGGCGAGCGAGATCCAGTGGTAGAACCAGGGGTGGTAGCCTGGGATGGCAGGTTAATGTGCTGGACGGGTAGGATGGTGAGCAGAGCATGATGCCAGAGGGAGAATGCATAGGGTCGTCACGGTTCCGAAGGATCATGTTTACCAAAGACGTGAGGGAGAAGTGGGAACACGCACCAAAGCATGGAATAACGCTATCGGGATATTGTTCTGCAAGCTTGCGCACGAGAGGCTGATCGCTTGCGCGCGTGGCCATTGCACACATTCGGTGAGACATGGCGGTCATCGCCTCCGGTGGAGTTGGGGAGTCGGTGGGATGACAATGGACATCGACGATATGCGCGAGTATAGAAGGATCGGGGAGAGGGTGTAGATCGTGCGCCATGGTAGGTGCAGTGCAGGAGTCGCTCGGGTGTAGAACAGTGAGGTCGGACAGAGCGATGTGGGTCGGCAGTGCTTGCAAGGTATCAAGTTACGTGCCAAGGAGTAGAGGATAAGTATTCTCCGCTGCTGCCTCGGGTGAGAATCGTAGAATAAAGAAACCAGGAATTGTAATGATAATATTCACTCACGAGTCGTCTTATAACACGGTGTATAATGTCGCGGATGAAAGTGCTCGAGGCAGAGTAAGTAATTTGGCTTCAGTCGACGATTGCATCAGAGACACTCAGAGATCATATCGCGATCGATCGCGATCTCCCGCTAGATCCCGCATGTTGCCGCCGGTGCTTGACTCGATGATTTGCTCTCGAGCACTCCGGCCTCCATGCTTGCTTGTCTACACAAACTCAAATCACCCCCGCGACTGCCATTCTCTGTCTCTCGCCTCATCATGGCTCGCGGTCTTAGCATCGATATCTCCCCGCCTGTGCATCGCGGGATGAAGGAGCTGGACAAAAGCGCCTTCTGCACGTCAGTGACGGTCCTTGCCGCCAAGGTGCCTCCGGCAAAGGCGGGCAAGCTGCTAGCTGCCAACGAGTTGAAAACGTATGTGCGATGCTCCATCAACAACAGTGGCTGTCGCTTAAATAAGAGCATGTCGTCAGCTTGCTCTTAGGCTTGAAGAGGGTAAAGAGCGTTGTGCCATTGGAGGACGGGAATAGGCTTGTGCTCTTGGGGTGCCAGGAACAAGGTGCTTCGCTTTCATCTCTATCTCGCTCTGGTAGAGTGGCTGATGCCATGGCAAGCCAGGCGAATTGCCGCCTGAAGCACAAGAATACCTTAAGCAAGAATCAGCAGAGATTGTGCCTCACAAGCTAGACCTAGACTACGACTATTGGATTGCAGGTAAAGACTCCGGCATGTACTAGTCGGATAATGCTTACCTGCAATGTACTGGGAGATGATATCTTGGCCTCCATCCTTCCCGAGGAGCTCGTGGAAGAGGCTCCGTCTGGATTCGCCTCTGTCGGCCACATAGGTATGTGTGTCATGCCTAGTAGTGTGTACTACACTAATCGGATATACAGCGCATCTCAACCTTAAAGCCGAATATCTTCCGTACAAGCATATCATAGGTCAAGTAATTCTTGATGTTTGTACAGATCCAACGTATGTCGTGTTCCATAGACTCACCGCCTTTGCAGAAAAATGCGGGCCATATCCGATCCGTCGTCAACAAAACGAGTACGATTGACACCAAGTACCGCGTCTTCAAGATGGAACTACTAGCCGGAGAGTCCGACTTTATCGTATGCCATGTCAGTCGCTCCGTTGCTGAAAATGACGGAACCATGAGCTCACGACGCGTTCTAAATAGCATGAACAAAACTGCCAGTTTACGTTCGACTTCAGCGAAGTTTACTGGAATTCGCGGCTGCATACAGAGCACGGTCGCCTTGTCGATTCATTCAAGCCAGAAGGTGTCGTAGCCGATGTCTTCGCGGGGGTAGGCCCCTTCGCTATCCCGGCGGCGAAGAGAGGCTGTGGTGTCTTCGCTAACGATCTGAACCCAGCAAGTTATAAATACCTCAAACAGAATGTCAAGGACAATAAGGTTAGTCCAAGATTCCCAGATCATCTCCTTGGCTTGGCATGCGTCTTTTACTTCCTTCCCAGAGAGAAGTGAGAATTGATGCGACTCTTATTCAACAGGTAGCAGAGCTCGTGAGACCATTCTGCGAAGACGGCCGGAGTTTCATCCGCTCGGTATTCAATCGGGCATTCGATGGTCCCTTCCGAGACCCTCCACCCAAGAAGAACAGCGCACAGCTGAGGCAGGAACGCCGGAAAAAGTTCCAAGAAGAACGTGAAAGGAAGCGGTCGCCGGAGCGCTTTTACAGCTCGCCACCACCGGCGCCACGGCGGAGGCGCATCACTCAGTTCGCGATGAATCTGCCCGAATCGGCCATCGAGTTTCTAGACGAATTCCGTGGCGTGCTAGCATCCGCGAACGGAGGCGAGCGGGCTTTGAGCGGGCTTTACGGCGCAGAGGACTCGGAGGCCATGCCGATGATACACTGCTACTGCTTCACCCGAGAGCTGGAGCCAGAAAAGGCTGAGATCGATATCCGGCAGGTACGGAGTATCCCATTTCTCACCATCGTCGGCGTTGCTAATGCAGGTACATCTGCCATTTGTTGTCATAGAGAGTGGAGGACAAGTTGGGACATTCGCTCGGGCAGGAGACATCATACCACTGGGTGCGGTCAGTCGCGCCAAGCAAAGAGATGTACTGTATCAGTTTCCGGCTACCTCACGCAGTGGCGTTCGCTGCGTGAGGACAGCCCGGCGGCAGTACCATATTCGTTCTGCTCACGATGAAGCTGAGAAGTGCAGTCGCGTCGCGACGAGTTGCGTGAGAGCGAGAAATCACCTGCGCTTCTGCTATCAGTTTTGGCTGTCTAAAATGTGCTTACGTCAGCCCTCTAACCCCGCAATGCAACATGCACGAGTCAAGCCGACTGCATCCCCGCAAGCTCAACCTTGCCAGCTCATCGCTTTATTTCCGCTCATTATTCCGTTCCGCCCTGTACGGCGGCACGCTGTCCTCGCTGTCCTTAGACTCTCGTGCTTTCCTGCTCTAGACTACACTACGCGGACCGTCGTATACTCGAGTCTACATCTCTAGAGTTTGATATAGCTGTGTCTGTCCTAGAACGGCGATACCCCTCCTGTACTGTGAAGATTGTCTGACGCTCGCCAGCTGTTGAACTCCTCCCCCGAACGTGAGGCTTGACAATGTTTCCCTTCACGCTGCCGCGCATCTTCCCGACCGTGCACGCTGACTCGGATGAGCTCGCGGTCTCTGCACGCACGGTCTCAACTTTACGACACGTCCGGAACGCCATGGCGGTCCCCGAGACGGAGATTAAGCGGTGGAGGCGCGCCTTCGATGTGAACGCGCAGACGGTGGTGGACGGGCAGAAGTACGTCGCGCGGGTGCCACGCTCATGTGTGCGAGGGCGGGTTGACACATCGTGCGCAGGTACTTGAGCAGCGAGCAGTTCGTGAACGCGATCGCGCCCTCGGGGGACTTGACGAAAATTGGCCGGCAGCAGTTCGCGATCTTGTTCAAGGTCGCGGACTCGAGCAAGCGGGGCGCCGTGTCCTGGGACGACTTCGTGGTGTTCGAGACGTTGCTGAAGAGGCCTGATGCGGACTACTGGATTGCTTTCCAGTACTTTGACGTGTACGTCTTTGCCTGCTGGCAATGTGCCTGTTGTTGAGCTTTTCTGGACGTTGCTTGCGCTAGAGATGACTCGGGCACCATCACTTTCGATGAGTTCAAGAATGTCTTCAATGCTAATGTTGGGACACACGCTATCCCATTCGATTTCGACAGGTACGTGGCGATTGATTCCTTTCGCCTGCTCGTTCTGACATACTTATAGTGACTGGGTAAAGCTTTACCTTGGTACCAAAAATGGACAACACGTCCTCGGATGTAGGTAATACGCCCAGCCGATTCAGATACAGCTGATGACATTGGACACAGACAACGAGTTCACTCAGTTGATGAAGGGTCTGCAAGGCGAACGGCTACGTCAATCATTCAAGTACCTAGACAAGGATCGGGACGGTTTCATTCTCCCAGAAGAGTTCAAGAGGATCATCCTAGTACGTGGAGGTAGTTCTGTCTGTTCTCTCGTCCTCTTACTGGTTTACACCTGTAGGAAATTGCTGGACATAAACTATCCGAGGCTACCATAGAGCGACTGCCGACACTCACTGTCCTTTCCCCTGGGGGCCGGATTTCATATTCTGAAGTCATAGCGTTCCATAATATTATCAGAGGTGGGCAAATTTGAACTCTCGAGTCAAGCCAATGAAGAGTGTAAATGATGCCTCCGATAGAGATGGACATGATCGAGCGGTAGGTGTCTTCGCTCTGTGGGTCATATTGTGAGCGGGTTCTGACGTTGTAATGTTCAGTATCATCCGTGAAGCGATCGCGAAGTCGAAAGATGGGCGAATTGACCAATCGGACTTCTTGAATTACTGCGAAACGAGCACCCGCTATTCCCTGTTCACGCCTATGGAAGCACAGATCATTTTCCACTTCGCGGGCCGTGGCAACCCGATGCAACGCCTGGCCTTGCTAGATTTTGCGTCGTTGCTTGATCCGCGGTGGCGGGCGCCCTTGGAGCGGCACGAAGAAGAGACTCCGGCTACGACATCGTTCGTACATTCGGTTGCGCATTCAGTATATAACTTCGTGCAAGGAGGTAAGCGTTGCTGTGCATGATGTTTCTATGAGACGTGATGCCATGTCTGATTGACAGGCTTCGCCGGTGCTTTCGGTGCGACCATCGTATACCCAATTGACCTCGGTGAGTGCATGCGCTTCGAATCGATAAGTGATGATACTCATATTTCCTGTTAGTCAAGGTACGTCGGTGGTGGCCCATGTTCTCCATTAGTTCTCATCGCAATGATTGTAACTTGCATAGACCCGGTATGTTACGTTTCTTGCAACTCGATGGCGGAGAGTTCACATGTCATTTCTTCAGTATGCAAAATCAACGCAGTTCAGTCGTTGGACAATTGCTGTACAAGAACAGTCTCGACTGTGTCAAGAAAGTGTTCCGCAACGAAGGCTTTGTAGGATTCTACCGGGGATTGGGACCACAGCTGATTGTGAGCGCTGATCCCGTTGATACGCGTCGACGTCGCTAACCGATTATGGCAGGGTGTCGCACCAGAGAAGGCAATCAAATTGACAGTCAATGACTTTGTCCGGTCTCGTGCTATGGATCCTGAGACAGGCAGGATCAAATTGTTCTGGGAATTGGTCGCTGGTGGTACGGCTGGCGGTTGTCAGGTGGTATGTAGGCTTGTATTGCGATACAGCGGCGTGGATAGGCTGACGTATGCTGTCCAGATATTCACGAACCCCCTCGAGATCGTGTAAGTAGCGTGTGAACATTTAGACACGAGGCGGTGCTAACGGAACCACACAGAAAGATCCGTCTCCAAATCCAAGGCGAAGCTGCCAAGCTCGAGGGGGCCGCACCGAAGGGTGCAGCTCACATCATCCGTCAACTTGGTTTGCTCGGTCTGTACAAGGGCGCTAGCGCCTGTCTGCTGCGTGATATCCCGTTCTCGGCTATCTACTTTCCGGCATACTCACACCTAAAGAGGGACGTGTTCCACGAGGGCTACAATGGGAAACAACTGTCATTCCTCGAGACGTTGGCGTCTGCTGCCATCGCGTACGTGTCTTATACATCTGTCCATTCATTTGGCTTGATGCATAGCCTGTTACTGACATACGGCACGCCGAAATGGCTATCATGATGCAGTGGAATGCCCGCCGCATATTTCACGACACCTGCAGGTGGGGTTGCTCGCCTGTGCGTAGCCGATGAGAATATGCTGACGGGGGCTATGTAGACGTGGTAAAGACGCGGCTGCAGGTAGAGGCGCGTTCGGGACAGACGACATACAAGGGCATGGGTGATGCGTTCGTGAGGATCTGTGAGTGCTCCACTGCGAATCGGGCGTGTCAGCGTCGATTGACGGGGCCGAGCCAGACCAAGAAGAAGGCTTCAAGGCGTTCTTTAAAGGCGGACCGGCTCGAATCATTCGAAGCAGCCCACAGTTTGGATTCACACTGGTCGCGTACGAGTATCTTCACAAGGTTCGTTCTCATAGAGACCATGACGGGAGGCAGAATGCTGACACGCGATTGGTTGCCGCAGTTCTTCCCCGTAAGTGGTGATGTCTATTTCGGGGATATCGGGGACGCTGATTGGCTCGGCAGTATCCATTCAACGGGCAGGGCAAGGAGATCGAGACCGCGTACACCAGCCAACCAGAGGACCTGGCCAAGATTCGCGCGCGAAATGCGCTCAAGATTCTGCTGGACGTGCATGGTGACTTCGGGCGGCGGACGACATGATGTTGGGTGCTGTGTAGCTGTGTGGACTACCGTACTTCTGTTCTTATTGGTTGCTGTGCGGAATATCATGCATCTATCCGATTCCTTTCGAATGGGTTGCTGGTCTTGATGATTCCCAAGGAGTGACAGGCCGGCCAATGGGGGGCCGGACTTGAAGCCAACGAAGCGCCAAGTCGTCCGCCGTAGTCTCCCAGACGACACGATCAACTGATACCGTTCCTCGATGCGGGACCTCCGTCGCGTGTGCTCACCGTATCTCATATAACCGCCAAAATGCCTTCGTCGCCCTCACCCCCCTCCCCTAGCCTTCGGTTTTCTTTCTTCTCACTTTCCTTTTGTTTTTAAGCGGTAAGCAGCAATGTTCCACATCGTCGACCCGAAAGATACTCATGGCCCCCGCAGAGTGCTTTGCGTCCGTCGCATAGCTTTCCGCATTTTTGCCGCTGCTAGCCAGTCCCGCTCAGCGTAGACCGCTTTCCCAGTCGTTCATTCAAGCTACCTAGTCGCTCTGGTTATCGCAGGCTCCAGCAACCGTTCTATCTTGCCCCTTTGACGTTCTTCGACATGCATTCGGTACTCCTCGGGCTTTCTCTTGTCGGTACGGCCGCCGCCCAGCTTGCGGTGAATGGATGGTCCTCGGTACCGTCCAGCGTCGCGTACGCGGCGCCAACTGCGTACGGTTCTGCTTCGCCTAGTGCGTACGGATACGGCTACGCCGCACCAGCCTCGTCTGCAGGCGGCTCAGCACCTGCTGCCTCGACCGCTGCCGCTACTTCATCTGCGCCGGCCTCGCAGTACACGACACCTGCCACATATTCGTCTGAATCGATGATGCCGTATTCGTCTTTCATGGCTGGCGGTTACCAAAGTTTAGCCTGTGGGTATGGTTACACGAAGGCCAGCGACGGGTCCTGCCAATCACAATCTTGGGTGAGTCTGCGCGATCAAAGTAGCGCCGATCTTACCTGACGCGATCGCGCCTCTAAAAGTGGCAAACAACGGGGTGCTATGAAACTATTATTATTAACCATGAGTGAGCATCATTGGTATTCTCTACAAAAAAGTCCGAAATTCTGAGATGCATTACGTCATGAAGTGGATCGGGCTCTTGCAATCCCAGCTACGGCGGTGGCGGTTACGGGGGTTACACCGTCACGTCGACTGAATACGCGACAGTTACCCAAACAGCGGTATGTATTCTCGTTTTCCTTGCCCGGATCGAAGCGCTGAATGTCTGGCGTGTGTAGACACAGACCGTGCCCACGACGATCACTGTGTACGCGACTCTCACGGATATTCAGACCGACACGCAATCCGTGACACAAACACAAACGGACTTCGTAACATTAACATCAACGCAGCTGGTGCCCACAACATGGACATACGTCTCGACCGATATTATTGACAACACGAGGACAGTTGAGCAGACGGTCACAGCAACCGCTACCAGCACACAGGTCAATGTGTACACGCAGACCGACTTCAAGACCGCGACCGCGACGGAGACGCAGAAGGAGACTGAGACTGACTTCATGACAGCGACGATCTTTAGCACCATTGTGCAGCCGACAACGTACACCAGTGTCTACGTCAGCACGCAAGTGATCGACAACGTGAGTGGCTGCTGGGGTGCACCCGTAGAATTGCTCCTGATACCCTTCTGTAGACCAAGACACTGGAGTTCACGCAGACGGCGACAAAGACCGACAATATCACCCTCGTCTCCACTGCGACGCAGACGCAGATTATGACTGACATGGTGACGGTCACCTCGGTCAGCACGCTCGTGGAACCCACGACGTACACATCTCTGCTTGTCAGCACGCAAATCGTGGACGAGGTAAGGATTTCAATTTTGGCCTATAGGATCTGATGCCCATGATGGCTCTCGTAGACACAAACTGTGGAACAGACGTACCTCCAGACTGTGACGGAAGACAGGACCTACTTCCAGACACAGACGCTGTTGTCCACTGCGACGGCGACAGCCACCGCGACCCTGACCGACACCGCGACGGCAACGGAGACAGATGTCCTCACGGAAATGGAGACAGTCACGCAGCTGAGCACCATCGTGCAGCCCACTACCTACATCTCGATGGTCGTCAGCACGGAGGTCATCGACAACGTACGTAGTGTATCCTATGAGCCATTTTGCAGCAGACTGATGCGATTTGGGCAGACGCGGACTGTGGAGAACACAATCGTTTCCACCATGGTCGAGGACAGGACGTATATCCAGACCCAGACGCTGCTTTCGACGGCAACTGCCACAGCAACTGCCACTCAGACCGACTTCGAGACCGAGATGGTCACCGTGACGCAGATCAGCACGCTCGTGCAGCCCACGACGTACATCTCGACATTCGTAAGCACCTATGTCAATGAGCAGGTATGCATGGTGTCCGAACTTAGACCGCAAGCGTCTGATAAATGAATGTGCAGACAAGCACCGTGGAGGAGACCATGACCGCCACGCTCACCCAGGACATGACCATACTCCAAACGCAGACGCTGACGCAGACCGCGACTGCTACCGAGTTCTCAACTCTGACCGCCACGGCCACCCAGACCGTGACAGACACCATGCTTGCGTCATGCCTTAACTCGGTCAGGACACTATCTACATCGTGATAAACGCCCGTAGCTGACTTGTAGCGTCTGCAGTGCAAGAGCAGCTATACCCTGACCATGGGCAATGGCTACAGCTGGAACACTTACGCAACGCCTAGCGCCTCCAGCACGTGGATGAGCACCGAGACCGCAGCTGCAACCTCTGTCGTGGCGAGTTCAAACTGGTGGGGCGCCAGCGCTAGCTCATCTGCCAACTGGTGGGGAACAAACAGTGCAGCTGCTACTGCCGTCAGTGCCAGCTCCTCTGCATCCGGCTGGGCGGCATCGAGCACCGCTGGAAGCTGGAGCGCCTCGAACGCGAGTGGCAACTCGGCGTCCGGCGGCTCGAGCTGGTCAGGGAAGTCAGGATGGTCTCGCTCGTCATGAAGTTTTCCGTGATTCCTGCGGTGGTGATGGACTCGTCGACGGACTCTCAGGCCGGCTGCTCTAGCGTATCATATTGCTTAGTATGTCTGCCTCAGCCTTTCTTAAATATCGCACGGACCTCTGTTGGTATAAGTAATAGCGTAGCACACACCCCCGTTTTCTGTTTGCCTCTGATTCTCGGACACTCTGGTAGCTTTTCGTCTCTTCTTTATTCTGCTTGGCGCACATGTATATTTGGCATGCGCATTCGTTCGTTGTAGCGATGCCTCTGTACAGTGATTGCAGCGCCCGTGATCGGTGTAGTGAGCGTCGTGAGATGGAAACGAGTTGCCGAAGAGGGACGGCCGCATGACCGGATGTCGACATGCGCGGCACCGTATGTTTTTGCGACCGTCCGGCACCTCTTGCGATCGACTCGTGGAGAAGGTCATTCTCCTTAAGCGTGATCGGAAATTAACGGTTCTTTCCATCGCAGGAGCGCCAGGAAATGGCGAGAGCACGCCAGAGCACGCACAATCTCCGGGGCCATCGAGTCTGAATCATTCCATATCTGTCAGTTCCACCATGACCCTGCGCGAATGCCAAGACCCAACAGATCCCTCCACGCTCCGACACGGCGTCCAGGAAGATTTCGTGATTTTCTATGCATCTCGTGATGAATGCGGGAACCTTTGGTGTCCAGTAAGGGCTTATTTTTGATGATCGAGGCGACGCCAAAGCCTCGGCAAGCGTCCTGAAGTGTGCTGATAACAACCCCCGCTGCGCTGCAGGACTGCGTTGCCGTCGAGAGCCGTGTCAAGAATGCATTTGGACGGGATGACGGCCGTTCGGCCGTTATAGTCTACGTTGGGCAGAGGCCTGAGTGGGTATTGGCATTCTCTCCAGACAGCTGAACCCTTACTCTGAATAGGTGGAAAAGTCTGTCAAATCCTTTTCGAGCAGACCCGTGGAAGGTGGAGTCAATCCCTACGATAATCAAAGTTCGAGATGTGAGCGTGCACTGTATCTAGGACTGTCGAGCGCTGAAGTTGACGATGTTCCACGCTCTTCCTTCAGGGCGCACGTCTCGTGGACAAGGATATAGAACATAGCCTTGCCTCGTTCCTCGAGTAAATGTGTACTAAACGCTGATGTGGGAAACTTCGGCTATGGGAATGAACACGACTTTGTGCATTCTCCGCCGAAAACGCACGTTGGAGAGCGCCAGTCTATCCGCTGTATCTGCATGTCGAACGAGGGCGCCTACCAAGTGTCTGTTAAGTCGTACGCTGACTACTTGATCTAGGTCGCGGCACAACCTACACGGCTCGAAGCCGTCCATTCCAGCGGCCCCAGTTGCCAAATACCGGGCGCGCATACACTAAGAACGCCTTCTTCTTGCAAAGCTGGCGCAATCAATAGTGAACCAGCTGAGGCAGGACGCCCACCACATGTCCTGCCCGACGGCGCTACTGTAATAAGGGCTATATCGAGAATTTCGATTCGTCGAAGAGATGCTCATTTCTATCTCCGGCCTCACGCTTAAGTGCAACACTGCCTCTGGGAGATATCCGGATATGCGCCCCCCACCCAGTGCCCAACCCCCCCGACCATGTCTCCCAACGGCGATTTCTGTAGCGACATCGCTGTCGACTCCAAGCGCTCCATTAATGGATCGTCACGCAGCTGGAAGGAGACGGCGAAATGGAAGGTCAGAGAGCGAGAGGCTCTTCTAGATCGATTCCAGGGGTGGAGATTGCAGGTGCCAGTACCGGATTCCAGAACAGACGTTTCCGCCATCCCAACGTCTCAGCTCACTTCTCGCGAGAAGGAGATTGTCTTACAGGACGCGACGTCGCTGGTGGAGGCCCTTCGTGATCGCCGTTATACTGCTGTCGAAGTGCTCAAGGCGTTCTGTCACGTTGCGACGATCGCGCAGGATCTCACCAATTGCCTGACAGAGATCATGTTCGAAGAGGGGCTACAGAGAGCGGCGGAGCTTGATAGGCATTTAGAGGAAACGGGCCAGGTGGTCGGGCCGCTGCATGGTCTCCCAGTGTCAATCAAGGATCACATACGAGTCAAAGGTCATGATACGTCAACCGGGTATATAGCGTGGGCGTACAAGAAGGTCGCCGCGCATGACGCCGTGGTGGTCGACATACTGCGCAAGGCCGGAGCTGTGATCTACGTGAAAACAGCCAATCCGCAGACATTATTGGTCCGTCCCTTCCCTGGCATTTGAAAACCCCCAAGGCACGTTGCTGATCTAAGTCCCGCACGCAGTCGCTCGAGACGCACAACAATATCTATGGTCGGACAGTAAACCCTTTTAATAGACGTGAGCCATCTAGTCACATCTTTGCAAACCCTACTCAATCGCCGATCATGGTTCAGGGCTCACTCCGGGCGGCAGCAGTGGAGGCGAGAGTTCGTTGATAGCTGTCCACGGCAGCCCGATGGGGATCGGCACGGACATCGGTGGATCGATTGTGAGTGACCTGTCAATTTTGCAGACTTCGCTTCGTGAATAACAAATGCTTCATAGCGTATACCCGCTGCTCACATGGGTCTCTACGGTCTGAAAGGTTCCGTCGGTAGACTACCCCATGCCGGTCTGGAGGGTTCCCATGACGGGATGGATGCAGTTGTGGGGGCCCTGGGTCCTCTGGCCACATCCGCACGGGACCTGGCCCTGTTTTGTCGGGTGATGCTGCAGTATGAGCCGTGGCTGGTGGAGCCGCCGCTATTGGAGATGCCATGGAGACAAAACGTGATCGATGGTGTAGGCATCCCGAAGCAGCTGTCGATCGCAATTATGTGGGACGACGGTGTCGTCACCCCGCACCCTCCCATCCTCGACGCCCTGAAGCGCACGAAAGAGGCCTTGATCGCCGCAGGGCATGACGTGATCACCTGGGAGCCTCTTGATCACCAGGAAGCGTGGGACCTCATTGTGAGCGCAGCGAATGCCTGGGCCCGCATTGTACTGACATCAGCCCTGAAGACCAGGCTGTACTTTCTCGACGGCGGCGAGGAGTACCGAGAGACCCTGAAAGGCGAGCCTGTGGTGCCGCAGTCTGAGTGGATCCTGTCGCAGGTCCCGAACGACGGCAAGCCGTTCACGATAGCCGAGACATTCAAACTCAACCTCGCACGGGAGACATTCAGAGCCAGGGTCGCTGCTCACTGGAACCAGACGGTACGGAGGACCAGCACGGGTCGACCTGTCGATGCTGTGTTGTGCCCTGCCGCGCCCACGCTGGCACCGCCACATGATACGACCCGATGGTGGGGTTACACCTCGTATTGGAACCTGATGGACTATCCGGCGGTGGTGTTCCCGACAGGCCGTTTCAAGGCGCGGGACTACACACCAACGGATGTTTCAGGCGAGCTTTCTCTTGGGATTACGCGTCCCCGGAATGCGGTGGAGGAGTTCGTCAGGGGACAGTGGGTGCCGAGGACATATGACAACGCCTCGGTTAGTTTACAGCTGATAGGGAGACGTCTGAACGAGGAACGGCTATTGGGCATACTTGGGGTTATGGAGGATGCCGTGCGTTGTTCACAGGTGGCATATTCTTAATCGGCGTGATCACTTATTGAGAATGATATCTTGGTGGTTTTGGTCACGGGTGGCGCAGTTTTACACCCATCAAAAACAAGCTCCGAGTGTTGCGTGATCGCAGTTCTAAGCAGCTGAATGCCCAACGGAGCATGCTAGGTGGCCGCAAGTCTCAAGAAGCCTGAATTGCGATCACTAAGCCGAAGGAATCATGGACTGTAAGCCCGACAGTGAACAACGTTAGCTAACGTCTCGGGCAAGTCAGCCTCATGGCCAAGAGGGTAGTGTCAACTACATCCCGGAACGCACAGGACTGCATCAATATTCGATGCCGTATATCGCGGACTCGGGTAAGATAGTGGGTTACGACAATATCTTACATACAAGACGTACTGATTAACATTTCCGACCCTTGTGGCGCGGACACAATCTCTGATTTGAAACTTGACACAGCAAGTAAGTCATCTCGGGATGCTCATGTGTACCATAGGGCTAATCGGTGAGCGTGCGACGGCGGCACAACGAGCTGAGACGGACTCGAATTGCGAGAAGGGCAAGAGGGCTAAGAGAGTAATAAGCGCATATGATCAGCCAAGCCTTTTCCAAGAAGCGCCACAAATGAGCTATGATCGGACAAGTCTACTGAAAATACATATGAAGACGTACGCGACCGTTGCTGGCGAGAGCGCTGCCACATATGCGATTTCTTGGGGCAAATGTGCCGCCCCATCAGCGCACCAGCGCGGTCGAGTCATCCGGGGATGACCAGCCTTCGTCATTAGCGTCCGTATGGATGCGGGAGATGACACAGCCTCTTGTATACAGCGCCTTCATTATTGAGTCGTGCTCCGTAAATTAAGAGGGACACGTGCCCGCTGCAGTGCAGTGCTCCCGTGGTAGCCGGGGGGGGGGGAGAGACGCCAAGACGTGAGCGGACGACTGCCGAAAGACCGCAGGCGGCGACGGTCGGGGGCAGAGACCGATTGCAGATCCTGCTACTGGGGATGATGGAAGCTGAGCCGATCGGAATGCAAAAAGTTGGAAGCCAGTGCGGGCTTCGCAGCACTAGAGGATATCAGAGCTGGAAGCAGGTCTGCAATCAATTTCGGATGATGGTCGCTGCGGAGGGGGGGCACAGCAGCGAGGGCAGCCAAGCGGTGGCCGTGCGAAAAATGTGGTGGCCACGAAAGCAGTTCACACATGTTCCACCACCCAATCCTGTTCACCCCTTTGGAGCTCAGTGCCAATCATAACCTGGCACCTGTTGCATAATGCAACTGCCAGTCTGGCTTGGCCTGCTAAGAGTCTAGCTTTCATTCTAGTCGCCAAACCCAAACATTTTCTTCCCGCCGCTGTCAGGGATATACGTCTAATCTTAAAGATATGTCGGACAGGCGGCCTGAGGCCCATTGGTGCGGTGTGACACCGACTAGATTGGGCCGATATTACCACCTGAAGTCCGGCTGCACGGCATCGCATGGTTTTGTCCTGCTATTTTCACGGTCAGAGCACCCACCGATGGTATCGCATGCACTCTTACGCCGGCGCACACTCGGGACCGAGCGCTCAAATCGGAGATGCGGGTTGGGTTGAAAATCGTGCCTGTCCTGCGCTCCGAACATTTGGCAACCGAGATGAACTGGAGATGGGCTGGGAATGGCGGTCGATTGCTAACCTAGCCGCTGCCAGTCCCGTCATCATCCCTTCCCTGACTCCCCGGTACTAGCCTCGGGCGCGCTACGTTACTCTATTTGTCACTGCCGTTGCAAATATCCACTGCCCATTTGTGCGGACATATAAGGGCCCGCCTGACATATGTTGCGCTCAGTTCCGCTGTTCCTCACCCGTCTCCTGTGGTATACTACAGCACACATCCTATAATCTGTACGTCGTCTCACACTGGGTTCATGTCCCCCACTCACCTTCTCCCAGCTAATCGCCAATGCCGGGTTTGAACGCTCTATCCTCGCGCCACACAGTGATCATTCAACATGACACTGCGAGCGACTACTTGGCATTGTCCTACCCTACATTGCGACGCCACGAAGCCTCTGCTAACATTGTCCTTGCCCATGCCCTGAAGCGCGTCAGCGCCGAGGCCGCCTTGAGCGGACACCAATTCATTAGCGACGCGGACGTGCACGAGTACCTGTCCACACTCGAGACTTCGCATTTATCCCCGCACACGACCAGCGACTCCTTCTGGCTCACCATGTGGAGCCTTGCGCCTTCTGCACCTCCGACACTAGATCTCGTCCTCACTTGCGTCAATTGGACGCTGGGCGAGTACCCCATCTTCCTTTGGACTCCTCACCATCCGAGCACTCTCACCTCGGAGTGGCTAATTCCCCGCATTACGCAGCTGGTGGGACACTTACGCTCATGTGTGCCCCCAGAACGGGTCTACTCCGTATTTGGAATGACACCATTGGTCAAAGCATTCGCACGACAGTGGACAGATGTGACTGGGTTCGCGGTCGAGCCCGAGCCATTTTATGCTGCCTACTTCTCCTTCTGTACGCGCCACATTTTCCAGGGCTCGGCTGCCGAGTTACCCGAGGGACACGTCCTGCGCCGCGCAACGCTGCATGATCTGGAGCCCGTCGCCCAGCTCTGCAAAGAATTCGCCGACGACACTGTGAGAGCGCATCCACCATTTCTTCCCGCTCCGATCACGTACTGACGTGCCTGTCGCCATGCTGACAGGTCTTTTTCCCCCTCTCCATCGAAAATGCGCGGATAGAAGCGCGTGAGCTGATCACCAAAGGCCAAATATGGGTCTACGACGCCAACGGGGTCATTACGACGATTTGCGCGGTCACGCGGAACTCGCAGCGCGTCTCCGCGATCACAAAAGTGTATACCACACCCGCATGGCGGAGGCGGCGTTGCGCGGAATTCCTGGTACGCGATGTCACCGCCCGGTACGTCGCATATGGCATCCGATCGTATTGTAGCACAAAGCTCATCGGACCGCTGGCAGGCTTCTGTTTGACTGTGGAAAAGAGCGTGTCGTGCTGTACGTCGGACATGACAACAACGCGCAGCGCGTCTACGACCGGGTCGGATTTGCCGGCCTGTGCGGCAAAGACAAGCCGCAGGGCGTTGAAGACTCTATTGAGCTCGGATTCGTCGGGACGAACAGAGGCCATTGGTAACCTTTACAGTTCTTTCCCAAGACATTTTGTGCATTCAATCAATGAACGTGCTGGACCGGCTTCACTGAGTAATGTATCATTAGCATATTATATTTATAGTGCCTTTCTGTTCAAATCCACTCTACTGTCGACTTGCTACCATACCCACCTGTTGTCTTGTAGTATTTGACACTCACAGTATACAGTAATAATGCAGGGAAATATTATATGCTTGCGTCTCCTGTCGAGTGTGCGCGTAATTGTCGTCACCATATGCTGATCGCGGTGACGCGATCGAATATAAGGGCGAAGAGATGGGATCGAGAGTTCCCATCCCGGGTGCTTCTCAGAAGGTTTGGTGCATTTGGAAGTCGCAACATCTATACTGCCACTAGCCGATCCTGTTCGGGCGGGTGACTCGCCACTTGGGGGACGTTGACAAGAATGATTGCGCAACTATAGAATTTGATTAACCTTGTTGCGCAAGCCTAGAGCCACGGCGGGATAGGACAAGCTTTACAGATCGGAGCGCAGGCCGTCAAGCCCGCCTGAAATCTCCGCTCTTGCCCCCTATCTTCTCAGAGACCACTATATCGCCTATCACCATCTCTTTTCCAGCGACAGCCTTCAGCATGTCCCACACGGTTAACAGGCCAACCGAGACTGCAGTCAGGGCCTCCATTTCTACCCCAGTCTTGCCCTGGCATGACACCTCCGCGCGACAGACAATACTGTAGATCGGCCGCTCTGCCTCACGCGGGCGGCACGCTCTGACATCGCGATCTCCGATGACATTCCCGCTGCTCTCGGCTTCGCGCCCTGAGGATCCGGAAGGTGATCGGTGAACTTCTGGCTGCAAGACTACGGCGACATGGGAGAGCGGCAACGGATGGCAGAGTGGGATTAGATCGGAGGTACGCTTGCACCCCATGATGGCGGCGAGCTGCGCCACCGTGAGCACGTCCCCCTTCGATCGCGCCTTGGCCTTGGCCCTGTCTAATGCGGAGATTGCATCGTTCGCATCGTTCGCATGCGGTGTGGGGTATGTCTTGGTAACGAGGTCGTAAGCGACTTCTGGAATGTAGATGCGTCCGGTCGCAATTGCGCTGCGCGCAGTCGGTTCTTTGTCAGAAACGTCCACCATCGACGCGCGTCCGGACGCGTCAAGATGCGTCAGCTGTGGCGCTGTGCGAGCGTCGTTCTGCGGAAGAGAGTACGTGCTGAAACATCGGGCGGCGGAAGACCCCTGGTATTCTGAATGGCCAGGGCTCCATTTTGATGTGAAGATGGGTTGTATGAATGGCGTACGCCGACGCTTCGCGTCATTACGGAGGCCTAAATAAGAGCACGGACGGATCAGCACGGTTATAGACGTGCAACGGCTGTCACAGACGTTGATCTTAAGGGAAGAAACGGACTCAACCTCCTATGAGGATCATGGGCCGATTGGTGACGACGTCAATATCCTCCATCCCGGCGTGCTTTTCCTGCTTTCCCCGCACCGCGTGCCCAATCGTCCTCAGAAGTTCATCATCCGTCGCTCCCTCGCGCATTTGGTCCCGCAGCGATATCTCCTTGGCGTCAAACAGGCAAACCTAAAACCAGATGTGCCTCGTGAAATCGCACGTGATTCCGAAAATATTGGCTGGTGAGAACGGTTCTTACCTTGATCTGACCGTCGGCCGTGAGACGGAGTCGATTGCATGACCCACAGAAATGATCGGACATGCTGCTGATGAAACCAAAACTGCCTTTGTAGCCGGGAGTGATGTAAGACCGCGCTGTGTCGTTGAGTTCGTCAGGAGCCTTGATCGTGCTTGGGTGCTGTCTCTGGATGTGAGACAGTAGTTCGGACGAAGGTACCATTTTCGCTTTATCCCATTTGTTGCCTACGGTAGGATGAATAGATGAAGCTGCGGTAGCGATGATAGGCACGTCACCTGTGAACGGCATGAATTCAATGAAGCGAACCGACAAATTCTGGTCTTTCGTCAACTCTAGAAAATCGAGAACCTCGGCGTCGTTTAGGCCTTTGACCACTACCACATTCAGCTTTACCGATCGCAACCCTGATGCGAGTGCGGCTCGTAGCGAGCGCAGCACCGCGTCATGGCCCATTCGGCGAGTCATGATTTCAAACTTGAAGGGGTCCAGCGTGTCTAGACTATTGCAAGAATAGTGGTCAGCACTTGCTTTACCAATTGCCGAGGATACTAAAAATACCTCAGATTAAGATGCGTAAGACCATTCTCGACCAGGGTCGGCAAGCGACGCTCCAGGGCGATACCGTTGGAGGTCATGCCTATTGACTTGAGACCATGCCCACGCAATTCGTTAAGACGAGCTGCCCATGACGTGAACAACCAGGCTATTTCTCGAAACATCTGGGCTGGACACGTACCCACGACGTCGACCAACCCCTTGCGCACAGTAGGCTCGCCGCCGGTTAATCTGATCTTGGTGACACCGCTTTTGACGAATAAAGTGGCAAGGCGGATCACCTCATCATCCGTTAGAATGTGCTCGCGCGGAGACAGCTCGATGCCGTCGCCCGGCATGCAGTAGAAACCTGGGCGTTTGACGAGCTGCATCAGGGAGATGTAACCACTGCAACGAGATCGCTCGGACACACATCTGAGATTGCATCGCTCGGTGAGAGATATCCGTAGGTAGTCATGCCGGCGGTTGAACGAATCCACTAGGGAGGGGGAGACGGGGCGCTGGGTATCAATTGCGGCGAGCCTCTCCTGTGGGCCGGGATCAGAATCTGGGAAGCGGATGTGGGTTCGCGCTATCGACACATGCCTTGGCTCTGGCTCGGACGTCCTGGCCAAGAGAAACGACCTCCGTTTGTCCAGGGGCCGAAAGGGCCGTGATCGTACGGCGAGAAGTCTTCCCGCGCAACTTGATATTGGGACGAGGTCGCCAAAACATGGCGGCAGGTCGACTGCCTGGTGGATGCGAGTCAAGAGCGGGACGCAAGGCTTTGGAGTGTGACGATGCGCATACAGTCAGTTATCTGTCTATGTATGTTTCGGCAGATCGGCAAAATCCTCACGCCCAGCGAACACGTTTGTACCTGTCTTCCGTGTCCAGCAACTCCGTGGTTCGCCGGGGGCGGGAGAATATCGTAGTCTACTGGTGTTTCTGCCGGTCTACTAGATGAAGAGGGCAAAAACAAAAGATCGAATGAACGGAATGAGTGTCGTCGACTGAAGATGGCGCAAACCAACGCTGGGCGCTGAGGGAGATGGGGATCTCAAGCCCCTCCTCACCGCGCGCTTATGCATGATCATAATTCGATGCGGGGTAAAATGACCGATCGACTTCAAAATTAAATCGATATTCGCATCAACAATTTACGCTTCGCCTAACTTGCAGGTTGGATCCCAAGCGGCCCTCTCCTGCAACCCGCGTAGCCATATATTACGGGTCTTCAGGGTGGAAATGTACACGTATACAACCATGTCTACCTTTGATCATTACCAATAGATACGCGAACAATGTCAATTTGCAACATTAAAGCCCCCGCAGCCACATCTCGTGCAATGACCAGCGCTCGGGTCGGTCCTCATTCAGTCGTATGCGGAAGTATCTGCCAGTCGCACGCAGGTGCAGCGCGGTCGACGCGACGACCATCTGAATGCTGCACTCGCGCAAGGCTCCGCGTGTCCCTGGGGCGCCGGCTTCCCCCGCAAGCAGCTTAGTATCATCACAAATCGGGCGTTGTGATGCTTCTCGCTGGTTACAAATTACAACGTCAGCATAATCGACGCGGTGGGAAGGCAATGCGCACCCAGTGCTCCCCATCCGCGGATGACGCGAAGGTGCTCGCCTGCAGGAGCTTCTCCGTGTCTCTGTCGACGAGCAGCACCATCTCGACCGTCTGCCACTCATGGACACTGCTGATGTCAGCTAAGATATCGAGGACAACCGTGTCGCCTTCTTTACCATCTACAGCAAAGCAGTCAACCAGGTGATGTCAGTGCGGTCCCGATGCACGCACCACCAAAGCTCTGGAACGCAGTGTCCGGGCGAGTATCCACAGCGTGCGACAACGGGTACGTCTCGTAACGCTGTTTGCCTTCCTCGCCTATCACTGCGAGGTTCTGGGCCTCGAGGGAAAGAATGCGATTGATGCTATTGCTGGCGTGCGCGATATTTGCGGGGAGCACGCGAATATTCGTCTCGAGCACGCATGCGGCTCCGCGGCACGCGGCACGCGTCCACGATGATGGGAGCGGGTGCGCGGCTAGGGATGTGTACGGGACCTTTACGCGCGCCGGTGTTGCGTTTAGCTCAGCCTGGTCGCACGATGCAGCTCCGCATTTCGCAAGGGAGTCGAGATACTCCGCCGCCCTGAGCTGCATCAGAATTGGACACGCGATGAGCGCGAGAGACAAATGACTAGAAAGGGTGGTACTCACGATGTGCTTCTTGTTCCTCTCTTCCCCATCTGAACCAACGGTGAACGCATGCCCGCCCCCTAATCCGAAATCCTGATCAAACCATGTCTCCGGAACGCGGTTGCCAAGAATTGCGAAGTAGTTGTCCGCCATTTTCATCTCGTCCTGCGGCACGCGGAGGCGGCGCAGCAATGCGAGGAACTCCTCGGACTTTGTGCGGTGCATCATCGTGCCGTGTCCGAGCCAGGCAAAGGAGGTGTGTATGTCCGAGATGTGCGATGAGTCAGATTTAGGGACGTGGGTCTCGCGTAGTGCGCTGGAGAGATGTTCGTGGGGTGGAAGAAGGTGGATGGCATGTGGGCCGGCGGACTCTTCGATGCGGGTGCGAAGGGCCTTGATGATTTCCGGCCGAATGAGATAGTCGTCGTCCTACAAATTATCGACGCTATGGAGATGAAACGCATCCGGGCCGCAGAAGATCCCCACCTGAATGAAGCAATACGGCGTGCTTGCTCCAGCGCAGGCCAGAAAGCGGCCTTGGAAGTACATGTTCCCCGGTGCATTGATGATTCTGAGCTTGCTCCTTCTGCATCCGGTGATTTTCAGATCTTGCTAAAGGCCTACTTGCATGAGACGATCGAGCAGAACGGGCGACACCCATACCTCATACGAAAGCTGCCTGGGGCTGTTGTTCCATATCACCACCTCCGCGATCGTGTCCTCCAGCCATGGTCCACAGAGCAGAGACGTGATGAGCAGGGTATTGGGAAAGCGAGCCCAATTCAGTAGGACGGCGGTCGTGTCCGGGGTGCCCGTCGTGACATTGTGCACGCGCTCGTAGTTGTCAAAGTCTGCGGCCTCGTCGAAGCGGTAGGTCACGGGGAACGTCTGGGGGACAAAGCCGATGTCCTTGAGCACAGGCAAGAACTGGTTCGGAGGCGTGACCTCCTCCTTCTTCGGGAAGAAGCGGTTCACCGCGACGGAGAGGAGGGCTGGAACTGCGACGGTGACGAGCGTGCGGAGAACCTGCCGCAAGGTGAACATGCTCGGAGTAGAGCGAGCGCGAAAGCGTTGGCGCAGCCTCTGCGGACAATGTCGAGGCAAAAGTCTGAAAATGTTGTGTGCCTGACCCCGCGCTTCTCCAGGGCGCACACAGACGCCCACTTCCAGCGCCGGCGGGAGCCACGTGGGATGCGCCTGCTACCCCGCACGTCATCTGACCCGCGTATGCGTTGCGCTTCGCTCAAACGCCGCATCCGCCACCTGTTACCCGCCTCGTCCTGACCGTTCGTCCCTCTGTGCACCACATCGTTCTTTGTCTGTACTACCCATCTCACCATGTTTGCTCTGCGTAGTGCTCAAGTTCTCAAGCCGCGTCTGGTTACGGCGGAAGCGAGGAGGGCCATCTCGGTGCAGGTAAAGTCATCTGCTGACGCGCTGTCGCCGTGGGGCTGACCACTGACAAGCCCACTCGCATTCAGTCCATACTCCATGGCTCGCTAGAGGCGAAGCAGGAGGGAGACGTGCAGGTGCAGCAGCACTCGAAGGTGATTGCACGCGGCAAGTACGTCCACGGGTTTGAAGGTATGTCGTCCTGTCGTCGGCGACGTGTTGGACCGGTGCCCTCGGTCTCACGCCGGGTGTCTAGTTCACAAGGTGAAGCCAGATGCTGTCGAGGACTACAGGAAGGCCGCGTATGTCCCCCCCTTGACGTAGGTGGCGGTTCCGCGACGGCTCATCTGCGCCCATTGTCAGCGAGATATATTACACGGCCATCAAGGACGACCCTGAGCTGCATGTCAAGCTGACAGGGAGCTGGGAGACTATTGTCGGCGAGCAGGACACATTCTGTAAGGCAATTCGCGCTTGCATCCTGTCATGTTATGACCTAATGACACGGCCCAGTCCACATTCTTGAATATGAGAACTACAGCGGTTACGATATGACCACCAAGAAGATCCGAAACTCTGACGTGAGCGCCGCCATTTGTGCTGTCCCGAGCATATGAATCAATGTAGCAGGACCGCAGCACATCAAGGCGTACCAGAAGATGCTCCCCTACCTCGTGTCTCGCTCTTCCCAATTGAACCAGGAGTTCGCTATCCTGCCGACTGCACCCCCACACTCCGAGGGCGGAGTATTCGAGCTTCGGACGTATCAGCTGAACCCGGGGACCTTGCTGCAATGGGAGCAAACCTGGTGCGGCAGATCATTATCTATACTTATGGGGTTCGCGCGCTCACCGTGTCATCCATTCTGTCATGTCGCAAAATTAGGCGCAAGGGTATCGAGGCTCGCCGGAGATTCGTGGAACCAGTGGGTGCGTGGTTCTCACAGGTCGGGCGACTGCACCAGGTCCATCACATGTGGCAATACCCGTACGTATACCGAACAATGTCCGCTCTCACCGAACCTCATGGTCAGCTGGCTTCTCAGTGACCTGCAGACCCGCAAGGAGACGCGCGAGAAGGCTTGGAAGCTGGATGGGTGGGCGGAAACTGTGTCAAAGGTGCAGTGGCATTTCCTAGTGCGGTGAATGAACCTAATGCGACCGCCGGTACATCAAGACGGCGGAGTATTCTAGACTGATGGATTCGATAGTACTCTTGCCGCTGCCGTACAGCCCGCTCAAGTGAATGGTAGTGGCCCCTCCGCATTCGTGCGTGCAGCCATTCCCGCCGCACGCCGTACCGTTGCGGGCCCGCTCAGGGGTGTAGAGAGGCACGGAAAGCTTCATTTTAATTGGACGGCAAGGGACATGTGTAAAGTAATCAAATTGTATCTGATTGCAGTTTGAGTTCAGTCCATGACAATTCGGGACAGGCCAATAAGTAGCACTAAGCGTGGGTGACAGTAGGTCCCAAGTAGGTCCAGGCCAAACTTACGACTTCCCGCGGGGCTGTCCGCTGCTCAAGTTACGTATGGAGTGCGGGTCTTGGGGGGCGCGTCGGATAACGCTGGGCGCATGGGAAAGAGCTGGATGTGCCGATATCAGGAGCCGACGGGGCGGGGGTTGCTGGGCTTTGAGATACGGCGAGGCTGTGTAGCATCTGATGCCGGCCGCACGGAGGGTCCCCCGTTGTTCGTGAAGATTTCTCGCGAGGGAGGGCCCTGGGGGTGGTGCGCGCGTGCACGGGCCGCCGCCTCTGAGCAGGCTGCCCCTTTCCAAATCCGGGGCCCAGGCGTTGGCGGTGTTTGGCGCATCGGCACTGCGGATCTGATAGAGCACAATGGCCGGGTGCGATGCGGGCGATGGACCCACAAACACAACTTGTTCCACAACTCTTGCCTTTTCGCCCCCGTCAGCCACTTCCGTCGTTCCGCACGGTTGTATGAAACCCCCAATGACCTCCCTCAACAACCTCCTCAACCCGGAGTCTACCTACGAGTACAACCTCAGGTGAGCCCCTGCCCATCGCGCCGTCGTCCTTCCGCGGCCCTGTGCCGCCTCCAGCGCCGTCTTGACCCGCTTTGTGCAGGGTGCAGCAAACGCGCTCCCCGAGCAGCAGCACTATCTCCTCTCCTGCAGAAATTGTGCATGACAGACCCACGGGCGAGGAAAGTTACTATGGCCACAACCACATCTCGATCGCCCCCCACGAGTCGCATCCCAACTGTCCCGATGCCCTCAGTTGCCTCCCGGACACCGAGGGCCGGCCACAACACACCCTGCCAGTGATCTTACGCTGCGCAATCCTGGGCAGCCCCAAAAGGCGGCTCACGATCCGCGACATCTATGCGGCAATGGAGAAAAAGTACCCGTACTACAAGACAGCGGGTCCTGCGTGGAAGGTGAATATTCCCTTGCCCCCTCTTTCCCCATGACCTCCTGCGCCTGGGAGAGGGGCTGAATATGAAATGAATGTAGCAATCAGTACGGCATCACCTATCTCTCAATCGCCTGTTTGAGCGCCAACCCCGTCCGGCGACGGACCCTGGTTTCGGATCGTATTGGACGGTGAACTTGAATGCTCCCCCAGGCACAAAAAGACCGCGCAAGCGTGGGCGGGCAAACAAGGAGGCTGCGAACCTCAGTCCCGTCGCGGTAGACTCTCCGTCAACGCCAGTGGGGAGCGCGTCTACTACGCCGGTGCCACCTCCTCGAACGCCTACTCCTCCTCTCAAAGTCCAGGAGAAGACTCCCGAGGTGCATGACTACCACTCACCTGTAGTCCAATCTCCTGTGTCTGCGCCGGCGCCTGTGCACAAGCCTTCTCCCGCACCTACCCCTGCACCTGTGAGCGCGCCGGCGCACCCTCCACCTCCCGCTCCGGCGCCTGGGCCTCCAGTAGCGCCCCCGATTGCCACACTGCGCCCCGTGGATAGTACATCGTTTAGCCAGGTTCCAACTTTGCGATCTGCAGAATACTACGATGACGATGATGACGAAATGGATTGGGACGATGAGGTAGGCCATCGCATGTCTGACGATGAGTATCCCAGCGCAGAAGAGACGCCATACAAATTCGACCCGCGGGCTTCCTCATCCAGCAGCTCGCATCCGCATCCACACTCGCATCCCCATTCACATCTTCTTTCGCATCCGCCCCCTCACCCGCACGCCGTGCAGGGCCAGCCCAGCGCACGGCCCGCACTTTACGGGGCCTTCTCAGGGTATGCCAACGGGAGCTACAGGAGCCCCGAGAACCAAGACCCTGTCATCGAGCGGCTGAAGATGGAGATGGCCGGGCTCCGGCGGCAGTCGACGGACGCGGTGAACGCGTCGCTGCGCATGTCGAGCCAGCTGTCCGATGCTCAGGCGGAGGCCGCGAAGGCGCGCGCGGCGCTGAAGGTCACGGAGAGCCGGCTGGAGGAGGAGATCCGCCGCCGCCGTGAGGCCGAGCACATCGCGGAGGACGAGGCGCGATTAAGGCTTGCAGCGGAGGACGCACTGCGGGCGTATCAGCTACAGAGGCGACCGCCAGGCTATTCAACCTCCCGGCCGTGACTCGGGCTGTGACGGGTATTGACAACCCGTTCGCACATTGTAGACCGCAGCCACTCGAGAAGGCGATTGCATCAGGCGGAGTGATGGCGAGAATCGAGTCCCCGCGGGGGATGCTTGTGTGCTGTGTAAGTTTTTCTTTTTGAGGGCATTGGGTTATTTTATTGTATTTAGCGTCACTGGTTGTCCTTGTGCTATGCAATCCTATTCTCTCTGGATCGAGCATTCTCACTCACAAATGCACGCACCGTTATAGGACAAGGACGTGTGTTCTCACCCGTAACAAGGTGACATTCCGCACTGTGCATTACAAGACAAGAGACCAAAGTATCAGCATCGCGGAGTTGAGAACAAGGCCCCACCGTGTGCCGGAACGATGCGTCACCATGGGGATATGTCTACGGAGGAATTTGAAGAAGCTTGGCAGTAAGCATATGTATGGGAACCGGCAAGGACTGAATGGTACGGAAGTAGCAGCGCCGGAGAGGGGCAAGCCGGTCGCAAGTTGCCGGCAGAAGCTTCGTGAGTGCCTCGAGGTTGTGGGGATTAGACTTGTCTGGCTGCAAGAAAACTAGGGGCGAGGCAGCGTATCTCCATGCGACTTGCGTACAGTACTCAGTGCGTGGGGACGTGCAGAACGCCGCGACGGGGGACACGGCGTCCTTAATTGCCGGTGCCATTGCCCACGGTGTGTGGTAGCAATTGCACCCGATGCAGATTGTTCGGCCATATTACGACGATGGGGCGTATCACGGCGCTGTAACTGCATTGAATCTGAATCTGTGAGGCGGATATTCCTGTCACCCGCGTCTGCCATCGCGTCAATGAGACCTTGGGCGCCTGATGAACGTAGTATGCCTGATTGAGCGCGCATGATAGACGCCCGAGGGTAATGCTCTTTGGTCAACAGGCGCAAACAAACGCCCTCCTCCTCGAAAAAGTTGACAGCGGCTGAGACCCTGGTCCTTCATCCTGCTCATGGCGTCCGCAGCTCGTACGAAGTTAAAAACGGCGTAAGCGATTTCTCCTTGGTATGCCCGAATTTTTATCTGAAGCTCACACAGATTTAAAAAGGCGCGGGTCATCGCACCTCTGCATACAGAGGGCCCAGTAGCCGTTTCGCATGATGGGACGAGACTCTTCACATGCGTGGGGGAGGAGGCGCTGATGACCGACGTCAAGGAGGGCCGCGAGATCTGTCGCTTTGTCGGGGTGCGTCGCCAATCTCGCCCACGAGATGCAGAGTATCGCTGACTTCTTCATGCAGGACACAGAGTCGATCACCGCGCTCTGCATTACCCCGTCTGCCTCGCACCTCCTTCTCTTTACCTCAGCACTTGCCCTCCGCATATATGAAATACCCGCGGTCTCCGAACCTCTCACGAGACCTGTGCATCCCTCACGCGTGATCCCCCGTGCGCACGACGCGCCTGTTCACGTCTGCCGAACGGACCCCACCGCGACCTACCTCGCATCTGGCTCTGCAGACGGCGTGGTCAAGGTCTGGCATATCCTCCGTGGCTATGTCACACACGTCTTCAAGGGTCATGGGGGTGTCGTCAGCGCACTGGCGTTCAACTACCCGTTCGACCCCTCCGCGGTACACCGTGAAACGAAAATGCAGCTTATTACTGGGTCTGTTGACACCAAGATCCGCATATTCGACCTCTCTGCGGCTGCGAATAGGACGGGCGCACCCGTGCGGCCAGAGGCGATTCTGGAGGGACATGTCTCGGTGCCTCGTGGGCTGGATGTTTCGCAGGACGGCAAGTGGCTCGTCAGTGGTGGTCGGGACTCGGTTGTCCTTCTATGGGACATCTCTTCGAAAGAGAACAACCTGTCGCACGCTACGAGCAGCAAAAAGAAGGGCAAGCAGACGGCTTATTCGCCCGCTCTGGTCAAGACGGTCCCCGTCCTGGAGCGCGTCGAAGCAGTTGGGTTACTCCATCAGGATAAAGACCTAACAGGAGCGCCGTCTGAGTCAAGCAAACTACGCTTCTACACGGGCGGGGAGAAGGGTGTTGTGAGAATATGGGACGCGAAAGAAGGGACGGTATTATTCACCCTCGGACAAGAACAAGAGCAGGTGTCGGAGGATCAGGAAGAGCAGAGGCAGATTGTGGACAGCATGTGCGTTGCACATCTTGCTTATCTGCGTGGTGACCCTGATCCCTCTTTCGTAGCTATATTCCCGCTACATCCACAATCGTCTCCGTACATGCGGACCAAAACATTCTCTTCCACTCATTATCAACGCACTCGCTCGCTCGCCAGTTGATCGGGTTCAACGACGAGATCATCGATGCGACTTTCCTGTCTCCCCACTTGCCCCCACAGGCTGGCCCCTCTTCTTCCAAGCTCACTGATACGCATGTCGCGTTCGCGACGAACTCATCGCTCATCCGTGTGTACTCTGCGTCGTCACTCGATGCACGTTTACTCTCTGGGCACTCGGAGATTGTGCTGTGCCTGGATCACGGCGCAGGCGGACGGGTGCTCGCCAGCGGGAGCAAAGATCGATCGGCGCGCGTATGGGCACCGCGAAGGCAGGCTGCCGAACAAGCAAGTGCGGTACCCGAATATGGTTGCGTTGCTATCTGCGAGGGGCACGCCGAGAGTGTTGGCGCCATCGCCATGTCTCGCAGAGCGAGCGAGGGCAGTACCGACACAAGCTCTCGCTTCATGTTCACCGGCAGCCAGGATAGAACCCTCAAAATGTGGGATCTTTCCAGTGTCCCGTCGATCTACACTGGGCCGTCAGAAGACGAGAGCGAGGACGGCGAGCGCGTGCTCAAATGCAAGAGTCTCACGACGCACAAGGCGCACGACAAGGACATCAATTCGCTTGACGTCGCTCCGAACGACCGCATGCTCGCGTCGGGCTCCCAGGATCGCACTGCGAAGGTGTGGGCGATCGACTACACGGTCACGACGAGCGGCGTGCGCGGAGAGGTGCGTCTATTGGGGACGTGCAAGGGGCACAAACGTGGAGTGTGGTGCGTGCGCTTCGGGCGCGCGGAGCGCGTGCTCGCGACGGGAAGCGGGGACAAGACGGTGAAGCTGTGGAGCCTCGACGACTTTGCCTGTCTGAAGACATTCGAGGGACACACGAACTCAGTGCTGCGCGTCGACTTCTTGAACGCGGGGATGCAGTTGGTGAGCGCGGCGAGTGACGGGCTGGTCAAGCTGTGGAATGTGCGGGACGAAGAGTGTGTCGCGACAATGGATAACCATGAGGACAAGGTGGGTGATATCCCCCCAAATTGTGTTTCAACCGCTGACTATATGCGTTCAGGTATGGGCGTTGGCAATAAGCACAGACGAATCCACCATAGTCTCCGGTGCTGCCGACTCGGTGGCCACCTTCTGGGAAGACTGCACTGAGGAGCAAGAGCTAGAGAAGGAGTCGAAACGCGCGGAGCTTGTTGAGAAGTACGTCTACTCGAGTTGCAGAACCAAGCGTTCTCTGACATACTTCTTGCAGAGAGCAAGACTTCATGAACTACCTTTCCCTGCACGACTACCGCAATGCCATCACGTTGGCGCTAGCGATGGAACAGCCAGGACGCCTCCTCTCGCTTTTCAAGAGCACACAATCGGAGTCTTTGCCTTCTGATACCACTCCCTCAATATCCGGACATCCCTCAGTGGACGCAGTCCTCCGCACGCTCGGCTCGTCTGACCTCGCACGCCTGCTCAAGTACGTCCGCCTGTGGAACGCGACTGCCAAGACGAGCGGCGTCGCGCAGCGCATCTTGCATGCTATCGTCAAGCTGCGCCCTGCAGAAGATGTGATGCACGCATTCGGGGGCGACGATGTCAGCACTGGCCTCGGAGTCTCGGAGAACGGAGGCGCGCTGTCTGTGACTGTCGTAGGCAAAGGTGAAGGCCGGGGCGCGACAGCACTGAAGGACTGGGTCGAGACAGTCATCCCGTACACAGAACGCCATCTTGCGCGAATGGAGCGGCTACTGCAAGACAGCTATGTAGTAGACTACCTCTTGGGAGAGATGGATGACGGCATGTTCGACGAGGACGACGGCAGTGTCGACTCCCTAGCGGCCCCCATGGATGTGGAGATCGCTGCATAGGCGGTCTCCTTTGGCTGCATCGCCGCGTAAAAGTATTCTACTGTCATATCTATCAATATTTGTCGCATTGCTGGTCACAACGCTCGCTCCATAGTGAACTGAAGCCATGCCTGGCGTGCATATATCTATCCGGTCTACAACGTCCGTCCATAACTATGTACAACATACATGTCTGCTGCATTCAAGTCGACAATCATAACCGCAAGTGCACGAGGGGGAGGAGCCAACTATGATACAAGGTGCGAGAGATGCTGCGGAATCACTTCACTGAACGCAGATGAGAGAAAATCACGACGATTACGAAGCTGTATAATGCGAATATTTTTTCGTGCTAAGCTGCTTTTTGCAGTGCTAATTGTGGTTCTGTCTCGGCGGTGTCGATCGCAGGAAACCCCAAGGCATTCATGCAAAGCGAACTTTCTCGCCAGGACGACCTTCGGACAGAAGCACGACAGCCTGCGTAGCGTTCAGGTCAGGAATCAAGCCGACCCTTGCCGCAAGGTATAGATACGCACATATTTGCCACTGATCTTCCAGCCAGGTTCCTCCTTCTCGAGCCTCTCCGACAGCTCATCGCCGTCGGACCCAAGGCCGACGACGACATCACTCTTGATTGTCCGCATACTGCAGACACGAGGAGCACCGGCAGCCGAGGCCATCGGCCCGATAGCAACCTCAAACTCGGTTGAAGAAGGAGCAGCACAATCATACGTCAACTAGTAAGCACACGATATTAGTTCATATCACAAGACGCAGTCCAAAACGAAAATGAGATACGGACCTTGCGGTGATTGAGATCCCCCTTGAAAATGACAAGATCAGAGCGCGAGAGGTGCAAGAACAGATCAGGGGCTTCATTGTGCAAATCCCAAAATGTGTATCCGGTGCACCAGAAGGGGTGCTGTTCGTACACCCACTTGCCCTCCTGCTCATATTGCTGCGTAGGGCCCATCAGTAATCGACTCGATCCAAAACAAATCTGTCATGCATACTTTCCACCGCAAGCCCAGGCGACGCAAACTCTCTACCTCCTGGTCCGATGCATTACGGAAGAGATGCCCGTATACCATGGAGTTGAGCAGCCAGTTCCAATCTTTCTTCGTAACGTCCGACACGAACCACGGGTAACGCTTGCCGTGGAAGCGGACTTCCTTAGCCAATCCGCTTTGAATCAAGAAGTCGGCTACAAACGTTTGCCGTGAGAATTGCTTGCAAGGACACATCAACCGATATGACATACCATACACGCAATCGCAATACAATTCGAAGCCGGCGTTGTCCAGCACGAAGTCAACGCGTCCACCTGTCTTGTTTCGCATCTCCTTTACAACCTCCCAGAGTCGCGCCATGTGGTTTCCGAGGATGTTTTTCTCGGTCGCCGCCAAGTTCTCGCCGCCGGTAGACTGAAGGGACTTTATTTGTTCCTCTGTCATATTGATCAGAAGTGAGAGGTCGGTCGAGTTACCCCAAAGACAGACTTCGCATCTCATGTAAGTATGTAAAATATTGATGACGAGATGCATAGATACGCACTCTGCGTGAGCTCCATGAACATCAAGCGTTCCGCCTCGAGCTTTGCATCATCAGCCAGACCTTCTTGGTGCTTGAACGGCTCTACGAAACGCGTGGAGAGCTCAAAGACTGCATCGTTTGATCGTGCGAACGTATCGCACTGCGTAAGCAAGTAGATGAATCTCACGAAGCATTGACTTAAAGCGACTGACGAAAGCGTACCTTCTGTCTGAAGAAGACGTCGTAGTGGTGCCAGTACTTGCTAACACTGAAGCATTCGCGCAGGCGACGATACTTGTAGGCTTCTGCAAACAACCACGGTGCGTTCATGAAATCCTTGCCTATCGGACATACACATTGTTAGTATTAATGGATCATGTAACGAATATGACGGTGGATGTTGCTCGTCCAGAAAAGGCAAACCGCCTTCTATTTCAGAAGATGGTCGTACTCAACCGAGAATCTTTGGTGGGCGTTTCGAACGGGTACTACTAAGTTCGCCACTCACCCTGGAAGTATTTGGCGATCTCTTTGTTCCAAAGGGCAACGTCTGCCTCGCCATCATCGATGATAGGTCGAAGGCGTGCGTGGGCGTGCAGGTCCTCTTTAAGCTTGTCCATACGTTCAATACACTGGACGAGGTCAACAACTTTCTCCTCCTCAGACTCCTGGTTGAGGGTTTCGATGACATCATCAATAGCTTTCCCGAGAATGGTGGGTAGTCGGTGACCCATAGTCGCGTATGCGAATGAGTACCTATGATGGCGTGAGGCGAATGGACTCTGCTGATCGGATGTACAAAACATACGTGTGGTATCCACGGAATGCAGGCCATGGAGGGTTGTTAGGGTCAATCTGGGAGCGAAGTGTCAGTATGCAGCCATTTGTAGCTTCTGCAAATTGAGTGAAGAAGGAATAGATGCATATATGCGCGTAGTGAGTGGGTATATGCGCTCAGCGCATGCAGTGGCGCCATCGAAACGTGAAAGGTAACAAGAATGACAGATATAGAATGAAATTGAGGTATTTGCACACACCGTGGACGGCGACCTGGGGTAGACAACCTTGATGTCTTTCTTACTTGGCAAGTGGGACAGAGTAAGCGACATCTTGTTAGGCACGTCCTTCGTCTTTGTTGGCTGGTTTGTCGGGGGCGCCGCGCCGTTGGGGACGACGGCAGGGTCATGCTTCGCTTCAGTCATGCCGTACGCTCCTGCATCGTCGGGCGGAGTGGGGGGGAAGTAGTCAGTCATAGTCTGTGGGTTGCCTGACATAATGAGCGATGTAGGATGAATGTATGCAGACCAGTATAGAGAAAGGTGCGTATATGCGCGGAACAAAGAAAGTATGCGGGGCGGTTTGCAGGACGGGCGGACGAAACCGAACGGAACTCACTTGCTTATATGCGGAAGGCAAAAAATGGGGTGTCAGAGACCGGCTAGCTGGAAGAGGATGATGGCAGTTGAGAAGTAAGGGGTAGTTCGGCGCGAAAGTAGTCGAGCGGTGGGTCGCACACTCCTACCTTTCTCGGCGCATACATCATACCTCTCTGACGTCACATCCTCCGCCCTTATCACCCTCCGGCCGGACCTCCGTCGTGACGGGGCCCATCCGGGCAGTAATCGGGCCCGTTATGGTATGAAGCCGTACAGCGCCGTGAGCGTGGGCATCGTTCCGGCTCTGGTGCAGGCGCGGCGCTGTGGAGAAAAGATTGGGCGGCGACTCGACGGCTTACAATCGCATCGAATATCACTCCCCCAATCTCCGCTTACTATCTTCGTCTTTCTCCTCAGTTTTCCACCTTTCGCCGCCTTCAGCGTCGATGAAACTCCCCGCAATGACGATCGAGCGTTCGCTTTCACCCCATCGTTCCTGATGCTCAAAGATGCTCAAACAAGCCTCTCCGCTGGCCTTGTCCGCAACTGTCAGCATAGGTTATTTCGTGTCGTTCAATGGAGTGTGCTTGGGTGCTGTGGAGTTTCACGAGTGAACGCTAGCCCTCAACGTAAGTTCACGCGCTATGATCGTCGTGTTTCCGTTCGTTGCGCCGCCATGAAGCCACGGTGTCCAAGCTCTTCGGCTCTTTGGGCCACACGACATACGCTGTATCCGCTGCACTGTGAGCGAAGCAGGGATGAGTTCTCACGGTGACTACCTGTTGCATTGACAGTGAAGTCACTGACAGCTGTTGCGAGACACGTCCCGAAGACAAAAGTTGCAGTCAAATAGGATTGCGATACTCCACTGCGCAGTCAAATAGGATTGCGATACTCCACTGCAATGTACGTGTAGAGGTGTGATCATCGAATAAAAAGCCTGGGATCTACATGCTCGTTTTCTGACTCGCATAGTAACTACATGGACGTCACAGAAGACTTCGAAGCAAGTCCGATTATGTCTAACATGCTACCATGGCCAGAATGGACACGCAAACTGACTTTGTATGTATCACAGTAGATACTTCTAGGCCAAAAGTTCGTCATTCCCGTCCGTCTTCTTGTAAGTCCGCTCTCAGATTAGCATTGTTGCTGTCTGAACATCGACTATACGGACCGTATATCCTCGTAACCTTGAAGAGGGTGCATTGCATCGTTAGCTACGGTGGTTTGCCCTGCTTCCTGGCCATACCACGCTAACCGGCTCTAGTGTAGAACTAGATGCCGCTGCCAGTATGCTATTCAGCTTGGTCAGTACTTCTAGCAGGATCCTCCTGATATGAGAAGGGTCCTGATCAGGTGGTCGCAGATTCGGTCCAGCGCACGTTCCACATCCTCATTGATTACTGCAATTGTTATGCCGACGGGGAAGGTATGATGGCTGGAAGTACAGCCCCGGCGATGGCCCCATATGAGCCATTTTCTTTGAGTGCGCTTGTCCATTCAACCGACTATGGAATTCATTTCAACAGCACCCGATGAGTGTTTGCTCCGCCCGGCGACTTAGAGCAATCACCATATCGCTGTAGGCCAAGCTTTACAGGTCATGGGGTGGCAGTGTATGTCACTATCTGACTGTACCCTAGCGGCCGATACAAGTCTTCTCGGAGGACGTGCGGCATTGACAGTCATAGGATCGCGGTGTTGACGTCTCCAGAAAGCTCTTTGAGCGTCTCAAGTGCTTATGCAGGCAACGCAAAGGACTCCTTTTGTAGCACCATTGACTACGTGTCAACCACGCGTCCGTGAAGAATACGTACAGGGCGTCTCGCGATAATCTCCCGCACAGCCGCGGATAGTCGGCGAAACAGGCAGAGCGTCGTGGGTGCGACGTGAACAGCTGCTGGCTCCACAATCGCCGCACAGTGTGCGCTCCTCACGTAAGTCCCACCTTCTATCATTTTCGAGGACATGGAGCGAGGCGACTGGCATTTGTCAAGTGGGCGCGTTTCGCGCAGTCCATCTATATCAGCTGAATCAACGTTCTGCAGACGCGGATAAGTGAGGATTCTTGAGAGAAAGACCTATGCAATACATCACCGGAACATTCGTGCATACCCGCGCAGGGAGAACGCGTATCGATGTTGCACGTTCCTAGTCGCCAATCCTGTCGATGTCGATGGGAGAAATGTCTGGCGTCAGAGCCAAGGTAAAGTACAATACCTTACAACACACTTTCGACCTTTCATCACACTCCAGCGATGAATCATTCCTACTTCTGTATATCGAAGGACGCAATCACCCGAGGTGTGCGCATTGAACACAGTATCAGCGGGGTACCTATCCTCGCTACCGTCGTGAAAGCTGTCAAGGCAAACTAACGGTGAGTAGTGTTCACTGTACGCGAGACATCCGGTGCTGCGGGTCGCTCGAAACGACGCCTGATCAAGTCATCACCTAAGAATGGCTGAAGATAACGTCCACCATCGAGTCACAGTGGCGCGAACATCGAACTCGATGGGCACTCTACAGGTCGTGCGGAGTTATTTGCGTCACTGATCAGTGGGGAGAAGTAGACTCGAGCTACGGTGGACGTTGCATAGTCATCTTACATACTGTATCAATGTATCCTGCTTTTACTGGTCACGAGCGTTTGGCTCACCTTCCAAAACGACATCAGCTGGCTTTGAGAGCTACGCACATCATACCGTGACTGCCAGTATTGCGGACATGCCCCGCAACATCTTCATGAATCTTTCCTATGATGCCAGCGACTAGGAAGGTCGTGTTGCACAAAAGCCTCCATAGTCTAGAGCTTACAGCGGCCTTAGATATTAGACAGTGCGAATATACATTGAGCTATAGTTTCCATGTTACATGAGACTAGACACAGCAAACAAGGGTGAGGAGAAGACGACGGGCCAACCTTGAGATAAGTTGAGAATGTGGATATCTCGAATATACAATCAGTCTATCTGGTCGCCCCAGCCACCAGGAATGTTGATATCACTTTGTTCCTGTGAGGAGTGGGTGCCCGAACGATTGTTGCCGGGCTGTTGTCTATTGCTGCCGTTGCTACCAGTTGCAAAGCCGAACAAACCGCTGAATAATCCACTGCCACTCTGCAAAGCACGACCATTGGGTGATGGCGGGCTGCGACGGTTGTGCTCGGGGCTTGGGGAACGGCCCGAGCCCGAGCCCGAGCCCGAGCCTGAGCCTCCCGGAGGACCAGGGCCAGGAGCATGGTGTTCGGGTTGTGGGATAAGTTGATATCTATGATGATGATGAGTAATCTCGAAAACTCATTACCAAAATAATGCTCGCCTGCAGACGGGGCATGTGCCACTAGACTTGAGCCAGGGCATGATGCAGGGCTCGTGGAACGGATGCTTGCATGGAAGTGTGACCACAACTTGCTCGTCGGGGTCTTCTGTCTCAAGTTTGAATTGTTCTTTGCATACCGCACAGTCCTTCTCGAGTAGATCCGCTAGATAGAAGCATCCAGTCAGTATCTGGCGCTTGAGGAGAACGTGTAACCGTACAGCCTTCCTCTAAAATGGTCCGAGGCAGGTTATTCATGACCTCCTCTGTGGCAGGAACTGGTGCATGACCATTCGAATTCTCCATGATTTGGGAGATAATCTGATCAAGCGCTGGTTTGGAATTAGTGACAATGGAAGGCAGGTTAGTGGTAGAACCATTACCTTCTTGGTTGAACACATAGTCTCCGAATTGGCCATTCTCGGCGCCCCCCGGCATGCCCATTAAGCCGCCAAATGCATCGTTCAGTCCTCCACGACCTGGACGGTTGGCAAGCATCGCCAGGAGGTATTGCATCATCAAGGACCCGTCTATCGTGTCACCTTCTCGCCGCGTCTCGGGGTCCGGTGTCATGAACCTTACAATACACGAGTGTTACATGGCATGGAAGAGCCACATTAAACGCCATGCTTACGACGTCGTGAATGGTGGGGGACCATTGGCTCCACCGCGAGGCCTGGATCCACCTATGAACATACTGCGCATTCGACCATCCGGGGATCCCTGTATCCGGATTGAGAGGCCACCGCCTTCGCCCTATGTGCGATGTGAGGCTAATCAATAGAGCACATAGAGGCGGCTTACAAGGCCACCAGGTCTATCAGGCCGGCCAGTGGCCCCTTCTGATCGGGAACGCTGTGCGCCCGGTGCAAACGACGCTCCTGTGGGAGAACGTGGCGCACCACCTCGTAGAAAAAGGCTGGCTGGTGGCGTCTGGGATGAGACATGGCCACCGCGTATACCGAGTGCTTAAACATACTGAAGAAGTCATTCATGTTCGGAGGCAACGCATTATCATCCCATCCATCGTGGATATGTTGGAACTCTCGTGGGTCGTCTGCTGGGTTCTCGAGCTAGGCGCGATCGGCGGTTGACGACTGCGTGCGTATAACAGTAGACAGCGGCGTACCTGCTCTACGAATGTCCCATTGCATGACGCACAGTGGGGATCTGGGACCTAGATCATGGTCACTGCAGTCCAGGATAAAGAAAGAGGAGCAAACCGACCATGAGAGGCCGCATCTCCGCACGGCACTATCATGGCGTCCGGTCAGACCAAGCTGTACGCAACTATATGGGACGAATACGCACCTCATGACAATACCACATCGGTTCTCTGCTCGACATCGTTACGATTTATATGCAGCACACGTGGGAGCTGCACTAGCGATGGTGGTAGTCGTCGTGTAAGTGGCTGAACAAGCCGGATATGACGTTGGGCGGTGCGGCCCGTCTCGCCACTGGGCGCAAACATGAGACAACAACGCGAACTCGAACGCGCTTCAACCTCGTTCAACTTGAACGAGTCTCTTAACATAATCACGACCGACGGCCCTTTACGACACTGTTATGGCTTACTCAGGGGACGGCGAGGGTGGCACCGACGCCTTCTGGCTACTGACGATCTTCGTTGCTCTCGGCATCTATCTTGTTTTCCATCGCTTTCAGACTGTACACAACCGCCCTATCCCGTTCAGATGGCCTGCACCTTCGGTACGTGTCTGGTTTTGACTTTGTATGGACAAAAGTTGATGTCCCCACAGCAAGTGGGCTCACGATTTGATGCCCACAAGATACCCAACCCCCACCTCGAATCGCACCTGTTGCATGACCAGTTGAGACCGTCTCTGTTTCATGAAGACAGGAGATACATCACGTGCTTTGACCCCGCAACCTCGTTCCATCTTGACACTATCATAGCGGACAATGGAGTCGAGATCTCGCAGAAGATCGGACGGGCAAGTGAAGCGCAGAAGGAGTGGAAGAATGTATCTTTCCGGGACCGCCGTCGTGTCATCCGGAGTCTCAAAAAGTGGCTGGTGGACAACCAGGAGATGTGTGCCAGGGTAGCATGCCGGGACACAGGGAAGACCTGTGAGTGCATTTTACATCTCCGTTGTGATCTATCAAGGCAATGGTAACATTGGTTAGTGCTGGACGCTGCTCTTGGCGAAATCTTGACTACCTGTGCGAAAATGGACTGGCTCATCAATCACGGCGAACGCTATCTCCGTCCTGAGAAGAGGCATAGCAGCCTGCTTATGTTTTACAAGTCGTCCTATGTCTACTATGAGCCTCTGGGCGTGGTAGCTGCTATCGTATCTTGGAACTACCGTCCGTATTTTTATCCTCTTGAGCTGCGTGCGCTTGAAGTAGTTTCGTCCATTAGCTCTTCACAATGCATGGTCGCCTATCCTCGCTGCTCTCTTTGCTGGTAACGCTATCGTCCTGAAATGCTCCGAACAAGTTATCTGGTCCACCAAATGGTTTGTGGAAGTTATCCAGGAATGTCTACGGGCCTGTGGTCGGGACCCAGAGCTTGTGCAAGTGTGTACATCTCCCCATACAGCTGGCCTGCAATTCTCATGCTACTGCAGTTGGTCTGCTGCTTTCCTGACGAGGCAGAAGCTTTGACCAGATCTCCGCTCATCAAGCATATCACTTTCATTGGCTCGGAAGAAGTTGGGCGGAAGGTATGCCTTACCAGACGTCCTGAATACTGTTTTCTGATCCCTTCAAAAGGTTGCGATCGCTGCGACTGACAACCTGACGCCAGTCACACTCGAGCTCGGGGGTAAGGACCCCTGTATTGTCCTGCCTGGCACCAATGTCAAACAGTGGATCAGTCTCTGGATGCGAGGCATTTAGTGCGCATACATCTCATGTGAGAGAACTCATTACTCACCAGAAACATAGTCAGAATTCGGGTCAAAATTGCATTGGCCTCGAACGTCTGATCGTGCATGAGTCGTTACATGACGAAGTGCACCAAGAGCTTGTTCGCCGGGTCTCTCAGCTCCGGCAAGGCCCTGCGCTATCCAACCCAAATGATGGATTTGTGCTCCCTGTGGACGTCGGCGCAATGATATCACATGCGAGCATAGAACGGACTCACCAGCTAGTGCAAGTAGCAATTGATCAAGGCTGTGAGATAGAGGGTGGGGAGCGGTATACGCACGTTTATCATGAGCATGCATACTACTACAGACCCACTGTTATTGCCGACGTTGATCCCGAGTCTCCGATTGCGCAACAAGAGTGTAAGTCTGTTGAGTTGTGGCGCTGCCTTCTAAACTGAATTTATGTCAACAGTATTTGCTCCTGTAGCGCTGCTCTTCAAATTTAATACTCTAGAAGAGGCCATCGCAATTGCTAATGGAACACGTTACGGCCTCGGTGCGAGTGTGTTTGGACCGGACCAAGAGAAGTGTGTGAACTTCGCAAGGCACTTGGAGTGTGGTATGGTGTCTATCAACGACTTTGGAGTATTTTATGTGAGTTTATCAGCCATATTTGTGGTTATGTCACACGCTCACTACGGTTCTAGTTGAAGTAGGTTGCGCAGTGATTTGATTCATAATTTCAATTTACAAGTTAACTACGCCTGTAGCCAGGACCTGCCGTTTGGTGGAACGAAGGCCAGTGGTTATGGTAGATTTGGTACGTGATGGTGGCCTGAATTCCACGAACGTGCATTGTTGATGACTGTATGTATTCAATTCGATAGGCGGCCCCGAAGGTCTGCGGGCGTTAACGAACCCTAAGGCCATTGTCGTCGACCGTATGGCGTGGGCTGTCCAGACGACGATACCAAAACCCGTGGACTATCCGATCGCGTCTATTAGACAAAGCTGGCAAGTGTATTTCAACCAGCTGATTGTGGCACGCATTGACGCGTTCTGCAGGGAATTCGTCAGTGGACTGGTCGGCTTTGTGTATGGTGATAGCTGGCGAGCACGGATAAATTCCCTTGCGCGCCTCGTGCAAGCGTCAGGTAGATAATTGTTTGGCGAGCGACTGGCAGATATGTCTCGACGTGCTATATATACCACACAATGTTTATGGATTGTATAGTATCGCCAGGTGCTGAGCGCTGAATAGCTGCATCTTGTTGGCAAGGAAGCCGAGTGCCGTACGCATGCCGAGGTGGCATATGGTGCTGCCATGGTGCAACGTTGGTACGGCGGGACTGGCGCGTGGACCCATGTGCGAACAGATGGAGCATGCGTATGGGCGTGGTTTCGCCAACGTTCGTATCTCTGGCATCGTGCGTGCACCACATAGTAACAAATTCGGCTACAGCGACGTCAATTGAGTATCTTGAACTGATCGAATACCGTGACGTCGACCGATCAAGCCATCTGCCTCCGGCGGGAGCGTCCGCCAATCTCAGCCATCACTGTCCTGCCGGATTTGCGGGCCACGGCACTCGTACTGTAAGTATTCTCCGCAGCACGCTCCGCGGATCTGAATATCTCAGTTCGTCACCGTTGTGCGTTATTCTTGTGCTACCAAAAGCGGCTCCGTCAGGTACGACGACGCACATGTTTGACCTTCCGCCGCCCGCACACCTTCAGTGCCAGCTTATCTTTGCGAAAGCATCTGCAAGCTTGTATGGCAGCATGGCACAAACGCCTTCACTCGTGCGGTCTCGGCTTCCTGCCCATCGCCCAGCGGCCGAGATGATGCATACGTGCATGCACAATTTATCCCATCTCCATGCGCCAGCCTTCCCGGGGGGGCTGAATGGAAACCTCGAAGCTTCTCCCTCCTTTTCCCCGCACACACAGTGCTATATAATGGCCCCCGCGCCGAGCGAGAGCATCGAATTGTTTCCCCGGCTATCCTGCCTTCGGTACATTTCTAGAAACTGCTGACGCACATTCCGCAACGCACGATGCGCTCCCCCGTCATATTCGTTACTGCCGCCGCCCTCGCCGGCACATCCATGGCGAGAAGGGCAATGCAACCCCTGGCGGGACCCGCTATGGGCCGCAGGATAAGCACAAGCTGCAGCACGAGTGGCCCTGCATCTTGCCAAAACACTACGGTCGAGACGGACCTCTGCTGCTTTGAAGGAAATGTGCGCAACCCCTTACTCTTGTTCGATTCCACATCACACTGACGCGCACTATCATCATAGGGCTTGATTCAGCATGTCCAGGTAGGTCGCAGCGACGCGTGAGCTGATGTGATATTATGCTGAGCCTGGACCGCAGTTTTGGGACACAGACCCCGTAACAGGTCCAACAGACAGCTGGACTATTCATGGTGCGCACAGCTTTCCCCAGGCTTTCCGGCCCTAGTCCTTGGCGCTGACAGTGTGGCACAGGTCTCTGGCCGAATTAGTACGCGTGGGGGCTTCATGGCGTCCAATCTTTGTTGACACGAGCTTCGCAGTTGCGACGGCTCGTACCCTGAAGACTGCGGACCTGAATCCCGCGATTACTCCGACATTACACAGGTACTCCAGAAGTCTCTTTTGGCAGGCTGGTTACTGACTACGATGTTGTAGCTATTACAGGATCAGGGCGCCTCGGACACGCTGAGCTATATGCAGACGGTGAGGCTTGCCACCGCGTGCCGATGTCTGTTTGTCACCTAAGACCTTCGTCCCCAGTACTGGCTTAGCGACGACGAGTCAAATGAAGACTTCTGGGAGGCAAGTATTCGCTTGCCGGCATGGTGGAAATGATCGTTCTCACGTTGACGCGCAGCATGAATGGTACACGCATGGAACTTGCTACACCACCCTGCAGACATCCTGTCTCCCCAGCGACAGCCCGACGGGAGCCGATGTGAGTGACGTCAGTGTACTGCCGCAAACTCCGTATTGACGTACTTTCCAGGCTGTCGCGTTCTTCCAAACAGTCGTCGGCTTATTCCAGGTGGGTGCTGTACGGCTGCGTTCTTGTGCTCGTCTCACAATATACTCTATAGGACATGACGACGTATGAATGGCTCTCGCAGGCAGGCATCACCCCATCTGAGGATACTACCTACAAGTTGTCCGAGCTGCAGGACGCTCTACAGAGTGCCTATGGTGTACGCAGTCCTGTCCTCGTTACCCACGAGCTCACTTGACGAACCGGAATTGCCGTCGCTCCAGTACACGGCCTCGTTCGATTGCGATGATGACGAGCTGTACCAGATCGAGTACTGGTTCAACATACAGGGCTCGCTGCTGAATGGAGACTTCGTACCCCTCGGTTCGCACGCCTCTCCACTGCGTGTAGATATAAATTAGCTGATGGCTTTGCGCAGATGCCTACGAGGCCGGCTCGTGCCGTTCATCTGGAATCAAGTACCTGCCCAAGTCGGACGACAACAGTGACGCAAGTAAGAAAAGGTCTCGTCTCGCTAAGCGGAAGGCTCTCTGAGCAGACGTGCGAAGTAGAGATCGTGTAGGGGGTTAGAGCAACTGGGATTTTGTCTTTCCTTTCTGTGCATACATATCTCCGCAATTTCTTGAAGCATTGCACTCGGCACTGGACATTGGAATTCTTGTTGCCTTGATATAGGTTAGGCGCTGCATACTTAGGATGAAGTTCCGTGGAGGATCCTGTATGAGCATATTTGTCGATGTGATTATTTGACCTGTGTGTACTAAAGTAACACGGCAGTAAAATCATTTCTGTTCGTCCTTGGCCTGAAGTACAAATGCTCTGGATATGTCATATATGCGTACAAACGCTGCATGAAACTTCATTTAAACGAGCTACACACAACGATGAGATTTCGCCATCACGATCGGGCCGTCCATCTTAAGAAAGTGGGTTCCCTTTTTGGGTCACCTGCAGTCTCACCTGCAGGTCCCTGCCTCAACGTCCCCTGCGTTAGTTGATATAATGGCAGTCAAACAGGTCGGCGATCTCTCCCATTCAAACTGCCCGATAATATTTACCGCATACACTTGTGTCTTCCGCAAAACCTATTACGATATTCATTATGTCTAGCCAGTCCGTGGGAACGCATCTTACTCAAACCGAACTACGCTACAGGACCCCCGAACTCGTCGGGGATATCATCTGGGCCTATGAATTGCCTGAAATCGAAATCAAAGTACGTCAGGTGGCGCAATGCAGAACGCATAGGTTGGGTAGTACGTACTATGTAGAAAATCATTGATCAGCCTACGCGCGATGCAGACTCAAGCGTAGAATTCAGCCTCTACCTTGTCGGTCATATCATCGAGCTGCCTCCTGTGAAACGAGTAGGTGAGGATTCCGAACTTCGTTCTGCAGAAGCAATTCACTCACTAAGAGAGAAAGTCAGTGCAAAGCTCTCAGACGCGGAGAGAGAGAACTTAATGGCACACCTCTTCAGCAGCGTTTTCCTTTATCTTGTTGAAGGCATGGCCAATCTTCTCCTTGAGCGTTTCTCCGCCACCTTTGTCCGAGGATTCTGTTTGGCCAGTTCTGGAGATATCTGTACGCGACTGACGGACCGTCTCAGGGGCCCCTCGCACCCTAAGAGTAAAGTGGATACCCACGTCGGATGGATGTACGATCTTGTCTGACATGTTGGAGGTATGCTGGTTCGGTGAAGTTCTAGTGCCAAAGGATCAAAAGTCGGATGATGGGAGTGGGAATGTAGACTCGAACATTGGGAAGTGACGCTTTTATATCCTAGGCTCTAAGCAAAAATAGGCAGACACGTCGCGGGGCTTGTCGACATTGCCGAAGTCTACGTCAACGCTAGTGAAGATACTATATGTGACGGATGTAAGCATGTGTGAACAAGGAAACCTGCCTTCCAAATGTGGACAACTGGTGTCTGCCCCTTTGAGTCTTCTCGTTATCCACAAAAGCCTTCCGGAAATGGAATGATGCCAATGATGTGACGGAGCGCACACACAAAAGGAAGCTTAGACAAGATTTCATTTTGTTCACAAGCACATAAACAATTGTTCTTCTGCAAGAAGGTTCAAATTCTGCTGCGCAGCGACACCCATCCCCGATGAACTTCCAGGTATATGACGGCAATGAGCATCTAACGCCTAGTTGCTCGTCGAGTCCGTGTACGACGTGGTGGCAAAACCGATGCGGGAGTTGCCGGTGTCGAAGACGGAGTAGTAGCGTTCAAGGAAAGTGTACCCGTTGATGAAGTCGAGACCCTCGCCGGACGGCGTGCCAATGTCGTTGACGACAAGGTAGATGTCCCCTGAGCTGCCACCAATGGCGCTGTTGAGCGAACGCTGTACAGTGCAGGCATGATTAACATGCTAGACAGGCGGTCAGGCGTAAATAAGGACGTACCGGCCAAATCTGGGCGTTGGGCGTCAAGGAGTACGTAGTCTGCATTCGAAGTGATCAGTTACAGTGCTCTTTGATGCGAAACATTTGAGCGCACCCCGCCAATGTTGAAGTCTAGGTTGCTGAGACTGTCATAGTTTGAGGAGGAGATGCGGAGAAGGCCAGTGGTCTCGTCCTCAGTGCCATCGACGGCCTTCTTGTACTTGTCGTAAGCATCTGTGGTTGGCTGCGTCAGAATGGCTGAGATTATGGAACACAGCGGTATGCTCACTGCTCGCGATGAGGACAAGGGTGGTGCCGGTGTCGACAATGCCAGCAGTCTCAGACAGGATGGTCTCGGAGCCGTAGGTGATCGACTCGTCAATACCCCAGTACTCGCTCGCAGGGGAGGTCGAGGTGAGGGAACTGTAATGTCACCTTCAGCGATGGAGTCTCTGAGAGAGAATAAAGGGTTGCGCGTACACGTAGTTAATGGAGCCAGTGTACTTGGACGAGTCCGTGCCACCAAAGGTGAGCTCGCCGTTGTTGTCAGACTCCGAGGTGGTCGGAGCGAAGGAAACAGCGACCAGGTTCTCGGAGATCTGCCCCTGAGAGTACAGGTTGTCGGTTACTGTTCAGACAAGTATATGATGGGAGACGATCAGCAAGATATGTATTGTGGCTACGGATTGAATTACCGGTGGGGACCTCGTTCTCGCCATCAACCGTGTCCTCTGTCAGGTCGACGGGTCCGATCCTGAGGCACAAGTTAGGGTGTACAATCGCTCAATGTCGCGGATGAGCTTACCCAATAATACCGTCCACGCCGCTGAAACCCTGGGCTTGGCTGGCTACACCAATCGACTGCTGGGTGATAGTCAGGCTGCCGAGGGTGACCGTGTCCGTGTACTCAGTACCCGAGAATGAGCCCGAACCATACGATACAGACTAGATTGGCATCGTGAGACACAACATGACAGCAGCTATGAGCGATGAACCGAGTACTGACCACACTGTCCCCCGTGTCAACTGAGGTGGATGTCTGCACGTACGACTGGCCAGCACCGACCCAGGTGTTGGACGAGCCGGTGTCAACCAGGAGCGAGTCTGGGCACAACTCGTAAGCTAAGCCTGATCAGCGCTGTGAGATCTGATCTACTCACAGTATGTCGGCGGGCTGCCAATCCCGACCTAGAGATCAGACAGATGTGAGATGACGTCGCACAACGAACAGAGGGCGGCGGGAGAAGCCAGGAACGCACGCTGACGACGTAGTCCTCGGCCTGGTTCGTTGCCTCAATGCTGCCTGACGAGCGGCCCTGCAGTTTGGCCTGAGCACGGGCTTTGAGCGACGTCGCACGTGCCTGGTCGCGCTGGAGGACGTTAAGCAGGCCCGTGGAGTTGGTGCGCCTCGCCAGCGGCAACGAGACCTTGCCGTCGCGGACCAGGACCGGGTTCGCGGCGACGGTGAAGGCGAGGAGAAGGGTAGCGAGGAGAGAAGAGCCCAGTGCCATGGCGAGAGTGCGAATGAACAGGTAGAGCTTGAACGCTTGGGGGACCCCCGTCTTCGCGCATCCCTTTTATGCGTGCACGGGCCGCGCACAGAAGCCCTGTCGAGCACGAGAGATATGTCGTGTTTTGTCTGCTGCATGATCTTCGTGGGTTGATGACAACACGCTCACAGCCCGGAAAGGAAGAGCGTTGCGATGCACATGGCTCTACATGGCTGCGCGAGTGGGCTTCTGCCCGCCCAAACAAGCTGAGAGATTGTTCCGAAGAAGCGACGCCAGAGATCGGAATGAGTGATCGCGTCCCAACGTGCGGACACGGAGAGAGAATGTTGATTGGCCAGCCTGGACAGTATGTGGAGCGGCCGGGAATTAGCCGCACACCCTGCGGTCGAAGCGGCCGCTTCTATCGTCCATGTGGTCCGTCGAGATAAGAGCCGCGAACCGTATGGAAGACGATGCATGCGACCGAAGACGAGTCCTGATGTATCGGACCAGCTATTCCAGTACGCTAGGGCGAGCACATGTCGCTTGCCGCGGCTCAATGCAGCGGCTTCATCATTCAGCAGTCTTACATGCATCAACGCCATTATCCTTAAAATGTGCGTACTGGGCGGGCCGAGCGCATTGTGGCTCTGACAGGACTAATGGGACAGCCCACAGGAGAGCATGTGGCGGTGGAACAGGGGAATTAGGGTCGCTGACAGCAGACGACAATGAGACCGGTACAATTAGAAAGCCACGACGATGATCTCAGGTGTCAATGTGATGGTCCCAATGCCGCGGCCCAAGCAGGACACCGAAAAGAAAAGCTAATCCGGGACACATAATACAGAGGATCTGCAGGAGATGTTATTGTGGAGCACGAGTATTGTGATTGCGTAAGTCCTGCCGTACCCAAAAATCGGAAGACATCCCCCTTGATCAGGCCTGCAGCGCTCAACGATCGCAGAACAACAAGATAATCAGGTAAAGCGGCGGTCTAGTCAGGAGCGATTCAATACAATTGCGCACCCTGGCACTCATTGCAGTAAGCGGTGTCGCATTGCCATGTGTCCCAGCGTAGACACGCCTCCATGTGGGGGAGATAAGCAAATGACATCTCGCGCGTGTATAGTGATATTTGGGAAGAACTGTCAACGTCGACTGCGAGGGGCAGCGTTGGCTACACACCTTGTTGCCAACGTAGAAGCGTACTGTCACGTGACCGAAAGCAGTTCAAGGGGAGAAGGCAGTTCGACTACAGGCAACGATCAGAAAAGGCTGTAGCGGCGAGCATCATCAGCACGAATATTGACATGCAAATATTCCTCATCGCGAGATAATGTGGCGAATAACAATTGCGACAACTCGGTGAGTGCTAGTCTGAGACCACATGTATGTGCGAGCAGCGAGGAACGCACAATGGTTCAGACACTGACGCCATGACCCATAGTACTGGGACCGAAGCTGGGTCATCATGATCGTTATGTTCCGCCCGAGACACAGTGAAACGGGTCGCACAGGTGTCTCGATCTCATGGAAAGGCACTTACGACGTTCCCCAACATTCCACGACAACGTACACTCTGCGGATATGGACCAAGCAAGACACTGCCCCCATATCGTTAAGTGTCACCGAAGAGAAGGGGAACATAGCCACACACACAGGACATAGTCGGGTAAGTGGGACGCGTCTCTTCCACATCTGTGGGTCAGCCGGAGGTGATCGCGGACTCCGTGGACTTCCTGCAGCACGCGTGGGAGCAGGCAACATGGGTCATGTCAGGCCATTTCTCATCTAGGGCACAAGGCCGCGTGTAATGCACGTCTGGACGCGCATGCAGACCAAGTACGCAAGGTGGCATGGGTGCAAGTAGTGACAAATTGCGGGTGACAACGCGGCATTGCGTGATATATTGGTATGATTTGATGGAATCTAGGCAAATGCTCCGTATTTTCGTAGCATTCGCGTGGAAGGCAAAGTGCACCCATAGGTGTGTACCAATAAGACTACACGTCTGATTCCAAATGTTCAACTGAGATGATGATAGAGAAGCTCACCGAATCGTGCAGCCGTATGATTGCCTCGAAGAACTCATTTATTCGCCATAGGACACCTTTCAACGCAAGCAAAGCGTGCACACATGAAAGCATACAGGCTGGACCTGCGCATGCGCAGACTGCAAGCCTCGAGGTGGCTGTGGGAGAAAGAAGAGAACATAGCGCCGAGTCAGAACAGCTCGGACGCTGCAGCGCTCGATCACATGACCGGAGGATGGATGACGTCGACGGCTCGATCGCCCGCCTGTCCCGCCCTGCGACGCGCCTGCCGCCATGGCGTCACCGCCGTCTTGCAGCGATCATGCCTCCTCCTTGTCAGTGTGGATCTTAGAAAGAAGCACTGAGACCTGCTCATAAGGCAGCACGAGCCATGGATCTCATTTCATGTCTCTTCGACCTCTGTCCCTCCATCTACGTCTCACAACAAATCGTCGTTTCCCATCCGTAGTTAGAACTTCGGCCACGATGCCGTCGAACGACATGAATGCTCAGAATGCGTCTGGTCTCACACCAAATGAAACGAAATCCCTAAAGGAAAGAATCCCTGAGCACCATGAGGAGAAAATCATCCAGGGCATCAAAGAAGTAGGTCTTTTACCCGTTGTCCACCCGATGCCAAACGCACTCAACTGACGCAATAATAGCTGTACACTTGCAAACCGTCAGAGGTAATGGGTACATGCGTGCGGGCCATGGCGTCAACTCACGCATTGTGTCGGCATAATGGCAGGAAACATACAAGATCTACACGTCTGATGCGACGTTTCACGATCCTGTCGGGATTGCCGAGGGAATCAAGGCCATCCGGGCTCAGTTCAATGGCCTCGTCAAGGTCTGTCCGCCTTTTCCCAGGCATGCACATTGACCGTGCCTCTGCCATCTTGCGTGCACATGCTCATGCAGCATATGGCTTGTATAGGTCTTCCCGCGGGCTGACCTCGAGCAATTCCGCCTTCTCGAGAACCCGCCATCGGTTCCGAAGGGCACTATTCTGATCGACCAGGATGTCTCCTACTACCGTGACCCGTCCGGGTCTCCCACGAAGGTACATCGTGCTTCGTCCTTTGTCGGCCGACGACATGCGCTCACCCGTTTCATTTCCAAAACCCATAAAGACGGTCAACTCGTTGCTCACCTTGCAGACAAATGACGCTCATCAGGTCACGCGCCACACCGAGGAATGGGATCATAAGCGTGAGACCACGCGGGATGACGGCTTTCTCGGATATCTGAATGAGCAGAGAAAGAAAATTACCGCCGGAGTAACAGGAATGTTTGTCAGTCAGGAGCCGCCAGAAGGGAACAGCTCGAAATAGCCAGCGTCACATAAGGTGGCCATGGGGGAATGCTGTAAGATAGTATCCGTCGCAGAACCGGTTACGCATGTATTACTTGTCAATAAATAGCACGAGCGCTGTTTCCGATAAGATAGTATACTACAAAAGATGCTGTTGACATGGATGTATGCGCCGTGTGCGTTGATACTGGACATCTGGATCAGACCTGCCTGGACCTGTGTCGACGAGACCGCTCAGAAACCGAACCATCGTTTGCCTGATTGTTGAGCGGCCAGTCTTTGTGCCTGCACGTCAAATTGATAGTACTGGGCGTCGGCAAGGTGCTTCTCGAATTCAATAGAGGAGACCGTGCGTACCTGGGAAAGCATGCCTTTGCTTCCTTGCTCAAGCGAATTGAACGACTCTTCGAGATCGCCCAACATTTGCCTGCATAGACGCGCAAGCATCAGTAAGCGGGAACGAAAGGAGCTTATGCGGTAAGGAGGCGCGCAAAAAAGGACGTACCCTCGTTCGGCAAGCGCGGTACCCAGCTTGTTGTACAGATCGCTGACACCAGTTGACATCGAGTCTGCTGCGGATTTGACCGTATTGTCCTTGTCCTTGCCAGTAGTCTTGGATGACGGCGGCACCCGTCCCGCGGGATCATAGTTGGACTGAGGCGGCTCAGGCCTGTCCGGGCCTGCCACTGCACATGATAGGACACAGGGTGAATTACGGCCCAGATGGAAGTAAAGCACATGGTACAACGTAAAATACTCACACAATGCATCGATCTCCGCGCCGCTCATCACGCCTCGCCCAAGGTAACCCAGCACGGAGCCGATCACCGACTGCGGCTCGAGCGACACGGGCGCCGGCTGGGGCGGCACGGGCGGTCGCCCGAACGCGAGGTCGACGAGGGGCGGTGCGTATGGCGCCGCGCGCCGAGTGCCGAAGAGCGTGCCGTAGCGCGTTTCCCGAGTGAGGCGTGTGGTGGGGTCGAGGACGAATGTGATGTAGTCGCCTGTCGGGTCTGTCGAGACGTTTCTAGTATGAAACGTGAGAATATGACACTGGAAAGGATGAAAGAGGACGTACGCAAGAGACTGCTCAGGCAGCTGCAATGTGTGGAGGTGCTCAAGGAATGGAAGGGAGTAGATGAGGGCTTCCGCAGGCTCCGTGAAGGCGACAAGTGCACATCCACCTGGGTTCCTATGAGCGCGTTGGCTACATCAAATATTAATGAAGACTGACCATTTTTCTCAACAACTTCTACTCTGATAACCCGACCGACCCTGCTGCTCCAGTCCACTTTTGCAATTCGGTCGCCGACGAGGTTTGCGATACATTTTGCGCCTTTCGCACCCGCGTTAACCCAAATGCAGCCGTGTTTCCTTGTGTCACTCTCTGCGTTTTCGGCTTGCTGCGGTACGCTGTCGTTGGCGAGTACTGCAGCGAACGCCTGAGGGTCAGCACGTAGACGGGCGCCGCTCTTCGCATCGAGGACAAATGAACCACCGGGAGCGGTTTGCACACAGCCCTCAGAGACAGCGGGCGTGTCGGGGATCGTCCACACGTTCGCAGGCGAGCGTGCGAGCGTGTACACGGACCCGTGGCCTGATGTGGACACAGCAATCAGACGAATGCGAGACACAGGGTCTGCATGAGGACATCAGTATCGCCCTTCACAGAAGAGCAAAGCGAGGGAAAGAGAACTACCGGATGCAATAGGACATATTGTCCACGTCAAAGATGCTATAGTCTCTAACCTCTCCGCGGAAGCACTCCGACTGATGAGAGAATGCCGATGCTCTTTGTTGCGCGGCGGCGCATGGCGCAAGATCACTCGTGGACCGCGCAAGTCGACAACTAGCAGCCCACCCGAGTTGTAAGCGACGGCCAAGAAACCTGCCCATGTGCCCGCCGCCATCAGCTGACTGCACCACGCCTTGCATTCGAGGCTAGACTCACCGACGTCTGAAATTGCGCAGGCGGTGACTCTGCCATACTTGGACCTGATCGCGCAAAACGGACTATAGCGCAAGCCGGTCCTGACAGACAGATGTGCGAGGGAGACGAGCTCGTCATCTTCCAGTTCAGGCGGGTCTCCTGTACTCTGTACATCGAGCCTGTGCAAAATGACCGCCCCATTCCTGAACACGGTGATACATTCCAGACTATTTGGTGCGAGAAGGATTGAATCAATTTCTGAGGAGTCTGCTTCCGCTGCGGTGGTATGAGTTGAATCCGAAGGTGAAGGTCGAAGAGATGGCTCAAATAACAAGGCAGAGAGTTCGATCATCAGACTTGGCAGCGGGTCAGGTAATGAGTTGGTAAGAGGTTCGTCGAATGAGCTGACAAGCGACTGAGCACTGAGGTCGTAGAAATGCAAGACTAGGTCATGGTCATGAGTTATCAATACACGACGAGGTTGGAACTGATTCAGACATTCGTCAGGACATCAATTTAACTGCTTGTAAGATTTTTACCTTCATCAGTTTCATCTGCCCTTCGGTGTCCTCGAGCCATGCCTTCCCCCCTCGAATTGGCAGCATGGCGTGTCTGTCATTCTCCCCTAACAATTGTCCGTAAGTACTTTTGTCAAGCTTACAGATCACGCCGTCTGATATAGCTCCGAACGCAGATGGAAGATTGAGCATCATAGGATCTTCAGAGAGAGACATTGACTGGAGGGTGGAAGCCAGCTCATTTGCAAGAGCGCTGTCGAGATCGCCATCAGGTGCTGAATTACTGGTAGTCCCTTCTGGTACTGCAGCATTCGAGGTCGAAGGGGCGAACGCAGGAGGCGGGAATTCGAGCGCCTCCACCACTCGCGTGGCTCCAGTGGGATCCAGGTCAGAGTCGGAGAGTAGCAATACTGCCTGGGGGTCCCACGCGCCCGCAAAGTGCGGATTAGCTCGAGGGATCAACAGGAAGTCCTGCACTGCTCCGACAGTATTATAGGCATATGAGTCAAGGGGTAGGAGAGACGCCACCATCGCAGCGCGAGTATCGGGATGAAGCGCGGGCGATGCGGGTCCCTTCCCCTTTGCATCTGAAGCTGGCGACGCATGGGGGCTTAGCGGGGGGAGTAGGAAAGTGGTAAGCCCTGGAGAAGAATCGTGCGCAAGCCCACCCAACACCGTCAAAACGGTGTTGCCTCCGCGGGGATCAGAGGAATTCGGGAATCCGCTCCATGAGAGTTTGAAGATCGGTTCGCGGGAGGCAGCTGACCTTTCTTGATGAGGCGCAGATGGTTGGCCAGAAGGCAGTGCAGCCTCGAGCTTGTCCACATTCATGACCCCTACATCTTCCTCATCGTCCAAAGTACGGACAAGGAGGGGACGGTCTTCGTCCTCCAGTGCCCAAAAGGCAATACTGCCATCCGCATAGCCGACTGAGATGATGTGTCCTGAGGGATGCACCGCAAGGGCTGTCACAGCCGGGCGACGAGGGAGTAGTATATCCTTATCCAACCCCATTAGGCCTCGTCAAACACACTGATGTCGTATAATACCTACAGGTGCTTCGTAGCCAGCGCCACCTGGAGCTCCAGGTGGGAGTATTAGTTCATAAGCACGAGCTGTATTGCGTTGTTTCTGTGGCACAAGCTCCCGTTAAGCGCATTGAGCGAGCTCGGTGAGCATTCACGCACGAGATCAGAAAGTACGATTCCTCCTGCAACATAAATAGAGGTCAAATAGCGAAGTGAGGCTACTCCAGTAGAGTCCTCACCTCCGTATGCAATGAACAATAGATTCAGATTTCTGGGGTGGGTAACGACATCGAGGATTATGTTACTGGTAATACATCAGCGTCAATGAGGTTATTGGCGGAGAGCAGAATCGCAGACATACGACCCAGGAGTGGATATTGCATGTCTGCCGGCTGCTTGAACCTTTTCCTCGTATAGGGCCCAAACATCGGAAGGGATTGCATATGGAGACATACGAAGGCAGAGGAGATCGTACGTCTTGATCTGCCCGTTTGCAAGCGCAATAAAGGCCTTGGATAGCGATTATTAGAAGCAGAGCCAGTGGCAACCGGCTTGACCCACATGTGCATGCGAAGGCGCAACATTGATACAACTTCATCATGCATGTGCAAAGGTGAGCTTAATAACCGTTCTTATTGAGATGTACTGCATACTTTATGGGGTGTGGGAGGTTAAGGATTCTCTGCAGTTTGGGTTTACCAGGCGCTTGTAAGTCCCAAATGTGTAGGCGATCGTGCTCATCTACGGAACGGCCTCTCAGTCAAAGGCAATTTTATGAAGGGATGTCTCAACCTGCGCATAATAACTTGAGCGGCGAAGTGCTGAAGAGCAACAGCCTGATCTCGGTGCCAGGCGGATCAGAGAGGTCAAGGGTACATTCGACGCCAGGAGAACCGTAAATGATCACAGTGCCTCCCCCTGTCCCTAGGGAAGCGTGCGTGTTTCAGTGCGCACCCATGATATGCGTATTGAGGGATATACCGACTGCGAGAAGACCAGACACCGGTTCACAAGCGAGAGCCTTGATGTCGAGATGATGGCGGATCCTTCTGAGTGATGCTGCCTGCCAATCTGCAGTATCAGATACCTCTAGAGAGAGATCCACATATTCTTTATCATGCTTGAAGAACATTGTTGGGTCAAAGGAGTCGCACTGGCGATAAGACGGCTACTGCATTGGATTGGAGCGCCTCGATACGCGCGATCGCCACGTGCATGAGCCACAACGCGATCACGTGGCATCGCGTTCGTGGTTGAACTCAAGTGGGCGCTTCGGCCCTCGACGTAGACGCTCTTACTTTCCGCCACACTTCTTACCCTCGCCGTCATCGACGCGATGGCTACTTGGGGTATTGGAGATAACCATGACTCTGACGAGGTTCAAGTGCTCAAAGAGCAGCTTAGAACCAAAGGTGAGTCCGTCTCAAGCGATACTCCGCAACGGTAACATAAAACTATCGAACAGATGCACAGATTGTTACCTTGCACAGTCAACTGGCAAAGAAAGGCGAGGAGAAGAAGGATTTTACTACTACGTATAACGATGTTGCTGACAAGGTGAGAGCTCCATAAAGTCATATACCACAAAAACCTATCGTTGTCCCCATCAGCTCCGCAGAGAGACCGATCGCGCGCTTCAGCTAGAGGAGCAACTGCAGAAACACAGCGAAGATCTCCAGAACGAGCGGATAACTCGCCAGAATATTGAAGTTGCTCTCGCGGCGACTCAACAGAAGCTGAAAGGTTCAGAACATTCTACGCAAGAACTACACTCCATTCTCGACACACTCTCCTTGCGAGTAGAATCATCGTCTGCAGACAAGGCTAAATTGGAGAGCGAGAACTCGGCTCTTCAGCGCCGCGTTCGAGACCTGCAGGCAGAGCTGGCTGTGAAAGAGTCATCCGAACAGGTACTTCGCCACAGTCAGTCGGCAGGCAACCCTTCCAGTTCCCGCGGACGACGGAGGTCCTCTTCTGTTTCAGCATTCCGCGTGTCGGCACTTGAACGTCAAGTCGCAGACTCCCAGGCGCAGTCCGTCAAACAAGCATCCGGTCTGCAAGACCTCAGGGATCGCTTGTCCCGCGCACAAGATGCCCTTGTGCGATTGGAGAACGAGAAGATGGCGTCGGAGAAGCGCTTCAAGAGAGAGCTGGAGGACATGCAATCCCAGCTACAGGAGCGAGAGGAAGATATGCGATCGTTGCAGGGTAGGGGAGGAGACGATGCGGCAGCCAGGGAGCACAGTCTCCTGGAGAGGCTAGAGGACGAAGAGCAGAGGGTAGCTGCTTTGCAGAGTGAGCTCGCGCACTCAGCGGGTAGTCATAAGCGGGAGCTGGCAGTTCTGCAGGGCGAGCTCGCGAGAACGCAGAGCCTGTTGGAAGACGCGAACGCAAAGGCGGACGACTGGGACTCGCGGATGGTAGAGCTTGTAAGCCAGAAGGAAGACGCGTTGAACGTGCGCGATCAACTGCAGGCGACTGCTCAAGACTTGGAATTGAAGCTGCAAATTGCATACGATCGTATCAGGTATGAATTTGCCCATGGGCTCTGCTCCAACTGAACGCGCTAAAGACTTGTTTCTCAAGCCAACTAGAGATCGCACCTACACCCTCAAGCCCGGACTCAGAGACTGCTGCAACCGTGCAGCGTCTTCTCGGTATGATCGAGAGGTTGCGTGGAGAACGTGACCAGCTTCAGTCCCATCTGGAGTTCCTTACTGTCGAGAACAGATTCGCCGTAGAGGATCTCAACGCGAAGCTCGCCGCGGCCAATGAGGCTGCAGCGTCTGCAGAAACCCAGGAAACCCCTATGGAAATTATCCCGTCAGATGCCCTTGAGCAGCGGGCGCTGTGGCAGCATCGCCTCAAGCATGCCAGTCGTGCTGCTCTCGTCTTCTCACTTGTCGCACAGCATGTAGAGGCCGAACACTCTGCCCAGTCGACGTACGCACAGTCATTACTCCAGGATCTGATCGCCACTCGTCACGGACTTCAGCAAGCGCAGAGAGATGTACAAGAGAAAGAAGGCCGCGTTAGCCACTTGCTCAACTCTCTGCAGGACAATAGCACCCAGATCCACCACATGAAGGCTCTAATCGACGAAGCGGAGCAAAACCTCCGGGCTGCGGAATCGCGGGTATCGGATCTCACGCAAGCTCTCGAGCATCTTCGTGACCAATATGCTAAAGAGAGAGGTGCCCACGAACAGACCGGTCAAGCTCTGTCGCAGACGGAGACCCAACTCGCCGACGTTGCTCAGGCGCTCGCAGACACCGAGGAGCAGCGTGATGCTCTCGCTCTCCAGATCCGACACACTGAGCAGGATCTCGACACGGTTCGCAAGGAACTCGCCGAGGCGGATAGTCGCTACGGGAAGCAGCTGCAGGCCATGTCCACAGGAGATGCTACACGTGCGCTGCGCGATCAGATCAGAGCTCTGGAGGACCGCGTGCAGAGACGAACAGAGCAGATTGGCGTACATCAGCACGACATCAAGCGGCTGGAGACGAATCTACGTTTGCAGGAGGACCTCGTGACGGAGCTGACCGAAGATCTGGAGGTGTTGCGCACGGAGAAAGAGGCGTTGGTCGAGGACTGCAAGACCAACCGAGACGCGCGTGATGAGGCTCTACGCAAATGCGAGAGTTTGGAGGAGACGATGGAATGTTTGGACGAGGAGAAAGGCAAACTTTCCCTCGCCGTATCCTCTGCGACGGAATCTGAACAGTCGTTGAACAATGACATTCTGACACTATCCAGTCGCCTTGCGAATCAGGAAGCTCAGTGCGCCTCCCTCTTGTCCAGTCTAGAAGAGTCCCAGGCGCAGCGAGCTGGCAGTATACAAAAAATCTCCGAGCTTCGTGCTGCGCACGCAACCGCTCTGGAGACTCTTGACCAGAGAACGACTCGCCTCCAATCCCTACTGGAGCAAAACCGCTCAATCTCAGACGAGTCCATTCAAGCCACCATCGCGTTCGCTGTTGTCTCCCTCGAACTGCGGAGCAAGACTTTCGCATACCAACAGGTCAAGGAAGCCCAGCGCCTGGTCTATTCCGAAACGGCATCTCTTCAAGCAGAGCTGGAGCGCGGGCATATCAATCACGATGCTCTCCATCAAGAGCTGAAAGATCTGCAAGCCAGGCATACTGAGGACCGTACAAAAGATGCGGCGCATATCACTGAGATGCAAGCGAATCTAGATTCCCTGGAGACGGAACTTCACAGAATCCGTGCTGCTCATGCGGAAATAAGCTCGCTTCGAGAGCACGAGTCGTCCCAGCTCGTTCGGGCTCAAGAGGAGCTGAGACAATATCTGGAGGACAGTGCAGATCATTCTTCTTCTGAAGCTCAGTTGTCTCAAGAACTCTTGCGGCTGCGAGCCCAGCACGGTGACGAGGTGGCGGCCTTGCAGATGCGACTCGAACAAGCGTCAGTCGACCTCAAGTCAGCGCACCGATCACTAGAGGACACGTCTGCTTCTCACCAGCATGCCCAAAATGCTCTCATGGTGGACAAGGAGGGGCTCGAACGCCGACTGGCCGAAAGTGCTGAGAAGCTGGAGGCCATTACTCGGTCAAATGAAGAGCTTAACCAGCAACAGTCGAGCCACGACAGCGAACTACAAGAGCTTCACGCGGAGTGCGACCGCTCCACTAAGGAGCTGCAGATGTTGACCATCGCCCACGAGGAGCTCGTTCTGAAGTGCGGCCAAATCACGGAGGAGCTCGAGGTTCTCACCAGTCAAGTCGCAGAAAAGACCCAGCGTCATGAGCAAGTCGAGGCAGAACTTGAACGTCTACACGCCGATCACGCAGATGAAGTCAAGGCTCTACAAGGCCGTCTCGATGCACTCGAATCTCAGTTGCGCGATGCACAAAGTTCCAGTTCGGAGCTCGACGGGCGATATATCGATCTGCAGCAGCAGGCGTCCAACGAAAAGCAAGATCTGGAGCATCAACTATCGTCGTTGCGGGAGGAAGTAGACTATCTGAAAGCGAGCCTTCAAGGAGAGATGGACCTCTACACACGCGACCAGAAGAAGCACGAGCACGATCTGGAGGCCGCAAACGAGAGGCGACTTAAGGCCGAGGAAGCCCAGAAGCTTCTTGGCAAGGAATTGGAAGTCCTTCGCACACGCCTTGAGGACGCCAGGAGCAATCTAGAAACTCTTCAGGAAGAGAAAACCACTCTCCAATTCGAAACCACGAGCTTGGAAGCCGAAGTCCAGCGGTCCAAATCGCTTCATGGGTACTTGGAAAAGCAGGTGAAAGAAAGGTACCCTTCGTATAGATACTCATACGTGATTCTGTGCTGACGGTATCTGTGTAGCGAATCTCAGATCTCTGCATTGCGGCAAGAGCTGGAGAGCACTCGCGAAAACGCAGTACGGTTCGAGAAGGACTGTAAAGCTGCGGAAGTTGAGCTGTCAATGCGAGAGATACAGCATGAGCAGGCTGTCGCCGCATTACGGAGAGATCTCAATGCTCTCAGGGCGAATCCTAAGCTCGAGGACAAGGTTATCGAACTTGAAGAGAGGCACCAAGAAATGGAGGAGCTCCTGAGGAGCAAGTGCCAAGAAATCGAAGAGAACGACGATCGTGTCCTTGAGTATGTGCTCCTTTATCAGGCCGCACATTGCTATGTTGACGAGCAATATGTAGGATGCTCAAAGAGAAAAAGAAGCTCACGAGCAAGATTGAGTCGTTATCCAGAAAAGTGCATACGCTGCAAGCCAAGCTGGCTGCTGCGAGCGAGACTCCTGCTCCTCCCCCTCAAGAACCGAGAGCTGATTCTTCTTCGAGACCTGCTTCGCGAGCATCTAGTATCAACCTCGCTTCATCGAGGTCAACGAAGTCAGCCGCACCTCTCGCACCACGGATGCCTGTCCCTATGCCGACTACTCCAAAGACACAAACGCGTGCGGTTTCTGGGCCATCCGTTCCATCTAGGCCGAAGACCCCGGAGAGCAAAACGCCACAGCTATCAGTCTTCAGGACTCGCACACCGGAGCCCAAACGAGCTCCACCGTCGGTCCCACAAGCAGAGCCGCCATTAGCAAGCTCGTCGTCTTCCTCCGTGGGCCAAAAGCGGCGTGCTCCGGATGACTTTGACGATTGCGATAGCGTGCCACCACAAGGCTTTACGGTAGACAGTGTCCCCAGCGCTGGGCCTGTGACGCCTCGCGCTCGGAGAGCGTTGCAGCCAGTGAAGACCGGGTTCACTCCGGTCCGTAGCCACCCAATTCATGCCTCATCAGTGCAACTGTCGCCTTCTCGGAGGGCGACCACTGGGGCGCCTTTGTCAAGTGCACCTTTGCCACCAGCGATCGCTGATGTCACCAACAGTCCCCGGTCTAAGTCGGAAGCAACTAAGACCGCAAAACGAGGATGGCTAGGCAAGATCAGGAACGGAACGACGGCGGCTGTGACGAGCAGATCGGTGTCATCGCGACCTACTTCATCCCAACGATGACGACCCGCTGTACTTCACACGAGTTCGGACATTTATCGCATATGTATTATAGCCACTCATATGTTTATTACTTCTCCTTTCTCGATAATCACGGCGATCTCTGCACATCCCATTTGTGAAAATGTGCACACATCGGTGCAGGCGAGAGCAGAACCTCAGAGCGAGTCCGCATCGGTATCTACAAATGTTTCGTTGCGCAGCCACTTGACGAGAATCTCCCTAAAGGCGTCCTCACTCGACGACTGAACAACAATCAGGACCCATTAGATAGCAATGAGACCGGGTTACTCACAGTGACCGGCATCATCTATGCTCAAAAACGTGAGCACTCCAGCGCCCGACCCCACTTGGCGCAGCCAGCCGACACCGGGCCAGGCGATGTCTGGAGCGGTGCGGAAGGCCGCCTGATGGGTAGTCTTGAGCAGTCTCATCTTGAAAATTGAGGTTATCCAGTCAAGCAGATGGGATGCTCGCTAGAAAATGGACCAACCCAGGATACGTTGCTCCGCCAGCTGCAGACACCATCCGTGTTTCCGTTGTATACTAGATCGAATGTAAGTTACGCTGTGAATATAGAAGGCTGAATTTTACGAACCCAAGACACGCAGACCAGCGTTAATGGCGGGCGTCAGAAGTTGGTACGCCGGCTGAGCCCTACATGAAAACGCACAATGCGCAAGCAGTCAGTATCATGCCTCAGAAGGACTCTGAGTGACCGAATAAAATCCCGTACATATCACCATTCGTGTAGAATCGATGGAATGTGTCTTCGGAGGTATAGACGAAGTGCACTTCGTCAGGAACTTTGATCTATGACAATGAATGTTCGGATATTTGTCTTGGTGTCCTGGAAAGGGAGGAAAGGGAAAACTGACGTAGCTGCGAATCTTGTCCGAGTGCATGACATCGTTGAGCCGGCCCATCTCGGGAAAACAGTCGTATACCTCCCCGATATTGCACTGAGTAAAACGACGCCAGCATGAACATAGCACGCAGGCGAAACTAGCGATTATAAAAATACTTACGGCCTGCGTTGCATGGTACGGATTCCGTCCCGTCAGCCCTGCAGCGTAGATCGCACCGACGGCAACATCGCACGTCTAAAACGCTGTCAGCTTGTTTTCGAGCGAGGGCTGCTCGTACGCTAGCTGTGCGGCGTCCATACACTCGGGGAGGACGGAGATGGCGACGTCGCATCCGGTGCCATTAACGATCGGATTGTCGTGGCAGTTGCTTTGTGCGTACCACCTGGGATGCATGTCTCATTCACGGTATGAACGTCAACATAGGATGCTGAAATGCGGACTTGTAGTTCCCAAGCGGATCGCTCCATCCGTTGCCTATCATTACCTGCAATGAAAATCGTTCAATTGACATTTCCGCATCATGAAGTGAAGGGACTGGACTCGCAGCATCAGGCGACTTGACCACACGAGCGCTTGTACTGATCTCTGCTGCTGCGAGATTCCGGGAGTGGATGACGTTCACGATATTCGGAATGCTAGTAGCATGTTCAACAATGGCATTATTTTAGAGAACCAGGTGGGCAGCGTACTATGTCCCGCCATACGATGCCGACTGAATCATGAATAGACCCCTACAATATACGTGAGTATATACACACTGTCCTCGGGGAATGTATGACCTACTTTGTGAGGCTAGGATATTTGCTGTATTATGACGGGTTTAGGCACAGACGCAGTGCGAGCACAGAGACGCAGCCTTACACCCAGAAGGCTTGTAGAAAGTCATCGACATCCCAAGCAGCTCTCTCGCTACTGTTTCTCAAGGAGCTGGAAGTCCCATATGAGTGGCCCACTCCCACTGGCTACTCGAAGTATCAATGAGATCACCTGCATCGTTCCTAGTGAATTGCTTACATGACCGATGGCAAGTACATTCACCTCGTCGGTCCAGGAGTACTCTGCAGGAACAGCAGCCCCGGCCCCGTCCTCGCCTGCAGTGACACGGCAGGGTCTAAGGGGACGTCACTATCAAATCAACATCTCGAAAGGGGGCAGCGAACCCGGCGCCACTGAACGGCATGAACATCCCAGAGCTGCCAGGGCCACCGCCAAAAATCAGGACCACAGGGGCATTCTCTGGGTCCTTGCGTGCGTGAAACCACCTTCAAGGCAATCATCGAGTTTCGGTCTAAAACGTTGAGCGACAGTGACACACCACCAGAACATATGCTTGTCTTCTTCGCCATTGGCATTGGTGAAGTGAGCGTATCCAGCGGTCGACTTGTCCCCTTTGCGGGCGCAGAACAACGTCGCGTTCGGATCTGAGGTCATTTCCAGACGCGTTGCGAGATTGGGTTGGCCCACAACATCCGGGGTAGCCCCTCCCGTGTGACCGCTAGAACCTACATGTGTCGAGAATGCATGCTGAACCCCAGGTTCAAGGCGAAACGCGGTCACAAACGACGCCGCAAGTAGCAGACCGACTGCCTTGCGAAGCATGATTGTGTGTCGCACGCAAGGAGTCGAGCAAGGCTGAGCTCCTAGTGTTGGATTGCGGAAGCCGCAATCATGTCGTCGCGTACTTGCGGAACGTGATACCGTCTAACGAGGCTCTCTACTCATGAATGATTTAATATGCCAAAATCGAGCTGATCCTACTATACGATGACCGCAGCGCCATAGAGATGCCACATCCATCGCAAAATTATTGAAATTGTGGTTGTTGCGATACAGTAGTAGAGTGCAGAGTGTCCGTGCAACGAACTCGTTGAAGTATTCGATCAGCACTTGATGTTGTTAACGCGTTAATCGAAGGTGGTATCCGGCATAGACTGTATCCCTCGGTTCAATGTTCCGTTAGCTTGTCTGCATTCTTCATCTCGTTTGCGCAGGCATGGTCACCACCTCTAAGTCTCCAAACCAGTCTACACACTATGCAATTCTCGAGCTGTGAACGCTGTTAATCCTTCTCGATGAGCTCGACGACCTCTTCTGCAGCCCCCCAAGAATTTTGGTACCCTGCAGGTCTGTTGCATGTTGGCGTGAATACCAATGAGTATGTGCAGTGGTTACTACTCACCCAAAGCCATATGCGTGCACGACTTTGACTCGGCGACCAATACTCGCGCTAGTCGGTGACAAGGCCGGACTGTATTGTTCCGACAGGTCCACCCATTCTACCTCTAGACGCGCACCGCCCCTGCGTGCCGGCCGCAGCCCGACATTGTGACTCAGGATGCGTGTCTCCTTGCTGGCAAGCTGAGGCATCAGCGCGGTGCAGCGCTCAAGGATCCCCCGAGCCGTCGCCATATCTAACGACACGTCCCAGTTGTCCTCCTGAAACGTCCCGCCTAAAAGAACATGTCCAAGTGGCGCTGGACGCGGGATAATGTATGTTGCCTCGCCTTCCACTGATGCGGTGCCTGCACAAATGGTCACTTTAGTCTTTAGGGTCTACAAGGCGCGTGGTGCTGTGCCATGCCTAGTGGGAAGGAGACGAACTCCTTGACGCCGGGCGCGTCTACTATGATGACCTGTCCCCTAATCGGGAAGACGTTTGTGTCCTCCACGCCGATCAATGATCTTGCACCTAAAACGCGAGTCAGACGCATGATGCATATTGCACATACGCAGTGAGGCTTACCGAGCGCTGTTGCATTGACCAGGATCCCGTTCGCCCCTGCGAATGCAGCCGCTTCGTTCAGGCTCTGCACGCGCTTGCGAATGAACGAGACGCCGCGTGCGCGCAGCTCCGCCTTGAGCCATGGCAGGTATACTTCAGGGTTGACGGAGATAGTTGTAAAGCAAACACCTCCTTGAGCGCCAGACGGAACCTCACTCGGGTCCATGACGCGAAACTGAACATTGCACATAAACAGGTATGTTTACGTTCAGACACACAGTCACAGTCATGAGCGCGGTACTGACGTCTCGAACGAGGTCCTTATACCACAAATCGGGCAGATTGTCGGTTGTCTGGTAGTACACACACGATGGCAGCGCCTGTCAGGTACAGGTTGACGTCAGTAATGTGAAAGGTGCTGCGACTGAGCCGAAAGACTTGCCATGACCATCCCGGTGGGTATCATGCTCCAGAACTTGTTGCTTTGCGTCCGTCACTGAGCGAGTACACGTAGGATACACGCGGTGACATCAACTCACAAAGTGACGATCTCTCGCTTGTGCTTTTTCTCTTCAAAGCCGCCAATGGGGGACCAATTCGCTCCCTGGAGCCGTCCGATCGGCATCCATCAGCATGCGACCCCAGTCAGTTGACCCTCCTCATACCGCCCAAGGACTCGCGAATGCCTGTGAGTCGAGATCATCTGGCATGTCGCGAGCCACGACCTTTATGTTGTACTTGCTGCGTGTGCTCGAAGATAAGACGTATGCGACGGTGAGTCCAATCACCCCTGCACCCAAGATTACGACCTCTTTGGCGGGCTGAAACGGTGTTGTGGGGGAGGACATCTTGTTGCTAAAGCTGCTTCGACTGATTTCTGAAGTCTCCAAGACTGAAGGATTCAAGTTAGGAGAAGGAACGACTAGCCCTGATTGCTTGTGGATGACTCGAAGGCCTCGAAGGCCTCGGCGATAGCGTTGGTATTGGACGGATACACTCTGCCCCTAACCAGAGGTTAGGGTTGCGCTGCGAGACGTGGGAAACCGGACGATACCGAGCTCTCTCCGCCGTCGCCTTCACCATCCTCATTCGGTTCTAACATGTGTCTCTTCTTCTGCATTGCCGCAATGTCATTTCAACTACCGCACAGTGGACCGCATTTATATGGAGTGACATTGCTTCCCAATGGAACTTCTTGAAGTTTACTGCAGGCCAACCCATATAGGTTATCTGACTGCCGCCAAATGCACGAAATGCTTTCATTCAGTACACAGGCATCAATAATACATGCAGCGTGCTCTGTCACGGATAGGTATGTACTATTTGCGAGCCGTGTTCGATGTTCTGTCTTTCTGTGCTATCGAAACCGCGGAGACACTACCTCGGGACTCGCAACGTGTTGAATGTGAGGTCCGCAACACGGCCTATTACGACTCGCACAGCGTCATGATCCGTGACCGCGCAAGCATATCACTGCAATTCAGCTCAGCTTGATGCAGCGGCCCTTATCCTCGTTTTTGGCCTGAAGCACTGTATGCAACTTGATATATACCATACGGTCCGGTAGGCGGTTGATATTGGTCTAGGGTGCTTCCCCCTTCGTCTCACTCCTTCGGCCTCTCGTGCGCTTCTGCAACGTGCACTCCGCAAGGATCCTGCCGCGCCGCAATATGAAGCTCTCCGCCGCGACTTTGCTTGCTCTAGCATTCGCCTGCGTTGCCCTCTCCTCTCTGTACAACCACTCTCCTCACCAATCTGGTATTGGTCTCTCGTCTTCTAGCATCCTCGATGGCGCCTGAGATTCGTTTCAACACCTGGGGCATCCCATATCTCGTCGAGTTCGGCAACGTCGGCTTCCGCCCGCGCCCGCGCCCCGTGTCTCCTGCGCTGAGCCTTAACCCTTCCTACACGACCTGCGGGAGCACCGCCACGCTGCTCAACACCGTCGGCTCCTCTGCGACAGCATCGTCCGAGACGTTGCAGTGCCTAGAGGGAGACTCCGACGAGAGCAAGGGGCTCTACATCCGTTTCGCGTCCCACCGTTACCGCCCGCCCCACAAGCTGTCAAACAGTCGGCTCCTGCGTCTGAAGCACCGCATCGCGAAGGCCGTGATGGCGGCGGGGATGGATTCGTCCCCGGCAGGGGAGAAGGAAGACCCGATACGCGTGCACCAACTCTCGCGGGCGTCATATGGTAGTATACAGTCGACCGACTCTCTGCCCGAACAGGGGTCGGGATCTCTCTTCCGAGGCACGTACGGGCAGGTCATGTCGGCACTGCAATCTGTCGGTTTAGTTACGACACCTTGCAAGGAATCTGGTGTCGACGAGGGTAAATGGGCCTCGCTTTCTGTGTCTAATCTTGTACTCATCAGTCTTCTATCCTGCATAGCAACTCGTCTGGGTGCCCTTTTCGTCGCAAATCACACTGAAGATGGAATAATCGAGTTTACGAAGCTCACGTTATGGGCATAATGCGCAAGGTAATTGCCTTATTAGCCATCTGCACTGCGCGCCAGCCACTGATTTTCGCGATAGGGCAGACGATGACGAACTCCAATGCCCTAAATTATCAATATTGCAAGATATTTATTGTCGCAGGGACGGTTCCCCCCTTGTCGGGCAATGCCGCATTCGCTACCCTTGGCATTGTGCCTGGGGTTGCCTGACCATCCTGACTTCTGCGCAAGCGTTGCGAGGTGCTGCGAAGGCACTCGACTTAGCGTCTCGTCGCTCTTGGTCTCCGCTCCACTTCCGGGGCAGCAAGTCCTATTGGTCGACCCGACCTCGTTTCCATAGCCACGGGAGTCGGAAGGATACGCTTTGACAAGCTGTGACGTCATGTACACAGTGGCGCACTTGACCAATGGGGCCGAGATAAATATTTGCTATTTGGTGGGCTGCCGACGTCGGAGCGACCCCTTACCGGTCGCGAGATACATTTGCAGGACGGAGATTGATGCTGGCATCGGGTACCTTTGGATCGCTATAGCGTCCTGTATTCTGTAGCGGCATTCTGCGACTGAGACCGCTTATAAACGCGTTCATGACCACCGTACTATTTTCGCACGTCATACAGGCTGAACCTGTGGTCAAATAGTACAGAACATGGAATGAGAATGACTCACGTCGATAAGCCAGATATACCATGGCGAAGGACTTGAGCGCGGACTCTACTTTTCTGTATGTGTGCTCGTTGACGCGTATACTGAACCCTCGGGCAGGGTTCGGGATATGCCCAGAGTGTCTGAGCCACCCTTCCTGAGAGTCGGCCCAAATCGTCCAGACATCCCTCTTGGGAAAATGCCCGGGTTGTATGAGGCCTCGCACCAATTTCAGGCACCTTCCCGCTGTCTTCAGGAGGTAGGACGGGCTTCATCTGACGGCAGTACTCACAGCTAAGTACTGTATCCTAGAATAGAACTGACGCCACTAGTGATGTTCACAATCGGGCTTTGAGGCCCAAGCCCGCCGAACCCTGCTTGGCTGAGGCGCATATAGCTCAACACAAGTCCTCAAAAGACCTCCAAGAGGCCACAGAGCCTAGTGTGCAGGCCTGGATTGACTATGAAGCCAGGCCCGGTGGCCCAAAGTGCGGCCCAAAGTAGGGCTTTGGGCCCTGAACAACACCAGACGCCACATGCCACCTCCCTATACGGCACCAACCATTTTCATTTGTTCTTTCATGTCATGTCAACGTCTACTATATATTATTGTTTGCTGTGAGGGGTTGGTTTAGTATGTAAACAGTGAGCAGTAAAGGATACCTGATCTGGTACACCAACTCACTTATCCTACTGATACCCCGAAATAGGTTCCATAAGAAGCTCGATATTCTAAGTATCACTTCATTTACTTACTCACACTTGCATCCTATGGTCTCGCAACTAGACTCCAAGGATTGCGAACAATACCAAGAAGTTTGGACAAATTGTAAGTGAGACGAGTACAGTAGGATTTCAAACCCCGATTACGCCTGTATTAGTGATCGAATCAGGCAGAAGGCTGAGCCACCGATCGCACTCCAGGCCAACCATGGCTCAATCCCTTATGCACCCATTCAATTTTCCGCTCCGCTGCTCTGACAAAATCGGATATACCTGCTCTTTTCCCGACTCTAATGGGTGGCGACCGTTCCCAAAGCTAGCTTTGTTGTTCTGTCTGCAGATTCAGTCATGGTGGGCACAGACCTTCACCTGAATAACACGATGGGGTGCGCCTTCGTAGGAGTCCTCTTTGCCGTGACGTACGTATATCATTCAGCTAGCAACCGCACTTTGACAGCTCAGAGCTAAACGCGTGGTCCAGGTTGTATGGCTGTTCCTTAGCACAGACAATGTTTTATTTCAGGGAATATCCTAAGGATAAGCTTTTCTTGAAGATCCTGGTGCGTCCAGCTGCTATATGCCATATTCCTGCTGCCCTGCTGAGAGCATCTGACTCACGACAGGTGACCTCATTATGGTCAGTGCATTCCATGTTCTTCATTTGTTTTCATCCATCTAGATCAATCAACAGGCTCTTTGATACAGCGAGAACGGGATTGGATGTGGCGGTATGTAGCTGTTGTTAACGTGTCCGTGAACCACCGTGACTTACAGCACCAGTTTATGTGGTACTGGTTAGTTACGAACCACGGAAACCCTGTCAATCTTGCCATTCTCCCAAAGTACGTCTATGAGCGCCGTATCATCGAATGTTCGGATTGATGAATTCGTTATGGTAGCACGTTCACGGTGAGCGATATAATGCTTTGTTTGAAATACATTGCTTGACTGGAGCAATGTCACAAGGCGGAGTTCTTCCTAGCCGTATGTTTCCAACGACAATACCCCTCTGTCAGTTACTCATACACATATACAGGCGTTAACCATCGCGGTCGTGCAAATGTACGTCAGCCGTCCTCCCCGTTGCGAAGAAGCATTGCTGATATTCCTGAAGCTATTTCATCCATACCATCGGGCGATGTTAGTACAAGTGTATTCGTTCCTGCCCGATGCTAACAGGACGATATACGCAGTGCTCACAGGCCGGTGGTACCGAACCCCCTACTCGTTGGCTCTGGTGCGTATGACGAGAACCTGCGAACACAAGTAGTTCTAACCACCTCCATCAGCTCGCAATGTCTCTCGTTTCATTTGGTACGTTTGCATCACGAACTGTCTGGTTTCGCTACTGATGCGTGTGCTCCAGTGGGCGGTGTCGGTTCGTACTGTCACTTCTTGTTCATCGTCCTCCTGGCTGACCTTCCCACTCGATCGCCAGTATCCGTTGAGCGGATGTGAGTTGACAACTTTTCTGCTTGCGAGCCGCATGCATGAGTACTGATGTACTTGATACCGTCAGCAACCTCAATACGGACGCAACGGTAGCTGTGATAGATGCTACTGTCAGTCGGTGCACGCCTCTGTCTTCGGCCCCTTTTGATCTGTTTGCATGCCCAGGTCCCTGCTTCCATACAGACCATCACAGCGTTTATAACCGATATGATTATCACCCTGTCCCTGTGTGCTATCCTGTGGGGCTCGAAGACGGGCTTCAAGCGGTAAACCGCATGATTACGATGCGCAGGGACACCTCACTGACCAGAAATATCAGGACGGAGACCTTGATCTCAACGCTCATCGTCTATGCCATCCACCGCGGTATATTCACGGGGTGAGCAACATCTCGCATATTAAAACTTTTTGTCGAGACCCAATCTCTCGTAGTTTGGTCCAGCTGGCGCATTTTGCGACGGTAAGGGACTTGTGAACGCTAGCGCAATGTGCATCCCATGACGAACAATGTCTTGCAGTTCATCAGCACACTCCATCAACCTAAGCTCTATTGGATGATCTGGCACGTCCCGGGCAGCAAAAGTGAGTAACTCGCCGAAGACGTGGTGCTATGCGCTTACGATCCTCATGAGCCTAGTCTATGTCAACTCGCTTCTCGCTGTGTACGTTGTGCTGGATACCTTCCGTCGTGCGTCTCTATTCTAACATTATATGTAGGCTCAACGTCCGTCATCACATCAGTGAGGTCGGTAATGAGATCGAGACACACATCTCCGTCGAGCTCGAAGCCGTCAGTCATCAAAGCCTCACCTACAACCAAACACGGTGAGTGCTGTTTCCTTAACCAGCATGCACTCTCTTCTTAGCTGTGAAACCCGTCTTACTGACCTCGTGCACAGGTCGAGACGACTCTCACGCGCAACGGCCTCACACACGCGCATCATGCTCACGAAGGAGGTTGTGCGGGACACCGAGGTGATAACTGATTCGGAACAGCTGGGTGTCAGTAGAAAGATGTCGCCATCACCATGGTAGACATTCCCTGCATTACATTACGAGCTTTATTTTTGATGGCATTTGCGCGTACATACATACCCAATGGACAATGGGCTTACTTTCACTACTAGGCAATTAATGAAAATCGGGACGGAGTTTACGTATTAGAGTTTGCAAGTGTGATGTTCATGACTCGTAACGACATACATCATGTGCACTGGCAAAAAAGGAACACCTGAAGAAAAACACTTGAACCCGACCCGGATTGAACGGATGACCTTGAGGATTTCCCGTGACTGGAATCTCACGCGCTACCGCTGCGCCACGGGTTCACATTATAAAAACAAGATGTGACATTTATTGGTACATCGATGGTTGGTTATTCAACGCCATTACACCTTCACTAGGACCCCGGCTAATCCCCCAAGAGCCGCTCTGATCCCGAAACCCCCGAAAAGGGGGCCTCTGGAGCCAAAATCTTACATCTCAAACCCCCGAAACGGGGCCCGGACGGCGGTCAGGTTATGTGCCAGATGCCCCCGAAACCAGGCATCCAGGGCGAGGTGTGATCCTCGACCCCCGAACCCAAGGCCCATCAGGACCCCCGAATATAGGGGGGGAACCCTGATCCCGATTTCTCAAATTTTGGTCGACTTGTACGGCAGAAATTTCCGATTTTTGGCCTGATATGTCCGGAAAAAATCAGGCTGCCACCTGATTCAGGCCAAAATGTCCGGAATTTGGATCTTTTTGGACCAGGGTGTCAAAAATCAGTGATTTGTCCAGAAATGATGGATCAGGGTTCTCAAAAACACAATTTCGCCCCCGAGTTCAGTTCTGATGTTGTAATGTGCACCGGACACTTGTACTTGTACTGTAGACTATGTAGCATTGCTGATACAATGGTCTATACTCCTATATCGATGCCTGACTCATAGACGACAAGCGAGGACTTATGGACAGTATGCCGTCCTAAAGATCGAGCGAGGAAGTCGAGAATGACCACTACCCCAAGCGAAGAGGAGCAGAGACTTGAATGAATAACCAGGTCGAACTTAGGGTTCGACCGACTAATGGTACAACTACTTATACAAGTACCGACTGTGCACGGGCCATCGTGTCTATGTGGTCGTGTTAGTGAAGAAAGAAACGTAGTGGTACAATGCCGAGTACGAAGTGCGCACGGACCCCATTATGTAAGCTACATAATGTTCAACCTGCGGGTGAGCGCTAAGACAGGCACCAGTATGGGCGCTAGTAGTACAAGAGATAGAACGGAAAGACAAATGTTTCATTACCCCCCTGCCAGAGTCGAAGTCCCATTCGACTACTTACTGCTCACTGTCTCCATACAACTCCCAGTCTATGCCGTCGTCCTCCTCTTCGTCGAACCACTCGTTGCGCGCGTTTCTTCCCAAGTTCTTCCATTCCTCACCAGAGAGGTGCTTTTGACGTGGCCAGGAGCTGTCCCACGTCCATTGAGTGGTGTCGGGTGTCCATTTGGGATCGACTTTGCGAAAGACGACGGGTGTATCGGGACGGAGACGTGAGGGTCCCGCGACGGGGCTGGTCGGGGGTTCGGGGTTAGCGCTACGCGGTGGGGGAATGGGTACCGCCTTTGTCTGCTTCTCTCTTTCCTTCCTCTCCTTCGCCTCATTGATGATTCCCTCGAGGAACACGTTGTCGATGACCACCCCCACGCGTCGCGCAGGTTCTTCAGGTGGTGCGGATACGTGTCGCTTCATCGGTCTGGTTCCGCACTCCCGCTCCAGGTGTCCAGGGGCTTCTTTCCTGCATCCTGCGCATCGTACGTCCGGACAGTCTCGTACCCAGTGTCGAGACGATCCACATCGCCTGCAACTTCCCTTCGGGGACCACCCAGGGTTGGGTTGCCAGTCAGCCGGGATAGTAGTGCTCCGTGGCGTTGCTTGGAGGAAAGGGGATGGGATCGGGGGCCGTCTGAAGGCAGACGTCGGTAGGGGTGCGGGTAGGGGTAGGTACGCGTTGGGGATGGCGCGCGGGATGAACTTGTTGTGTTGCGCCCGGATGTTGCGCGGTAGGAGCGGTTGAAAGCGATGGGCAACTTTCAGATTGTCGAGTCGAATGAGCTCGGTGAGGACACGGTCGTCCTGTTGGCGTAGGAGCCGTTTGTGGTGGTCGATGGCCTCGTCGGCTGCCTTGACAGCCTCGTCGTAGTCGCGGCAGGCGGAGAGATATGCCTCTAGTGCAGCGCGGTCGGTGGCATTGGTTGCCTCAGGGTTGTGGGTTTTGAGTTTATTGAAGACGTCGGTGGGGTTACTGAGGAGTAGCGTCAGCAAAGCGCTGTCACCGACATGGGTGTGCTTAGGGGTGTAGATTGAGATTCTTTTCCCGCCTTCGGTTGAAGGGGCGTTGAACTGGTCGAGGAACGGGAGGGTGGAAGACATGTTGATGCGAATGGGGATGTAGCGACTGGGTAGAGCTGCTATTGTTTCAGCTCAAGTCCTTCCTGTTCTTATACTCTGTCAACACTTCGTCCGCCGTCCCAGTCAGGTTCGCTTCGGGCTCCCATGAGTCATCGGCTGTTGAGTAACCCTTCCACCTGACGCAATATTCCCGGCGTCGCATCCTCTTGTTCTCTCGGTGTCCGATGATGGCTTCGACTTCGTAGTTATCTTCGCCCTCGATAAGGTCAGGAGGTGGCCTCGTGTAGTTCGGACCATGGATCTCTGTTTCTGAGTAGGGAGATAGAAGCCATTCGTGGAAAACGGGGTGGACTCGCCAGGTGCTAGGGAGGTCTAGCTTGTACGCGACCGTTCCGATCTTGTCTAGGACTTTGAATGGCCCTTCTCGCCTCGGGGCTAGTTTCCTGGACGGGTACGGCAGCTTCAAGTTCTGGGAGTCTAGCCATACCAGCTGACCTTTACGGAAGGAACCCCCCTTCCTTTTTACTCTCTTGGCCAGGACATTCTGGACCATCTCCATTGCCGCATGTGCTTCCTCACGGATGTTTTGCAAGTCCTTGAGGCGATAAGCCGCTTGCGGCGTGTTTGATCCGGGGTGCGCGGTGGGTATTCCACAAGGTTCGTATCCCATCATGAGTTTGAATGGGGACGTCTTCGTCGTGGAATGCTCGTGGGAGTTGTGAGCAAATTGTGCAGTGTGAAGATGGTCAGCCCACTTATCCGGATCATTGGCAGTGAAGCAGCGGAGGTAGATCTCCAGCTCTTGGTTTACTCGTTCTGTCTCGCCATCGGTTTGCGGATGGAATGCCGTACTCATGGCTGATTGAACCCCAGTCATTTTGCAAAGTTCTTGGAAGACTTTGGACGCAAATTGCGGTCCTCGGTCACTGATGATCTTGTCTGGGAGTCCAAACCACTTGTAGACCTCTCGGTACATTGCATCTGCCGTCCCAAGAGCATCAATTGTTTTGTTGCATGGGATGAAAATTACCCCCTTCATAAGGTCGTGGTCCACTACGACCAGAATTGAATCGAAGCCGTTGGACGGTGGCAAGTCGGTGATGTAATCGCACGAAAATGTGCTGAAGGGCTTGGCATTTGCGCGGGGTCGAATGGGGGTGATGGGCGGACGGGCTGGATGCATGTTAACCTTCATTTGCTGGCAGATGCCACAGCCGTTAACATAGCGGGCAACAAACTGGGCCATGCTCAGCCACCAGTAGTCATGGCGCAAGCCGAGGAGGGTTTTCTGAACACCGGGGTGTCCTGCGGAGGGGAGGTCGTGATAGTGGGAGACAAGATGTTTGCGAAGAGACTCATCTGGGGGTACATAGACCCGATACTGGTACAAGAGGAGGTCATCATTGATGGACCAGTCTGTTCCAGTGCGTGGTGTTCCTCCAGTGCGCGCCGCAGTGAGGCCTTCCTTCATTATTGGGTCGTCCTTAAAGGAAAGGATGGTGTTGCGGGTGTCGATGTCGATGGCAGCGACCCATACTTCCGGTGGGAGCATAACAACGTCGGTGTTGTCATTAGAGCCGTCGTTATGGTCGGGTCGGCGGGAGAGAGCATCACTCTGCACCATTTGGGTACCAGGAACGTGTACCAGGCGGAAGTCAAACTCGGTCAGTTTACTCGCCCAGCGTGCTTGTCGTCGGTTCATGTCTTTGGCTTGTTTCCAATATGTGAGGTTCTTGTGGTCGCTGAGAATCGTCACTGGGTATGGGCTGCCGATGAGGTAGTGCCTCCACTCATCTAGTGCGCGGATAACCGCATATAACTCCCTGTTGTAGATGTCGGTAGTTTCTCT